ATTTTTGAATAAATTTTAAGAAGGCTAGAAAGCAATCAAGTAAGTTTATTACATTGTTTGTCATTCATACAACTAAATATATTTTTTCTTTCTGATTAGTTTTTAATTTCTACCTATTTATTTATATTAAGTAAGTATCTCTCTAAAATTCTTTTTATTTCTCAATGAATCTTTCTTTAAGCTCTCTTCGTATCAGATTGATTGAAGAACCCACCTGTTATTTAAATAGTAGGATTTATAATACATTCCTTAAATTAGGTAAAAATTAATTAATGGTGAGTAAAATATGGTTAGACATTTGTTAAAAAATGAATTAATTAATTAATTATCTCTATTTGTTTTTGATATTCTTTAAATTTCTTTCAAGGAAATTTATCAAATAAATAAATTGTTTTTTTAGTAAATAAATAGGATAAATTAATCAATTAATAAATTAATGAATAAATAGATAAATTAATGAATGAATGAATTAATGAAGAAGATGATTTTGCTTGAGTGCAAGTTGTTTATTTGTATGTATGTATGTCTGTGTGTATGTATTGTTTGTTTTGTGTTAATTTCTAATGGTATTTGAACTTGTATGAAGGAAGGAATATAGTTTAGAATAATTACAACAAACGTGACTCTATCTTGTAGTTTTTAGTTGCTTATAATCATTGCCAAACAGCTTTTCTCTTCCAAAATCAGTGAATCTCTTGATGATAGAATACCTGATAGACAGATAAGTAGAACGAACATTTAGAGAGAGATGTTATTTTAAGAGACTCAATTTTTCAGCTGATAGATTATTAATTAATTAATACAGGGAAATGTTAAGGGTTTTTAAATTATAGGTTAAATTTGTATATATATTATAAAGAAGGAATTGATTATTTTTATATAACTACTCTATTTTATTTATTTTATTTTTATTCTATTCCTCCTTGTTTTTGTGATATAATTTAAATAATTATTTTTATTTTCATTATTTGTTGGATTATTTTTTTTCACTTTTTTGATCACTCTCTTCATCTTCAGAGGACTCAAGCAGATGCTCAAACATTTGATAGAGCTTTTCTGTTACTTTCTCTGCTAATGGATGAGAGTTGTTGTCTGGGTGCATCAGAGCTAATTTCTTTTTGAACTCAATAGCTTATTCTTCTAGTTTAAAACGTTAAAGATATCTAGAATAAATCGGTAAGGGAACAAGGATGATGAAATAAATATCTTTTAGAAGATCAAAAGCTATTTCTTGTTAGGGATTGGTGACTTAGTATCCATCAGCAATTACTTCTGCTTACTCAAAAATTTACTCTATTCTTTCTTAATCGTTTACGGATCCTCTGTGATGATGATTGATCATAAGATTCAATACTTCAGGACATTTGGGACACCACACTTTTTACTTAATGCAGTTAGCTTCAGATGTAGTCCACCTATGATAAAATTTGCAGCGGAAATTTAACTTTGGCTAAAAGAATTGGCTTTCAAGTTCTCCCTATTGAGATAAAGCATATTAAGCGAATTCTTGATGAAGAATATTGCATTAAGGACACCACTTTTTGATGATATTTTCGCTATCTGCATCAAAAACGTGATTTTTAAAGCATATCACTGTAAAAATATAGCCTCTGGATCTACTGATTATCTTTCCATTTCTCTGTTAAACAAGTTTAATGATATCTTTTTCTTACTATGATTCTTGTTAGCGATTTTTATTGGCTTAGATGTAAAAATCATCATCATCCTTAAAGGAATAAAGTCCATCGAAACTATTTTCTTTATTATCGTTTGTTGAGTCTTGATCATAACTTTGATTACGCAGGCGTCTCACTTTAACATTTTCTTTGATATTTTCATTATCAGAATCCTCAAGATCACTTTATTCATCATCGCCTTATTCTTCTTCTTCTAGCTTGACATTATTTTCAATGTTTTCATCAAAATCGTCTTCTTCTTTCTTTAAGACTTCTTAGATATCTTAAGCCTCCTGCTAAGAAATGGTCTTTAACTGTCTTTTCTTGGTAGAGAGCTTTTGATCTTCTTCTTCTAAGAATTTCATCAAGCTATCTTTCTTGATTGCATTGATTTAATTAACTACTTCAATCTTTTTCTCAAAATCATCAAGATCTTCGCTAGATTTTTTAAGCTTCTTGACTAAAGTTGGCTCCGAGCCAGTAGTTTGTTTAATAGTCTTTCTAGTTTGCAGCTACTCCTCTTCTTCTGATTCACTTTCTGAACTGAACACCTTTCTTTTTTTGATTAAGTTTGACATTTTTATTTATCCAGAAATTGTTAGACTAATTGATTGATTGATTAATTAAAATAGGAAACTAAGAAGACAGATAAATAGATATAGATGAGGAAATAAGAAATTTTGAGGAATATTTCAATTATTAATTATTGATTGAGTGCTTGACTATAAATAATCTTTTTGAAAGCATATCTATTTACCAATTTATCTATCAATATGTATGTATATATATATGTTCATTTAAGCAATGAATGCAAAGATTCAATAGGACGTTTTCTTTTAAAATAAAATCGAATCACAAAAAAAAAAAAACACAAATGAAAGAACAATTGAATGAGTTATATCTATCTATTCATTTAAAATTTTTCAACTAATCAATTTAGCACTCATTTATAAAGTGTTTATATCGATTGGATGAGTGAGATTCCTACTTTATATTTTAATTATTTTTTTTTTCCTCCTTTTTATCTCAAATACAAAAATTTAAAAATTCTCCTTCTTTTAAAAAAATATATCTTTATTTTTTATACATCTCTATATCTTGTTTGCCTACTTGCTTGCTTGATAGCACCATGAATTGATTTGAATAAGAGTAACATTTAAATTATTTTTTTAAATAAATTGATATATTTTTTGATATGTTCATTCATCTTTATTACTTTTCATTACAGTTTTTATTACTTGAATATTTATATTCTAAATTTTACAAACCTCTTCATTTTGTATTAAATTTTTTAGGATGTAGCCTAAAATATTTATAAATTGAATCTAATTTTACTTACAATAATTTCAAATTATTTAAAATTTAATTTTTAAAAATAATTTAAAAATTAATTGTGTTTTTATTTGAATAAAATTTTCAATAATTATTCTAAGTATAAATCTATTTTTAAATTAATTTTTTTTCATTAATTTTTTTACAATTCTATTTTAGATTTATCAATTATTCAAAAATTCAAAAAACAAACTTCTTAAGTTATTTAACAATAGAATGAATCTTTTTTTATAATTTTTAATTATTTTTATAAATAATAATAATTATTTTATTAATGTTATTATTTTAATAATATTTTTTACTTTATTCAAATTAAATAAAATTAATTTTTATAATTTTAATTTAAATAATATATTTTTTATAAAGATAATTATTTACTTTTGTCTTTTATTAATAGTAGAATCTTTTATATAAAAATCTAAATTTATATTCATAAAATATGTATGCCTCTCTACTAAATCTTATCTATAGATTAGATTCTTTTAATTTTCAAATATTTATAGAATATAGCTTACAATTTAAATAAAAAAACTATAATTTAAAATGAAATAAAAATATTATTTAATATTAAAATAAGTATTTTTTATTTTATCTATTTTATACATACAGATAGAAAGAAAGATATACTTTATTATTAATAATATTTAGATTAAATTAAATTCTTTTTTGAATAAATACTAGTGTTAAATAAATTAAATAGCTTTACCAATTTAATTTATTTTTTGAAATATTTGGTTTTATAAATTATCTTATTGCTAAAGAAATTTTAAATTTAAATGTTTAAATTACTAAAATTAAGTATCAAAATAAATAAAAACTTGTTGAGTTTTCATTGCATTTTAATTACTTTCTTAAATATTTTTTTAGATTATTTTCAAAAAAAGACAGTTTGAGTATAAATTTGCAAAATATTTAATTAAAAACAAATACTTTTTAAGAAAAGCAAAAAATTTATCAGTTAATACTATAAATTTGATAGGATTTTTGCAAAAAAGATTTTTTTGATAGATGCTAAAATTATGTTTTAAATCAAACTATTTGTTGCAGATAAAAATCTAAATTGTGAGAAATAAATCCTTAATATGATTACGATTTAATGCAAAACCAAATATATAAACAAAAACTTTTAGGTAGAAAAATTGTAAAAAATGTAGGTAGGTAGATAAAAGTAGAAAGGAATTGATAGAAAATAAAATTCTATCTAATAGATTACGATAAAATGCAATTTATATTTTCTTTAATTTTAAATAGAATAGAAAAATAAATTTGATTTGCAAAGTTGCTTAGAAAATAATTCTGCTATTTCTATTTAATTAGGAAGTATGCATGAGTGAATATATGACTGTTCATAACTAATTTGTTTTGATTTAAAACAAAATAAAAAAGATTTATCTATCTTAAATTCAAATTTAATATTATTATTAAATGATCGATTATTTATTCATTAGTATAAAAAATAAGTAAAAACAATCAAATAAATTTCAAAAACAAACTTGATAAAGTTTTTATTGATTATGGAAAAGTATTTATTTGTTTATTTGTTTATTTATTTTTATGATTTGTCACTTGATAGAAATTTAATTGAATTAATTATCTTAAAGCAATAAATTAAATAAATTGATTAATCGCTACTTATTCAAGAATCAGCGAAATTAATTTGTAATGATAATAATAATAAATAAATAAATTATTTGTTATTTATAAAATCTCTACAAAAAAGATAGATAGATAGTTAGTTAGTTTTCATAATATTTTAGTAGATCAATATAAGAAAATCAAAATTAAATATACTTACTTACTTACTTAGCAGAAATGGATGGATCTTCATCATCTTTAATTAGAAAACCCTTCATTATTAGGGGTAAAAAGGAGGAATTTCTGATTCCTGAAAACGACTCTCATTTTGATTAGAGTGTTGAGTCTAAGGTTAGTTTTACATAGGCATGCAACTGGTTCATTTCAGTAATTATTTTTATCATAATCGATCACAAATTATAAGCAATTTTTTGAAGTTAGCTACTCACTAAATGCTGCATTTCATACAGAATTAGTTGTTAAAAATTTTGCAATTTAAAAGAAAATAAAATGCATTTAAAAAATAACAATTTTTTTATTAAAAAGTTTATTTTAACTTATGAGTCTGTAAAATAATTCTATTATGTTTTCTACTATGAAGGAAAATGCTCTGACTATTCAAGAATTATGATTTATTATATGCTGGCTAATGGCTTTTGGGTTCTCATAAGTATTATTGGCGCAAATTTAATTCGCTCTAAGCAATCAAAAAAAATATTTATCTTTTTCATCCTTCTTATAATCACGTTTATTTCTAGAATCGTTATATATATTTTAATGTATGATACTATGAACCATTACATATCAGATGCTACCTTGCAGGACTGTTACTGCAGATCTATTTACGTTGAGGATTTGTATATGATTCAAGCCATAGTTGAGGGACTCATCCTTCTTATTCTGATAGTCTTTGTTAAGATAATCCACAAATATATATTAAGTATATTTCAAATTTTTATTCTATCTGTCTGATCTTTCAATTTAATCTGTACCAAAAATCTGACTAAAAATACTTGATAAGAATAATATTTTTTATTTTTAAGTCAGAAGTTTGTTTACTTTACAAAAATCTCAATAAATTTTTAATATAAAAATAATTTAATTAACTCCTCTCTTTAATAAATAAGGCTATGAGTAGAAAGATAGAGAATAGTTCTTTGGACCAGGAGCATCTGGTAGTAGTCTTAAACCAAGATTCATAGGAAATTCAAGCAGAATAAATAATTGAATAAATATTTAAGAAAGACTTATAAGTATTAGTATTATTCAAGAAAGAAAGAGAGAGAGAATCAAAAGGGATTGAATTAAATAAGATGATGCTTAAATCTCTTATTGATTTATTATTTAAATCATTCTTTTGTATATTTATAAAATTATTATTATTGAAATTATGTATTATTATTATATATCTGTATAAATCAATCTCGTTTAATTTATTATATTCAACATTAGCTCTCTCTCAATTATTATTTAAATTTATGCAAAAAACAACAATAAAATTTTTTAATTATAAAATAAACTAAACAATATTAGGTCCCTAAGCAAAAAAAAAGAAGTGATTAGATAATTCTTTATATTTGTTGATCTTATTTATTTTTGATGACATATTTATTATTTTTGTCAAAATTCACCAAAATTTATCATAAATAAATAAATAAAGAATTAAAAAAAAATGGCTTAGAACTAACAATAACAATTTCAAAAACATTTTTATTTAATTTTAAACTCATTAATATTAACTTACAAGAATATGATAACCAAAAACTTTTTAACTAAGAATATTTTTAAAATATTTAAAATATTATTAAAAATATTATGTAATGATTGGATTTTTAGTCAGACCAAACGAATATTCTAGCTTTCTTTAAATATTACAAAGTAATAAATAAATAAAATCATTTATTAGTTTATTTGGATAAATAAAACTTATTATTATTAAATTTGATCTATTCCTTCTTCTTAATAAATCAAATATTGTTTATATTTTTAAAAATTTCTACTTTAAAATCAATTATTTATTAATAAATATAAAACAATAATAAAATCTATCTATCTATCAACCTATATTTTAGGTTAAAAAAATATTTTCAAAATATTATTAAATAAAACATATAATATTTAATTATAACATTTAATATTTATTTATTCATCATTTTTTTGCCACTTGTTTATTATCTCAGAAATATTTTTCAAAGACAACTAATCTTTTTGATTTAAGGCACTTGCTTATAGCTTTGAATTTTTATGATTCATCCATTTAGTTAAAACTTTTATAATAAATTTATGTAAATTTTAAATAAATATTAAATAAAATAAACTTTTAAATTAAAATTATTTCTTTTATTAATAAATAATAATATTATTCTAAAAAAAAAGATAAAAAAATTAATAAAATAAAATCAAACAAATAAATCAAGGAGCATTATTGTTTAAAATTAGTTTTTATAATTATAAATATCACTATTCAAAACAAATAAACTGTTTTTACCTAAGCTAAAGTGTCAACTTTGAGAGATTAATGCAATTTGTTAAAGCAAAACCTAATTCTGATGCACCTATTGCACCAATTTAATTTCTACTTTTTAAATATTGAAGAAAAAATATAATTAAATATTTAATTTAATGGAAAAAATGAAGAAAAAATATGAAATAATAAGATTAATTAATAATAAAAGCAAAAATTAAAATAAAATTATGAGTTGAATTAACCAAATAAAGAAGGAAAAAAAGCAAGCACAATAAAAAGAAAATGAAAAAGCAAAAAGAGCTTTTGTTTTAAATTAATTTTTATATTTAAAAATATCACAATCCTCAATAAATAAACTGTTTTTACCCAAGATTAAGTTTCAAATTTGAGAGATTAATGCAATTTGCTAAAGCAGAACCTAAGTCTGATGCACCTGTTGTACCAATTTAATTTTTACTTTTTAAATATTGAAGAAAGATATATCACTAAATAGTTAATTAGAAGGAAAAAATGAAGAAAAAAATAAGAAATAATAAGATTAATTAATTAAAAATAAAAGCAAAAGTTGAAAATAAAATGATGAGTTAAATTAACAAATAAAGAAGAAGAAAAAAGAAGTACAAAAAAAAAAATGAAAAAGTTTAAAAAAAGAGCTTTATTGTTTTAAATTAGTTTTTATATAATTAAAAATAACACTATTCAAAACAAATAAACTGTTTTTACTCAAGGTTAAGTGTCAAATTTGAAAGATTAATGCAATTTGCCAAAGCAGAACCTAAGTCTAATGCACCGATTGCACCAATTTTATTTTTACTTTTTAAATATTGAAGAAAAAATATATAATTTAATAGTGAATTAGAAGGAAAAAATGAAAAAAATAAGAAATAATAAGATTAATTAATAATAAAGCAAATGTTTAAAATAAAATGATGAGTTAAATTAACAAATAAAGAAGAAGAAAAAAGATGTAAAATAAAAAGAAAATGAAAAAGAAAAAAGAGATTTTTGTTTTAAATTAGTTTTTATATTTAAAAATATCACAATCCTAAATAAATAAACTATTTTTACAAAAGGTGGAGTGCCAAATTTGAGAGATTAATGCAATTTGCTAAAGCAGAACCAAGGTATGATGCACCTAAATATCCAATTTCATTGATACTTTTTAAATATTGTAGATAAAATATATTATTAAATAGTTAATTCGAAGAAAAATATCAAATAATAAGATTAATTAATATTGAAAGCAAAAGTTGAAAATAATAGGATGAGTTGAATTAACAAAGAAAGAAGAAAAAAAAGCAAGCACGATAAAAAGAAAAAGAAATAAGTGCTTTATTGTTTTAAATTAGTTTTTTTATTTAAAAATATCACGATCCTAAATAAATAAACTGTTTTGCTCAAGGTTAAGTGTCAAATTTGAGAGATTAATGCAATTTGATAAACCAGAACTTAAGCCTTATGCACCCTTTGCACCAATTTCATTCTTACTTTTTAAATATTGAAGAAAAAATATATAATTAAATAGTTAATTAGAAGTTAAAATGAAGAAAAAATATGAAATAATAAGATTAATTAATAATAAAAGCAAAAGTTTAAAATAAAACGATGAGTTTAATTTACAAAGAAAGAAGAAAAAAACAAGCATAATAAAAATAAAAAGAAAATGAAAAAAGAGGTTTATTGCTTTAAATTAGTTATTACAATTAAAAATATCATAATCTAAAACAAATAAACTGTTTTTACTTAAGGTTAAGTGTCAAATTTGAGAGATTAATGTAATTTGCTAAAGCAGAACCTAAGCCTGACGCACCTATTGCACCAATTAAATTGCTACTTTTTAAATATTGAAGAAAAATATATAATTAAATAGTTAATTTAAAGAGAAAAATGAAGAAAAAATATGAAATAATAAGAATAATTAATTAATAATAAAAGCAAAATTTTAAAATAAATTGAAGAGTTAAAATAACAAAGAAAAAAGAAGAAAAAACAAGCACAATAAAAAGAAAATGAAAAAGAGTTTTATTACTTAAATTAGTTTTTTTATTTAAAAATATCACAATCCTACATAAATAAACTGTTTTTACTCAAGGTCAAGTGTCAAATTTGAGAGATTAATGCAATTTGCTAAACCAGAACCTAAGTTTGATGCACCAATTGGCCCAATTTAATTGTTACTTTTTAAATATTGAAGAAAAAATAATTAATTAAATAGTTAATTAGAAGGAAAAAATATGAAATAATAAGATTAATTAATTAAAAATAAAAGCAAAAGTTGAAAATAAAATTATGAGTTAAATTAACAAATAAAGAAGAAAGGGAAAAAGAGCTTTTTTGTTTTAAATTAGTTTTTAGATTTAAAAATATCACAATCCTAAATAAATAAACTGTTTTTACTAAAGACTAAGTGTCAAATTTGAGAGATTAATGCAGTTTGCTAAAGCAAAACCTAAACTTGATGCACCAATTGGCCCAATTTTATTGTTACTTTTTAAATATTGAAGAAAAAATAATTAATTAAATAGTTAATTAGATGTAATAATAAGATTAATTAATTAATAATAAAAGCAAAAATTGAAAATAAAATGATGAGTTAAATTAACAATGAAAGAAAAAAAATGCAAGCACAATAAAAAGAAAAAGAAAAAAGAACTTTATTGTTTTATATTTGTTTTTTTATTTAAAAATATCACAATCCATCCTAAATAAATAAACTGTTTTTACTCAAGACTAAGTGTCAAATTTGAAAGAATAGGAAACCATTGTTTTTTGTGATTAAATTTGCTTGAAAGAAATAAAAAACTACTAAATAAATAAATAAAATTAAAATATTCAATTATTGTTCGTGTATGTAGTTTTGAAAAAGGCAGTACCCTAGGGTATTATATATATAATTAAATAGTTAATTAGAAGGAAAAAATATGAAATAATAAGATTAATTAAAAATAAAAGCAAAAGTTTAAAACAAAATGATGAGTTAAATTAACAAATAAAGAATAAAAAAAGTAAGCACAATAAAAACAAAAAGAAAATTAAAAAAGTGCTTTATTATTTTAAATTGGTTTTATATTTAAAAATATCACAATCCAAAACAAATAAACTGTTTTTACTAAAGGTGGAGTGTCAAATCTGAGAGATTAATGCAATTTGCTAATGCAGAACTTAATTTTGTTGCACCTACATCACCAATTTAATGGTAACTTTTTAATATTGAAGAAATAATATATAATTTAATAGTTAATTAGAAGAAAAAAATGAAGAAAAAATAAGATATTATAAGATCAATTAATAATAAAAGCAAAAATTGAAAATAAAATGATGAATTAAATCAACAAAGAAAGAAGAAAAATAAGCAAGCAAAATAAAAAGAAAATAAATCAAATAATTTAAAAGTGCTTTAATGTTTTAGATAAAATTTTTTTATAATTAAAAATATTTCAATCTAAAACAAATAAACTTTTTTTATCAAATGTAAATGCTAATAGCAAAAAATGAAGAAAAAATATTTTTAATAATAAAAAATGAATAATAAATAATAATAAATTGAAATTAAAATTAAGTTAAAGTTTCAAAAAAATTTTTGTTTTAATAAAAATCAATGAATAATGAATGAATGAATGAATAGAATTTCTTTTAGAAAAATTATTTTTTAAATAAATTGAATGCTAAATAGACAAAAAATATTAATAATAATAAAAATAATATTTATAAATTAAATATACTTCATATTAATATGGAGAACTTAATGAGATAAAAGTGAAGAGCTTAAAAACTTTTTTTATTAATATATGTAAATTTAAAGGATATTAATAAAAAAATAAATAATTACTTCTTCTACTTCTATCTAGTATATAATCTATTACATCATTTATTTTTATTTTCAAAAATTTCTAATAGCAATTTGTGGAATTTAATTAATTATAAATAGATAAAAAGAACAAGTAAAATATAATAATTAATTTTCAAATATGTATTTATAAATTTGCTTTTACTTATGAAGAGATAATTAATTTAACATTCATAGTATTTAAAATATATACTTAAAAATATAGTAGGAATTAGAAATAGTCATTTAGTCATATTTGAAAAAAATATAGTAAATATTAAGAATATAAAAAATATTTTTGAAAAAAAATGTATCTAACTTTTATTAGCTAGAGTCTGTCTGTTATTATTTTTTATGATCTTCTTAATTATTTTACTTAATCAAAAAAGTTATTTAAAAGGAATTGGATATCATTATGATAATTATTAAGGAATATATTTATTTATAAATTTATCATTATTTTCTTGACAGTCTTGAGGAATAAATTCTAAGTAATCTACTTTAATAAATAGCATACATGTGATAAATAAAATAAGATAATTTTTTCACACTAACGAATACCGATTAATTTTAAGTTTTTAAAAAATATAAATACAGAATATCAACAGAATTAATTTAATATATTTGATAATAATTTAAGGAGAATATGAAAAATTTTATAAAATATCATAAAAAGAATGAATAATCTATAGAACTAAGAAAATGAATTTAACAACATTTAAATTATATTCGAATTGAGTAAATTAAAAAGATACAAAATACATAAATAAGATAAGGTATGATTATAGTAAAAAATTAAAACTAATTAATTAATTTTTAGTAACCTAAGCTTTATTTAATAAGTAGTCAATGAATAATTTTCAAACAATTTAAATATAAAATTATATATAAGACTTAAGCATAAGTTAGGTGAAAATAAATATTTATCTGTTCTTAGAAAAAAGGAATATCAAAAAATTACCAAAGCAATATATTTTTAAATGTGGTATAATTAGTTATTAGAGATATTAAACTAATAAAGACTTAACCAAGATTCACATATAATAAAAGATAAATTTAGTAAATCTTAAAACATAATTAATTGGAAATAAAAAAGGAGTATAACTGATCAAATCGACTATTTTTTCATTTTATCTTTATTTATTTATTGATTGATTGTATATAATTGAGTGTATTTGATATCAAACATTTGTTTCTCTCTTTCCAATTTTTGAGTCTATTGAAAATCAAGAAGTATGTAGTGTAAGAGGGATTTATTTTAAAGTTTGTTTTCACTTTAATAATTGAATACTCTTTTCTTTAATTTTCCAATAATTAAATAAAACATATTTTCTTAAAATATTTCGAATCTTAAATTAAAATAGATGCTATAGGATTTTATTCTTTAGTAGAAAGGAATTTGCTGAGATAATAGTTGGATTATAGAATGAAACAATAGGCGGATTTAGCGATAAATATTTTTATTTTTATAATTAAATAATAGTTAACTATAAGATTATTTTTTTTGGTTGGATTTGTTTTTAGGTAATTTATTAAAAATAGTAGAAAGGAAGGATTTATTGATTGGTTGTTGGTTGGTTGGTAGATAGATAGATAGATGTTAATAACTTTATTTTATTTATTTTGTAGTTTTGAATCATTGATTGAATGTGAGTATTTTTTTTTTTCATTAAATTTAATTAGTATTTATAAGGTTATTGGTATTTCCACTAAATTATTATACATCTTAATGAATAAGTTGCTTATTAAGCATAGCAGCAGTTTGAAGTACATTAGTATTGTTATTGTTTTTTACGAACTCGGAGCTGTTGGGAGAGTTTTGTATATTGTGAGAATGCATTATTTGATGAAGGGGCATTTGGTTGATCATTCTCTATTGATGCATATTGTTTTATGGTGTTATCTAAGCTAGTCCTAGTTAGTTTGGTGTGTTATTATTTGAGTACTGCATAAAGAATACGCTAGGAGAGTTATTGCCAAGGTTAGAGTTTGATATGGTAGGATGCAGATTGTTATAATATTAGAATATGGTTGGGGTTTATTCACCAGGTACAATTTGTCCCAACTAGCTACAATTTGCTAATTGGTTTACACTTTAAGCTTGAAGAGGAGGAGTATTTAAGAACATAGAAATACTTGCAGCAGATCCTTAAACTGTGTTTGGATTAGCTGCATAAGAAATATTCACACCATGTTGTTAGGGAGTGCTAATTGATTCTTAGTTTTGTAAGAAGCTGTTTAGCAATTATATGTTTTTTGTAAAATCTTCTTAAATTTTATGTTAAATAAATGCTGGATTAATCACAAAAATTTCTTTTGTATTTTTATCGACATAGACTAGTTGGCTTTTTGATATTTCCTCTTCAAATTCTTCTTTCTTTAAGTTTTTTTTTGTCACAGATTTAATGAAAACTTCATTCTATTGCACTTAGGATTTCAAATCATAATGATTGAATCCAGAAAGTAAAGGAGTGGAAGGCAGTTTAACTTATTCCATAAAAATGGCTCCAGGATTGTTGAGTGAGACTCTTTTACTTCCTGGTTTACTATTTATTCCCATAAACCCAGGAAAAGCTTACTATTATTAGATTAAAATTTTTCCATTCATATTAGGAGAATTATTTTCTGAAATGGTTTCTTCATTTATTTAGCTCTTCAAGTTGTTATTGTTGTTGTTGTTGTTATCTTTTTTTTTAAATTTTAAATAAAATTAATTCAAAAATATTAAAATAAAATAAATTTGTGTTTCAATTTATTATTTTAAACTGATTCATTAGATTTACTTTAAATATTAAAGCCAAAAAGGTTCATCTCTCCATTGATATTAATTTCTTGGTTAATTGGTTTGAATATTCCACCAGAGTTTTAATTTGAAAGGGCCGATGAAGATAATTTAGTAGCTGACTCTACGTCTGATTAATTTAATGTTTGCTCTGATTTAGTTTTAGCTTCGCTCTCCACCATTTAGAATAGAGCCTACTTGCTTTATAGGACATTCTTTTTAGGGAGATTTTTCTGCTTAACTGTTGTTTGTTGCATGCTTTCCGGTGAATTTTAGCTCTTGCTATCTAAAATTATTTAAACAACAATAAAGTAATTAATTTGTTAAAAAAAATTTATTTTAAATAGATAAATTAAAATCTAAGAATTTAAAAATATTTGTCATATAAAAAAATAAAAATGTTTTTGAATTTAATTTACTGTTAGAAAATAGAGATTATTGCTGCAATTGGGCTTAATTGAAATGATTTCCTTCTTCTGTTTTAATTTAGTATGAATTAAGAGCTTAAGACTACATACTTTGCGACTGCTAGTGGTCTTCATCGTCTTCATCATCATCCTCATCATCTTCATTGTATTGTTTGTCTTAATTTTAGGTATCTTCATCTTACTCTTCTTCGATTTAATCGTGGTTGTGCTTGAGTGTATTTGAGCTAGCATTTATGAGAGAGAATCCGTTTTTAATACGAGATTCAAGCTTTTCTATGAGCAATAAGATTTATTATTTTTCACCCTCACCGATATCTTAATTGTTAGATTTTAAGTCATTCATGCTTGATAAGTTATTTGAGGAAGATGACAGTTTCTCTTTTTTAATGAGAGAATTGTATCTGTTTTTAACAGCGTTTTCGGTTCTTGACGATTTCATATTTTTGGAGATTTCTGACCATCTCTTGCCTTTTTCTAGTACTAATTTTAACATTTTCAATTCTTCTTCATAATTCCATGGGCCTCTTTTAATTTTTTTAATTAAAAGGTAAGAAGAAAGAAAAAAAATTAATTATTGATAAATTTTATCTCTTTTTTAATTTCTTTTGAAAAAACACCACAAATTTTAATTAAAATTTCTTCTGTTTTTTTAATTCTATGATGGATCTACTTAATTTTAATGGCGTAATAAAAATAATTTGTTTACCTGTTAATTGCAGGATCTAAATGGTTGTTCCACCTTTCTCTGCACTGCTTTCCTTATCTGAATACATTTTTGTGACTTAGCTAGTTAAGCTTAACAGCAATTTCGCTCCATTTATTTTATTTATTCTTTTGCTCATACTCTCTAATATAATTTACAAATAAGAATATTGCTTTAGTTTTCTACTTATTTAATCAAAAATATCTTCTTACTTGATTATCATCCTCAAAATATTATCTTCTTCTTCGCTCCAAGGTTATTGCTGTAAATTAAGCTTACTCATTGATAACCATTTCAATTTGCACTGTTCCGATGTTCTACCTACCATCATACTTGCTATATCTTCCCACACATCATCGCTCTATTGAATTTAAGTTAGAATTTAACATGTAGCTTAGAATTTTTTTTCAACATATTTAATTTATAAGCTTGAATAAGAAAAAAAGCAGACTATTGTTAAAATAGATAACTTACAATTGCACGAAAGTCAATTCTTTTAAACACACAAGACTTAAGAATGATCCAAACTAAGAGATTTGTTTCTTAATCATTCCAATTTTTCTTCTGCTACTTAGAATATCCTTGCCTAAAATAATTTAACAATTATTAAATATTTATTTAAATAATTAATTCTTTATATAAATATTCTTAATAGAAATTAATCTTTACTGATTAAATGCTATTGCATAATAACATAATATTTCTAAAAAAATCTTTATTAAATTATCTATTTATTACTTTGATACAATTTTTTGGTAAGAATCGTGCATTTCCTTGCTGGTTGGTAGATTATCCATCTTTATTGTATAAAGATCTTTGACAAAATCCAAATTTAAATCAGCATCGCTGATATTTTAAGTGAGTTAAAGAAATGTTTAAAAATACTATAGCGCTTTTTCTCCTGATTTTCCTAATATATTAATAAATTATTTTTCTTTGTTTATTTGTAAAGCACTTTTAATTTTAAGTTCCAACTTGGAAAAATCTACTTCTTATTTTCACTTCTAAACAATATTTTTAGAGATATTTTATTTGCAAACATTTTATTGGCATAATTAATTGTTTTAGTATCAATTTTCTTATAATCAAAAAACGTGAAAATTTATTTAGTAGTAGGTGGCTGAAAATAAAAAGCAGATTTTTAAATGAAGCCAAGCTCTTAACTTGTGATTGATAAATAAAATTACTTATATTTTCAGAACTATCACTACTTTGCTAGGAGTATTACTGCTATAGACTAGGCTAATTTTATTGTTGGATTTATATGTTATTTTGTTACTACTAAGTTTGTTGCTATTAGCTAATTGGTTTAAAAGATAAATTCATTAAGGATGGAGCCTAAAATTGTTATTATGTCTGCTAATTTTGCTACTATTACTACGACTAAAACTAATTCTAAAAGAAAGAGTTTGGAAGGACTTATTATTAGAACTAATTGGGGTTTCCTCCTATGGTATGAGCCTATGTTTAGGACTGCTGATTCTATGATTGCTAAAAAAGCTATTGCTACTACTATTATTATTACTAATTCATAATATAACCCTAGGGAGTTTGAGAAATAAAATTCTATCTTATGAGCATATCTGGATTATTGTTTATCTGATAAAAATACTAGCCTCCTGGAACTTGGTTGCTGTCCAGCTTAACTATTTTATATTTGAATTGAGTTTGATAAAATTGTTGTTGTTGTTGAAAGTATGCATGGCTTTAATTGCTTGTTTGATATATTGATAAATTCAGTATATTAATATACTGTTTTTATAAATAAACTTTTTTTTAGTAAAGGCATCAAAAATGAGTGCAAGCGCAAATCACTAAATTTTAAATATAATCGTATGCCACTAACCATCTAAAGGACTATTTATTATTTATAAAAATGCTATATTTACTCTCCTTGTGAAAGGGGCTCATCATGCTTAATCCGTCTGCTATTTCAGCGGGATGACGCTTCAACTCGCTCATTTCTTTTTGTTTGGTTTTCTTTGCTTTATTAAACTAATTGATTGATTAATTAATTGCCTTTTTTCTTATCAAATTATTTTGAGCAAATATTATTTTTATCAAGTAAGAATAGTTAATACTTTTTTTAAGTATATCGAATTTTTCAATTTCTTTTTTAATCATTCTCATTTGAGCTGCATTGTTTTTAAGTATATTTTTCTCTAAAATAGAGATCAATTATCAATTTTTAATTCCTGTAATAAATTTTCTTAAAATTGAGGTTAACATCAATTACAACTCTTAAATCTTTATTAAAAAATTAAAAAAAAACAATCCTATTGTGACATCATAATTTATTAAATCTTCTAATAATTTTCTCAATTTTTTAATATTCCTTCCTATTAAAATGAGCTAGCCAGCCTAAACGCTTAGCTAAAAGAGATTTTTACAATATCCCTATAAGATCAGCCTAGCTTAGAATTAAATAATAACTTATGATTAAACTCATTTTTTATTTTTTATAAAATAGAATTCAGATTCAATTAAAAAAATATTTAAGATTATTCCTCTTAAGTAACAAATCTCGAATTATAATGTTCTACCAAATAAATATCATAACTTAATGAATACTTTTCCAATCACACAGTTTCTAATAATCATTAATATCAAAAACTTTTGAAATTTTGAGAAATTTACACTTTTCAAACAATTTTCTTTCAAAATCTAACCATAGCACAAAATTAACAAAATATAAAGAATTTGTAAAGAAGTTTTATCTAAGTGATAAAAATAATTGATACTCAATATAACATTAATTTTTGTTAAGTAGTAAGTAAGTATATCTTTGAGTTAGGTGAGATTCCTTATTTAATAGAAGATTCTAAAGGTCAAAATGATTAAAGTTATTTCAATAAAATAATACTAAATTAATTAAAAATATTAGCTTCCATTTAATAAAATATTTTTTTAAGTCATTATTTTTTAGGTATCAATCTCAACATAAAAAAAGTAAACCAATCAAATTAATTACATCAGTAATTTGAAAATTATAATTAATTGTTCTAACAATCAAATTAATCGCTTGCCTATTCTTAGATCTAAATAAATTAAAAATATTAATGTAAATTTCTGTTATGTCTTTGTTATAATTAATATAAACTAAACAATAATTAAAATTCTTTTTTTTGTCGTCATTACATTTAAATATCATATTTTTTTTTGTCATAAAACATAATAAGTTTGTGTAACCATTATTTTTTTAAAAACCAATTAAATTTAATAAATTTTAAGAAAATAAAACTCATATTAAACTAATATATATATATATATAATTATAGTGTACATTAAAAAGAATTTACGTTTTAAATGTTTAAAAGTAGAAATTGAGTTATTTTAAATTATTTAGTTAAGTAAAAATTATAAAAAAGGTTTAATTTATGTTTGAATTATTATTTTTCATTAAATGAAGAGATTTAAACTGAATCTATCTTTTATATTTCTTATAAATTTAACTTTGATAAACAAAATATTTAAAAAAGGTGTTCAAGATTTTTTTATTTATTTGTAAATTTAAAGATATTCCACAAAAAGAATAAAAAAAATTTCAAATAAATTTTGTTTCCTACTTTGAACTTAATTTTATAACATTAAAATAAGCTCATCAAAATTTCTAATTGTTGAATTAAAATATGGTGATAGGAAAATTCTTATATCAATGCAGATGAAATAACAAATAAGGGATTTTTATAATTCTAAATAATGCTTATCTAAAATAATAAATAAGGGATTGATAATTTGAGTAAAAATATAAAATCAAATATAATTCTTGATGAAATTTTTATATTTAAAACATAAAAATTAATCTTTTTTTTATTTAATTTAGGATATTTATTTTTATAATATTTATCTATGATTAAAAAATAGTATCTGAATTGTTTATTTTATTAAATACAATTGTTAAGTTTTAAGTATAAAAAGAGTTAATATTTGTAATTATTTATTGCTAATTAATCTATTGATAATATGAAAAAAATGAATGAATCAGTGCTTTTTATCTAATAGATTTTAATAAAATACAAATAAATTTAATAGATATTACAAAAATATTTATTATTTTTTTGTTTGTTAAGTGCATCATTTAGATTTAATTTTAGGTTTATTATATTCGTCTTGAGTTATAAGTATTTCGTTTAGCTGAGTAAATAAACTATTCTTATTATCTCTAAGTTAATCTATTAAAATTATTTATTTTTATATTAAATTTTATACTTTAAATAAAAACTAATTAATTACCTATATTTTTAAAATCTGAATCTACTAATTCCACGTTCTTCTTCCAAAGCTATTAGTTCTCATTTCTAATATTTTCTAGTAATTTTTATAATTTTTTATCATTGGCTTCTGCAAGTTCATAATACAGGTTAGTTTTAACTTAATCTATGTCTTCTGATATTTTTACGAACTCTTACTCAAAGTGAGTATTTGTAAGTTTCATGTCTTGATGTTGTGTGTTCATCAACTCGAACATATCGCTAATCTATTACTTTATATTATCCATTTCAGCTTTAGCTAGAGTATTGTCTAAAACTGTTTCAGCATTAAGTTCTGTTATCTTTGTTTCCAAGTCTTTGTAAACATTCTAATTAAATAAAAAAATTAGTTATAAATTAATTTGTGTCATTTAAATGTAAAACATATTCTGCTTCTTAAAAATAATTAAAACAATAAATAATTTAAAAATCTTACATCAATTGTATCAAGAGTGGTCTTTATAAGGTTAAAGGAATTCATGGAACTTTATTCTAATTCTTCTAGTCTTAGTACAAACTCCTTTTCTGTGTCTTGTTAATGATCTATGATTTCCTTCAATTTTAGAACAATTTCTTATGAGAATCTCTAAACTTCGTCTTGCAAATTTATAATGAGAGATTTGGATAATTCTAACTCTTTTTATGTGTTTTACTGGAGTTCTTCTAAATCTTTCGAAATATCATCTAATTCTTTCATCACATTAGACTGCAATTCTTCTAAAGCTGTATTAATTTTCACTTTGAAGTCGCTAATATCAGCTTTAATATCTTATATTTTAATATTAATTTATTCATTTTGCTCTTCACATAACTTTTAGAAAGCTTCTAAAGAGCTCTACATGTTATTTATTCTATTATTAAACATTTCTCTTGAATTCTCAATAGCTTGAGTTAAAAATTAAACATCTTTTTTCGATTCTTCTTCAACTTTATTAATTTTATCATCAAGTCCCTTCGCAATTGTTTGAACATTCAGTTCAATATTCAATTTTTCTTCAATCAAACGATTTTCAAATGCCTTTTATGTATCACCTACAAGTTTGTAAGTCTCTGTCCTTAGGTCTTCTTATCCCTTTTCAAGTCCCACTAGTCTCTTTTCAACATCTTTTCTATTATTATCAGTGTTAATTAAGTGATTTTTGAATTACTCTGCCAACTTTGTAAACATATTTTTAGTCTTTTCATGCTTCTTACCAAATACCTCTACAACTTTCTTAACTTCCTCATCAACATACCTGCTAACCTGCTCTGATTTTTATGAACTTTCTAATCTTGTCTCTCTTATTTCATCTTGTAATTTTTTATACTAAATTTCCATTTAGTCTTTAACATTGTTCACATCTGAAACAATATCTGTTGCAATCGCACTTGTTAAATTCTTTAAATCCCTAATATAACAAATACATAGATTAATAAAAAATATATATATATATAAATAAATAAAATAAATTGAGATTACACATCAGAGCTTAAACGAGTTTAAATTTCAATCTTCATCATTTCAGTTATTTTTTCAGTAATGTTAGACTATTGATTCTTAAATATATCATATTCCTTTATTAATTATAAATAAATGATTTCTATAGCTTTAAATTTGAAATGCTTACTCTTGCAAATGTCTCTTACATCTTGAGTATTTCATTTCTAAAAACAATTTCTTGTTAATTTCTTGATTATTCTTCAAATTTAAGAGCATTTTGCAGTCCTTTTACTTAATTCTCCATAATTGCTTGCAAAGATTTTATAGACTCATCTTTTCTTTAAAACTCTGTCCTCATCAAAGCATCTAAAGCTTAATATCTTTCTCTCATTTCCTCTCTTTCATAATTACTTTTTTCTTAATTGAGTCTATCTCTCATATCGATATTAGTTCTCATCTCATCATGTTATCTTATTCTGTCTTCATGCTCCATTACAATTCTGTTTACTATTTCAGTCACTTTTGATTCTAATTTGTTCTTATTTTTTAGAAAAGTTAAGATTAAATTTGCAAATAAATAATCTTACATCATAATCTGACTAAAGAGTATTCAAAATAACTTTGACATCTTCAGCCATCTTAGCATGATAGGCTTCTAACTAGCTCAAAAGATCTTTATCTTTGCTTTACTCTTTCGTGATGCTAAGGATACTAGCTTCTGTTTATTGCATTCTTCTTTCTAATTTTTCATTCCAATCGCTTATATAATTTATACCTTGATCTCCTTTTTAGGCTATTTAGTTTACTGAGCGCTGCCCAGCACTTAGCTGAGCTTCTAAAATAGCTATCCTACTTTCGAACTATCCTTAAAGATTATTGAACACTTCATTCTACCTTTCTTATGTTTCACCAAGTCTAACTACTTCCATGAAAAGAGCCTTGCTTTTTTCCCTTTCCTTTTGAAGAAGAGATTACTCTTCAGTCATTTTTTCTTGCATTATGCCTCTTAATTATAAAATTTCAGTAGTTTCCTAAATAATAACTAAGTTGTTAAGATATTCCTCAATTCCATAAAGTTAAATTTACTGATTTTTGCATGTTTCTGATAAAGAATAATATTTCTTTCTAATTTTGTTCAGTGAGAATAAGCTTTTTTTAGAATAAAATAATAAGAAATTAAAATGAATAAATTAATGATTGAATGAATCAATATGAATTATCAAAAAAAATAAATAATTCTTTATTACTTTTTCCCTCATTTCATTCTTATTTCTGTCATCTCTTTGCAATTTTGTATCGAGAACTTCGACTCTCGTTTAGAGATCATGATTAAGTTGATTGTACTTTTCATTAATTTGTTAAAAAATTGTAAATAATTTTACTTTGTGAATGAAAATTATCATTTTTATTTTTATTTATTTATTTTAAAAACAAATTAACAAATACTTGGTCTTGAATAAATCTTAAATTAGCTTCTAATTTAACTCTATAATCCCTTTCATTATCCAACTAGAGCTTATATTTTCTCAATTCTCCTTATTGATTTCTTTCTACATTGTTTAGTTGTTCAATCAACATTGTTACAACCCTCTCTGTGTTATTAAGTTTTTCTTTATATTCTCTTTTATTTAAAATAAAAACATAGGTTTAATTATTAAAATTTTAATATAAATTCATTTTATGAATTGTATAGAGTGCTATTGTTAATTTTAAATTATAAATTTTTTAATTCATTACATATCTTGCGATTCATACATACTAATCATCCTATCTATGTTTGGATTATAACTTGCTAGAGAAGGTTAAAATGTCTTATTTTTATATAGCAAATCCTATTTTTATGAAAATCTTCTTGCTTCTACTTAATTTGGAGTTTCATTTTAACTTATTTGTTATTGAGCATCTGCCTCTCCTTAATCGTTTTTACTTCCAAGATTGTTGCTTCTTGGATTGAAAAAATTCGTTTCATTATTCTATTCGCCTAATTGTGGCTGAGAAAATTGTTAATTTATCTACAACTATTTTTGATTATTCAATAAAATCTTTTGCTTGGAACCAGTATCTGGACGACTTCCAGGACGTCTCACATTTGTTGTGCTTTGCGAAGATTCAAGCAATCTTCCTCCTAATATTTCTGTCATTTATTTTGATTGCAAATTCTTTGGATTCCTCTAAATTTATTAGCATAATTATTTTTTTTAAATGGACATAAAGAGTTAATTTTTGCTAAATTTATGATGCTAAGAAATAATATAAATGCTTACTTATCTAACTTTTTCATTTTCTGGTACATCTATATTTTTGTCCATCTCCAAAAGATTTTGGATATTGACCTTTCTTCCAATCTATTAATAATTAATAAGATAGATTTATCAATATGTAATCGCCTCATTCTTTAAAAATGTTTCAAGTATTTAGTTTGAAATTCAAGCTTATTTATTGGGCATAAACCAACACTAAGGACTTCATTTAAAAATAAAAGTAGATTTAGTCTAAATTTTTACCTATGGTAAATTCATTTATCAAATATATGGCTTAAACTCTTGTTATAATGTATCTTGCTTTAAATATAATATGTTATCAATTAAAGAATCCTAAATTTATAATTAAGTTTCTATGCTATTCAGTCAGTCAGTAGAGAGATAGAGATTAATTAAAATACAATGCTATTTATTTACATTGTATAATGAATCAATCCTTTTAAAATATTGATGTCTTAATAAGTTGTTTTTTTTATTGGATCCAACCAATCTATTCGAATATGCAACCAATTCAGTAAATTATCATTAAAGATTATATCAAAAAATAATTATTTTATAAGATTTTAATAAGAAAAATAGTTTAAGATTTTTAAGAAAAATAAATTAAAAAAATATATTTTAAAATTGAAAGAAATATTTTATTTCATTTTTTATTCTTAAATTTTAATCTAAATAAATAACTGAACAAACTTTGTTTTAAATTTAAAAGTTTGTGTTCAAAAATTGTTTTATTAGCTTTTTAAAAATTAAATCATAAATAAAATAATTTTTCTATTTTGATCAAAAACTAATAAAAATAAATCCTTAATTGTTGTTGTATGTCTACATTGAATTGTTAATAATATTCTTTCAGTGAATCAAGATATACTTTCGATACTTCCTTGAATAAATGCTTTTGATCAAATACGAATTTAATTTATAAATTAAAAAGCAAATCTCATTTTTTAATTTCTTTCATAAAAATATATTTTAAACTTGTGAGAAATGTTTTATTTCATTTTTATGCTTAAGACTTCATCTAAATTAAATAACTGAACTTTATTTTAAAATTAAATATTTTCGAAAATTGTTTTTATAGCTATTTTAAAATTTAACCATAAATAAAATAGTTTATCTATTTTGATAAAAAAAATAATAAAAATAAATGCTTAATTGTTGTTTTATTTCTAAATACAAACATAATTTATAAATTAAAAAACTTATCTCATTTTTTAATTTGTTTCACAAAAATATAAAAAAATCATACTTTATTAAAGATTCTTTTTGTATGGCTAAAAGCGCATCAATTAATATTTAAACAAAAGTGTTCATCTTGTATAAATTAATAAAAAATTATTTTGTTTGTTGATTAAATTAATTAAAAGATGGAATTGATAAATTTTCTTATCAAGAAATCATTTAAAATAAAGAGATTGATTGAATTGAGAGAAAAGCAAAGTATCTAAAATTTTGTGAAAGAAATAATAAGAAAATAATAAATAGAAATTTATTTATTTATTAGTTAAAAAAATAGCCATAAAATAAATACATAACATAAATTTGAATGAATCGCAGTAAATTAATTTTATTTATAAACTTTGTCACTTTTAATTGATTCTAAATTAATTTTAGAAAATAAAATATTTTTAATTCAGAAAGAAATTAATTAATATAAAAATATTTGGGCTAAAGAAAAAAATACCAACGATTGATAAATATCTACAATTCAAATCTTTAGCAAGATCTTATAATAGTCATTGATAATTTTTTATCAAGTTAGGTTCGACAGATTTTATCTTATCTTGCTTGATAATTTTAAATAACTTGTAATAATGTAAAAGAGCTTTTATCCTTTCTAAAATCAATCTAACTTAGCCTAGAAGAAAATAAGTTTATTTTTAATATTAGCATCAATAGTAAAGGAGATTTGCTTACATACTTAAAAAAATTTGAGAGATTAAATCAAGAAAAAAATTTAATCAAACTAAATTATAAAATAAAAGAAGCAAATATTAATTAATGAATACATTTTTTATACTAATTATTTATTTAAAGCTCATTAAAATATATTTATCTTTAGAATGCTTTGATAAATAGCCAGAAAATACGTATTGTGATATTAATCTAGAGTGCACATCTTGTACTAACAAGACTTGCTTGACTTGCTCTTTAGATTTAGCTAAATGCGACACCTGCAAAACTAATGATTATTTATTTGATAATAATTGCTCATCATAAAAACCAGTAAAAGGCGCATTTTGTGATGATAATACCAAAAAGTGTGAGAAATGCTCAGATTAAAATTGCGAAACTTGTAGTTCAGATAAGAATGTTTGTACTAAATGTAATTCCTCATTTCCATATATATATTAAAATAAATGCTACTCAAGTAAACCTGCTAACACATCATGTGATTCAAATAATGTATGCACTGACACTACATGTCCATTAAATTGTAAGACTTGTGATAGTAAAAATATTTGCACGTAATGCAATGACCCTTATTTATTATTAAATGTTGCTACTCCAACATGTGTAGAAAAAAGCTAGATTCCTAAAAATTTCTTTTGTGATCTTAATAATGTATGCCTTTAATGTTCAGATGAATGCAGTTCTTGTAAGGATAATAAAGATAATTGCACAGGTTGTAATAATACAAAAGAATTTTTATTCAATCAAAAATGTTATCAAGATTAACCATAAAATACTTACTGTAATGAAAAATTCTTGTGTTAAGATTGTACAAATAAATAATGCAAGAATTGTTTATCAAATTTAAATGGCTGCTAAAATTGCCAAGAAAATTATTATTTATTTTAAGAAAATTGCTACAACCAAATACCATCAGGAGCTTTTTGTGATAAAAATACAAAAATATGCTAAAAATGTAATATAGAAAATTGTGATAACTGTCAAGATGATATAAACTCTTGTACTTAATGCTCAAATGAATTTTATTTATTAAACAATGGAACTCCATCATGCATAATTAAAAGTTAAGTTCCAAATAATTTCTTTTGTAATAATAAAAGGGTGTGTAATTAATGTAATGATACTTGCGCTACTTGCATAGATGATAAAGATTATTGCCTTACTTGCAAAGATCCTACCAACTATCTTTACACTAAAGCAAAATCTGCTTAATGCTTAAAAGATAAACCAATTGAAGGATTTTGCTAAGATAAAAATTGCTAAGATTGTATAACCAAAAATTGTTAAATTTGCCCTAAAAATGGAGGTATTTGTGAAAAATGCTATCAAGATAGATAATATAAATATCTTTATAAAAATGATTGTTTAGTATAAGCTGCCTTGCCTAAAAATATCTTCTGCGACAAAAATAACGTTTGCTAAGAAAAGGGAAATGATACTTAACAAGAAAAGGGTTGCAAGAAGAGTGAATACACTTACGATGGATAATGCTTGTCAAAGATGCCTGAAAATGCTTATTGTAATTCAAAGACAAATGAATGTTAGAAATGTACTAACTTGGCTTGCTACACGTGCTAAAGCGATTTGAATACATGCATTGATTGTCTGGAGGATTCTTACTTTTACGAAAATAAGTGCCAAGATAAAAAACCTAAACATGTGTTTTGCAATAAACAAGAAAAACTAAAAGTTTGCTAGCCATGTCATGAATTATGCTCAGAGTGTAGCGGATCATCAGAGTTAGAATGTGATAGCTGCTATCCAGATGCTGTTTTAAGTAAAGGTAAATGTATAAAGAGCGCACTCGAATTTAATTCTTCCATTAGCCAAGAGCAAGTCATCTAAATAGGAAATTAAGCTGAATCTACTTCTTAAGCTACATCTTCAAGCTCAACAGCTTTATCTCTCTCGTCTAATTTAGTTTCCAGATCTAGTTTTGGCTTAGTTGTCTCAGGACTCACATCACAGAAACTTACATATATGGTATTAGTAGATACAGATTTACCTCCTGTAGTGTTTAGCGTTTTGACGGCTACTAAAGGTAAAATAAATTGTTTATTTATTCAAAATCTAATAAAAAATTAAATTAACTTAATTATTTTGGTTTAATTTTTCTATCTTTGAAACCAACGAATATTTGTTTTTGATTAAATCCTCTTTATTATTATTATTAAAATAACACTTTAATGAGAAAAAGTAACAAACACTTAATAAAAATTTATGTGAAATTATGCAGAAAGTTCCTAAAATTAAATTTTATTATTAAAATTAAATAGATTAATTGCCTTAAAATTAAATGAAATTCCTAAATGTATTTACAAGACTTATTAACTTAAGTGATGATGAAGTTAATTAATTTGTTAGCATAAGATTCGAATCTGTCAAGTTAAGTTATAATATATTGAACAATTGTGGCTAAGGAATTTCCATATTCGTTATCTGCTACATTCTTTTCGTCTTGTCATACCTACTTATAGAGAAATCATCTATAAAAAAGTTGTCCAACTTTTCCTCAACTCTTTACTCAAAGCTGACTTGTGGAATGATTGTTTAGTATTTCTAAATTTGTCTCTCAATTTTTGTGGTTGGAATTAATAGTTAAATTCTTGAATTTGTAAACGAAAAATAATATGAAATGTCTGGAGTAAAAATAACTCTAATTATTCTATTAATTGCAATCGTCATCTACATTATGTACTTATTATACAAATATCTGAATACTGGTTAAATACAGAAAGGAGTTTAAAATTTCTATGAAATAACAAGAGAAAAAATACTAAATGAAACTATCTTTGAATCAAAAATAAGGAGAAACTTTATTCTAATTTATCTCATTATTGACTCTATCATTCTCCCGACAATATTCCTTTAATTCTACTTCTATCCCATATTGGTTTCTTCCTTGGCTATTTTCTTCTAACTATTATTTCTAGTAATAGTATGTGCATTAATGCCATTTCATTCTAAAATTACTAATGGTTATTTTATTTTAACCAGTGCTCTATGGGTAGCACTATATATTACTTACCTTTTATTAAATATCTACTCATCTAAATCTGATATTGACAATTTTGCTAGTGTCCTTGACAACTTAACATGGGTATTCTATATAATTATTTAAATTATCTTACTATCTAACCCTGCTTATATGGTCTTGATGTTACTAAACAAATTGGTAGAATTCGTAAATCAAAAGCTCTCTGAAAGAAAGAAAAAATTATTATAAAATGAATAATAATTATTTAATTCATTTAATGAAAATTTTAATTCTGTATAATATAGACCATAAATATCTTAGGCTGTACTAATTGATGATGTTACTAGTCGTGAGATAATCTCTCCAAATTAACAAATTAAAAATAGGCACAATTGGATAAAAAAATTAAATTGAAAAACAATAACTCTCTACCCACTAATCTATATCATTTATAAAAAAAATGCTATTATTTTAATATCTATTTTTTTAGTAATTTTTCATAACTTTTAAGTTCAAAAAAATTAAGCATTTATTCATTTTATTTAAAATTGATATCATTTATCATAATCTAAATTAATAAACATGCAATGTAAGATCTTTAAATATCAATAAAAAAAAATAAATATTTACAATTTCATGAATTTTAGTTAGCCAATTTATATTTTTAAAATATTTAAGACATCTAATTTATTTGCTACTTACAACATTCAGAGTTGATTCAAAATTTTTACAAATATTAAGCCATTTGCTTTAAATGATTTTATCATCCAAATCAAGGAATTTAATTTTATTAGTAATAATTTAGCTTGGATAAATTATTTTGTTTAATTTCATCTAAATTTAAAAAAATAGAACAAATTATTTTATTTAGTTTTTTTATTATATTATTTGAAAAGATATAATGCACAAAATTTCTTTAAATAAACAAACAAACAATTACAACTAGTTAAGCAGATCAGCAACAAACAGATTATAATATAAGTTAAGCAATAATAAATAGATAACCTATTACTTAAGTTAAGCAACATTTTTTCCTTATAAATGCGATTTGAATAAATAACGATGGATAGTTAATGAAATAACACCTTATTCTATCATAAAAAATGTGTCAGTTTTATTTTATTTTATGTTTTTAAAAAAAGAGTTAAAAAAAAATATCATATAAATTGTATATATTTTTAAAATAGTAAAAATTATAAAAAAAGCAAAGTAAAAGAATAATTAAAGTTCATTCATAACAATTCAGATATTCCATAAAAAATTTAATAAAATAAAAGTAATCTTATTTATTTTTTTATAGAGGGGTCACACAATTAGATAGAATAACTTTCAAGACCAAACAAATTAGATAGCTTCCCAAAGAAAGATTTTAAGATTTTTAAATAAAACAAAATAAATTTTATTTATTCTAAATATTAAATCAATGATAAATAAACTAGACAAAAAATAATAATTCTTTTTAAAATTTTTAATTAGAATATTTAATTTATTTTGTAGCAATAATTAATTTCTTTAATAAGAAGTATGAAGTTGACAAATGGTCTATTTTGATTGAATTATTCTATTCAGCTATAATTTATTATCAACAAAAACTTCCTTGAAAAATAAACAAATGAATGAATGAATTAATTAAATTAAAGCCAAGCCTAAAAGCTTTTAAAGAGTTTTTAGCTTTTTCTAAATTGGTAAAAATTAAATAATAAAAAAATACAAATTTATTAATAATTAAAAAGGAAATAATGATTAATAATAATATTCTCTATCTTTGTCTTATTTTGATTGTTTCTGGTACTTTTGCTTTCAAGATCGCTCCTGATCAACAATGTGTTGTAAAACCAGAACACTAATAGAAAGGTTTTGGTTGCTTACCTCAATACTCTCACACTGAGCTGGGTCATGCTTACTAAAAAAATTTCAACTCAAGCGTTGCTAATAACACTGATTTCTAGTCTTTAGATTAATTTGCTTTGACATATTTTACTGAGGATAAATGTACTTACTATTAAGATTTATAAGTAAATGTGATTTATAACGATTCTTATGTTAAATAAGTTATGTATGAAAACTTCACTAGTGCTTTTTAAAATAAAACAGTTAACATTGTAAAATACTCTCCATATCCCGATGGTAATTAACCTGATTACTTATTTTACTCTTAATACTTTGATTGCAAAAGTAGCAAAATTATTCTTCCTAAATTATTTGAGGAGAAAGGAGAATCTTACAATGTGTGTCTTTTCAACGAAGTTAAATACTTAAATAACTCAATTGATTGCAATTTAGCTCACCTTTTTCACTACAGCTCTGAGTAGTTGTTTGGTTTCTTCAACACATCATCATTTTAGGATTTCATTTATGACCACGCTGTACATGTTATTAGCAATTTGAAAGAAGTTGATGCTGACTTTTCTCCTTTTGGATCCAAATAATGGTATTTCACTTTCAACTTTATGCTTTAAATGACATTAGATGTCAAGGAATATGAATCTTTAAATCAAACTCTCAAATTCTTTAACACAGCAGTTCCTAAAGCTTAACTAAATAGATAAATTAGACCTTGGTTTGTTGGAATAGCTTCATACTCTCCTTACGAACTTGACTTAAATGGTGGAATTATTTTAAATGAAGCCTTATATGGATCTTTATATGATAACATAAAAAGCAATCAATTTGATATTCTTATTAGCTCTCATCCCGATCTTTAATAGGCTAAGGTATTTATCAGCAAAGATTATAGAAACTTCTCCTAAGTCAATGACACTAATTCATTAACTGCATTAAGCCAATTTGAAGCTTTTGTTTTGATTTACATTCCATCATAATTAGAAACTCCTGCTATCCTCAATACTTCCTTCGATTCCTTAAGAATTAATTTAGAAGGCAAAGAAATAATTAACATTTCAGCTGCTAAACAATAAACTGGGATTTAGAAAGATATCTATTGATAGAAATTTATTATAATTAATTAATAATTGATTAATTTTGATAATAAAAAAAGGTTGAATTTATATTACATATTTTTATTTATCTCTGATAAGTAAGCTTTTCTGGTACAAAATTGATGTATTTATTTTGTGTTTTTTGATGAAGCTCTCTCTCTCTATTTATATTTCAAAAATAAATCTCAAGTGTAGTTTTTAATTTTAAAATTATTTGTTCTACAATAGATACAATTTTTGATAATAAAGTTTTGCTAATATTCATATATATAAAAGAATAACTATAAAAGAATGAAGTAAATTAAATTAATCTTATCAAAAATGATTTAGAACAAGTACAAATAAAAAGGTATACTTTTATTCATTTAATTTTAGATGACTCTATTGAATTTATTTTAACAAAAAAATAATTTATTTATGTGAAGTGAAAAAATAAAATTAATGATTTCTAATTAATATGTCTAAAATATACTGGAATCCTGCATTTTTTACATGCCCAGAAAGTAAACAACTTCATTTAAAATGAAGATTTTTATTTTAAATTGAGTTATATGAAAAAATTATTTTCAAGAGGTTTAACTAAACAAACAATGAAAGTATATTTGAAATTTTTAATGTATATCTTGAAATTTTTATCTACAAATAATTAATATTTTATTACTCAAACTAAAATCCCCTCACAATAAAATATTCTTTTATAAGCTTTAATTATAAAGATTTATATATTAAGTCAGTCGTGCTTTACTTAATTTAACCAAGAATTTATTTATCCACAGACTAATTTGGTTTTCTTTATTGAAATATAAAGATTGTTAATTGTTGATAAAATGAAGAAATATTTTAAATAAAAAATCTTTTTATTTAATTTACTCTACAGATTTAATTTATCATAAAAAAATAATTAATAAATGTTTTAGGAGATTTATTTGTACTCTATAAATAGAATGTCCAACCTTAAAAAAGGAAATTAACTTTACTAAGATACCTAACTAACTAACTATTTATCTATGTATCTATTATCTTTTTATATTTAAGAATTGTATTAACCATTATTTTATGCTTACTATTAATATTATGCTTAAAAAATCAAATATATTTTTTAATTTACAATTTAATTGTAAAGCAATCAAGCAAGCAAGCAAACAAACAATCAAAATACTCTCTAATTAATTTCTGCAAATAAATAAATATAAACATATAAGTAAGAAGTAAATAAATGCAGCAAGTTTAATATAAATCATTCATAAGACTTTTAGCTATTGTGTAGAATGCGAGTTGGGGAGGATTTATAATTGGATACACAACATCGGAATTAGCTTTTTCTTATAAAAATATAATTGCAAGTTTTAACAATAGTGAACATGAAGATCTATTTAATTTATTATTCGTAATTATTCTTCCTTTAGGTGGAATAGTTGGTACAATTATCTATTACTATATTTCATAGCTGACTTCAAGAAGGAATATTCTCATTATTTCAGATATAATTAATATTTTAGCGATTTTTATTGGTTACAATTAAATTTATACATTTATGCTTTTGCGATTTTTTGAAGGAATAAGTAATGCTCTGAATTTTTGTGGAGTACTGCTATACATTAGAGAGATTATGCCTGATTAATAAGCAGATAAGGGTGTTTTAATATTTTAAATCAATTTAAATATTGGGATTATTATGGCAAATGTACTTTGTTTACCCCTTGCATCACCTGGCTCTGAAAATTCCAATTAATAAAACCTAAATTATTACTGGAGAGTAATATTTGTATTTCCTATACTAATTTGCTTCTTAAGAATGTATTGCCTAATATTTGTCTACGATTTCGAGACTCCTTATTACTATTATTCAATGAATCAGTAACATAAAGTCAATAGACTTTTAAAGCTATTATACGACCATAAATTTGTAGGACAAATTCAAAATAAATTAGAATAAATAGGCTAAGAAGAAGAAACAAGCAGTCCTACTTATAATCTTAGAAAATATTTCTGTTCTATTTTGGTTTCTATTTAATAAATGACAGGAATTAATGTTGGAATTTACTCTGCTTAAGCTTTAATTGATATTTTTTCAAATTAAGATTAATTAAGAGTGATTACCTTATTTTGTAACATTTTACTTTTAATATCTGCTGTCATAAGCTATATATTCGAGTAATAAATTAATAGAAAAACTAAATTTATAGGACTTAATTTGCTTTTTCTATTCTTAATTAAAATGGTAGATATATTGCAAAATTAGAAAAATTCATATATTTCATTGATCTGCTACTTCTTATTTAATTCGATTTTTAACTTCAATGTAGGTCCCTTAATACTTAGTATTACTAGTGATTTGAATAAAGAAAAAGGCATTGCTATTTCATATATATTTTATTGGGTTTTTAATCTAACCTCAGTCCTTGTTGGATAAATTAAACCTTTTACTGTAGGTTAAATAATCTTTGCAGTCGTTTGTTTAATTGGGTTTGTATTGCTTTATTTCAAAGGAATAGAAACGAAGGCTGTGCCTTACCACATGATTAAATCACAAGAATTTTTAAAATAATAACAAAATTGAGAGAAAAAAATTTACAAATCTATTTTATTCTATATATCATAACAAAATATTTATTTTATATTTATTATTAATATTGTAAAAAATAAACGAACAAATTATTTGTATAAAGTAACAAAGAAATAAGTATCTTAATATTAATAAATAAATATACTCCTCTTTTTAAGTAAAACCTTTAAAATTTGATGTGGATTAACACTTTTTATGTTATTAAAACACATTTCTTGATTTTAATTAGCTTGTAAAAATAAATCTTGGTAAATCAGCTTATGAGTTAAATTTGACTTATTTAAAAAAAATGAAAAGACTTAATTGTTCAAATTTTTTTAAAATTTTTTGGCTTTATCGTTTTTTTTATAAATAAAATAACTTTTAAAGGATATTTTATATTTTATTAATGCTTAATTTAGAAGTTTTTTAAAAGTTTTTTTAAGATAGAAGTTTTATAATTAAATTTCTACTTTTTTTTATATTAAAAAAAAGACAAGCTAAAAAGTATGTTAAATAGTTTTTACAACTTGTTTATGATTTTTAAATAATTTTGTTAAGGACCAGAAAAATTGTAAAACATGAGTAAGCTCAAATGAGGAATAAATGGTTTATTTATTTATAATTTGCTTGATTTTCACTTTTTTACTCCTATTATTAATTTATATTTAAATTTGTTGATATGAGTAATAAAGAAGAGATATTTCAATAAGGAAAAATAAGAATTATTTCAATCATTTAAAATGCTTGTTTAGGGGCTTTTTTGAGTGGATATACAGGAGCAGAATTGTCATACACATTTGATGCTGTCAAAGAAAACCTTTAATTAAACGGGAATGAATATCTTTATAATATAATATTTACTATAAGCATCATTCTTGGTAGTTTTTTAGGAACTGTTTTGTACTCATAATTGCATTAGTATTCTACAAAAAGAATTATAATGGTCATGGCAGATTTAATATTTATTGCTTCAGTCACTTTTAGGTTTGATACTTGGGAGGCTTTTGCACTTCAAAGATTTTTAAAAGGAATTTCAAATGGGCTCAATCTCTGCTCTGGATTAGTTTACATAAGAGAAATATCTCCTGACGATTTCTCCAGCAAGGCTATTTGCATATTTTAAATTAATGTTAACATGGGCATAGTCTTAGCTAATCTTATTTCAATCCCTCTTTAATCAAATTAAACTAGCTCTTAAGGAGCCTCACAGTATTGGAAATTTGTCTTTTGTTTTCCACTCTTAATCGCTCTCATAAGAGCTTATGTGCTCATATTTATTTTTGATTTCGATACGCCCTTTTCTTACTACTAATAAGAGCATATTCATAAAGGCTAAAAATTATTAAAAAAGCTTTACTTTCCTGATGAAAGTTAAGTAATATTCGAATAATACAGAAATTTCTAAGAAGATTAGCAACCAACATTTAAAGTAAGATGGATAAATGCTGCAATTGTTTTTGCAATTTAGCAGATGTGTGGTATCAATAGCATCATACAACAGTCAAACACTTCAATAAATTAATTTACATAAAATAAGTAAACTATAGCTATTTTATAGCTTTTTATGAACCTAATTTTGCTTTCAATGGCTATTCTTACATATTTTCTGATAGATAAATATACTTAGAAAATTCTAAAATCTATGATGACATTAGGTTGTACTCTTCTTGGTTTTTCTTTAATTGCTATGGTTTTGCTATAGAAAATAGAAACAAGCTAAGTTTATTAAATAATTAATGTAGCAGCATATTTCTTTATTTTTAACTCTACACTTGGGCCAGTAACTCTTATTTATATTGCAGATATTAGCAAAGATAGCGTTATGAGCATAGGATTTTACTCTTACTGGATTACCTATATGCTATCTTCTGGCTTATAAATGACTAACAATTCATATATTCCAATCATATTTGCATTTTGCTGCTTCATAGGAGCATACTATTACTATAAATTTTGGTATCCTACAAAAGGCAGGATATTTTATGATATCAATATAAAGCTTAATACATACCAAACTTTTTACAAATAATTATTTTAGGGATTTTAATTAGAAGATACAAATTACAAAGATAAATATAATTGAAAATTAGTTAAAATATACTAAAAATATTTTATATTAACAAACATATTCAAAATAAATAATGTTATTCAAATTAATTTCAATTTATTTCACAAGTTAATACTTACTTATTTATTTATTTAAAATATTTTTTATATTTCATAAATCAATATATCTATTAATCTATCTTTCTTTCTTCTATCTATCTATATATCTATGTTTACTTCATAAATATTATAGGATATTTTAAAAATTTAAATAAATTTAATTCAGCCAATGAACATTTTATATATTATTTAGAAATAAAATAAAGTGATAAATAATAATAATTATTTTAAAATTTAAATTCATTTATTATATTTTTAACGTAATTTCTATTTGTAAAATAAATAGTTTTGTTCAAAAATAGCAGCAAATTCTCCCAAATATTTTTAAATTTTATTAAATCATATTAAAACTTCTCTAGAACTTGGTTTCGATGAATTAAGGTTATTGTTAAAATTAGAGATAATAATATAAATAATATAACAATTCTTTTATTTAAAATAGAAAATTTTGTGAGTTGTTGCATACTAATAGAATACAAACTCTAATAATGAGTTATTTATTTAAAAATTTAAATTATCTAAATTATTTCTATTTGTTTGATTGCAAAATAATGAAAAAACCTTTGAAGTAAAGAATTTTGATATATTATTATTATTATTATTATAATCATCAAAATAATTAAAATATAATTATGCTTATAAAAACCAGATTGCTTTTAAATTTTTAAAAAGTCTATTTGACTATTTGAATGATAACAGAAATATAAAAAAAATCAATAACGCTTAAAAAGAAAAATAATAAAATAAGAAAGAAATGTAATTAATTATTTGTATTTTATTTAATGTATTTTCGTATGATAAAATGCAGGAACAAATAACTAATAAAATGCATTAAAGTGTAATTCAAAGTATTATTTGAATAATAATAATTCATCATTAACTTTATTTAAATCCTTACTAAAGAGCATCTTAATAAGCGTCACGGGCAGCTCCTTCAGCCTTTGAGAGGATCTGATTTTTATCTACGAAGAAGCTTACTGGTAAATCTTTGATATAGGGAGCAAGCGCGGTATCGGATAAAATTTATAAGTCAACATAAACGAAGCTAACCTTATTCTAGTCATTAGGTTATGATACAAATTATTAGCCATTTGAAACATAAATAAGAGATTGATAGGCTTATTGAGAGAGTTAATTCCCATTTCCGAAAGTAACAAAAACTTTATTGTGAGTTTATAAAAACTTATCTATATCATTTGAGCTCACACGTTAGATATATCTATCATCCAATTAAAAATCTGGTTGCTTGTGTCCTCTGATCTTTTTGCAGTGTGAGAATGATACTAAAAGGACTGATATCAATAATAATTTGATTAAATTGTTCATTTTTCTTTTATTTTTTAGAATTAATTTTTTTATAAAATTTAATAAAAACTAAAAAATACAGTTTCCTAGTTATTTTTAAATAGCAATTATTGTTATATTAAAGTACGATTTTAGTTTTCAAGTTGAAACCATAAGATAAACAATAAATTTACCTGTACATAACGCATAGTTATCAAAAACGTTAAAACGGTTATCTATTATATTTTAAGAACAAGTTATATTTTACTTGTTTTGATTTCTCATTAAGGTGACATTGAATAAAGTTGAAAGGACAAACAAAAAGTAGATAAAAAATTCTCAAAACATTAAAATACATTAAATGATGATCGTAGCATGTGCTTTATTCATGTTCTTTTTATTTAGATTTTTGGCATTTATTACAATATGAAATAATATTTATTTCATTTTTTCGAAAATTATGTAAATAATAATTTAAAAATACAAACAGCAAAACTTCCTATAATTTTATACAATAAATGAATAAAAGAAATAATTAATTATTTAGTTAATTCTAACTAATTGAATAATGAATAATTGACTGAGCCTATTAAAATTGTAGTGAAAATGAAATAATTTTAAATTACTTGTACGTTTTATAATAAATCAGTGAATCAAGCTAATTAAATATTTTTTTATTCTATATTTTCTATCAATGAGTAAGTTTGAAATACACTTATTTATTTATTAGCTTTTTCAAATAAATTTAGTATTCTAAAGTAACAAAAAAAATATTAAAGATAAATTAAAGCTTGTATAGCTCATAATTTTTTTATTAATTTTTGATTTGCGTATGGTTTAAATAACAATATAAAATATGATGTATTTATTATTGAAGCATAACTAATGGGTTTAGAAGAAATGAAAATGTAGCAAAAAAACAGAGATATACTGTAAATTGAATTATTTATTTTGATAAACTGAATTTTTATAAATTTTTTATGTATTAAAATAAGTTAAGTGTTTATTTATTTTTTTAAAAGAAATTTCATCTATTTTAAAAGAAACTAGTATTAATTTTTATATCTCTTTTGAAATAGATTAAAAAAAGGTAAAGAAAAATACTTATTTTTTATTATTTAATTGCACTGCTTTAAATTTAAATAAAATACTAAGAATAATAATAATCTAAGATTTAAACACATTGTCAGTCAATCACTTAAAAATTATATCAACAAAAAAAATTAAAATATTAAATAAAATAAAAAATTTATTGGCATTATTTTAGAGGATAAAAATTGTAACTAATTTCATATAGATAGATAGAGAGTATAAGTAATTTTAAATAATTTTTTGTTGTTATTAATAAATTTATATATTTTATTTTTCAATGATTCTGTAAAATGCATCCTTGTTGATAGATTGATAGCTAGCTAGCTAGCTGGTAAAAAAGTATAAGTGAAATATTATCAAATCCTATCAATTTAGAAATTACAGTCAATCAATTTAATATCTTCATCATTTCTTTTCATCGTAAGAAACAACTTTTTAGTTGAAAGGATTATCTGGGCTCTTATCCCACTTTTTTTGTTTAAAATAAATATTAAAAAATTTCTAAATTAATTTTATTTACCTCTTTTCTTAGTAATTCAATGTGTTTTGATCTTTTGAAGTGAGGAAATTCAGCCTTCATCTCTGGCAATCTTCTTTCTAAAAATTCTTCCCAAGCCTTGTTAATAAAATAAGAAATAAAAAATCAATTTGAATTAGATATTTCTCTAGAAGTAATTTATTTTATTAATAATATTTATTTACTGCTTTGACTTTCTTTTCTGGATGTTTAACTCCTTAATCATCTTTTAAGCCTTCTAAGGCGTCATCAAGACCTGTTGCATCAATAACTTTATCGTATTTTTCTGCATCTTATAGAGCTTATTCTCTTCTAATATGATTTAAATTGGGTTTAACATTGAAGTCTTCTCCGTCACTTTCTTCTACTTCTTCTCCTCTAGCAATTTTTTCTTGTTTTTCTTATTCTTTTTCTTTTTTCTACTTTTCAGCTTCTTTCTTTTCTTTTTTGAGTTCGTCTAAGTCAATTCCCATTCTCTTAGCTGCTTCTCGTTTCATAATTTCCAATTCTCTTTTCTTAAGCTCAGCTTTTGTTAATTTCCCTCCTTCTTCTTTCTTTAGTGTTTATTCTAATTGATTATTACAAAAAAGAACATTAAAAACAGAAAGGAATTCCATAATTTAAATAATAAATAATATAAAAAGTCCATTTAAAATTATAAATAAAATAAATGCATTTTAAATTCATTACTATCTTTAAATTGTTTTTAGTCTTCTTCATACAAAGCTCTCTTTTCCTCATTTCTTTTTCTTTCTTCTTCTTTTTGTTTTTCTTTTTCTTGCTAAATTTTATATAAATATCTTCATAGAATCAAGCTACTTTATTAAACAAAAGCTATTACCTATCTTTCAAGCTTTTTCAAGACATTTTTATCATCTTCTGCCCATTTGGCTGCTTCTTTTCTTTCTTCTTCAATAATTCTAGCTTATTTTTTTTATTCTTTTTCCCTTTCTCTGGCTTCCTATGCTCTAATTTATACAAATGAAGAATATTAATTTCCTTTATTATCTAGTTATATTGCTTCAAAATTAAATTTCAGCTCAACATATTTAATGCTTGAGTTTTTATCTCTGAAATCAGGTATATTTAATTCTATCAATTTATTACTTAGGATTGGTTCCAAGCTTTTTACTCATTTCTACAAATTTTTTAATACTTGCTTCAAATTTAATTTTTCTTTTTTTTTTTTGGCAGATTAAATTATAAAAAAAAAATATTAACCAGTCTAATTAAATATAATTGAATATTCTTACGATTAGATATTTCGAATATTATAATAAATATTATCTTCTATTTTATAAATTCTTTAACTAGCTGCTATAAAAATAAAAGACCTATCTTTAGCAAATTTTAGATATTAATTAATGTCACAATAAAATTGAATTAGATCATTTTTAGAAAATTAAGACTTGAATAAACTGATAAGAATATCAATAAATATTTCTTTTAAATTTGAACTTTTTATATTTTTTATAATCAATTTATTAAGAATTAATTTAATAATTTTAAGAGCATTCAGCTAGTTGTTATATCATTTGTTTTTGTTAAAATTTGAGCCACAATAAAATTCATGAAATTTGAGTTTAATACTTTAAAATTGATTGATTGATTACCACTTATGTAATTTGAAAGAGAAAGATTCAACTTGATAAAAATTAAAATTTTAAATCAAAAATCTACCAAGATTTGTAAAATGAATGAAAATAATTAATTATCTAACAAAGCAATTTCGCAAGAGTCAACAATAAATCATTCTCATTCTTAAGAAGAAACATAGCTAGAAAGGGAAACCTAATTCTAGCTAAGATTCAAAAATTAATCTAAATTGACAAATCAGAGATCTCAATCTCAAGTAGAAAAAAGCTCAATAAAGATTTCAAATAATAGTTATCTTATGACAAACACATCAGGAGAAATTATAAGCTAAAATTAAACTAATAGTAAATCTCAAATGAGATAAAAAGATTTGTAGACAGAATACAATTCTAATAAATAGAATGTGTCTTAAGACTAAGTGAATCTAAACGACTCATGCTTAGTTGAGTAAAATAAAATTAATGTAATTCTCGTTAAAATTATAAAATTAATGTAAAAATTGAAAGATAATAAATGCAAGACACTAGATAAAAGCTCATTTCTTAGAATAAGAAACTAAAATAATAGCTGAAGGATTTTGCAAATGTGATGCTTAATATCATCTAAAAAGATAAGGACTACAAGACTAAACCAAAAAAGTAATAAAAAGATTTAGAACCAGCTGAGTTACTACAAAGTATATTAATAAATAAATATATTTATTATTAGAAGAGAAATTAGAATTATTTAGTTTGTTTTTTGATTATTTTAAGTAAAGAAATAGAGAGCTAGATAGCATCAATTATAAATAAATGAAATGAAGACCAACATTCAACATTTAAGAAAGATACTTGAGACTTCTTATGATCTGAATAAGTAAAATTTAAAAAAATATTATATATAATGAAATGTTATTAAGGATATTAGAAAAAGAAGAAGAACTGAAATAAGTTAAAAAAGAATTTAACGGATTAGTTGAAGAAAAGGAATAATTATTAAAGCAAAGGCAAATTGAATAAAGTAAAAATGTTAAATATTATCAAAGCGAAGAAGAATACGAAAAGTAAATGAAGGTTTTAAAGGAGTAGTTGAAAAAAATTAAGGAAGAAAACAAGGAAATTGCAGAAAAAATATAAATCAAAGAGAGAAGCATTAAAAAATTATAAGACAATATTTAGTTTAAAGAAGATAAGATCAAAGATATGCAAAATAAAATCAAAGAAAGAAACAAAATATTAGAAAATAGCTAAGAAAATGAAGTATTTATTCATTTATTTATTTATATAACTTAAGTAAATATTAATATTTGGTTAAGGTATCGGACGAAGTTATTGCAGACCTTTAAAATAAAATTAAAGAGCTTGAAGCTGAAAAGAAGAGAAATGACTAAAAGTTCTAAGAAGAACTTAGTAATTTGCATAAAGAGAAAATAGACTTTTAGTAATAGTATGAAAAGAAGTTATAACAGTCTAAAGAGAAAGAAAGAGTAATTAATTATTTTAGTGAAATAATTTTTTATTTATTTAAGATTCATTGAATAGTAATTAAAGCTGAGTTAAATAAAACTGAAAGAAATAGCAAGACTAATCAAGTCAAACTAAAATCATATGTTAAGTAATACAAAAAAAACATAAAATTAAATTGAAGAGTAAAAGCAGGAGGTATAATTTGATTTTTTCTTACATTAATTTAAATCTAATAACATTTAAAATAGAAAGCTTACTTAGAAAAAATGATTTAGCTGAGGACAGAGTAGATAAATAAATTAAAATAAGAATTCGATGAGTATGGGGGAGATGATGAGGCTGAAAAATCATCACCTTAATGAGCTTTTCTAAGTTGCTTTTAATCATAATAAATAAAGATTGAATAACGATAAAACTTTAATTGCAAAATAATAAAAATTAAAAATATTATATTTTAAAAATATAACGCTTATTTATTTAAGTTTTAATTAAGATAACCAAAATAATTTTCCTAATTATTTATATATTTAGTTAGTTTATATTTATCAATTTTATTTAGCCTAAAAAATGTTTGTTTATTCTAAAAACTAAAAAATGTTAAAATTATATATTGTTTAAAATAATTAATTTTAATTTGTGTAAATTATTTTGATGAAAAGCAAAAATAAATTGATTTATTTGATTATATAAACAAAAATTTTACAAACAATTTTTTATTTTTGATTTTAAAATTATATATTTATTTTATATGAAAAATTTAATTTAGATTTATATATATATTTAATTAATTAATTTATTATTTAGTACAATATTAATGCAGACAGATCACTGCATATCATTAATTAGTAGATTTATTTATATTACCATTCACTTAATGATTATAATTATCTATCTTTTTTGTTTTATGATAGATATGTATGTTTAAAACAATTTTCATTTTTTGTTGAATAGCATTAACTCTAATAACCATTTTGATTGGCTTTTAGTTAGTAAAAAGGGAAAAATATAGTCTTTTATAGTACATGATTTTTATTTTATTAAATTACTGTTGATTTTCCAAATTTTTTTGTTTATTTTGAAGATTTTTAGGAAGTAGAATAATTTATTTTTTGTTTGTTACTTATCAAGTATTTTATCAAAATAAATTCATTAATTGTTTGTTTTTCATCTCAAAAGACTTTATGAACTATAGAAGGAATATCCAGATGGTTAAGTATTTTCGACTTAGAATATATTCCTTAGAATTGATTAAAAATTTAAGATTATATTTTTGGTTATGCTGTTTGCTGATAAGAAGGCGCACTTACATTTGAATGATTGTAGTAAGAGCTATTTGAATTGTTATAGTTAAATATTGAAGATTCATTTCTTGAATTTGAATTTGAGTGTGAATTATTTTCTTTGAAAAGAGCTTTTAAATACTTTTCACTGCTCAATTCATTCACTTTCTTTTCAATACAATTAACTCTGCGATTGACAGCTATTCTTTATCTATCGCTTAATACGGTCTTAGATTAGTCGATTCTATCTGTGTCAACTAGTGACAATTTCGAGTTTTCGTCTTCAGCAGAAGAGAATTAAGAAATTTACGGATAATCCTTTTTAGCGATGATAGGAGAATGGAATGAATGCAAAATGTTGTTAGGACTAGCGTCGTAGATTGTTTTTGTATTGAATGCCTTTATTTACTACTTTAATAAAGTGGTTTCTGCTTAGTTATTAAATTAAAATTATAGAGAAAGCCTTCTTTACTATTGTTAAGTATTGTTAGTAGAAGAAGGAGTTATACTTTCATACTTCTCTCTCAGTTTTGGATAGTTATTACTGCCTTAACTGGTGTTTTAACTACCTTCGCTAGTTAGGGCTCTGTCAGATGTTTATATTTGCTTTGCGGGCGAACATCTCCTGTAATTTTGATGATCTGTTAAAGATTTATTATTTATTTTACTGGAAGTTTAAATTTAGCTGGAATTATTAGAAGCAAATTTTTGCATCCTCTATAGCTACTAAGTTTATTCAGAAGTATTTGGTTTTTCTGAAAGTAAATTTGCATTATTTTATTCAATTTTTGAAGTGTTTAAGTTTTTTTCGGATTGTTACTAATTGATTTTTTCAGATACGTTGGAAGTATTTTGTGGAGAGGCGTGAGCTTGGAAGTCTATGAAGGAGATAACTAAGCCAGTTAAATTATCAGTTGATCTCCTCTTTAATGCTTCTTAAATCACTCCTTCTACACCTTTAGCGCATAGTGAATGAGTATTTAATGGATTAGATGAGCTATTGTTATTGTTACTTTATTCAATTCTTATTGCATCCCAACTAGCTTTAATAGCTTCGCTGCTTGACATTTTATCAAAAATACCATCACCTATAAATAAATTAATTAAAAATTGATAAATAAAATTTAATTGAAACGATTTTCTTTTTAATGAAAAATGGAATCAGTTTTAAATGAAATATTTTCTTACATCCCATGAAGATGTAATCATGACTCTTTTATACTCTGAAAACTTTGATTTCTGGATCAGATATTATGACTCCTTGCTTTCCACCATATTTCTATAACTTAGCTTCAATGTCTCCGAAAGTTCTTGAAACCTAATTTTTTTATGAAAATTAAAATTTAAAAAAGGGAAAATAATTCAATTTAAAAATAATTTTTTGAGAAACTTCCTCCTTTATTTGAAGAAAATAAATTAAAATTGAATATTTTTAAGGGAATTTTTTATGAATTACAGATAATCTTCCAGGTAGAGTTCTCAAAGGACCATATATAGTTTTAGTAATACCTTCGCTATCTGGTTTAGTTGTTTATTGAGACCTAATTAAAAGAAAAAGAGTAAAATTAACATAACTTTTAATTAAGAGGTATAAAAGAATTGTATTATAGTGTGATCAAATCTAAAATACTCACACAAGGAATCTTAAATTAAATCTTTGATCAAAAATAATAAAGTAAATAGTTACTAATAAATTCTCCCTCCAGCTTCAATGATTCTTTCTTTTTCTTGTAAGTCACAAGGTTTGTGATCTCTACTCAAATCGAGGGTTCTTTCTCCCTTATTCATAGATAGTATAGCTCTCGAGTCACCAACATTTGCTATATAACATATCTCTCCAACAAGTAGGACAACAATAGCGCAAGATCCTGACTTGTCATAAGGATTGAACTACTCAGCTCTTTCTATAAATTCCTTCTCTGCCTTAGCAAAGCCATTGATTAATGCCTACCTTGGATTTTCTGGGAAGTTCTCATCACTTATTACCTAATATTTAAAATGAAAGATTAAATAAGTTATTTTATATAAAATTCAAGTTTAGCAAAATAATAAATAAGTATTCATGCAAATGCAGAATATTTGTATTTTTGATGTGGCATTCAAAGATCAAAAATATATTTATTTTTATAAGGGGTAGCTTCACTTTTAAACCAGTGAAAAGATAAAGATAGAGAGAGGAGATACTAATTAAATAACAAAAATAATTAATTAATTAATGATGATAAATTTTGTAATGCATGAACAGAATTTGTTTGGCTTTTTTTTATGTGTATTAATTTAGAAATTTTAATTAATTTATCTTTTATTAATAAATAGATTCATTGAAATAAACGCATTCTGTAATAGTAACTTTATTTCAAAACTAATTAATTAAAACTCAATTCATTTATTAATATTTTCAGAGTTCTAATTAATACTATGATTTCTCCTAAATTTAATTTATTTACTTTTTCCAGCTACTTTTATTTATTTATTTATTACTAATTCATTCATTTATTTGCCTTCTACCTTTAGTCAAAATTGATGTTTTGATGTTACATAAAGCAGACAAAAGACAAATATTTTCTGTTTTTTTAAATTCTTAAAAGTGTTTCTATTTACAATAAAGGATGCTTGCTTGTTCTTAAACTTATTTGAATAGCTTACAATAATTTATTCTATCTAAAAATAAAAATTTTGTCCATTAACTTATTAAACACGTAAAATTTATTCTATAGTATTATAGCATTTTTAAAACTTGAATAATATTATTTATCTATCTCTTTATCTTTATATCATATATATCCTCTCTCTTTACTAATTTAAATCAAAATATGATATTCTTTTTTTATTTATTTTACGTATTGGTGAAGGTGATCTCTCAAAAAATCAGCGCAGAATGCTCCTCCATGCCCATCATAAATACCAAAGAATGCACATCTTGGCCAGTTTTCTGTTTTTTTATAATTTGGTCTGACAATATTAAGAATAATTGAAACCCTATCTTCATTATATTTTCTCACTAGACCTTGGTTTGTGTTTGCAGCATAGGCACTGATAATACCATTCCTCTTTTGACTAAATTTACTAGGTTCTTACTTGATGCCTGATAAGGCAGGATTTTCTTTTTTAACAATGTCTTAGTTTTATTTTTAAGCCAGATTCTACAAGCTAGTGTTAGAATAAGATAAAGAAACGTCTTCTATTTTACTCGAATTTGTTTACTTTTGAGCAGTTTCGTTCGATGTTTCTATCTTATCTATTTTAATTTGCTTTTCAGATAACTCTTATATGCGCTTATGCAAACTCTCTCTGTCTGTTTAACATAAATCTAAAGAATAGCGCTTCTTTTAATCGCTTCCCTAACCATCTTTTCTAACAGTTTTTGAGGAGCTTGTTTAATTAGAATTCTATTGATGATACTTTTGCTATAAGGGAGTCTTTTATAGCTAGCGATATAGCAAATTACTGTTCTATTATTTAGGAGATTAATTTCTTTAAGTAGGCAAATCATTTAAATAAGCAGCAAAATGTCCATCAAGTTTTTATTAATCTATTGATCTGATTCTTTCCCTTGAGGTTAATTTTTCATTTGAGTTCTGCTATTAACTTACTTATTATTTCGCTCTTATGTTTTCGGATAGATCTAATTGAAAAACAATAAAAATATTTTCAGCTTTACCAATTAATTTAGGTAGAAATTTTTGAGTGATTTTAAGATGTAGATTTATAAGTGGCGTTTTGCAATAATAAAGTTATTAAAAATTTACCTCTCTTTACGCTTGACTAAATGGGAGTGCGATTAATGGCAAATCTTTTACATTCACTAAAATTTTTATTAACTTAACTCATTGACAAAGATGGCGATGCAGGCAGGATTGGTTTCTGCTTTTTAGATTCAATCCTAATTTGAATGAATAAAGAGATCTAATTAATTAATTAATCAATCAATCAATAATTTATTTGAATATATTTCAAAATACTTTGTTATTAGCAAGCTTTTTTTGGATTTATTATTAATTAAATAATTATTGATTTGATTTGATCGCGCAAATAAAGACTTGTTATATAATCTTCTTTTTTTATTTTTTGATTTTTAAATGAGTACTAGTTTTATCAATCAATTGATTTCTTAAGTTTATATATTCTTTTTACCTTAGCAAGAAAGACAATTCTTTGTCAAATACTAATAAATTAATGTAAATGCATATTCTTTTTAAGTAAAATTTCCTTTCATTTGCTGAAATAATTATATGAAGTATATGTATCTATTTATATCCCTTTAAAGGATCTCCTTTCATAGTTATACATACACACTTTTTTATTGAAAAAAATTCAAATATCAATCAATAACAATCATAGCTAAATCAAAAAAATCTTTCAAAAGTTAATGTTAAAATTTAAAAATAACCCTAGATTTTTAAATTATTTGTTAATCAATATTTCATAAAAATTAATTTCAAATAATTCGCCCTTTTATTTAAAATTTTTAAATACTCAACATCTTATCAATCAACTATTCATTAATAGTTTCTCAATAAGCAAATTTATATTTTTGTTTAAGTTAGTTGAAATTACTTACACTTTATATCCAATAAGATTGTAATTTAATTAGATATTAATTATATAAAGAAATATATATACAAAAGCGCTTGTACAAAAATTATTTTAAATAAATAAAACATTCTGTTTTTGCAAATTATTTATTTATTCGTTTTAAATTTAAATTATTATAGCTTTCTCATTTAAATTTTTGATAAAACAAAAATTATAAAAAATTTTGAGATAAATAATGATCATATTTTAATGAAATAAATGCAATAAATTTAAATAAATTTTAAAAATAAAGTTAAAAAATTAATTTTATGATATTTAAAAACAATATAAAGCAAATTAAAATAAAATAATTCTAAATATTTTTATATTTTATTTATTAAATTTTAATGAAGCTCATTGAGAAAATTAATTGAGGGTATCTAATTAGATTTGAAAATCAACAATTTATTTAAAGATTTAATCATTTTTTATTTATAAATAAAAATATATTTTAGATAAATTGAAATATTATTTATAAGTAAAAAAATATTCAATAAAATAATTTAATTGCTATCTTTTAAAGTTTTATTTATTTATTTATTTATTTATATATTTATTTTTTGCTTATCTTTTTTCTATTTTTTCATCCATTTTCTAATTTTATTTTATTAAGTATTTTTTTTATTTTTTGAATTTTAAATAAATTAAAGTTTTTATGCCATTTATTTATTTATATTTTAATATTTTAAAACCATGAACGACTATATTATAGAATACATTATCTTATATTATATATTATATTGTTCTAATATTTATATATTTATTAATCCCTTTTTCACCATTTTTTATACATCAGAAGTAATTTATTTTTAAGATAACTAATCTTTTTGATTTAAGACACTTTATTTTCAATTATTCTTATTGATTAATTTTGTTAAATCTTTTAATATAAATTAGTGTAAATTACTTTTAAAAAAAAAAATAAAATTTTTAAATAAATTATTATATTATAAATCCATATAAATAATAAAAAATATTAATTAGCAAAATGAAAAATTAAAATAAATCAAATAAAAGTAAGTAAATAAATTAATTAAAAAAGTTATTTTGTTTTAAATTCATTTTGACATTAAAAATATCACAATCCAAAACAAACAAATAAACTGGTTTTACTCAAAATCAAGATCAAGTGTCAAATTTGAGAGATTAGTGTACCTTCCTAAAAAAGAGCCCAAGCATAATGCACCTTCATAACCAATTTAGTTTTTACTTTTTAAATATAGAAGAAAAAATATATACTTAGTTAATTTGTTTGCTATAAGGAAAATTTTAATTATATGAAATGAATATATTAGTAATAAAAGCAAAATTTAAATATGAAAAAATAAGTTAAATTAATAAATCAAAAAAAAGTCACACAAGCACAATAAAAAAAAATAAAAAAAATGAAATAAAAACAAATTAAAAGATAGAGATTATTTTAAATTAGTTTTTTATTTTAAAAAAAACACAATCCAAACTAATAAACTATTTTTTACTAAAGATGAAGTGCCAAATTTGAGAGATTAGTGCACTCTCCTAGACCAAAAACTAACCTTGATGCACCTTGTGCGCGAATATAATTTTCACTTTTTAAAAGTTTAGGAAAAAATATATAGTTAATTAGTTAGTTAGTAGAAAATAATGAAGAAAAATATGAAATAATAAGAAATTAAATAATTGATAATAAAAGCAAAAGCTGTAAATGAAAGAATGAGTTAAATTAAAAAAATACAAGTAGTTTAAAAAAAGAAAAATTGATCAAATTAAAAGACAACAAATAAATTAAATAATTTAGATTGTTATAAATTCATTTTTAAATTACTAATTATAAAAATCCAAAACAAATAAGATGTTTTTACAGAAGATAAAGTGTCAAATTTTTGAGATTAATGCAAAATCCTAAACCAGAACTTAATTCTTATGCACCTTCATCACCAATTTAGTTTTCACTTTTTAAGTATTAAAGGAAAAATATTTAGTTAATTTATTAGGAAAAAATGAAGAAAAAAATATGTAATAATAAGAAATGAATTAATAATTAATAATAAATGTAAAAGTTGAAAATAAAAAAATGAGTTAAAATTAGCAAAGAAAAAAAACACACAAGCACAATAAAAAAAAGAAAATATATCAAATAAAAATCTAATAAATAAATAAATTAAAAGAATTTTATTATTTTAAATACATTTTTATATTAAAAAATATAACAATCCAAAACAAATAAACTGTTTTTACCTTAGATCAAGTGTCAAATTTGAGAGATTAGTGCACTTTCCTAAACCAGAACCTAAATTTGATACACCTATTATGCTAAATTTATTGCAACTTTTTAAATATTGAAGGAAAAATATAGTTAATTAGTTAGTTACAGGAAAAAATAATGAAAAAATAGGATATAATCCAAAACAAATAAACTATTTTTACCTCAGATTAAGTGTCAAATTTTGGAGATTGTTGCAAAATGTTAAACTATTACTTAAGCTTGACACACCTTCATCGCCAATTTAATTATTACTTTTTAAATAAAAAAGAAAAAATAGTTAATTAATTAGTAAGAAGGAAAAAATGAAGGAAGAAATAATAAAAAATGAATTACTTAAAAAAATACCTAATGTGAAAATGAAAAAATTAGTTCAATTAAAAGCACAAGCAGAATAAAAAAAAAAGAAAAATAAATCAAATAAAAATCTAATAAATAAATTATCTCTTTTAGAGTGAGAATTTATTTATTATTATTTATAGACAAACGACGATTGTAGGCAGTAATTGAATTGAATAAATGAATAAATTAAAAGAGTTAGATGGTTTTAGTATATTAAAAATTATCACAATCAAAACAAATAAACTATTTTTACTAAAGACTAAGTGTCAACTTTGAAAGATTATTGCAATTTACTAAACCTAAACTTAAGTCTGATGTACCTTGATCACCAATTTAGTTTTCACTTTTTAAATATTGAGGAAAAAATTAAGAGCTAATTTAGAAAAAAAAGAAGATAAAATAAGAATAATAAGAAATGAATTAATTACTAATAAAGAAAAAGTTCAAAAGCAGTTAAATTAAAAAACAAAACAAAAAATAAATAATTAAATAATTATTTAAAAGGAAAAATGAAGAGAAAATATCAAATAACATAAAATAAATAAATAATTAAATACTAATCAAAAAAAATTGAGTGAAAATTTATTAAGTTAAAATAATTAAAAAAAAAATATTTGTGTAAATAAAAATGAATTAATTAATATAACTATGTTAAATTAAATATACCTCAAATCTATATGGAGAACCTAATGAGATTAAACTGAAGAGTTTAAAAACTTTTTTATTAATAAAAATAAATTTAAACAATATTAATAAAATAATCATTTACTTCTTTTAGATTTTTAAAATATTTTTTCTATTATATCATTTATTTATTTATTTTTTTTTTAAAATCTTAAATAGCAATTAATGGAAGGAAATTTAATTAATTATAAGAAAATTTAAAAATTAGATCACTTTTATATCAAATTATTTGGATAAAAAGAACCAATGAATTATAATATTTAACAGTTATGAGTTTTTAAAGGTTGTTTGATTTTAGGAAGAGATATTTCAACAAAAATTTATGTGAAATTCATTATTAATCCAGTAGAAACTGTTATTTCCCGTACACCCAAATTCATTCATAAAAATTTCCTTGCACTGAAAAATATTCATTTAAACTATTTCCTTATACCTTTGAAATAAAAAAAAATTTTATAAAAAATGATAGTTGAAAGTGAAGGTAAGTAAAAAAAGAGGAATAAAAATATAATTAAAAAGCAAAACAATCTAAAATGATATATGGAGCTTGAAGAAAATGAACAATTAATTATGAATGAAGTTTTCATAGTATTTATTTTTATTAATTAAAACAATATAAATTTTCTTAAATAATGTCATAGTTAATTAAGACTTTTTTATCCTTTTATTTTTTTTACTTACAGCTAATTTTTAAAACAAAATAAATTTCAGTTTTTCATTTCATATTAAATAATTTATTTTAATTAAGAACTATGATTTTTTAGGGCATTTTTTTATTGAAGACCCATTTTTTGGATAGAAAATTTTTAGAGCTTATTTATTAAATGACAATTCATTTAACATTTGTTATAAACTAATTTTTTTCTACTTTTTAAATGAGATAAAATCATATTTTACATATATTTATTTATTTATGTTTTTTTTGAATTAATAACCAAATTTAAAATTTATCTTTATTATTTATATATTTATTTTGAATTTTTTTTATTTAAAACAAATATTTTTTTGAAAATATAATAGAGAAATTTATGTACAGATATGAAAAGATAGAAATTTTTTTATTACAAAAATATTTTTTATAGTTTAAATAGGTCACAAGTTGTTTTCAGTGCTGGCAAGCTTTTATACGTTAATATTCTTAGCTTCAATCAAATCATTTGAAGTTCTTTAATAAGTTGAAGGAGATACTGTTTTCTTGAAGTAAATAATACTAAAAATAAAAGCAACAAAAGTTAATCCGAATAAGACTCCAAAAACAATAGCCATAGCTTTGTTGGATTGATTGTCAGAGCTTTCATAAGTACTGGCAAGAGTTTGATTGGTATTATCTTTTTGATTGTTAATGCTGTTATTATTGTTATTTGCAATAGGTTATTGATAAGAGAGAGGAGTATTTGCCTTGATCAAACCCTTTTCAGGTGTAAAGAGTTTTTATAAAGTATAAGCAAGTCTGTATCCAGCAGTAACAATTCTCTTTTGAATCATATCAAAACTACTGTTATAGAAATCATCACCATAGTGAATTTCATTTTTTGACAATAAGAAGGGGTAAACATTGTTCAAAGCTAAGTTCCAGCTTTCGTCAGCCCAATCACTGAAAGTTTCTATATTTTTAAAATTAATATTTAATTTATGCAAACTAAGTTTTCAAATTTAAAATTCTTTCTGATAAATTTTGGGGAAATTAATTAAACTTTTTATTTATTTTTAATCTGATAAATTATGCAAATTATTTAAAAATAAATGTGAATGTTTATTTGTTTCTATGTTTGTATTTATGAATGGCTCGCTTTAAATTAACCTAATTAATTGCTTAAAAATTTCAACTAATTTATTACTTGTGTTGTCGATATTGAGAGATTCTTTTGGATATTGAGCTACAATTCTATCAAGTTCTCTTTAGAAGTAAATCTTGAATGTTTCGTTAAGAGGTCTAACCAATCTATTAGTCCAGGTGTAGAAGAAGCAAGAAGAGTCAAAATAGAAGTGAATATTGGTTTTTTTCATTTCACCAGTGCTAGTGTAGAAGTTAATCATTTATCTGTTACCACCTAAATCGCCCCAGAATTCACCTTTATCATTCTTGTATGTGGCATTGTAAAAGCTACCAGTGTGATGAGGCATATGAATATCACCAACAATGTGAACGAGCATCTTTAACATATTTACTTTGAATTCTGTCATTTAACCAACAAACTTTTCATTAGTTAAAACTTTGACGATATTATTGTAGGCATTCAAGGCATTTTCGGAATCAGCCATAGGATCTTTCTTCAATGGGGTGAGATTTTAAGGGTTACTGTCTTTGTTGCCAATGTAATGCCACATTTCCATAGCTTTTTAGGCATCACCATAGACCTTAATATCATCAGCCCAAACAGCATTCTCTTCGTAGGTTGTAGTAGAAACTGTATCAACACCTTAAGTAGAGTAAGTGTCTAAGTACTTGGCAGTAATATTGTATACTTCCATATCATTTTTCATTAATTCTTTCTTAGCAATAGCGAGTACAAGCATGTGAGGAACTTCGTGGAAGCAAAGGCAAACTTGAGAAAGTGCCAAAACAGAAATAAGAACTAATCCTAATTTCATTTTAATTTCAGCTATTTTTATTATTTTATAGTTGGATTTTACTTATTTTATTTATTAATTGTTTATACATATTTGCAGTTGGTAGAATATGACTATTTAAATAAATAAATTAATTAAATGAATGAATGAATTAATGAAAGAAAGAAAGAAATATTAACATTGTCATATTTAAAAAAATAAAGACAGACTAACTAGAAGTAGCTTAACAAAAACTTATATTTAATAAAATTCATTAATCATTTTTAATTTAGAAAATAGTAAGTAAGTGTAAAATATTCTTCAAAGTATATGTCTATGTATTTATATCTAATTATTAAATAATCCCTCCTATTTTAATTATTAATTTTTGTACCTAATGAGCCAACTAGAACCTATTAAGTAAAGCTAATAGCATTCAATTTAAAAGCAAAATAAACAAATAAATATAAACTTTCTTAAAAAGGTATTGTTTCTATTTAATTTAATTGTAAACTATCGCATAACAAATTAAAGATTAAACCCACCTTTTTAATGTTGTGTTTATATATTTTTGTAAAAAGACATCCAAAAATATAATGCGATTAATAGTAAAAGCATGAAAATAAAGCAAATCTTCTAATTATAAAAATAAAATGATAAATTTAAAATATTATTCATAAGAGAAAGTTCAGGCTATGCATTATTTATAGTATCAAAAATGCATTACATTTACTTAACTTTTCCTTAACAAAACCCCCCATTTATATTTTATGATTATGAAAGAAGCGTCATATGAATATTAAGTCCCCCTCCGTTTATTATTTGATTATTCCTGCAATTAAAAAATTTATTAGGAGTGTAAACTTATTCTATTAAAATAATTAAAGTACTTTAGCATAAAAATTTTAAGACTTTTCATGTGCAATTACACTTAAAATTGTAAAAAATCCTAATTTTAAAATTATTTTATTTTATTTTTTTAATCTTATAAAAAGGAAATTATGAAATTGAACAGTTTTCAGCATTTGAAAGAATTTAGCCAACCCCGACCAAATATTAATTATATTTACTATAACGGAGTTGCGAAACATATCAAATAAACACTTATACATCCATCCATCGATTCATACATTTATTCTTGATTGTTTAATAGGAAAAGACTAGTAATATTTATTAAATATTAGATTTAATATAATCATAAATAAATAGGATGGAGAGCTTAACTTTAAATAATTTAATAAGGAGTTTGAAATTTTTAACCTTCAAAAGTACAAATAAAACTCAAATATTTATTAAATCATGTAAGCTAAAAACAAATTTTAGTAATTGAATAAGTTCAATCCCATCAATTTATAAATTTATCTACTTTTGTAAAAAAAATTAATATTGAAAGTTTTCCTTTTGATTAAAATCATATCTTTTTAATGAATGAATGAAATACAAACAATAATTTATTAGAAATATTAAATATAAAATAAGATCTTTGCTAAAAATAAAAATAATTTGATACTCTCTATTCTATAAATATATTTTTTACTTATCATAGTAGTATTACAGAATAATAGTTAAAATCCAATTTGATAGACTCTAACCTATCATAGAAATTTATTTTGGAAATTTTTTTGAAATACAAGATATTTAATTAAAAAAAGACTATAGAATCAATCAGATTTTATAATCAAAACTAACTAACTAATCACTCATATATTCGAACTAAATTTTGTACTATTATGGCAAAAATTTTTTTTTTAATAAATAAATAAGATTTGAATTTTTAAAAAAAGAAGCTTAGAAAGCAAATTATTTTAATTTATTTTAGCTTAATAGGTAATACTTTAATTAAAATAATTGTATTTAATTGATTTAAAAGTTCTTTTTTAGCTTTGAATAGTAATTATGATTAGGTTTGAATAGTATAGGAAGAAGGATAAATAATCATATTTTTTGTTTTAATTAAAAATAAATACTTATTTTAAATTGGTTAGTTGATTTACAAATACAATAACTTTAAATTTAATGTTAGATTCGTTACTTACTTCTAACAAAATTTATTTAAAAAGTATTAATTGCTAAAATTAAATATGTAGGTTTACACAAAAAAATCATGATCTAAAACTGCAGAATGACATATATAAAAATATTTGTTCCTCAGAATTTTAAATAATTGATTGCAAAATAATTTTATTAAAATAAAAAATCTAAATAATTATTTTGGCCAAAAGATTAATTCTTAAAAGTTTTTTGATATTTTAAATATTGAATATAAGTTTTTGTAATTAAAGAATGGTTAATTATTATTTAGTTGATTTCAACTCTGTTTTAAAAAAATGATATAAAAATTAATTTATACTATACATTTATGATTGTTATTAAATTTAAAAAATTGAATAAATGTTATGTATTTAACCGTATTCTTAATAGTTCACATAATTAAAGAATGGCTAATAATCAATTAATTAGATAACTAGTTAGTACTTTAGTTCGTAAGTTTAAATTTTGTTGATAAAATCTTAAATGAGAATTTAGATATCAGAAATTTTATAATTGTTTAAAAATTTAAAAAAATATAGAAAAAAATATTATATAATTAATTTGTTAATTTTTATAAAACATATCCTCATATCCTCACAATTTAATATAGCATATAAATCACTTTGATATAATTTAAAATGAGAATTAGGTTAGATTAGTTTAAAAATATTTTTAAATTTCAAATAATATTTTACGAAAAATATTATTCAATCAATCTTTATAGTATTTTTACATACGCAATTAAAATTTTGGCTAATAACCAATAAATTATTTAGTTAGTTATTTAATTAGGTACTTTGAATTTTATTGATGAAGTTAGAAATGAAAACTAAGTTATGATAAAATTTATAATTGTTTTAAATTTTCAAATTATTTTATTATTTATCTTAATTAAAGTATGGTAAATAATAATAAAATAGTTAATTCGTTTTTTTTATGTAGATAAAGTTAAAAATGAGAATTAATATAAGAAATATTTTATAATTATTTTAAAAAAGTATTTTATGAAAATATAGGAGAAATATTTATTATACAATTAATCTAAATAATATTTGTTGGCTTAATTAAAGAATGGCTAATAATCAATTACTTAATTAGTTGTTGATAAGTTTGGATTTTGCTCTTAAAGTAAAAAATCAGAATTAAAATTTAGAAATTTAATAATTGTTTTAAAATCAAAAATAATATTTTATGAAAAATAAATGTGAAAATATGTTATTTAATTATTTTTATTTGCATTGATTGAAGGAAGAATATAGACAGATAATAATAACTAAATAGATAAATAAAATACGTTTTTAAATATTATTTTTTTTCATTTGGGAATTTAATCTTTAATAAAGTTATCTAGTTTTTCTGGGATACTATCACTGATTTTAGCGATTTACTTGGATTATGCGAAATATACAATTGTTGGAATAACTTGAACATTATTAGCATATGTAGTATATTTCACGTCATTCATCGGAGCATAAGCGAATACTGAATCTTTATATCTTTTTTGTAATTCTACGAATTTGTTATAAATCTATTCAGTTCTGTAGTCAATCAAATAATCACTTCCGAACAAAATAATGACACTTTTATTATATTTTAGAGCTTCATCAATCGATTTCTAATCTTTTAGGTGAAGTAAAGGAGTCTTTTGGTTAAGATTCCATGTTTACGCAAGACTTCTTAAAGTTTTGGCTTGAACCAACGAAGCTAATAAAACTATTTATAGAAATAAGATAATTGAGTTTCTCATCGCTATGATCTCTACTTACTTTTCTCTATTAATTATATAAATATTTTTTAAATTAATTTATAAAATAATCAATACCTTAAATAATCCAAGTTTTTCAAGATATAATTAACTTTGTTATTATAAAAAGAAGCAAATTTTCCTTGATTTTTAATATTCATTCAGTCTATTAGTTCATCATTTTTATATTAAATTTCTATCACTTTACATATTAATAGAAGGAAGGAAGGAAGGAATCTTTGTTATTTTTAAAAAAATTTATACGTTTTTATATTTTATGTTTTGATTGAATCTAAAGATTAATAAATGCTTTTTAATAACTATTATATAAATTTCATATCAAAAATTTTATATTGAATTCTAATAAGTATTAGAGGGAAAAAATAAATTTTTAAATTAGAAGATATAATAAATCTGAAAATAATATAAAGGTTAGAATTTCCCCTAAATACCTCTATTGTATTTATACCCTAACGAAATTATTTTTATATAAAATAAATATTATTATTTCATTACTTGTTAAAAAAAATTAGAGAGTGAAAAAAATTTTGTATTTTTTCAACAAAACTTGAAGATAAAAAATTTATATATAAACTATTTCCAAGCTTGTTATATGAGCTTTATAATAATAAAATAAAAAATTATTTTTTTGTTCATGCTTCTTTAATGTTTTAAAAAGGTACAACATGCTATTTTAAATGCATGATATATCTGAGCAAAAAAATATTTAAACATTGATATCAAAAAAAGATATATAAATTTGATTGAATTTTTTTGTAATTTAAAATAAGTAAAGTTGATTAAATGTTTAAATCGATTGCTTTAGTCTCTTCACAAGAGGGATGGATCAAAATAGGAGTAAAAATAGCTAATAAAACTTGCAAGGAAATAGAAAAGTCTCATAATAACAAGAGAAAAAACGATACATTAGAATACCATCTAACTTATTACGATATATATTGTGGGAATGAATGAGATTAGGTCTATTCTTCAATATGGAAATGATATTAATAAAATTGTATAAAAATAATAAAATAATTTATCTAATTATCCAATTAATTTTGAAAATTAAGATTAAACTAATAATAAAAGTGATCGATATATATTGTTAAAAATGAATATAGAAAATATTTATCAAAAATAATTTATTAAGTTGAACAAAAACGATGAATTAGTTATTTAGTTAGTTAGTTAGTTAATTTACTTTATTTAAAGGTATTTTAATTACTAAAGAATATAAATAAAAATATCAACTGTAATGCTTGAAATTATAAAGATAAGTAACACCTGCATCGTTTCCAACAGCCATGTATTTTCCATTAGGACTGAAAGAAGCTGCAGTTATGAATTTAAGTTAAGTTTTAAAGTTAGGCCAATTTTGATAGACATTAAATGATGGAAGATGTACGAGTCTGATGGCATTTTTCTTCCACTTTGAAGCAGTTAATAATAATTCAGATTGTTAGTTAAAGCAGAGAGTATCGACTGAAGTTGTTAGATTTAAGATTTCTTTTGTGGTGGACTTTGCCATAGTTTAAGTAGTTTTATTGTAGGAGTAAATGTTGACTATACCACTTGGGGAAGAAGTGGCGATGTAGTCACCGTTTTGAGAAACTCTAATTTTATTAGTTGTTTGTGTGCCTTGGTCTTAGTTAACATCAAAAATGCATCTCTTTGACATATCCCATTAGTAGATCTTACCATTTTTGCCAGCAGAGAACAAATACTTAGAGTCATGAGAGAAAGCTACAGAAGTGCATGGCTCATTCATTTTAAATTCAAAAAGGAATTATTTGGTTTTTGCATTTAAAATCATGATATATCCTGCTTCACTGAACAAAGCAATATAAGCTTCGTTGGGAGATAAAGCAAAGTGTTCAATTTTTTAATCGAATCTTTGAGTGAACAAATGGGAAGAAATCTTTTCAATCTTGTCATTCAATAAATTATATGAGAGCAAGTGTTTCTTCATACCACATGCTAAGATTTCATTTTTAGAAGGTATAAATCCAGCAGATAATACAGGCATGCCTTCTAAGTAGAGTTATTTGAGTAATTTTACATTGTCTCTAAAAGCAGGTCTATTTTCTCTAATAGTGTATATCTTTACTAATTTATCTAAGCTGGAGGTGAAGAAAATCTAGCTATTAGGATGGAAGTCGATAGATTAAACAACAGCTTCGTGTTTAGTTTTTACGGGAGTTTAGCCTATTCTCTCAATATCAATAATGTCAGCTAATATGCTATCTGGTTTGCTGTCTTCAGCGTATACGCTATACTAAACTTTAAGCATATCATCTAAGATTTTATTTGGATTATTTTCAAACATCTAATCTTCTTCACTTTCTTCTAACTAGCGCTTATTACCCTTATCGTCATAAGCCCATCCATAAAAGTTAGTGTGTTTTAATCTATCATTGTAGAAACTTTTAAGTCTACGTTGATATTCAGCACCGTCTACAACTTTTTCATCTTCAGTTTTACGCAATTTACGTAATCTTGCAGCTTGAGTTAAATCGATTTCTACCTTTTTATCGTCATCATCCTCCCAAGCTGCTCCTTCATTATCATCATTGAACTCTGAGTGTTCAAGAGCATGAGAATCCTCATCTGCTTATTACAAATTCTCGCCATTACTTTAATCTTTTTAACCTTCTTCATCACTTTCATCTTGTTGCTACTTGTCATTTTCTTCATCTTAAGAGTATATTACATCATCTAATCCTTCTAATTCATCTACTTTCTTTTTACCATTAAGAATTTTTTTCATCTTAATGATAGCCTTTCTGTTAGGCTTCTCAGCATTGATCTTCTTGCTTGATTTTTTTTTGATTTCACTCATTTTGAATTATATTATGGTAATAAACAAATACTAATCTAAAAGGAATTTATTTTAACTTATCTATTAATTTGTCAATTATTATTCTGATAGTAAAAAATATATTTTTTTTTGATATAATTTAACAATAGCTTTGTTTAATCGATGTATTTGCTATATATGTGATAATACTTATTCCTATTATTATAAATATCATTTCTTTCAAACCTCTATATTCATCTATACATACAATCACTATTCATTCATCCATAAATACATCAATCATTCATTCATTCATTTAATAAAATAAGATTTGATTGTTAAAATTAGAAAGATTAAATTTATTTAAACTATTGAGATGCTTCATATGTTATTGTCATTTTAAATTTCTAAGTATCTTCAATTTTACATATTAATTAAATAATAAATTAATTAAGTAGAATTATCACTTTTACTCATTTCCTAGTTACTTCAAAATAATTTTATAAAAATTTATCTAATATAAGGACATTAATAAATAAATATGAAACTGGATTAATAAATACATTGAGTAATTTTTTTTTCTTAATACAATAATTAATAAAAACATTTCTAAAATTTTCTAAAATTAAAATATTTTTAAAACTCTATTTTTTAATACAAAAATTCTTAAATAGTTTAGTATCTTCTAAATATAAATTGTTCAATATATCTTATTAAACAACTTTAAAATAAAAATTAAATTATATTTATGAAATCTTAGCCTATTTCTATAAAAAAATTAAAAAAAATAAATGGTCTAAATTTTATTCAACTACAATAAATAAATAATTAAATATATTTTATGAGCATATTTATCTCTAATAAAATAACTATAGCTCAAATTACTTAAAAAAAGATAAATGCAATTTCATTCATTTTTCTTTATTATTATTAATAAAAACTTAAATTTATTTAATATGTAAGTAAGTGAATGGCTGTTTCTTTCAAATTTTATTAAATTTGTTAAAAACAGACGTAAAATTTTAAGTAAAAAAATGAACAAATTTTGTTAAAAAAAACAAAAATATGAATTTAAACTGCTATTAATTATTTATGATACGTTTTTAATTATAAATTTATATTAAGGCATTAGAAAAAGTAATAAGCAAACCTTTTGAAAATATAAATTAAAAAAGCGTTTGTTCTTTCAAAAAATATTTATTTAAATCTTTATAAAAGATAAAAGATTTTTATAAGCTGCTTAATTAATTAAAACTTCTGAAATAAAATATATTTATCACATAATGAATTATTTATATTTTTATAATTACTTCTCTTTTAAATATTGTGCACAGACTTGTAAAATATTTTCTATAATTAAATTAGTATGCTTTTTTAATTTTCATACTTTTTGATTTTTTTTTTTTTTTGAGTATTTAACATTTATCTATCTAATTTTAAATTGCTTATTAATTAAAAGTAAAAAACTCTTTTTCATTTTATGATTAATTAAGATTTTTTTTTGCTTATGTTAACAGATTTAAATAATCTTTAAAATTAAATTAGAAAATAATAAAACAATCCTTAAAAAATTACATCCTTTTTTCAATTTTGCCAATTTATTTTAGAATTTAAAAAATATTAAAAATATTATAATAAATATTAATATTTATTATTAAAATATCATTTTCTTTTTATTTGGGTATTATTTTTATTTAATTTGTTAACTTAACTGATACTTTTGTTTGTTTGTTGGTTTTTAAAAGTTATTTTAAATATCTTTTATTACGAATTTATTTTTGTTCTATTTTCTTTTCTGCTTTTGAATTTTTTGTAAGATAGAAAAAATATTAATTTGCATTACAGGATTGAATTATTCTTTTAGAACTTATAATTCATCAGAATTAAAAATATTGAAAAAGACAAAAAGTAGAAAAATTTAAAATAATTATAAAGTTTCGATGAATGTTCTTCATAAAGTAAATTTTGATTCAAGGACGGAAAATTCAATAAAAATAAATGAAAAAATATTTATAAATATGGGCAATAATAAAAGAATAAAGCTTGCAAAATCATATCCTAGTTTAAATAAAAGAATGCTTTATTTGATATCATAAAAATCTCTGTTATTTATTTCATTTTAAGATAATTAAAAAATGTAATCTTCTTATTATTTATCTAAGCTTAATGTTTCTTCGCAACCCTTTGGTGGTATTTTCAAAGAATTTTTAAATAAAAAATCAACTTTGCTTAATTCATATTATTTGGTGTTAAGAGAAGAATTTCAGCTTGATATGACATATTAATATCTAAATTTAAGTTTCTAGAAAAGAATTTTCTTGCCTTTTACTTACTGTTTGCTTTAATTTTTGATAAACAATTTATAAATTTATTTACTTTCTATTATTAATTCGAATATATTATTTTACAATATATCTATAAATTTATTTATTAATTTTTTTTAGTTGATTATTGATCAATTAATCAAAAGAGAGCAAATGAAATCATAAAAATTAATACAATTTTGTAAAATAAATACAAATTACATTCAATTTATATATGTATATATTTATAATATGATAGTAATCAATTCAATTTCTCTTTATTCCATCCAAAAATTATTTCTTTAAATCTTTATCTTCTAAGAATTTGCCACCATATGCATAAGTAGCAGTAGAGCTATTTTGATCCATTACACCTCTTGCCTTAACACAAAAATGAACAGCATTTATATGCACTGCAACATCTTCTGTTTCCACTATTGTTTGTAGAGCGACAAGAATTTGCTTTGTTAATCTTTCCTAGACTTGAGGTCTTTTTGAAAAGAATCTAACTAATCTATTAATTTTACTCAATCCTAATACTTTATCTTTAGGAATATATGCGACAGTGGCGAACCCATCAAAAGTGATAAAATGATGCTCGCAAGTAGTTGTTAAAGCTATATCTTAAATTTGTACCATTTCATTATATTCCATCTTATTGTCAATTGTTGTCATATCAGGGAAATTAGCATAGTCCAAGCCTTAAAACATTTCGTTAATGTACATTTTAGCTACTCTTGAAGGAGTATCACAAATGCTATCATCAGTTTAATCTAATGAGAGCATGTTTAATATTTCTGTAAAACATTCCTCAATCTTCTTGATTTTTTCTTCGTTGGAATAAATGTTCACGCTATTTGAGATAGGATTATCAATACCTTTTCTACTAATTGCCTATTTAACTTTATTAGCAATTTCACTTATGTTGCTTGATGACATTTATTTATTTATGTATTTCTTTCTTATTTTTTTTAATCGAACTTAAATTATTTGTTTTTTGATATTTTTAATTTATATATTTGATTACCAAAAATAGCGTAATATAAATAGCATTTACCATGCATTTTGATTGATTGATTGTATGTAACAATTTTAATTATGCTAATACAACATATTTGTTATACTTGAATAATAATTATGACAAAAATTATTAATTCATTTTTAAATTAAAGTAAATTTAATAGTTTAAATACCTTTTTTAAAGTAATAAGTAAGTAATAATTCCAGAAAAAATCATATTAATATCTTTCTAGGTTAAAAAATTAAATTAATTATTTGATTAGCATACTTGTTTGTTTCTACCCTTTCTAAGATTTTAAAGGGGGAAGTTGAAAAGTTAAAATGTAAATTTAATTTCCGTTTTTTTACTAAATAAATATTTTTCAAAATTTTAGTAAAGTAAAAAAAATTCTTAAAATGCTAATAATTTATTTATTTGTTTTAAAGATATATTATTATATTATTATTAATATAGTTTTTAATATTATAAAATTCAATAAGCTTGCTTACAAATCCAAAAATAAATTATACTTATTCTATTTAATCTAATAAATTCATGAACATTTTAGAAAACTAAAAAATTCAATAAATTTTTTAAAATTAATTTTTTATTTATTTGTTTGTTTGGTTTAAAAATATATTATTATTAATTTAGTTTTTAATGTTATAAATTTCAACAAGCTTGCTTACAAATTCAAACATAAATTATTCTTTTACTATTTAATCTAATAAATTTGTGAACACATTAGAAAACTAAAAAATTAAGTCAATTCTTCAGAATTAATTTTTTTTCATTTTATAATTTAATTTTATAAAAATAAAAATTTATTTAGAATAAAACTAATTTTATTCAATTTTCATATTTAATGATAAAATAAATTTTATTAAATACTTGTTTTTATTTATAAAAATATAATGGAAAACGAACTTAAAATTAATGAATAATTAATTCATATAATAATATTTCTCAAATTTGTAAAAATAAAATAAATTTTAAATTTTTCTCATATTCCCAAAGTACTACATTGGCATATTAATATATATATTCTTAATTATATTATCATTTTATAAATTTTTAAATTTGATTTTGTAAATATATAAATAATTTCTTGTATTTTAAAATAAAATTTTATTGATATGGATTGATTTACTTACTTATTTAAGATTTTATGAATTATAAAAAACTTGAAATAAAAAATAAATCTAAAAGAAATAGAAGTATTTAATTAAGTAGACATTTATATAAGTATTAAAGATGGACTGATACTTATTAATATAAGCGAACAAATGTATGTATATATATTAAACAGTTGATATTTTAAGAAGTAAATAAATTAAGTTAGTTATTTAATATAAAAAGTGTATTTTATTTATTTATTTATTATTTTTATTTGTTTTACTTTTAAAAATAGAATAAATTGGATTAGTTATTATTGATTGATTGTTAAGTTATTCTAATTATATCAAAATTAGTTGGTCTAATTAGATCGTTAGAGTGCAATTTTACTTTAAATTATATTGGCAAAATATTATTATTGTATAGATTAGTAGTTATTATTTTAATACATTATAACAACAATTTCTTTTCTCTCTTTATTCTCTCTCTATCCATCCTATAATTTGAAGACAAATTTATTAAATATATTATTTTATTCTAGATTTCCTTACAATTTATTAATTTACATTATTGCTTAATTTTTAAGATAAAAAGAGAAGATAGAGAAATTAGATGGAATTTGTTTTATTATTTTTGAATTTTAGTTTTTTTTGTTTTTTTTAATGAATTGTATTCAATCTTTATCATTAAAAATATTTTAATAAATTTTGGATGAATTTTCTTTTTGTACAAGCAACATGTGTTGGTTTTTTCCTTACTATTTATGAGGAAGATCACTGTCAGTTGAGTTTTAGTTTTTTGTTTAATTAGGATGACTATCTTATTTGGTAAATAGGACTATTGAGCCTACTTTATAGAATTATGGACGATTATATTTTGTAGTGACAGCTTTTTATTGAATTGTTTATAATTTTTATTATATGAATATTAAATCTTTAGCACATGGACGTAATTTTTATTCGTTATATCCACTGTCCTTTTCAAGAAGGTCAGACCAGCAGTTTTCAGATTTGTTGAGTTTATTAACCATATAAACAGCTGAGGCAGCAATATTACTTGGAGAGTATTTTAAAAAACGAGTATCAAGAAGGGCAACTTCGATAAAATAGAAGACCAAACATTGATCTTATGGTGATAATTCAGCTAAGCGAGTATACCACTCTGCAAATCTATAGGAAGAAGGTACAGTAATTTGGAAATTTAAAGCGTTGATAATTTCGCCTTCCATTTATAATATTTCTGCTTTAGAGCAAGCTCTATCAGTTATATCTGAGAATTCTCTCAGTTCAGGAGGATAAATTTCTTCATACTTTGCAGCTATGAAAAGCGCAGTAATGCCAATAGTCTGTAATTTAGATCTCTTAATTTTAGTAAAAGATAGGTATTTATCAATAATATAAACAGCGATGAAGAGAGTTTCCTAGAGGAGTTTGAATTTATAGTGGACTTCGATCAACCAGTCAATAAGGATCCATCTCATATGCTCTGAAATATCATTCTATTCTTCCATGTAATTTTTATTGATCAAGATTTATTTCTATTTTATTAAAAAGTTAATTAATTAGTTAATTGTAAGTTATTTTGCTTTGAAAGAGATGAAAAGTTGATTTTTAATTATCAAATCAAGCAGTAGAAAATAAATGCAATCAATATTTAAAAACTTTCTTATGAATTCTAGGGTTGATTTATTGATTGATATATTTTGGTTTTATATTCAAATAAATCTTTTAATTAAATCAGGATTATAATTTATTAATGTTTTGCAGTTTATTTAGATTTTTTATGGGGAAAATCCTTTAAACAAATCTTATATTTTTTTTGCTATTTAAAGGATTTTTATTTAATTGAAATTTATTTCGGATAAGGATTTATTTAAATCTTAGTATCAAAAAATAAGGAAAACACTAGTTAAATAAATCAATTTTTGTTGAATTTCCATTATTAAAAATAAATTAGATGAGATGCAATCATTGCGCTTTCATTTGATTTGTAACTTATTGAAGTATTTTAGAATTGATTAAATTTGATATAATAATTAGCAAATATATTGATTAGCTGTTGTAATAAATTCTAGTAATCTAGAATCGGATGAAAAATTAGAATATTTGCAAAAATATACTAACTAATCAATGAGAAAGAAGCTCATAGAGAAATAAATAAAAATGCTAAATAAAAGTGAATTAATTATTTAATTAATTAACTAATTACTTCTTTTTATTTAAGAAATTAAAATATTTCACGAGAATATTAAGCAACTTTGCAAGGATTTTGCTTGTCTTCATTAAAAATCTTTGTGTACTATCTTTCAATTTCTTTTTAACCCCTGGTTTTGGCGTTTTCAATGTTAAGTGTTTAAATTTCAAAGTTATCATTTGAACTATTAGTCGTGCTAAAATTTGAATTATCTTAATCGGATATCAATCTTTGTTAGCTTTTAGATGAGATTGCGTTTGTAGTTGTATGAGGTTATGTATTTAAATCTAAGCCAAAATCTCCTTTATAAATTGCTGCATCAAGAACGTTAAACTTGGGATTAAAGTTAGGCATATCGCTGCTCTCTATTTATTCGTTTCTTTTTCTTGCATCTTTGTTTTGGTGATCTTGCATTTGTCCTATCTACGCGATTTAGGCTCCTCCATTATTGCTGAAGAACTAAGAAGGACCTTTTTAAGGGTAGTAAGATTGTTTTTGATACTATTATTGTTGTTACTGCACTTACATTCCTCTATAAATTTTTTCATAATATTTCATACCTCCTTCTTCAGTTTAAGTGCTCATTTTTTTAGCTTAATTCTATTAACTTCCTTATGACATTCCAATAGTTTTCTAGCTCTAGCTCTATTTATAGAAGAAAAAAATATAAAATACAAAACATAGATGGGCTAACTTTAATTTTGCGTATAAGCATAATAAAGTCTATGATCAAATTTTCTGCAAATTTTGAATAGAAAATATTTATTTATTTTACATTAGAGCTAACAGGCACAGTATTGTAGTTGGACAATTCTTAACCAAATACTCTGCGATGGAGATCATAGTTTATTTGATTAACAGAAGTATAGGATTTTTGACTATAAGGCATATTTGGATTTATCAAGTCCTTTTAAGAATTTTAGGACTAAACGCATACCCCAAAGCTGTTTGTGTTGTTTGATTCATCTCTGTAATTAATCCTGGTTTACATTTTAAATATTAAACGAACTAGATATTGGCTTCTTAGATTTTAAAAGATAAATTATAGATTTATTAGGTATTATCTTTAATGTGTTTGTTTGTTTGCTTATTTATTTATTTGTAAAGTAATTAATTGATTGATTGATTCTATTTTTTAAAATGTGTTTGACTATTTGTTTTCTTTAAATTTGATTTAATTATTATTATTTATAAATCAATTTTTTAATTATCTATCAATTTATCCTTCTAATTTAAAAAAAGACAATTAATTAATTAATTAATTGTGTTTGTTTGTTTTTTTTATAAGTTTTCATTTATTTCATTAACATAAATTGTAAAATTTCTATACAAAATGAATAGCGAACACACCTTTTATATCGATTCATTCATTCATAATTACATTTTTATAGGTAAATCTTTTTTTTTTGATTGTTAAATGAAGATATTTAATAAAACTAGTATCCAATAATTTGGTTGTGATTATCTTATATGATTTCAAGCTAATTTTATGAAGTAATTCATTCATTTTCATATCACTTTTAAATAATATTTGAATGATTTCAAATGATTCGCAACTATTTATTTATTTATTAATTGCCTTGATTTATAGTAATAATAATAGTGTTTCTTAATTATTAGACGATCGATTATTTTTATCATTTGAATTTATGCATATTTTATTTTTATTACCATGAATTGCTTTTAATAGGCTCTCATATGCTTCTATCATATAATAGAAAACTAATTAACTAAATAACTATCTAGCTAAGTACAAACAAGCATTTCTTCAAATCTAAAATCATGATTTCTTAGATTAATTTAAATTTAAATATCTTTATCATTAAAGTACATTTAAATTTTCTTTAATTTGTCCATTCATTTTACATTATAAATAGATTCCTTTTATTTAAAAATTTGTACTCGAAATGATAAATAATATTTTTGTTTGATTTGAAATTCTTTATCATTTATTATAATAATTATAAACAAAAATTTCATATTTTTCTAAATGAATAAGTTTTTTTAGCTTCTTAGATTAGGTTAAAGTGATATAAAATTTAAGTTTCAGAGCTTTTTCATTTTGCTAAAAATAAGAATTAATATCCATTTTATGCGGGAAAGCAATTCCTTTAAAAATATAAAATTTAAAAAATAAGCGCTTTGAATAATTTCAAATATTTCATCTTTTATAAATTTTTAAATTTAAAATTACAGAGGATTTTAACAGAAATATTAACCACACAATTTTAATATTCAAGACACTATTTAATTGATACAAAAATTTATGCCAAATAACTAAATATCTTGAACGAAAATTTCGAAAGAAAGATGATCTTAATCATTTCCTTTTCCTTATAATAATTAGTATTATAAACTAAAATAACAAACAAATATAAATTTTCATGATAAAAATAAAATTGCTATCAATAAAATAATTATTAAATGATTTAAATAATCAAATTTATATAATTTCTTTTTAAAGGAAATAATTCAAACAGCAATATTTTTAAATACCAAAGATAAAAAATATAAATTTATTCATTTAAAAATATTTTTTAACATCTCTTTTTTTCTTATAGTAAATCTGTTTTAATATTTTTAAAAATAATCAAAAATAAAATTTGATTGTATAAAAAATGGATAAAATTAATTTAATATCATTCAAATAAACTTTAAGTAAGACTAATTATTTTTGTATTTATCTTAATATTTTTTGAAAAACTAAGTTTCCTTAAAATAGAATTTTAAAAAGTATTCGAAATTTTTGAAATTTTGGCTCCTTTTTAAATCTGCTATTCAAAAAGTAAAAAAAAAGACACTAAAAAACTATTTAGAAAATCTCATTTTAGGTCATTTGAATGATATTTGAATTTTATTTGGAGATATTTAAGGCAAAAAAACAAACTAAACTTAAATAAAATTATTTAAATTAGCCTTGAATAAGAATTTTTCTTTAAATAATTTGTTAAAATTTAAATTATTATTAAAAAGAACTAATAAATGAATACTCAAAATTTGATCAGTAACACATATAAAGAATTTTTTAATAATATAAATATAAAATTAATTTAGAGTTTATAATAATTTTAAATTGATCTTAAGTTCAATTTTTTATTTTTTATATCGAATGTCTTTAATTTTATTTCAAGTCAACTCTGTAAATAAAATAAATACTTTCTATCTCATTCATTCATTCAAGTAAGTAACTACTAATATCTTTTTTATTATATTAGTATTAATTTTTATTATATGAATGAGTGGAATATTTCAGTATATCAATTGGTGTGGTAAGCAGATAGATAGATAAGAGCAATTTTATTAAATTATCTCATCAATTTATTTTTATTTGGTTAATATAAATTAGAATACATCGATAGAATTTTTAAATAATAAATGAAATAGTTTATATTTATTGAAAAATTTGTTAAATTTAATTAAATTTTATTATAATAATTTTGAATGTAATTTTTGTTTGATTGTTCAAAATATATCTGTTGAGAATTAATCCAGTTAGTTAGTTAGTTATTTAGTGAATTTATCATTGATTCTATTTACGTTTCTATTTGTTATTGGTTTTCATTACTTTAAGGAATAATGAATGAATGAAAATTTTTCTAGTTTGAGTCAAATAAAAGTGTTTTTTTGAGTTAGTTTATAGTTTTTATAGTATATTAGAAAGGTATCAAAGTTTAATAGATATTTCTCTGCATTAAATTTCATATGTTTGTTTATATTAATCACATCTGGTCCTGACTCATTGAATTATTACTCTTCAATTTTTTCCTAGGAAGTGAGCCTGATTCAATTTTTGTACTAAAGTCGTTTAGAGATTGCTACATCATCCCTTAGTGTAAAGCATTATTTCCGTTCATTCCATTTTATTGTTGATTTTGGTGGTAATTAAAAGCACTATTTTAACTCGAAAATTGGGGATTATTGTTATTAGGAGTTGGTCCATTTCCCATTAAGTTTTATGGGTTTGGCATTCCTCCATAAAAAGAATTTTAAAATCCATTATTAGCAGGTTATCCGTAGGGATTCTAGAAATCACCTAAAAATCCACTACTATTAAACCCAAGTTGTGGTTGATTGTATTATTATTAGAAGTATAATTATTATTATGTCTGTTAGCACAAAAACTATAACTGAGAATTAGGATCATTATTTTAACTAATATTATCATCCTCATAATCATCAACTTCTTGATCTTCAGCTTTCAAGGCCTGCCAAAGACTTGTATTAGAAATCTCTTTTCTATATCTATTCTATTTTTAATTTTTTAATTAATATATTTATTTACAAACAAACAAATAAATTAATTTTTTATTTACTCTTTCCATAAAAGATAAAAACTTAGCTGATTGCATAGGATTCATATAATTTCTAAGGCTATCTACCATGTGCTCTAAGGAATAAGTTTTTTCTTGAATGTTCTTCTTAATTTATTACAAACTGATTATTAAGCTAATTAATTTAAACAAATTATTTAAAACCATGTCTTAAAAAATAAATAAATAAATAAATTACTCATCTAAATTCTTTTTTTCTTATTTAAATTTCTTCTTGAACTTCAAAATTTTTTATCTTTGAGTATCATTAATGTCAACGTACTATATTAATTCTTTTCTCCAATCAGGTCTCTTATTCATTTGTTCAGGAGAGAAAGGATTATCAGCAAACATGTCTTCCTCTATTTAAATTAGATAAAATTAAAATTAAATTAATAAATTTTAGATTCGAATAAAAACAAAAAAAATTTTATTTTTCAAAATACAACAAAAATTGCGAGAATTAAATTAAATTTCAAAAAAAAACAATAAATAAATTTTATTTGTTGTTTGATTTAACTAATAAAATTATGAACAAACATATTTAAGCTTATTCAAAATATCTTTTATAATTTCTTATAAAATTAATGGTGTTATTATTAATTGTAAACAATATGAAAGATTTAAATTACCTGCATCTGCAGTATAAAGTAAGTATCTGAAATGAGTTGGTATACAAATGTCCAATATTTATTTGAAGAAGTAGTTTATTGCTGTAATTCTTTCCTTTCCTGTTGCTCCTAATCTAAATCTCAGACTATCTAAAAGTAAATTAATTTCATTTTCTTCGCCGTTAGATTGAATACACTTTTCTAGCTTATCAAGTAACTAAGTTTAGTTTAGATTCAATCCTGCTAGTTAAGTTTGGAAGCTCATTTTATTTAAATATTAGTTATTTGATTCTAAAGCTCTTTTTGTTTTTTCTAGCTCTTCGTTGAGATTAGCAACCTTAAATTTTAATTATTAATATTTAATTTTAGAATTGAATCAATAAAATATACTTTTGTTTCAAGCAATTCAATGTAAATTTTCTTTCTTTTTCTGCTGTTTCTGGCACTTTCTCTGTTTCTAACAAGTTTTTCGTTGAGTTTTTTTTCTAATTTTAAATTAAATTTTAAAAATTCTTTCTTAAAATAAGTAATTAAATACCATAATTTTATTTGCTTCCATTTTAATTACTGGAAGAGCTTTCTGAACCTTTGTCTTGTTGGGAGTATAAAGCATATTAATCGTTTTCTTTTTAGATGGCATCAGTTGATGACTGAGATTTGTTAGTTACTGTTTTTAAAACATTTATTTAACACATTTTACAATTTTATTTAGTATTTACTTGTTATTGGATTAGATGCAGGAACAGGACTAACTTAATCCTTTGTTTGTTATAGCTATTATTGTCTTATTCTAACACTTTCTTACATACGTTGGTCTTTCAAAATAACATCAGAAAATTATTATTCTTTTTACAGAGTTTGAATACTTTAAAAAAAAAAAATATTATTGTTAAAATTATAAAAAAGCAAATAATTTTATTACAATTAGGATTCTCTTTTGAGCTATTCTTGATCAGTGATGAGAGAATTAATTTTGTTTATATATGTGTTTTTGGTTGTATGCTTTAAGGAAGATGCATTGCCATTGGCATTATTATTGTTATTGCTGTTGGCAGCATTATTTGTGTTGTTAGAATTATTGTTATTATTACTATTGTTGTTTGTATTATTGCTGTTGTTACTGTTAATGCTACTATTTAAATTATTTTATTGACTTTGACTTTTTTCAAGTTTCAATTTTTATTCATCATTCATTTAGCCATTTGCAGCATTTTGAGCTTCACTGTTTGAGTTTTAGCGAGAATTAGATAACTTTTTATCATCCTGAGTCTTCTGTTAATTATTATTCTTAATTGAATTACCCTTTGATCTATTTATTATTGAATATGAAAATGTAATTAAACAAATGTAATTTCTAATATTTCAATTAATTAATATTTATTTTAAAATATGAGCTCATTTATGAATATCACAAATTTAATTAAAATTTTTCTTCTTAAATCTGATAAGAATTCATGCATGGAACTTAAATATTCAATTAATAATTTCTTCTGCTTTTTTTGTTACTTGTTTTGTAAATTTTAAATATTTTTGGAATTTAAGTGATTTAATGAAAATGAATGTAACTTTGCAGAGTACATTTGCTATTTATTAATTTATTTTTCAAGTAATTTTTCAATCAATTAGAAAAAATAGACATTTGTTGAAAATAAACATGAAAAAAGTCTAAAATAGCTGCAAAGTATTCAGGAAGTGTCAATGCTCAAATAAAACTATTTTACTTTTTTATTATTTAAATGTTGGCATTCATATAGTCTCCTCCATCTAAAAAGCTTGTATTATTTGCAATATATTTATTGAAGTCATCCTATGCCGATCCACTAATATTATAAAAATTAAAATTTTACTTAATTAATTCATTCACATGATGTTTATTTACTTTCCAGAGTTGTTTTAATGAAGAAAACTTGCTCCAAATTAATTGGTGTTGTTCGATCCAGCAAAGTTTAAGCCTATGTTTAGCGGATTTTAGGAATTTTGTTAATTTATGGTATGATTGTATGCACCTAAATTGAAATTTGTGGTAAAGGGATTTCCCTCGCTAGTCAACAGTCCAAAATTTTGGTTAACTTAGAAAGGCATATTCTATGTGAGACTATTTTTAAGAAATAAATAAAATAAATCCTAATTGTTTTATTTGTCTTAATAAAATTAAATAGGTGCGTCATGTTAGAGAGTGATTGCTAAGGAAGAATCTTCTAACTAAAAATCCTAGTTGGAGACATTATATATATATATCAAAAGCCCTAAATAAAAAAATAATCGAATTACTTTTTAGGTGGATTATTTTCATACAATGTTTGCATAAAATCATTATCAAGAATTGAAATGTGATGATTTTCTGTATGCGTTTCCTCTTATGCTAGTCTCTATAAGTAGTTTTAATCCATTTATAATAAATAGTTTACTTAATATTATCTGTCTAAGTTGATTTGGTGTTTAATCTTTTATTTATTTTGTGTGAAATGGAATTAAGTTGGGGTTTTGTCAAATGCTAGTTGTTGGGTTAAAGTGACGTATTTTTTATATATGATGAGAAAGCTTTGTCCTATGTTAGAGATTTTAATTAGATGTTATTTGTGAGTGGTTGTTTGTTCTTAAAATCCTCCTAACTTTTTCTATTTATTTTTTGAAAATCAATCAATGTATTTAATTATTTAATATTATAGTAAATATTAATTTCTTTTTTTACCAAAATTAATGATTATATATACTCATAATCTTGCCGTATTTTCTTATTATATTTTCTGTGCATAAAATCAAACTTTTCTTCATTCATATTAAAAGATTTATGCATCTATATTTCTTTCTTTCTTTTTATGTAAATCATTTCTGTGCATGGTAATTTAATCAATGGAGAACTCATCTATCTATCTATACTTTTTACTATGTATTCTATTTGTATTGCATTTCTCTATTTATTTTATCAATCAATCAATCAATCAATCAATCAGTCTAAATTGTTATTTTATTAACCAAATTGGTTATTTATTTATTTATTAATTTGCATTTGCATGCATGTTTGCATGTTTGTTTGTATATTTATTCTCTTAGCTCCTTCGCATATTTCTAAGAAGCTCTTGTTTTATTAAATTTCATATTAATTAGTTTGTTTGTTTGTAGGATTTTCATTTGTGTTGATTACAACTTATATATTGAATCAGCTTATTACATATCTCAGGATTTAATATATATTAGATTGATATATATGGATTCTATCCACATAATATAAATTTATTCTATTATTAAAATCTAAATATATTTAAAGCTGAGCTCACAAAAAATGTAAATTAATATTAAAATTGGGTATTTCATTTACTTATTTAAATAGTTTTTATAAATTGCTTTTGATGATTTAAGCAAGCAAGTAAAAAATATTTCAAAGTAAAGCTCTAAAGAAACAGTAAGGAATTAAAGAATGTATCAGATTAATTTATTCTTTTAGATTATCAACAAAATGAATAAATAAATATTTAAAAATTAGGAATGCTAGCTTCAGAAGAAAAAGTGATATTTATTAGATTTCTACCATATAGTTTGTTGCGCCTAGTGTAAAGCAAAAAAGTTAAGCAAATTAAATTGAGGCTCAAAAACGCTAAAAATAGTGATTTTTATAGCAAATTGAATTATTTGAAAATAAATCAGGTATTTTAGTAGAGAAATTTTCGCTTTTGGTGCTAATTTGTAACTTGTAAGGATTTACGTTTTAGCCAAAAACTATGTAAAATTGAATTGAGGGTCATCATGAAATAGAAAAACTTTGCACAATTAAGGTTTAGCCCTCTGTAATAAAAAATTAACAGATTGAAAAAAGGAGGTAAAGAATTTAAGTAGAGACTTGAATTTAAAAGAAGTCCGAATGACGCAACTTCTGATTTGCCTCTTTGATTTAATTTACTCAATAATTTAGAGTATCAAAGAGAAAATTTGTAAATTAATATTTGCTAACAATTACCCTTGATTAAAATAAATTAAATGCACTTCTAAGTATAATTTATTTACAAATCTCTTTTTTGTGTGGTTAATTTAATCAAATAGATACTCTCTAAGTCAAATTAACAAATTCACTTTGCAAAATAAAGCATCAGATAAAAAAGTAAATTAAAGGCGCATAAATAAATAAATAAATTGATTTCTTTCATCCTCAGTCATTTTTGATAAAATTTCCATACAAATCTTTTAACGAAGATATGATTAAATTATTTTGATTTGATATGTGGACAAGAGTTGAAAATTCAAAAATAATTTGATAGATTTCTTATGCTTAAAGATTTGATATCCAAAAGAAATTAAACAAATTAATCAAAGTACACACAGGTATATTCTTCATGGTATTACATTTCATTTCATCACCTAGCAAAAAAAAAAGTAAATTGCTTCTTAATTTAAGAAATTTATTTTTTTTTCAATCTTGGATTAATTCAAGTGCATTTATATTAGTTTTGTAGCATCTGTAGATATACAAACTGACACCAATCGATGACTACATAAAAATCCCAAATAAAAATAATAAATAAATTAAAAAATTAACAAATCTCTATAATTTCAAAAGTAAAGATTGATTGATTAATTTATTCATTATTATTCATATAATAAAAACTAAATTAAAAAATATTCTTTTACTAAAATTTGTCATTTTATAATAAAGAATTATGTTTTCAGTTAAGTTTTTACTTAATGCTGCTTTTGAATATGTCAAATGAGCCAGTATTTTCTTGATAAATTTAGCAATCAATTATAATGCTGTAGAATAAAATCGATAAAAAAACGTGCAAATAGTAAAAATTCAACAACAAAAAAATAGAAAAAATTTCATAGTGCATAAAAAATATTATTGAAAGTAAAGTTTTATTCTGGGATAATTATTAATTTGAAATAATTGAAACGTCATCGTGAAAGACGTAAGTCATTTTACGAATAGCTCAAATAAATTTTTTTCAAAATTTGGTTTGTTGTATGTTCTTATAATGACAGAGTTTGTTTTTCAAACGAATCTATTTTAATATTGAATTATAATTCTTTTATTAATAATCCCTTCTGCATCTATATAGAAGCAGACAGACCCCACGAAAAATTTAGTTTTACAGGTTGCTTATATTCAAATAAAATAAAAACAGATATAATGAGCTATGATTTTAAAGAAACTAGCATAAGATGAATAAAATTGAAAACTAACTACAACATTTAATTTGTTATTTGACTTGAAACCTATACAGAATTGAAAAAAAGACTAATTGTAATTGATTATTTGATTGAATAAGGCTTAAAGTAAGCATGATAAATATTAATAATTGAAGGCTTGCCTAATTAATTCTAATTGAATAAATAAGACTAATTGTAAAACTTAGTGTCTAAAGACTATTAAATAATAAATGTAATCTATATCTCAAAAAGTGTAAAAATATTAGTTTTGTTTTACTCTTAAATACTAATTTAAAATAATACCAGAAACTATCCTCCCTCACTATTTTATTATTTCGTAAACCAATAACAACATAGGTATATGCAATATAATAACTCTTTAATTATAAATCTACTTAATAGAGTTGAAACTAACTAATAAATGTAATCATTTTTTAAGGTTTAGGTATTTACACTCTCTATAAAATTCTATTTATTAAAAAACTTTTCTTTTTTTTCAGTAAATTCAACTCAATTAATTAATAGAAATAAACAGGTTAATTAATTATAATCAAAAAAGCTAATTATAACTTCTAAAATATTTTTAATAAATTCATATTTTCTATTATTAATATTGCTTGTCTTTGCTTGTTTATTTATTTATTTGTTTGTTTGTTTACTTTTGAATGAGTTATTATCGACTAATTTTTGTTTGAATAAAAATACAAAAAAGGAGATAGTTTTAATTAATTTAAAAATTGTCATCTAATTTAACATGTGGTCAATTACACTCAGGTTAACACAAAGGGCAAATCCAAATAAAATATCACATCCATTTTATAAATTAAATTAATTTGTTTTCAACAGTAGTAACTAAATTCTTATGAATATTTTTGATAAAAACTAAATAAAATTTCTTTTTTTAATTTTTGCTAGTAGAAAAAAACAAACAAATTGATTCATTCATTAAGCATTACTTTGAATTTCTTGCAAATTTAAAACTAAGATAATAAATAAATCTTAACAAAATGCATCATTCATTCATTCATTCACTCATTATTAATTAGATTCTTCTTAATGTTTCATATAGTACTCTTTAATATCAAATCTGCAGTTAGGGCAATTACTTTTCTTACTAAACCAAGGTAAAATGCAACTATCATGGAAGATGTGCTTACATGGAAGCTTTCTAATGATTTCTCCTAAATTATATGTTCAAAATATTCTTAAAAAAAATATTTTTAGAAAGAGAAAAGACTTTTCTCTAATAAATATTATCAACTAAATGACTAAATTTGCTCATACAGATTGCATGTAAAATCAAAAATGTAAAAATAAATTTGAATTTCTTTGGATATTTTCATGAATCTTTCTTTATTCATGATTTCAAATTTGTCTAAAGAACATTGGTTGAATATTTGATTCTTAAATATTATTTTAGATTTAAAGATAGTTTTTCACTTAAATTTTAATTTACAGTTTGCTTCAAAAATGTGTTAAAATATTTTGAATTATTTATCTTTGGTGTAAATTATTTGGTTTTGTTTAATTTACATCAAAAAGTCTAATTTGATCTAATTTTTAACATTGGCTTTTTCCTATTTTTATGTTTAAGTTGTTGGGAAAACATAGTAAAAATCAATCAATAATTAGTTATTTGTATACAAGTAATTAACAGACTAGCATAGATATTCTGTGAAGTTGTATTAAATTACTCCTTTTAAATAATTTATGTGGTTCGTATTAAGCTTTTATAAATATTTCCTTTCTTTGTCCAATTTTTTTTACTGAATTTATAAATGAAATTTACCCTTTTTAAACGGCGTAACGCAGATAGCACAGGATTAATTGCTTGTACCCATTTTCATCTTCTTCACTTTATCCACAATTTCGTCAGGAAGTCTTCCTTCTTCATCCATTTGCATATTGTTATCCCATTCTAATTGTTAAAATTCATCTGCCTAAAGAATATAAATTCTAAATTATAATTAATCACAATTTAATTCAAACAAATACGACTAAACGCAAGAAGGTTTCTTTGCTCATTCCAAAAATGGGACATTATTCTACGTTGTTTAAAATTAGTTTAAATATTCAATGCTCAATCTTCACTTTGAAGAAATTACAGTTTTAATGATCAGTTGTAAAATCAAAATTATCATAAACGTTGCTCCATTCGTTATTCCAATCTATAAAATCCATATTATATTTTCCTGTTGGATTGCCTTTAATTGGTCTATCGTCACCTCTCTATTATCTATTTGGCTATCTATCCATTTTATGTCTTTTTAAATATTTTATATAACAAATTATGTATGTGTGTGTCAGTCACTAATATTAATTTCTATTAAATATAAATTTTCAGCAGCTATCAGATTTCTTCTATTAAATAAAACTCAATTTGTTAAAATAAAATAATAAAAACTTAGTCTATGTATATTTTATCACAAAATCAACAATAAATAATTTCTATTATAAACAATTTAGTTAGAGTTTATTTCAATTTACATTTTAACTTTTTTTAAAAAAATTTAAATTGAAATTAAAAATATTTTTAAAATAATCTTTTAAATCCAAATTTTATTTTAATCACTATAAATATTTTTATGTGGTTAATAAAAATAAATAGTCTAAAAAAAGCTAACTAAATAGAGTCTTATGTTGCAATTTATCGGAATTAAATAAATTTAAAAATTATTTTCTTTAAAATTTTTAATTAAAAATTATTATTTTATTTTATCTATTTTGATTTTATTTTTGTTCACTCAAATTTTATTGATTTTTTGATATTTTTTTTGAATAAATTGAATATCTTTTTCATTAATTTAGATAGCAAAGCATTAGCAAGTAGCGCAGATATTTTTGGTATTGTAACATATTCGTTCCTTGTGAAAATAAAAAATGTCCATATTAATAAATGCTAGGGCTTTAACTGTAAATATTTAATACTCCCTTCATTTTTATGCTTAACTTTCTAAGTTTTTTGATGATTTGATCTTATTTTTTAATATTTTTTAGCCATTAGTCTTTTTGAATTATCTTTCATTAGAAGATTATCTGATTACTAAGCTTAAAGAGAATACTTCTTCTTATAAATAACTTAAAAGTGATTATGAAGAAAAGACGATGAAGTATGAAGAACCAGAAAAGGCAAAGAAATTAGTAGAATAATCTAAACAATCAAATTTGCAAGAAACTATTCTGAGTTCAAAACATAATGTAGAAGTTACTCACAATTATGTTTCCTCTTTAAAGTAATAAGCAAAAAAAGATATTAGATTTTAATTTAAGTATAATTGAATTAGGATTGCATATTACAGACAAACAATTTATAACAGTATACATGAAAATCTACCTGTTATTTATCCACTCGTGGTAAAGAATTATTGATTTAAGCACAAATTTCCTTTTAAAATAAAAAAGAAAATTCTATAAATCTTAAAATATATAAAAAGACTATAGGATCTTTCTTTGCTCCCGTATTGATGACAAGAGCATGTGAATTATTTATATTTGGCAGATTTGGAGCACTTATTTATGATATATGGGATCTTAAAAAGAATAGTTAAAGTAAATGTTTATTTATTTATATAATAAACAAAAATATTCATTTTAATAAAATATAAATTATTTTAAAGATTAACATAATATACTTTATTAAACTTCTTACATTAAAAAACATTTCTAATTAAAGCTAATAAAATCAAGCACTTTAATTGCAAATTATGGCAAAATCAACAAATTAAAAATTTATAGAAAATAATAAGATAAGCTTTCATAATTTTTGAAATTAAACATTAATTTACCCTAACACTGATTTTGATTTTTAATAAATAAATTATTTTATAATTTTGTAAATATTTTTATTATAAAACCTTTACCTTGACTTTTGCTGTTAGCAAAAAAATTTTTTTTCTTCAACTTATAAAAAATTGAAAAATGAACACTCCCTTAATATATTTATTTATATATGAGGAATTACAGAATATTTTTAGTGATATAATTTATTACAATTAAATTCAATAAATAGCTACAATTTTAATAAAAATAACAAATAATTAGCTTTAATACTCTATAGCCTTTTTATTTAAAAATAAACAAATTCATTGCTAGCATGATGTTAAATATATTTAAGATTTACTTATTTATTTGAATGTATTTCGATTAATGCATCAAGATATAAAAAATAATTTCATTATTTACAGATCAAAAAATAAATATTTATTTGAAATTATAATTTAAGTGAATTTTTCATTAACTAATTACAATAAAATTAATTTTTTATAAAGTTTCGACTCGTTCTGAAGATATTGTTTACGGATTTTCTACTGTAGCTATTTTCTCATTAGTGGCATTCACAAGTTTTGTTCCTTTTTATAGATTTGCTAGCTTAAGCTCTAATAAATTAAAAGATATAGCTGCTAGAGAAGTGATGCTAGCTGAGCGTGCTAGAGAATAGTTAACTAAATTAAAATGAGTAATTTATATAAAAATTAATTTGCTATTTATAGTGAAGTTCAACTGGAAGAATAAAATGAGTTTTGTTGCAAAATAATAATATTTGATAAACATAAATTAATTAAATAAATACTCCTAACACAACTTATTTTTTAACACTCTATTTTACATATAACCACAAATTATTTTTTTTAATTATTTAGTTTGTTTGGTAGTTTTTTTATTTATTGTTTAGGTTATTAAATCAAACAAAAACAAATGTAAGAATTATGATAATTTATATTTTTTTATAATGTAAATAATAGAGATTTTATATCTAATTACTAATATGTTTCTTTTATTAGTAAAGTATGCATAATTTTTGCAATTTCATTATGTTAATTGCGCAAATTTAATTTAAATATTTAGTTTAGCTGCTTTGTAAAAAATAAAAATTGATTCGCAAATAGAAATTGACAGACAGATAAATAATTTATTTATTTATAAAGGTTGAATAGTTAGTTAATTATTAATAGCCTTCAAAAAAGAGAATAAAATAATTGTAAACAACAACGTATTTGAAAAGAATCTAGCTAGAAAGTAGGTTAAAACAGAAGAACAAATTAAACAACAAAGGAATTTCGTCATTTTTAAAATGGATGAAATAGCTTCCTAAAATTTATAAGAAGATTAAAATCAAGTTATTGAAGATTTTATTAATGAGGAAGGAGAAGAAAAGAATTAACAAAATGTTTTGAATTCTAGCATTCTGCTAAATACAGAAAAAGTAGCAGATTTAAAAACAAATAAATCTAATCAATTTTAACTCAATTTAGACTTAGGAGATTAGTCAAGCGACAGTAGCCCATAAAGAAGCAAAGACAAATCTAAAAAGAAAAGAAGAAATACAATAAATTTAATGTCTTCAGAAGAAGATTTCAGCATAAATTTTTAAGAATATAGTGAGATAAAGTAATAAATAGACACTGACTAGTTTGTTTTGCAAGGTCTTTCAAGTTAGGAAATAGAAAAATCTAATAAAGGGAGCATCGAGTTAAGCAAAAAGTTAAGCGGAAACTCAAATAGGGATTAAAAAGGCAAATTTGGAGGAGATAATCTTGTTTTTAAAGAAGATGACGAAGCCTTCTTTAAGAGAAAAGAAAATTTAAACATCTCTCAAGATATTGATGAAGAAAAGCTAGAATTGATGAGAAAAGAATTATCATATTAATTGTTTGAAAATAAACACTTAGATTTATTTACTAGGTCAAAAGGGAAATTGTCTGTAGATATCAAAGATTTAGAAGAGGATGAGGAAGAAGGAGAAGATCAAGATAAAAATAGCGATTTTTTAAAAGAGCAAAAACAAGAAAACTTCTTTAAAAATAGCAAATTAAACCTAGGAGAATTAAAATTATATAACCATAATTATCAATAAGGAAATTTTTATAATTGGGCAGACTTTTAAGTTTTTATTTCTTCCACAGGCTCCTTTCTTATTAATGGTATGTTTTTATTTATTTATTTGAATACATTAAATTTTTATATATTTAATTCCTCTAAAATAAGAAATCATCAAAATATTCTTACAAGGCAAACAAAAAATTTATTTAGTAATATTAATCTTAAACAAAATCTAATAAAATATTATTGTCATAGTAGATAAAATAAATAAATTAGAGCTTAATATTAAACATGACTTGCAATTTATTTTATCATATTATAATGAACACTAGCTTTACATATTATTGAAAAATTAAGCATATAATGATATCTAGATATTTACCTCTGCTAATATGAGAAATTAGTCTCACTTTAATTATATAATCTAAAGATAAAAGTTAATAATGAAGTTAGAATAAAAAAGTGAACAAGAGAAATTAATTTTATTAAATTTATTAAAATAGTAAGTAAGTTATAAAAGAAAATAAATTTAGTATCAATTTTAGCTTTACGATTGAAAAAAATCAGTAAATTATCAATTAATGAAGGAAAAGCTCTAAAATAAATTTATGCATAAAATATATTTAAAAAAAAAAAAAAAATTTAATGGGAATTTTAGCTTTATTATGAAAATAAATCAGAAAATAATCAATAAATAAATGTAGGAAGTGCTCTAAAATAAAATAAACTTAAGGACAAAATATATTTTTAAAGAAAATAAGTTTGCAAGGTATTTAAGTCTAATTTAAGCAAATAAGTAAAATTAATACCCTAAAATAAAATCTTTGAATAAAATTTTAGATTTTTTAATAATTTTTAAATGTTAATTATGAGATAACTTTGCTAAAATTGCCTATTAATAAAAATCACATAAATTAATTTTTACTTTTTATAAAAGAAAAGAAACAAATATCTAAATTACTTCATAAGCTGGAAAGCTGCTACAACGAAAATATCATGAGCAATTTATAGTTTAGGGAGTAATTTTAGACACGTAAAGATTATTCTTTAGAATCAAAACAATACGTGCCTATCATTTTAGATACTAAGTACCAAATATTCAGAGTTGATAATTCCTTGAAGGTTAATCTCTCTATAGCAAAAGACTACATTTGTGAAAATCTGAAATACATACAAATGAATCCTTCTTTATTGGCCTAAGTTGTTTCTTCTCTTTCTTCTTACAGAGATTTTGAAATAAACGATTTTATCGAAAACATAAATAATTTCTTATTTGACAATATCTTAGACTATCAACCAATTTAAAAACCACTTTATAAATTCCTCTCTGAAATAATCAAAGTAATTAATTAGATAGATAAATAAATAAATACATTTTATCTTTATTTATTTGACATTAATCTAAAAATAGAAAGAGATAAACAATGCTAAAAAGATTCAAGACACTTTTAAAATGGATTCTATTTATATGAAATTCATCTAAGGTTTCACAAAGAGAACTAATTTTTAAATATTTTTTTCTGAATCATTCAAAATACCTTTGTACTCAATAATAAAATATAACAAAATTATTAAGATTGACCCAGCAAAGTAAATTAATTATTAATCAAAGATTAGCTAAGATAAATTTAAAAATTTTAATTAAAAAGAATTAATAGTGAAGACCTAAACATAAAAAAACCTCAACAAAATAATTATCATCATCACCACCACCATTACAATCAACATCATTAGAATTTAAATAACTAAAATTCCGTTATCAATTTGCATCACAGCTAACCAATTCAGATGAATTAAAGCCTAAACTCAAGCAGTATAGGAGGAAATACTACTGAATTTAGACATACTCACGATGTTGTACTCAAAATTAATTAAAGTTAAGACTAAGATAATCGTACAAGCATTCCTCAAGTATAAGCTAATAGAAACACAGGATTTTTAAACAGCTTTTTCAGCTTATTTTCATCAACAGGTAATTATTTTTTTCTTTCATTTTTAACAATTTTTTTCGAACATTTCTTTTTATAATTCAAATTTTAAAAAAAAATATTTAAATTATAATTTAATATTTTCATAATTTAATTGTTAAAATAAAAAGAATCTAAAAAGAAAAGAAAAGACAGCAACAATACCTTAAATGAATCAACTATTTTGCAATAAGGACCACCTACTTTATAATACTAAAATAGTAGTTGTAGTTGTAACAATATTGATTCAATAGAAGATAATTCAGTTAACCTCAACTCATAAGAGTCTGCAATGACAAAAAGTATTGAGAATTCAGTCATAGATGAAACTGAAGAAGATAGAGCTTTGATAGAAGAGAGAAAAAAAAAAGAAGTAGAAAATAATATACTTGTCCTCAAATAAATTACTACATAAATTATTGATGCCTTAACAAAGCACATTTCCTGCATTCCTAAAGGTAGAAAATTAATAATTATTTTAAATGAATCAACAATAAGCTTTTTTTGTGATTTTTCAAAAAATTAATTTGAATTTTTAAAGTTTTTAATTGTAAATTTAATAGGAATAAAGATCATGTGTAAAATGATTGTAATATTACTTGCTTAGAAGGACCCTACATTAAGTTTGGAGGAAAGACTTTAGGTATTATCTTAATTTATAATCATGAGATGGGTCGTTCCTTCACTTGTTTCTCTACTTCATAGGAACACATTGACAGAGCTACATTAAGTGAGGTACCAAAATATCTCAACTATCACAAAAGTGCTACAAAAAATATTTAAGAAAGAATATGAAAATTTAAATGATAATCCTGGTCATGATATTTTGAGACCATTTATCATGAGTTTTTCGGAGAGAATAGACAAATTTTATGATTATCTACTTAATTTTGATGGAGGTTTTATTGAAGATATCATTAACAAAACTGACAAAGAGTTATACAGCCTAAAAGAAGATACGATTACATCTCTAAGTTTATCCTATAGTGACGTAGATTTAATACACAAGATATTTTCTTCTGTTCAGGATGACAAAATTAAGTCCTAACATAAGAAATTGTTTACCTAAGTAGAAAAGTTTAATATTTACTTATTTTTTTATTTATTTATTTCAAATTAGAAGAAGATCTTAATTTTATTTTATATTCTAATTTAGGTGTATTAAATTTAACGAAGCAGAAAAATTCCTAGATAACACTATTAAGAGCTAGCAAAATACTCTCTTCTACATTTGGAGGCCGGCTGAGTTTTATACTTAAAATTTAGTAATTCATTTATTAAATAATTTTTTTTATAATTTAAATAATTTCAATTTTGATTTAATTAATTACAAAACTTTTATCGTTTTTTGTTTAAATTAATTTCACTTGGAAAGCTTAAAAATTTATTGATTCCCAAAAATATTTTATGTAAAATGAAAAAAATTTATTTAATTTATTAAAAATTCTAATTGAAATTAAATTAGTTTTGTTTGAAAAAATTATTTAATTTATTAAAAATATTAATTTAAATTAAATTAATCATTTTTATAAATTTAAATTCAGTTAATTCTTTCCTTTCATTTTCATTCTGTTTATCGTTTCTTCTTTCTTCAGATTTTATTTTAAAATTTTATCAGTTTTCAAAGAAAGAATTTTATTTAATTAGAAATAAATTTAAATATTTTTTGAAAAGGTTGACAAATGTTTAAAATTTCCAATTTAGAATAAGAATGATGCTGAACATGTGACAAAATAGAAGCTTATAAACACATTAATTTAATTTTTCTAGAAAATTAACCCAAATGAAGATTTTATAGAAAATACAAATTCTTAAGAGTTACAAGGAATATTAAATTTCTATGGAAGAAAGAACCAAATGAGTTAAAAAGTAATGCAAAATGGGTTGTAACTAAAAATATAGTCTAATTTCATTAAAAGTTTATTGAAAAAATTTAGTCCTGACTATGAAGGAAATAGCTTCTAAAGCTTGTTATAAGAAATTCATACAGAAGTGAGTGAAAAAAGATAGAATGTTGTAGACTAAATTAAATATATTAAATATAAAATATAACAAGCAATAAGTAAACTAACCTCATAAACGCTACAAATAAAAAAAGAAAACCAAGAAATGCTTGAAAGGACAATAAAATAAAACATTTTATTATTTATCAAAAAGGCAGATATTCCTGTAAGAATTATTTATTAAGATGACTGTAAAATCATGATTGAGAAAGAATAAGATGAGTAATAATTCAAAGAAGCTTATTCTTTCTATAGAGAATCATTGCAAGTTGGTAAATAAATTAAATTATATATTTGATTTGAAAGTCTAACTTTTATAAATAATAGGATATGATCAAGTTAAGCAAAAAATGAAGAAGAAATCAGTTAATTTGGTAATATTAAATAAAACATATTTAGAAAATAAATTTATCATTTATTATTTTTTATTAAAAAAGAACGAGAATGACATAATATGTAAAAATATCAAAGAGTAAATAAAAAAGTTAATTTTCTAATTATTTGATTGAAAAAATTAAATTTTTTTAAATAGGTTTATTGAAAGCATGCATTAAAAAAGGATATTTGATAAATTAATTGATTTTTATCCTTAAAACATCAAATAATTTAGAAAATAAATCAATAATTATAACGATTATATTGTTGAAAAATTCTTTAATATGCCTAAAATGCAACAAAGCAACAGGATGGCCATTTATGAGTAAGTTTAAATTTAATTCGAAAAATATCTTGCTCGTGCTCTTGCCAAAAAGTAAACATTAAAAATTTTGATTTAAATTTTAATTATTTTTTTAATCTTTTTAGATATTTAATGAAGAAAGAGCAATATAATGTTATATGTTCTCCTAAACATTCTGGTAATAGAAAAATAAGTATAATTGACAAAATGAAACATAATTCTGGCAAAAAAACTTATGATGATATCCACTTAGCTTCTCTAACTCCAAGTAATTAATAATCTTTAATATTTAAATTTATGAAAAAATAACTAATTAATTAAACAGAACTAGAAAAGATTTAAAAGCAATCTAATCATGTAGATATTTTATATATTATTGATGAATGCGTAGATTAATTGAGAGATCTTGCTGAACTGAATGGGTAAGATAAAAATGAGGAATTAATTATTGTATCGAAAATGAGTAGCCTAATAGAAAAATCTCAAATACATGATTGCCAAATGATAATAAAGTAAATTAATTTAATAGTCATCAATAATCAATTATTACTTATGAATAAATAGAATTATAGACAGTCTAATCAATTTAAATTTTTGGAATAAAAAAGTCAAAATTATATAATCTTTAACCATTTTTAAGCTAGCTGTTAACGAAGTAGCTTCAATGTGATATTTTAATTTGTAATTTATTTATTTTATATTAATTATTTAATTCATGTTAAATTAAATTATATTCTATTTTATCTTCTAATCTTACTATTAAACAACTTAATATATTTCCATTAATTTTATCAAATTTATTTATTTTTCATTTACCGCATCCTTAAAATTGTTCAACATATTTTAATGTTTTTTTCAGAATTTTTATCAATTTTGAGTTGTAAAAAAATAAAACAAATTGTTTAAATTAAACTTTTAATTTTAATAAAATAAGTAGATAAAAAACAACAAATAAAGAAAAAGAATTCATATTTATAAAATTAAAATTTTTTTTTTTTCTACAAATATCGAAATTAAAATATGAAATTTTCACTGAGAATAAATACACTTAATATTATTATTTCTATTTATTAATTTTTTAGTATAAAAGTTGTTTAAATTTATAAAATAAATTCCTTTTATTTTTTCATAAATTAGTTAGTAAAAGGATCAGTTAAGCATAAATCATTAGATGAATATTCCTTCTTTCCATTTACCTTTTAACATAGTTCCATTATTCTATTTAAATTCTCCATACCCGTTATATTTTCCATTCTTAAACTCCCCATCATAACTTGTATAATTATTATATTTAATAAAACCTTTTCCATTAAATAAATTATCCTTGAACTGCCCTACATAAACATGACCCTCCTTGTATGTGAGATTTCCAAAGCCGTTAAATTAGTCATTTTTAAATTCACCTACATAAATTGTTCCATCATTAAAATCAAGTTTACCTATTCCATGTTTTTCATCATTTTTTATATAGCCTTCATAGAACGATCCATTTTGATAAAGAATTTTTTTGTAGTTTTGATTGTTTGTTGAATTTTATTTAATTTAGATTCCAACTTTTATAATGATTAACGTAAGTAGAACTATGATAGAAAATTTAAAAATATTTGCTTTAATAGATTTAAAATTATTGCCTTTTGAATTTTTATTATTCTATTATTACTGCTAATCTTTTCTCATGCTTTCTAATTTAGATAAAAATGTATTTAATTTCATTCTCTCTTAAGGTTCTTTTTTCGTCAATTCTAAGGCTAAAGATATCAAAGGGTTTTCTTAGTTATCTTTATAATATCCAGTTTTTAACAATGACATTGTCATAAAATCTAGCAAATTTATTCCTGAAATAAAGCAAATAACTGAACCAAGTGCGAAATAATCTGACTCCATACATAGTTTTCCTTCAGTTTACTCATAAGCCATAAAAGAATAAGTACCTTAGTATGTAGAGATGTGAGTTAGATTTTTTTACAACTTTTTAGAAAGTCCTAAATCCCCAATTTTAGCAATCAACTAGCCATTTTCTGTAGATAATAAAATGTTTTCTGGTTTAATATCACTATGAATGATTTATTTGGCATGAATATCTAAAATTCCTTGAGTTAAATAAATAGCTATATCTAGAATTTGCTATTAATTCAACTCTTTGTAGTAATTTTAGAGATTTCCTACTTCACAATATTCGTAAATGATAAAGTAGTTTTTATTTTCTTAATCATAGAATTAGTCATGCATTTTTACTACAAACTTGCTATTAATTTGTCTCGCCAGTTGAGCTTCATTGATATATTCATTTACAAATTACTCATTTTACCCAAAAATTAACTTAATAGCAATCTTTCTTTTGTTTTGCTAATCATATCCTTAAAAAACAATCCCAAATTAGCCATTTCCTAAGATTTTAGATATAAAAATATCAAATTATTTTAAATATTATATGCCTTTTTTTATTCTTTCATTTGAAATATCTATTTTTTTTAACGTTAAATAATCATTTATTTGTTCTTATGATATCTCTTAAATATTCATTTATAAAAACTTATTTTTTGTGAGTCAAATTATTTATATTAATCAAATTTTCTTTCTTAAATATATTAATTTTGATATTTTAAGCAAAAAATTAAAATTAAATTAAATAATATAAAAAAGTAAATCAATCAACTTGAAAAAAAAAAAAAAATTAAGTAATCGATATTTAAATATAAAATTGTAATTCAAATACATTTTTATTAAAAAAATGTAATTATTTAAAAAAAATATTTTGAAAGATATTCTAAAATAACTGTAAGTATGCTGCTTTATATTAGTTTTTACAATCAAACATTTCTAATATTTGGGAAATTTGATCTAATTTATCTCGAAAATTTTATGTCAGAATATTAGAGTTGCTTGATAAATCAAACTATAATTTTAGATATTTTTTACCTAAAATGAATGAGAAAAAAACTTTAATAAATATTATGGAAACAAAAATAATTAAATAAATTTTCTTAACAAATGTTAAATTCAAAAGGCATTTAGATATATATTTATTTAGTTGAAAAATAATATAATAGTTAGTAATTTCTTTTTAAGTTTTATAATTAGTTCATGCAAATTAGTACATAATTGCATTTAGATATATATTTATTTAGTTGAAAAATAATATAATAGTTAGTAATTTCTTTTTAAGTTTTATAATTAATTCATGCAAATTAGTAAATAATTTAAATTTATTTTTTGTTAGTTTGTTTGCATATCTAAACTTAATAAGCTTTAATCTCAATATTTAAAGTATCAATGAAATTATTAGTCTCTCAATCAAACCTTATTTTAATTTACCTTAAATTAAATTTTTCCCTTTGAAGATAAAAAAATACTAAAAAAATAAAAAAAATAAAATCTGTTGTTCAATTCGACTTGAAGATATTTATTTAATTTACTGCAAACTATTTACAAACTAACTAAATTTTAAATAGAAATAAATTGTAGGATTATCAAGTTTCTTTTTTTGTTTGATCATTTGTTTGTTTGTTTTTTTGTAATTGATATTTAATCTTAAAAATTTAATTAATTACTTGCATATTAGTTTTTTTACTATAAATTATTTATTTAATAACTTTATGAAAAAAAATATACAAACTACAAGTTATCATTTTTTTATAATGCTTTATTTAATCATTTCAACCAGAGATTCCCTTGAAAGAGCCATTAGTAGCATCAGCAATAGCATTTAAGAATTAGAAAGAAAGGTCTCTTTCGTTTTACTTTTCGACGCCACCCATGATGAAGGAAATAGTGTTGACTACAACCTTATCAGTTCTGCTGGCATTCTTGTCAGCTAAGTACTTTTTGATTCCATCAACAGTTTAGACACCGCTATTAGGAACACCATCAGAAAGAAGGTAAATAGCTTTTAAGGCTTACTTGGTATTGAAAGCCAAGTCTAAACCAGAAGAAATATTGGTAGCACCGTTGGTGGTTAATTTGTTGATGTAAGCAATAGCAGCTTGGACGTTTTCAGGGGTAGCATCAACATAATCAGTTTTCCATTATGAAGCACTGTTACCGAAAATGATAATGTTGAACTTCTAGAAGGGCTTCAATTAATCAGCAATTGTTTTGGTAAGTTAGGACTTGACGAAAGCTAAACGAGAGATAGTTTCTCCGTTGGCCTTGAATGTGTAGTCCATAGATCCAGAAATATCAATAACAAAAGCAGCAACCTTTTCAGTAATAGTACCATAAATGCAGTTTCTGGGGGAAATAGCATTCAAAATGTTCATAGCATCACTCTTATTAGAACTGAAAGAGAAGCAATCAACAATAAGTTTCTTAGAGGCATCACTAACGTCGCTAAGAGTGTTAGCAATAAGATTTAAAGCTGTGAGCTTTGAACTTTCGAAAGGATATTTGGCCAAAATATCAACAATATTTTGAGGGGTCAAAGTGATAATGTAAGGATTCAAAAGAGTTAAGGCTTAAATACGAGAGCTATCAAATGAGATTTAACTGAAGATAGAAAGAATTTACTCAGTTGAAAAAACATGAGAATCAGTAGGAATTTAATCTTAGAGGAATTAAAGCATGGTGTTATCATATTTTTGACTTTAAAGCCCAGTTAGGAAAGTGTTCATCCAGCTATCAGATCTGTATTAAGGTTTAGGGCAAAAGTCAGCAGCGCCTGCTGTCAAGTTAGCTCTTAAAGCATGTTCATTTTTAAGCTAAGTGAAAGCAAAAGCTGACAAACCAATTAAGGTAACAAAAGCCAACAAATACACTTTGTTCATTTATTGATTAATTACTTATCTATGTTTTTTTACTAATTTATTTAGTTAATTAATTAAATATTATATCTAAATAGATGGGGAATCAACTTTTTAAAGGAATAAATCAAATTAGATTAACAAATTGAGTAAATTTAGTTCTATCGATGTGAAAATCTTACATAAACAGAAGATAGAAAGAAAGACAGAGGAAGGTTTAATTATGTTTTTTCTATTCTCGTAATTTAAATCCAGAAATAACAAATTATTCGATTTTTCAATAATTTAGTGGTAATTAAAGCATAGATTATATCAATCTAAAAAAAGTAGTAATATTATGAATTCTGTAATCCAATTAAATAATTTAATACTCATAAATAAATAGGAATAATTTACCATTTTTATATAAATAATTTATCAAATTATTTGAGTTAACATTTTAAATAATAAGATTTCTTACGTTTTATAACAATTTTAACATAATAAATAATAAAAATACAAGTTTTATAAAATATAATCAAAATACATCTTTTTTTGTTTATTTGTTTGTTTTGAGTAAAAATTAGACTTCCAAATAGATTAAAAGTAAATTTTTGCAACTCTTTAAATGCAAATGAAGAAAGTAATGTTTAATTTTTTCATTATTAGAAATAATTGATTTGATTAAAAGCATCGTTTGAAAACTTTACTTGTATAAAATATCTTACTATTTTTATTTACAAATGATAGAAAAAATCAAATAAATTTAAAAGGCGACAAATATTATAAGATTTTATTTATTTGTTTGTTTTTGTAAACAAAAGTCAAAAATAAAAATTACATTAATACAAATTATTGTCTGCTATGTTTAAGTTTATTTTATTTAAAGAGAATTAAACATCTTTTTGTCAAAAAGCTCCTTTTGCTCACTATTTAGTAAATAAAATAAAGAAAGTATTTAGTAAATGGATTTAACAATTTTAGATTTAAATTTGAAAGTATTTTAAAAGAGTGATTAACCAATAGGTAATATAATTATAAAGTTTTTACCTTGTACTAAAACTAAAAAATATAATTGTAAATAGATAAATTGAGTAATTATTTCTTTTACAATCAAAACGTCAGCAGATTTTTATTTTGAGAATATTTATTTTATCCTCTTTTTGCATAAGTTTATTTATTATCTAAAATTATAATTTTGTTGAAAGTCCAATTAAAATGATTTTACTTCAATATGTCAAATATCATATCAATAACTTTTAGTGATAAGTATTAAATAAGCGCTTAGCTAATTTTAAAGTTAAAATATCAAAGGAAATTTTTTTACTTTAAAGTAAGTATTGATAGATAGTGAGATAGATAGACAGAATCTTGAAAATAGAAAAATTATTAGTGTCTTAAATAAGATTTTTTTATGATCAGAATTTATATTTAATTAAAATGTTACCTATAAATAAATTCATGAAATTTTTTTCTATTCTTGCTTGTGCTCAATTGAGTTTATTATTAGTATGATAAATAACCAAATTTAAAAGTATTAAACTATTTTTTGAATGTAAAAAAAATATTTTTTTTAATTGATTAAATGAGTTTTATCTTTATTTTCACTCATTAAGCTCCATATATATACATATTATTTATCTTCTTTCTTTGAGTTCAAAATACTAAATATTATTGAAAATTGATTAATAATTTCATCTTAGTATCAAAAAAAGTAAAAGTGTTACACAATATAAATTTATACAGCAAGTAAGTGTTACAAAAATAAAATTTTATTAATACCAACTTTTTTATTAATAAATCTAGACGACACTAATTTATTAAATATAGTTATAATCTTAACTTAATTAAAAGCTTACTTACAGTAAATTAAATAATTAATTAATTATTTTTCCTAATCTAAATAAATAAATTACAACAATTTATTTGTATGAAAAAATAAAAAATAAAGTAAAAATATTTTTAAATGTTGTTTTAGAAAATATTAAATAGTTAAAAGTACTAATAATTTACATAAATAGTATTTAATCTTATTTGATTGTCTTGTTTATATCATTTTAATTTAACCATTTTTATTATTAACTTTGGTAGAAAAATTATAATTTTACCAAGGCATAAAAATTGCATAAACCTAACATCAAAATAAATTCATATCTGAAAATTATCTTAATAGAAAAAAATTATGATTAAAATCATTTACAATTTATAAATTTTAACAAAATAAAATAGGAAATTCAAAAAAAATTTGATAAAAATAAACAACAAATTTAGGAGAAAAAGTAAAAATACAAATCAATAAATTTATATTAATTTTCATATCAAATTGTAAAATTTTAATTCATATTATTTTATACTACTAATATAATAAATTATCAAAGTTCGACCGAATCAGCTTTTTACTATTTTAAGAATACCGAAAAAATAATATCACTTATATTTTTTAAGGCAAATATTATTGGCTCAAACAATTAATAAAAAAATCAATCTAACGCTTTCTTAATAAATATTAAGACTATAAACTAATGAAAAGTAGCATAATTATTTATTTTTTTTACTGATTTTAAAATATTATCTTAAAGTTTAAAAATATATGATAAATATAACTATATAAAAACTATTTAAGTAACAAGTTTTATTTTTAACATCTTTAACAAATTTATTGTAAAAAAGATGAGTTACAACCTCAATAAAATTAAAGAATAACAAATAAAAAGCTGTAAAAAATTTTTAATTAGTAATTTTGAATCCACATAATTATTACTGCATACTCAAAATAATTAAATAAAAACTCCTATTGAGTTAAATACTACTATGTTAGGTAAATTAAAGAAAAAATGGATTCAATATTTTTACTAATTTTTACTAAATAACAAATAATAAACAAAAAAATTTAGATAATTCAAAATGAATATAAATACAATTCTGTAAAAACTAACTAAAATTTATGTTTTCCCTATATTTATTTTTTTAAATAAAATAAAAGAAAAAAAATAAGCATTTTATTAATTTACAAATAAATAAATTTAATAATTATTTGAATTAAAATAAAATAAAAAATAATAGTTAATAGTTAAAAAAATGATGCAGTACTTTCTTAGTATTATAAATAAACTTTTGAAGTTGCTTCACTAAGCTTAAGATCAATTTCAAGCTTGCTACTCAGATTTTATTTAAAATTAAAACAGTATTTTATTTATACTAGCTGAATTATATATCATACTAATGAAGTAATCTTTTCAAATGAATATATTGGAAGGCACAACACAACTTTAAAAAAAATTTCTCTCTTATTTTATAATTTAACTATCGATTTTTGTTTCTTGCTAAATTATTTCATTTAAATAATTATTAATTATTTGTATAAAAATAGTAATTTGAAAATTTAAGCAAGGTCTTTAAAAAGTAGAAGTAAATAAATTAATAAGAATAAAAATAATCAATAATATTTATTTATTTATCAAACAAAGTAATGGGCATCCTAAGATTAGATATATTTTCTTCAGAGTTTTTTTTCAATATCGGAGCTTTTCAAAATAAAAGAGGCACTTTTTTAGGCTTGCTTTTATCAATTATTGCCTTTTTTAGTGTGGTTTTATATTCCATTTTTACTTTTAATTAGTATTTCAGCAATTAAATAAACCCAAAATTTAGATCTCAAAGCTTTATCCTTAATGAAAAGAAAGAAATACCTTTAAGCTAAGACCTTGTTGGATTTTAGTTTTACTATAACTAAACTACAACAGTAGATGCTTACCAATAGCAGTAAAATAAAACTTATGTAGTTTATTATCCATTTTTTTACTATTAAGACATTAATAATTAAGTATTTAATTACATTAATCTTGATTTAGTTTAATGCACTGATCCTTCCTTATAAGGTTTCATTTGCATTGATTTTTCTAATGTGAATAACTATACCTTGATCCTTGATAGTTAAAACAATAATTAGATTCTCTCTTCAATAAATATTAATATTTATGGATGTCGCGATTTAGATAATGTGAAAACTACTATTCCTGATAATTGTGCTGAATAATCTGAAATAGATGATGTGATTGATGCGTATGAAACTTATTTCTATTTGAAGCTTAAAACTTCTTAATATAATACAACTTCGAAATAGATCTAAACTTACTACAGAAGTATATATACTTACGTATAATCTTAATAATATACATATAATACTCTAAATACTTAGAAGTAAGAAACTGAAGTAAATGAAGGCTTGATGTTTTAAAGCAAATTAACATACTCCTCACCAATTCAATATAATATGATAAGCTAATATTTTGATAGGCAAAAGTCTTTAAAACATGGATTTGGCCCATACCTTTAAACAACTGTTTAAATGGATGAAATAGTTTAGCAAATTTAAATCTAATATCCTACAATCACAGAGGTTTTAGCACTTATAAACAGTATTACAGCTTTGATTATTGTTTTAAGAGCTGTTGGAAGATTTTACTCTTAAAGACTTATTAAATAAGACTTTTTCATGCTTTTTTTTCAAAGACTTTATTCGGAAGAATATAAAAAAATACTAAAACACAACAATCTTATTGAATAGGATAACAAGATTTGTTTTGTAACCCAAACTAAAGGAGAAGAAGAGTTCAAAGATGAAATTATAGAAAACGAACTAAATGATAAACTTGTTCCTAATTTCGAGACAAAATTCAAAGATCATGTTGAAAAAAGTCAAATTTCTAATTCGAAAGATGAACATTCAAATTTATTTTCAAAGCAAAGCGATTAGCAAGCAGATGAAATATAGTTTAAAGAAGTTGAAAATAAAATAAAAATTAATTTTATAAATAAAAAAAAAGTAAAAAGTAAATTTGAGATAAGGAGTAAATATCCAGATGATTTAGCATCAAGTAGTTTGAGTTCTAGTAGTTAACACAAAAATACACCAAAAAGTTTAAGATCAATTTCATGGAAATAACAAAACTAAATGTAAAATTAATTTTTCAGTTCATAGAAAGTAAATGAGATGAAAATAGACTCAAATATTACTGAAACTCTAGATAAAAATCATCTGCCTTTTAGCAATAGAAAATAACTTTTTGATGGAAATTCTTAAAAATACAATATAATTGAAAAGAATTCTCAATTACAAGCTATTAAAAATTTAATATTTAAATTTAAGTAAAATTAATTAAGCATTGCAAAATTTGATTATTTCATTTACATAATTAATTTCTATTAAAAGATTTTTCAAATCAAAGCATCATCTTTAGTCTAAAGGAGTTGATACTGCTTTTGTAAAGAACTTATAAAATGAAGCGGATAGAAGATTAGATATCTTTGAATTTTATAAAGATATTCTTTTTTTGAAAAAAGCCATTGCAATGATCCTTACTCCAGATTAATTAGCAGCTATCTAATAGATATGTCTTAGTCAAAATTTTTTGAATTTTGATAAGAGGAGTAATAGGTCTAAAATTTAGTTTGAATGTAAATTATTTATATTTTTTAAAAACAATTATTAAATGTTAATTTAAAGAAATAAAAGGAAAGCTGAATTACCTTGAAACTCAATTTAGTATAATGGAATGCGAGGATTTGCAGGAACAATATATTTAAAAATTTTTTGAAAAACAAAAACAAAATAATTAATAAAGTGAAATAGATTAAAGAATAATATCATCAATTATTAAAAATTGATGATTTGTATTAGAAATGTCAAATTACTTATTTTTACAACATTAACCTTACTTACTTTTAAAATAAAATATTTATCTTAAAAAAATTTATTAATTTTTTAAACTTTATGATGTTAATTAAATATTCACTTTTTAAAGAACTATTAAAAGAAGTGTATCCATAAAATATAATTTTCTGTATTTTTATCAATAAATAAGATGTAAAGCAAGATATTGATAAAAATTTCTGAATAAAAATAAAATTTTATATTTAATATTCATAAAAAAACAAAATATTTCAAGCTTTAATTAATTAGCCATTTTAATCATAGTAAGAAAAAAAATACAGCATTCCATACAAAAAATATTTTTGAACACCTATTTTTAGAGAAATAATGATCGGGGAAATTATGGGCTAATAGGTAATAAATTTTAACTGCTGCATTTTTCAAACGCTTTATTGAAAGCTATTTTATCAATAATAGGGGAGATTAAAAAAAAATTAAATTTAAAAATAACATATACTTTCATTTTTACATTTTTAATTATGGATAATAATAGTAGGGTGTACACAGATTTACCCAGGATCATATTCTCTATTAAAAATTAAATTTTACTGATTAAATAATTTTAAGCCAGCCACACATAAAGTAGTTAAAATGAATACTGTATTAAATATTTTTAATAGCTAATTATACTTATGCAGTAATTAATCAAATAATTAAAAACACAACTTCAAAAGAAATATATGTTTTTTTAATATACTTTAATATTATCTATTTATTTTTTTTGGCATAATGTTTGTCTAAATTATTCTTGTTAAAAATAATCATTTGTATAAAAAATAATAATTAAAAATTTTAGCAAAGTCTTTTAAAAGTAGAGTAAATAAATTAATAAGAATAAGAACAAGCAATAATATTTATTTATTTACTTATCAAACTAAGTAAGTTATGAGCATTCTAAGATTTGATATATTTTCTTCAGAGTTCTTTTTCAATGTTGGAGCTACGTAAGATAAAAGACGCACTTTTTTAGGTTTTTTTTTATCAATGCTTGCAATTTTTAGTGTCATTTCCTATTCCATTTATACTTTTAATTTGTATTTCAACAATTAAATAAACCCAAAATTTAGATCTCAAAGTTTTATTCTTAATGAGAAGAAAGAAATACCTTTAAGCTAAGACCTTATTGGATTTTAGTTTTACTATAACTATTCTACATCAATAAGTGAGTACCAATCATAGTAAAATCTAACTTATCTTGTGTTTTATCCATATTTTTACTATTAAGACCTTAATAATCAAGTTTTTAATACAATTAATCTTGATGTATTTTAATGTGCTGATCCTTCACTACAAGGTTTCATTTGCATTGATTTTTCTAAAGTGAATAACTATACTTTGATCCTTGATAGTTAAAATAATAATTAGATTCTCTCTTCAATAAATATTAATATTTATGGCTGTCGCGATTTAGATAGTGTGAAAACCACTATTCCCGATAATTGTGCTGATTAATCTGATATAGATAATATCATCAATTCATATTATGCTTATTTTTATTTAAAGCTTTAAACTTCTTAATATAATACAACTTCGAAAAAGATCTAAACTTATTATAGAAGTATATATACCTATGTATAATCTTTATAATATACTCTTAATACTCTAAATACTTAGAAGTAAGAAACTGAAGTAAATGAAGGCTTGATGTTTTAAAGCAAATAAACATACTCCTCACCAATTCAATACAATATGGTAAGCTAGTATTTTGATAGGCAATAGTCTTTAATAAATGGATTTGGTCCATATCTTTAAACAATTATTTAAATGGACGAAATTGTTTAGTAAGTCTAAATCTAATATCCTACAATCACTGAGGTTTTGGCACTTGTAAACAGTATTACAGCTTTTGCTATTATTTTAAGAGCTATAGGAAGAATTTACTCTTAAAGACTTATAAAATAAGACTTTTTCATGCTTTTTTTTCAAAGACTTTATTCAGAAGAATATAAGAAAATACTAAAACACAACAATCTTATTGAATAGAATAACTAAACTTGCTTTGTAACCCAAAGTAAAGTAGAAGAAGAATTCAAAGATGAAGTTATAGAAAACGAACTATATGATAAATTTGTTCCTAGTTTCTAGACAAAATTCAAAGATCATGTTGAAAAAAGTCAGATTTCTTATTCAAAAGATGAACATTCAAATTTATTTACAAAACGAAGCGATTAACAAACAGAAGAAATATAGTTAAAAGAGGATGAAAAAAAAAAATAGTGGTAATAGCTTATATGATAAAAAAGCATAAAATAAATTAAAGATAATGAATAAATGTTCAGATGATTTAACTCCAGATAGTTTGACTTCAAGTAGGCAACACAAAATTATACCAAAAAGTTTAAGATTAATTTCATAGAAAGAACAAAATTAAATGTAAAATTAATTTATCAGTGAAAAGAAAATAATAGAGATGAAAAGATACTCAAATATTACTGAAACTCTAGATAAAAACCGTCTAGCTCTTAGTGATAGAAAATAATTATTTGATGAAGTTCCTTCTTAAAAATTTAAAATAATATAAAAAAATTCTTAATAATAAGTTATTAAAAATTTAATTTTTAAATTTAAGTAAAATTAATTAAACTTTGTTAAACATCATTAATTAATTAATTTATTTATTTTCTATTTATAGAAGTTTCAAACCAAAGTGCTATCTTTAGTCTAAAGGAATAGATCATGTTTTTATAAAGAACTTATAAAATGAAGTGAAAAGAAGATTAGATATTTTTGAATTATATAAAGATATTCTTTTTTTGAAAAAAGCCATTGCAATGATCCTAACTCCAGATCAATTAGCAGCTATCTAATGGATATGTCTGAGTCATAATTTTTTAAATTTTGATAAGAGGAGCAATAAGTCTAAAATGAAGTTTGAATGTAATTTATTTATATTATTTGAAAATAAATGTAAAATATTCATTTAAAGAAATAAAAGGAAAGCTGAATTACCTTGAAACATAATTTAGTATAATGGAATGTGAGGATTTGCAGGAACAATATATTTAAAAATTTTTTGAAAAATAATAACAAAATAAATAATTAAGTGAAATTGATTAAAGAATAATATCATCAATTCGTAAAAATGGATGATTTATTTGTCCTTTAAATGTATGTAAAAAACTTGTTTTGATTACGTTAGCCTTACTTTTAAAATTAAAAAGATAAATAAAACATTTGTCTTAAAAAATTTATTAAGTTTTTTAAACTTTTATGTAGTGAAATACTCATATTTTCAAAGTAATATCTATATACTAAAAGAATACTATCCATAAAATTTCATTTTCTGTGTTCTTTCAATAAATAAGGTTCCAAATTTTCCACAAAAATTTAGGAAATTTTCAACTTTAAAAAATGAGTGTAAATAAATTAATTAGTGACTAAATATATTTTATTTTTTACAATTTAGCAGATACATTTTAGCAAAATATTAATTAAATTTAATGATGCTAATATATTAGAAACTTGGGGATCTTTTATTTTTCTTCAGAAAATAAAAACTTTTATGAAAGAAATTTATCTAAAATATAATATTTGCTTGAATGCTTTTAGAAAAATGTTTATAAATAAAAAAATACAACAGAGAAGGATAAAATAAAAAGAATATTATAATCATTTTGAATATTTCTAATTTATTCTTAATGATTTAAACAAAAATTATTTATCTAACTTAACAATTTTGAAGAGAAAAATATTTATTTTTTCTTAGATATTTTATTAGCATAACTAAATTGATATTTATAGATTTTTATTAAATCAATTAAAGTTACATTCAATCAAAATCAAATCTATGGTTTCAAGATTAAAATAATTCAAAGGATAAAATATAAATTGTAAGCCCAAGATTTAAAGAAAAATATGAGTACTTTTACATTTTTTAGATAAAAATAAAGAAATTTAACCAAGAACTACCAAATTATGACAAAGTTTAAAAATAAAGAAAATAAATTAAATGAACAAGTAAGTATTCTTCCATAACTCATAAAAAATAAAAGAAATTTTCAAAATTCTTTTTTAAAAATATGAAAATAGTTTATTCGCATGAATGCTTTTTGAACATTAAATAATTTTGATTGAATTTTATCAGATTTTTTAAGGTTACTTTCAGCTATGATTTAATTTTTCTTTAGAAGTTTCAAAGCAAGAATTTTTAAGTCAATAAATAATATTTATAATACAAATTTATTAATTTTTTGTGTAAACATTCAGATTTGATCTTTTATTTCATCAAGTATATTTTAACTTTTGTTCCATCATAATATTGATTTTCAAAAATTTCTAAAATATTAACAATAATTTCAAAATAAACTATTTTTGTTAAAATTTATACACAGAATTTTTCAAAATATTTTATTTAGAAGACCTGAATTTATGGGTAAATCGAATGAAACTCAATAAGAGAGAAATTATTTTGATGTTTTGTAAAAATAAAGATTTTGATATTTAAATCAACAAAATACAAATTAAAAATTAAACAAAATTATTAATAAGCCAATGTTTTTTTGTTATTTTTGGATTTCATAATTTGTTTTAATAATCCTCTAACTTTTATTGCAAGATTTGTATGGATGGATGGATATACTAATTTATAGATTATATTTAATTTGATTAGCTTACATTAAAATTCATTTAATTAATTTTGAGAATAATTGTTTTATCAATTCTTAAAAGTAATTTAAAAAAATATAATTTAGGATATTTTACTTAATATGAATATATATTCTATAAATTACAAATAAATGTATCAATTATTTATATAATTTCAACCTGAAATACCCTTGAAGGAACCATTAGTGGCATCAGCGATGGCATTAAGGAATTAGAAGGAAAGATTTCTGTCGTTTTGAGTTTCAGTGCCACCCATAATGAAAGAGATAGTATTGATATGAACCTTTTCATTTCTGCTGGCATTCTTATCAGCTAAGTACTTTTTGATTCCATCAACAGTTTAGACACCGCTATTAGGAACACCGTCAGAAAGAAGGTAAATACCGTTTAAGGCTTGCTTAGTATTGAAGGCTAAATCCAAACCAGAAGAGATGTTAGTGGCTCCGTTGGTGGTTAATTTGTTAATATAAGCAATAGCAGCTTGGATATTTTCGGGAGTTGCATCAATATAATCAGTTTTCCATTAGGAAGCACTGTTACCGAAAATGATAACATTGAACTTCTAGTAGGGCTTCAATTGTTCAGCAAGAGTTTTGGTAAGTTAAGACTTGACGAAAGCTAAACGAGAGATAGTTTCTCCGTTGGCCTTGAAAGTGTAGTCCATAGATCCAGAAATATCAATAACAAAAGCAGCAACCTTTTCAGTGATGGTACCATAAATGCAGTTTCTAGCAGAAATAGCATTCAAAATAGCCTAAGCGTCACTCTTGTCTGAAGAAAAGGTGAATTAGTCAACAATGGTTTTCTTAGAAGCATCAGAAACATCGCTTAAGGTGTTAGCAATGAGTTTTAAAGCTCCCATCTTATTGGCTGAGAAGGCAAATTTGCTCAAAATATCAACAATATTTTGAGAAGTCAAAGTTAAGATGTAGGGATTCATCCAGGTAATAGCTTGTAAACGAGAGCTATCAAAAACAATATTGCTGAAAATAGAAAGAATTTGTTCAGTAGAGAAAACGTGAGAGTCAGTAGGGATTTGAGCTTGTAAGAATTACATAGTGGAGTCATCATTCTTTTAGCTAGAAAGGCCAGCCAAGAAAGTCTTCATCCAAGCATCAGATCTGTATTAAGGTTAGGGACAGAAATCAGCAGCACCAGCACCTAAATTAGCTCTCAAGGCAGGTTCAGTATTGAACTAAGTAAGAGCCAAAGTTGACAATCCAACTAAGGCAACAATAGCCAACAAATATATTTTGTTCATTTTATTTTTATTTTTTTTACTAAATTAATTTGAAAGTTTAATTTTAATTATATATTATTTATTATCTTTAATCAAACTAATTTTTATAATGAGTCACTCCATGAACAAATTTTTTATTTTGTATATTTAAGATTCTAATAAACGATCAATATTAAAAAAGATTTAATTTATTCGATTAGAAGGTAAATCAAATATCAGATTATCTTAAACTAAATGTGTGGTGTTCAGAATAAAGAAGAAAATTATATTTAAAATAAAGTTTTTACAAAATTTAATTATTGCAGTAAAAAATTAGTCCCTTACTCTGTCGAGAGAGATTCATTCATAGATTTATTCATGTGCTTTTATTATACTAAACCTTTTTAAAATTTGTAACTAAATAAGAAGTACATTTGATTTGAAAAGCGTTTGGAATTCCTTTAAAACTATGATTACATAAAATGGTATATTATTTATTAGGTTGCGTTAATGGTTATTTGGTTAAAATTAAGCTTTTACTAATCCAATCTATTATAAAATAATTATTCTCAAATAAATTTTTTTCTATTTTCCTAAAAATAAAAAATGGAAATTATTTGAAAGAAACAAAAATTCTATTTATAGTAAAATACTGAGTAAATTCTCAATACACATATAAAAAGAGGGAATATTAACATGTTTAGTTAATTTTGTGTATTAAAAGTTACCATTTTGACAAAAGTAATGAGAACTTTTATACATTTTTCCCCCCCCTCTAGTTGAAGAACTAATTAGAATCTATTTGGAATTATTATGTTTAGAAAAGACGAATTAGTTAATTTTGTAAATTTATAAAGAAAAATTAATAGATATTCAGCCAGCAAAAAAGGTTAAATGTAAATTTGAAAAAGAAATTAAGAAAATAAATAGGAAAAGAAAGAAAAAAAGCTGATAAAAGAAATAATATGTAATTAAATTTATATTCATAATAACCTAAATATTAATAAATATTTTTTTATTTTTTATTTTTTCTTTAAAGTTTAAAATGAATGAATGAATGATAAAATATTTTTAAACCTTGCAAATATTCGTAATGAAAAATGTAATTAATAAACTGTAAAAATAAATTATAGTCCTTATAATAAATAGAAAAATAAATAAATTTTTCAAAAGTTTCCCAAATAATACTGATAAATATCATTTAGTTTAGTTTAGATGCAATTTCTGTTAAAGACTTTGAATTTAACATATTTTTATACTCTTTTATTCAGTTTCTCTTTAAGGATAAGCCAGAAATAACCAGATTTTTAAAATGCACTTCAATTTTTTTTCTTTAATTGGAAGAAATTTGAAATCGATCTATCAATCAATAATAAGTGTTTATGAAAATAAGAAAGCGAAATATTAATAAGTGAAAGTATATTTTATAAATAATTATGTTTAAAATAAAAAAAATCAAATAATCTTATTCAAGATTTTAAATTGTGGAAGTGCTATTTATATTAAAGTGAATAATTTAGTTTTACTACACAAAATTAATATATGTATTGCTTATATATTATCTCTTTTTAACATTAATAATAACCAGACACTAAATAAATATTTAGATTGATTAAAGTTATGTCAGTAGATAAAATTTTTTTTGATTAATAAATAATTATTTTAAAATATTTCTATAAGGAAGCTCCTTCCTATTTTTTAATATACACATATGATATGAATTAAAATTTTTCAAGCAAACTTTCTCATTCAATTAGTTACTCGATTCATTAATATTAATTAATATGGAAACAAGATTTGTAAAGAATTTTATTGATAAATTAGATCATCCCTTTAGTATCAAAAACAAACAAATAAACAAACAGAAAATAAGTTGGATGAAAGATTATTTAATTATCCACTTCAATATCTAAAAATAATGAATTAATTAATAACTAAATAAATATTTTATGATATAAAAAATAATTTTTATGAAAAGCAATAATTAAATTAACATTTTACTCACAAAACAAAAAAAAATCTTAAGATTAATTTTAAATTATATATTTTAAAAAGTGTTGTAATTTGATATTAATAGATTTGAAGAAAAAATATCATTCAGAAATGCCTTTGAATGACCCATTAGTGGCATCTGCAATTGCATTTAAGAATTCAAAAGAGAGAGTTCTTTCTTATTGATTCTCAGGACCTCCTAAAATGAATGAAATAGTGTTTATCTTAACTTTTTCTTATCTGTTTTAATTCTTATCCGTTAGATATTTTTTAATACCTTCAATTGTCATCACTCCACTATTTGGTACTCCATCAGAGAGAAGGTATATCGTATTAAGTACTTCTTTAGAGCGGAAGGCTAGGTCTAATCCACCAGAAATATTAGTAGCTCCAGATGTTCCTAATTTGTTTATGTAAGTTATTGCAGCTAAAATATTTTCTGGAGTTGCATCTATAACATCTGGCTTCCAATAAGTAGCCTAGTTGCTAAAGGTGATAATATTGAACTTTTAGTATTTTTTTAATTACTCATTAATTGTTTTTGTAAGCTAAGCTTTTACAAACTGTATACGAGAAATAGATTCTCCATTTACTTTGAACTTAAAGTCCATTGAACCAGATGTATCAATTACAAACACAGCAACTTTGGCTGTAATTGTACCATATATACAATTTCTAGGTGAAATTCCATTTAAAATCATAAGGGCTTCATTCTTATCTGAACTAAAAGTAAATTAATTGGCAATAAGATTTTTGGATTAATCAGATATGTCAGTTAAAGTATTTGCAATTAGTTTTAAAGCTCCCATTTTATTTGAAGAGAATGTTAGTTTGCCTAAAATATCAACTATATTCTAAGAACTCAAGGATTAAATGTAAGGATTAAGCAGTTCCATAGACTTCAAGCGAGAGCTATCAAATGTAAGCTTACTGATAGTTGATACAACTTAATCTGAAGAGAAGACATGGGGATCAGTAGGGATTTAGTCTTATAAATATTTGATTTAATCGCTATCAGATTTTGTTCCAGAAAGGCCATCTAAGAACTTCTTCATCCATGCTTCTGGTCTAAATTTTGGATTAGGGCAAAAGGTTTCTGCTGTCTTAGAAGGAGCAGCTACCTATTTTTATTCTGTCGAAAAATTATTTTTACGAAAGGCACTTGCAATTGCCATTAAAGCAAAAAAAGTGAAAGCTAGTAGTATCTTATTCATCAGACTTACTTATATTTTTAGTTAATTAATATTTATTTTTACAATATTTATATCAATAATTTTTAAAAGATACTCTTTTAACCACTTAAATATCTTAGTTATTTTTTTGATTAAAACAATATATAAGGCTATTATTAAAATAGACTGACGATCTTTTTGCAATATTTATTTTTAAATGTACCACCAAGTTCTACATAATAATAAAACAAATAAATAAATTTTACTTATCAAATTGTCAAATTTTAAGACATTTGATATTACATTTGTAATTGGCAGGAAAGTAAGCAAAAAATAATATAAAAACGATTATAAATATAAATAATTAATTCATTTTTTTTTTTTCTAGTTTATTTACATGTTTCCTTCTTAACTATGGATTGTGTTAACATAAAATTCTAAGATTTCTCTTAAAAAATAAAATAGATATTCTCAAATTTTCAGCTTATAAATTTTAATAAAATAGCAGTAGAAAATAACTAATTTTTCTATTGAAATCAAATTACAATAAGGAATTTGAATTAAAATAGCTCACTATTACATGTTCTTTTGTTTGCCTGAAAGACTTTTAATTAATAAAAAAAACAAATAAGGAAAAATAAAATTTTAATTTGTTACATTTTATAGTGGTCTTTTTTTAGATTGAAATTCATTACAAGATCTTACAGAAACAGAGAAACAAGGTGGGTATGTATGTATATATGGTTGAAACAATTTTCTTAGATTTCGAAAAATATTTTGCCTTTTAAAATAAATAAATTAATACATGAATTTAATAAATCTTATAAACTTAAAAATAATATTTAAAATTTTTCTTTCAATTTTCTATAAAAATATGAATTAAATATGAAAGTTAAAATTGTTTTTATTGTTAATATAAAAATTATTGATAAACTTTATTTAATATATTACTTAAAGAGTGATAATATTTTACTTATTTATAAAATGTCTATTGAATATATCTAAATATTAATGATAGTATTTTTAAATTAATACTGATTTATTTGAAAATATGATTCTTAAAATGATTACTTAACAAGATAATTTAATTAAAAGAAGGTGCTTTACTTGTATACAAAAATTTTATATTTCTGATAGCAAATTAAAATTTTTAAGAGATTAATAAGATTTATTAAAATATAAAATGGAAAACAGTCAAGAACAAATATTTTTTAGATTTCAATCTAAAAATGAAATCTCAGAGCTTTTAAATTAAATAATGCAATTTAAATAGCTATTTTTTGAAAGAGTTTGTAAGTAAATAGAGGATGATTATGAAGTTAACAATATTTGGAGTTAATTTATTATTAGATATTTGCAATATCCTGATTATTGTTTACTATTTAAAAACCAGATTTAAATCACTGCTGACTACTACTTACTTTAGCATCTAGCTAAAAAGGGGTTTGATTAATAGAAAGACCCTTTATTTTTAAGGGATTTAGAATTATTTAATAATTAGATATCTTCAAAGTTCAATCTAACTATGGAGAAAATTGCAAAAGATCAAGAAGGATTATCATAAGATTTTAATTTAATGATTTATAAGTAGAAGTTAAGCAATGCAGATGAGTACTCTTTTAATATTAGTGATTATAATATGCTGCAATAACGTTACTAGAATTTTTAAACTATTTAAGATGAATAAGATTAGTCGGATTAAGAAGAAGTAAATTAATTACTTTCTTAGGAAGAATAAAATAAAGATTTATCCATTAGTGATTAAAGGAGTTAAGGAAATAATATTGCTCATAAAGATACAATAATGAATTAAAAGATATTTTTAACTTTATTTTGGTACGACTATATAGGGATATAAAATGGTTAGTAGTGGTCTTTAAACAGTGAAGTTTTTGACTTACTAAAATAGTTTTTGAATATAAACACAGAAGTATTTGCTTCACCTTTTAATAGAAATTTAGAAAATTATTTTAGCCTTTTTGAATCAGACAAATATTTTGGGAGCTTTGGAAATTTTAATAAGAATTATTTAAATATCTAGCAAAACTTTTAAGCTAACCCACCATTCATAGACAACTTATTTACTCACTTTGCAGCTCAGATATTGTAAATTTTAGAAATAAATACTTAAAACAATAGAGAAATAGGGTGTGTAATTGTTTTTCCTTGGCAAGACAATTAGGGTTATTACTAGTTGTAAAATAGTGATTATTTTATTGATGAAATAGAATTATTGAAGAATGCACATTACTACACAGATTAAAACTCATGTTCTTCAATAAAATCAAAATTTAATACTTACATACTTATACTAGGAAATACATTTTTCAAGGATAAGTACCTTTAATGTCCATACCTCTCAGATAGTATAGTTTAGGCTTTTTAGATCAAAAAACATAACATAAAATTGCTAAAATAAATTTGATTTTAAAACCTAAATTGTTAAATTAATTGTAATGAATCAATAGGATAAAAAGCCTATAACCCTTATTCTGTAGATATTCATAAATAAATAAGTGAGTAAGTAATCAACTGATTCAATAAAAATTTTAGTGTTATTATCATGCTTTATTTTTGGAATAGAGATAAATAAAAGTGGATCTAACTAAATTCTTTGTTATCCAAACTTAATGTTATATTATTAATATAAAAAAAACAAACAGAAATATAATGGGATATTTTTTGATTTAAATAATTTAAAATTAAAAAAGATTTATTAAATTATTTTCATTTTGAGAAGTATCAGCTATATATCAAATATAGTCAAATTAAATGACTTTATTTGAGTGTACAATATATGTTTAAAAGTAATCAAATAATTTAATTATTTATTAATTAAACCATATACTCTTTTTTTTGGATAAAAAAATATTTGTTTATTTATTTTATTTAGCAGTTTATGAAATAATACAGAATTAATAATGAGTTAATAAGAAAGTATTTATTTATTATATTTAGCAGTTTATGAAATAATAGATAATTAATAAAGAGTTAATAAGAAAGAAAATTAAATTATCATAAATACAGTTTTAGACATATAGATATATTAATTATTATATAAGAAAGATATAATTTATTTTTAATCTTTGTTATTTATACAAAAAAATTTAACCCTATTCATTTATTTTATTAAAGAGTCAAAATATAAGTTACACCTTCACCACCTCCAAAAGCAACTTTATTAGTGACATTTCCATAATCTACGCCATAAATACCTTCTCTAAGCTTAACTACAGCAGATACAGGCTTATACTCGTTAGTATCGAAAACTACAAATTCATTAATTCCACTACTACCTGCTATTAGAGTCTTACTGTCAATTTTACTGTAAATTTTATTTAAAATATTTATTGTTAATGATTAGCAATTTCTAAATAAATAATGTTGTTTTTACCTGAATTAAGAAGCATAAACATATACTTGAGATGATTGATTACTCCATTCTATATCCTTAAAAAGCTTTCTAGTTTTTAAATCCCAAAGCTGCATCTGTTTATCATTTCTGTATGAACCAGTAAGTATGAGCCCGTCTTTATAATCTAAAGAATCACCACTCAAGCTGGGTCCATAAATAGTAGCAACACTTTTCTTTTCACGAATATCCCATAAATGCACATTTGAGTCCCATCCGCCTGAGAGGATCAAATTAGGGTCGTGAGCTAAAAATTTACAAGAAAACACTCTATTTGAATGACCAGGCTAATTCCAGTCTGCAGGTGGGAAATCTATTGCTACACTTTTGGTATCTTCATCATAAACTCTAATCTAATTTAAATATTAATATCGTATATTTTTTTTTCTCTTTTAAATGCAAAATAATAAATATTACATGAAAATCTTTTCCTGCAGTAACAAAGGATGAACCTTCAGGATTATAATCTAAGCACATAATGCTATGATTATTTTCAACTAATCTATGTAATTGCTTTCCTATTTTAATTAAATATCAACTTAGCTATGCCTAACTAACTATTTCATTTTTACCAGAAGGGGCATGCCAGTGAATAATAGAACCATCTGAATTTACAGAAACTAAAACTTATTTTGTTTTATTATGAACTGGTGGTCTCCATCTAATTATTTTATTTAAATTTTTTTTGATTTTACTCTAAAATTTAGCAAATTTAGAATTACCTAAGACATGTTGTAGGAGTAGCATTAATACCAGATGATCTATTTTTAATATTTTATATAGAAATTTTATTTAAAAGTTAACTTTAGTTGCATTTGCTATTAATTTATTAATGAAAGTTACCCTGATAAGTTATGTTCAAGCTTGCCTATTTAAATTAAATAAAATATTTGAGCTATTTTAAAAAAGAAACATTTTAAATTGCTAATTTACCAGTTGATATGTTAAAAATCTTCACACTGCCATCAGAGCATCCTATTTTTATTTTTAAAATATTGATATTATTAATATTTTAAAATAAAAAGTGGTTAATTAGAAATGAAATTTCAAATTCTTTTATGCAAAATCGATTTTATTTTAAATTTTGTTTACCTGCAGCTATGAATTAATCATCTTAGTCAAATCTGACACAAAATACTTCTGTTTCAGGATTACCAAAAAAGGTTCTGATAGCAAGTTTATATTTAGAATTGGGATAATCTGCAAATCTATTATAATAGAATCAACTTATTTAAAGAGAACAATTTGCATTGATATAATTTACTCTAATTAGCCAAATGTGTAAAGATCTCCTTTATCTTTTTTTTGTCTGTTATCTTCATAATCGTAAATTTTAGAAGGTCTTTTTTCTTATTTTCTTTCAGCCATTTTGATTAAATATATTAGTAGAAGAGTAATTCTTATCTATTCTTGATAAAATTTTGTTAACTTAGTTAGCTATTAAGATTAATTATTTATTTTTTTTATTTATTTTTTTTGAAATTGTAGATAACAAACTGGCTTTTAATACTTAAAATCAGAAAAAGATTTAAATTATAAGTATATAGAATTTTAATAATTTATTAATGGTTTGCTTTTTTATGATCTAGATAACTTTTTCAGAATTCAAAAGTAGCTTTAAAGGATAAGTTAATACTTTATCATCCGTGTTGATAGAAGAGCTGAAAAATACTCACTTTGAAAGAGCTTTTAAAAAAAATAATATAAAAATCAAACCTACTGATGAATATATTTTTCTATATTATAATAAATATAAAATTGTTAAATAACGCATAATAACGCGAGTGTGTAAATATGATAGAGTATTTTTAATTTATTTTAAATAAATTTATTTACTAAATAAATATTTCTTAGTAAAACAAATCAGTAGTAAGTAGAATCAAGCAAGAAGGATAAAAGTTATATTTAGATTTTAGTTTAATAAAAATGGTATTTATTTTCTAATTTGTTTTTTCTATCTAGAATGAAGGGTATAGGTAGTTAGTTAGTTTTTTTTCAATTAAAACTTTAAGATGATTTATGAATTGTAAAAAGTAATTCCTTAAAATCTTTTTTATATTAATTAGATGTAATATTTGAAGACAAGTTAATTAGATTATTACTAAAATATGAAAGCTAATAACAATAAAAACTTATAATTTCAAATTATATTAATTTTTTTAAATATTTTAAAAGAAAGTATTTAAAAATAATTTGAACTCAAGATAGACATTAGATAAAAAAAATTATAATTTGCCTTACAATAACTTTGGTAATTTAATTTCATGCACCCTTGATTTTGTACTAAATAAAGTCAATGGTTATCTCGAAGAGCTCAATTTTTAATGTTTATGTTGTTAAATAAATATACTGTAAACTTCCATATATAGCTAATCCTGTAATTAAAATATCACGAACTGAGTAGGTACAGATTTCAAATTTCAACAATTTATTCTTTAAAAAATATTTTTATTTAGAAATAATGAAGGCGGGTATATTTGATAAACATAATAAATTTTTATTACAATTAATAGAAAAAATTTTAAATTGAAAAATATTTTTTTGCAAAAAATATCACAAAAATTTATATTTAAATATCTATGTGAATGATAAAAGTTAACTATACTAAAAATCAATGTGCACATACTTGTATAATCAGAAAATAATTTGAGGACTGGATATAAAAAATGAATACATAATAATCAGTGCGCATGCTTGTAAAATATTCATAAATTATCTAATTACTGGAATTAATAAGAAAAAATAAAGCTAATTACAATTTTTAATTTAAACTAATTTAATTTAATACATTTCTACTTCTTGATTTAATTAAAATATATATAGTTTTTTGTTTTTTCAATAAAATAATTTATTTGAGTTAAATTTGATAATTTTTAAAAATATTCATTTAATTATTTATAATTTAATTTATTTTAATAAATGGCTTTCTAAATTTATTATTTATATCATGTAAAAATTGAAACATAAAAGTAGAAATTATAATAAAAATCTAATTAGATTTTTATTATTCAATTTTAACTTTACTTTTTATGTTTGAAAGAAAAATAAAAAAAATGATAGATTAGAAATTTCTGTGCTATCGAATGTAAAAGAACTTAATCAATATATGGCTTTAGAAATCTTTTTTAGATACTGTATTTAATTTTTGGGGTATTTTAAAAATTAATTTTAAAAATTTATTAATAGTACAAATAGATCAAATAAAAACATCATAAAAAACATTTACAAGCAATCTTTAAAATGAGAAGAATGAATTTTAGAAAATATGAAGATAAAGATTGTTGCTTATAATTTTAAAAATTAGCAAATATTTGAGTAAATTAAAAAAAATAACATTTTTTTGTTATTCTATTCAGAAATAAGTTAGATGTTGGCAGAAGTAATTTAAGCAATTAATACATATTTTTTATTTAATATGAAAAATTTGATAGGTAAGTCAATATATTAATGAATGTGAGAAAACAAACTATTAAAAATAAAGAATTTAGTTTACTTAGTAAATTAATAGAATGTGAAGAAAAAATAAATATATTCGTTAAGAAAAAGATTATCCGCTAAAAATAAATTATTTATGGTCTATTGATAATTGATTGAAATTATCAACTTCTTAATAAATAAAAAGAGTGTTTTACACTATACAGCATTCATTCATTATTAATATGACAGAAAGCTTAATAATCAATCAATCAATCTTCGTTTTTATCAATCATAAATAGACTTGCTTGATATTTATATACTTTTATTAATAAATACTTATTAGTAAACGATTTTTTATTGGATTAAATTTTCTTTTTCACAAAAAGATTAAGAAGAATAAGAAGAAGGAGAAAATAAATAAACAACTAAATAACTAAGTTAATAAAATATTAACAAACCACAGGCTTGGCCTAGCGAGCAGCTACTTAACAAAATCGATTTTCAAATAATTCTTGAATATACCAAAGCTTAAATCATTATCTGAAACTTTGCTTGAAAACTATTCCTTATAATTTGAGAGTTTCTTAGATTAGCGTTAAAATAACATTCATTTTTCATACACATCAAGCATTAATTGAAAATCTAAATAAATTGCATCATAAACTGAATTTTTACATTTCCTGACGATGAGCAGTATAAATATCAATCGCACTAATTTAGAAAACATCAGCCCTTTTAGAAGAGATTCCGCGAACTCTGTTAGCATGAATCACTCATAACGAGTTGTAGGAAATACTTCTCATAAAAAGATAAACTCCTCTTCACGTGGTTAACTATCTCATAGATGCAACAGTAGTAGCAACACTTCAAACAGCAATACATTTGCAAATAGCAGTTTGAATTTACAATACAACGTGAATACTTCTATGAATCAAAATAACAATAATAGCAACACCTATGTGAATGCAGGAAGCCAATCCAATAGCAATAATACTAGCCATAATAATGAGAATATTCTTTCTTCCTCTTTACTTCGTTCCTCAATAGCAAGTCATACTAAGTAGCATTCAAGTGGAGTCCCAAATAATAATTTAGCTAGCAGTTATTCTAATTTGCCTTCAAGAAGTACTAATTAATTTTCAGCTTCATTGTCTAATTCAAGCTATTCAAAAGCTCTCACTTCAATTGACATTTGTTGTGATTCTTCTACAAAAGTTTCTCATAATAATTAAACTCAAAAATTGCAACAGCATTAGCAACTCCAATAATAGTACTCCCTCAACTAGCTCAAATAAAATGCTATTAAAAAGTATTGTCTTCAATAATAGTAACAAACTCAATAATAATAGCAAACAAATTAAATACCACCTTATCACTTTGAGAAAGGAACAAGCAAGACTCATAGAGGGCACACAAGCTCCTACAATAACTTCAGTTATGTCTAATAGTAGAATTCCTCAGTATAGAATATTTTAGGCAATTCTTAGAAACCAAATATGAATTGGAATGAGGCAACTCCACCTGGAAAGAGAGTAAATACAATGCCCTCCTAAGCAAGCTAATAGCTGCTTCCATAGCAACTGAGCATACCAAGCTAAACAAACAACGCAATAAGTGACGAAAATGCTATGTTAGCACTCAGCTAATCGATAAACATTTCTACATACAAAGTCTCACCAAGACTTCTAAAAAGTTCAACAAATACAAGCTAAAACTCACATTAACCCATAAATAACTTTATGCAAGCTATTTCTTCAAATAATAATAATAATAACAGTAATACAAACAACAATTCTAGCTTAAATTATAGCAACTAATAATAACACTAAACTTCTACCAGTTCTAATTTATGCATCTCTAATTAGAGTACTAGTAACACTCAATAATAGCAGCTATAAATGAATCTATCTATAAAAAGAGTTTAGTCTTAGGATGAGGTTGTAAACTAACTCACTGACGAAGAAGATTAAATTTATCTTGAAAAACTAAAGAAAGAAATAGAGGGTTATAAGCAAAGAGAAGTTCAATACCTGACTAGGATAAATAGTTTAGAAGGCGAAAATAAAGTAATCAATGAATCTGTATTGAAACAAGAAACAAATATAAAGAATTTAAAGAATGAGCTTACTAAATATTAACAATAGTCAAATAATACTAACAATTAGAGTTTCCTAACAGGATCTTAACAATTGAATAGCAATTCAGAATAACAAAAGCAATCTAACTCAGGTAACAGTAGCAACATTAATATTTAGCTTCAATAAAAGCAAATAGCTATGTTAGAATCATATGTTGAAACCTTGAGTAAAAAATTGTAATAACTTGAAATGGAGTAGATTAGATAATAGAATGTTAATCCTTAAAGTGCTTATGAAAAGTAATATCAATAGCAAAAAGCTAAGTATAAACAATTAGTAGAAAAATATTTCACTTTGGAGAAGGTCTTCAATTAAATTACAAGTGAAAATGAATTCTACAAAATTACTCTTAGCTAATTAAAATAAGAATTATCTCACAAAGCTTCACTATAACAGAACCAATAAAGTTTGTAGTAAGACCAAGGCTAAAGCAGTGTACTAAAAGCTTTACAACTTGCATAGACAGCAAAGCAACAATGAAAAAAAAAATTATTTTTTTGAAAAGAATAAAAATATTTTTTCCTTGTTTTAGCATTAATAAAAAACAATTTTAATGTAAATAAATTTAATGAGACAAATAAAAAATTTAATAAATTTAAATAAAAACCAAATAAACAAACAAGCAAACAAACAAAACAAGATATTTGTTTGTTAAGATAAATAAAAAAAATCGTTTACGATTGGATAAAATTAATTAATTAATTTTAAATTAAAAATATATATTATAATTTAACTTATTATATAAAAAGTTTATTACATACATACATATACTTGTAAATATTATTAGCATTTAACATTTCTCATTCTTATTTTTTTAATTTAGCTTTTATATATTTTTGGATTTTCTTACTTATCTGATTTATTTAAAATGTCATTCGATTGATAATAGAGAAATGCTTAAAATATAATAAAATTATTTTGTTTAATATTTCAAATTAGAAATGGAGTCTCTTTAACAGATAATTATTAAATAAGAATAATGATAGACTATGATTAAATATCTATTAAAAATGTATAAAATAAGATTTTTTTCTTTTTGAAATAAATAAAAATGGCTAAGACAGAAAAACAAACATAAATGATTTAATTAAAAAAAATACTGTTAATATATATGTCTGTGATTAAATTAATATTGGAAAATGTAAATAAAATTTATATTGATTTTATTTAATGGTAAAATTATCAATCTCTATCAAATTAAACATCCTTACTAATAGATTTCATAAAGGTAAAAAATATTCGTTAATAATCGAATTCCTCTCTCTTTCTGCCTGCCTTTCTTTAGTAGTTTGGATTTGAAAAATAAATAAATCAATTAAAATGAAAATTAAATAAATCAATTAATCAACGAATCAGATTAATACTAAATTAAATATTCGCAATGATGAATGATGAAACTCAATAGCTTTAATTATTATTAATTGGATTTACTTGTTTTATTAAAAGATTATTGCATGTTTTTAGTGTTCAATTTACTTGTAATTTTATATTAACAACCAACTTTGAAAGATAAGCTTTTGCTTCACAGAAAATATTAGTAATTATTTAATTAATATAGGCAATTTCTTCTTGAGCCAGTTGAAAAAAAAACAAAGTAAAATCAAAATTAACACTTATTTGTTTATTTCCAAATAAAATTTCGCACAAACAGCCAGCAACAGCAAGCTACAAAACAAACGCTTCTAAGTAATCAGAAAATAAACAAATAAATAAAGATATAAAAATATAAAAAATTTGCTTTGAATTGAAGAATAAAATCATTTTCACTTGCCCTAATCATCATCTTAAAGTAATTTATTTAATAGAATAGATTTAGTATTACAATCACAAAAACAATGATACCAACTGACAATTTAACTAGAGCCAGTCTTGATAACTTTGCAGCTTTTAAGAGAGCCTCTTCTTTTTCTAATATTCCTAGACCAAGCTCTTCTTCAAAAAAGTCTAAAGAGAATGAGAATTTTATATAATTTTAGCAACAATTATAATTATAGTAACACTAATAGCATTAAAATGTGCATCAATCATAACTTTAGATAGTTGGATCTTCTGGAAATCTTCATAAGCAAGCTATATTAGTAAACTAGATACCTTTATCATTTAATTAGAACATACAAAATAACCAAATTCCATTAACACAGAGGACAAAGGAAATAAATAATGCATAAATAACTGCTAATACAGCACATATTCAATAAATTACTCAGTAAAAATTAACTACGTCTACTTCTAACAGCTGCTAAAACACAGCTAGAAATCACTCTTAGAATTAAAATGCATCAAGCTCTATTTCAGCATCTAAAATTAATACTTAATCTTCATATAGCATTTCAACGAGTAGCAGAACTTCTTCATAAAAGGCTCTTGGCCATACATAAAGCTCAAATAATCTAAGCAGTGCTTTAACTACTTCGAATTCTTCATCTTCTCAAATGAGTGCATTGCAACAGAATATTAGATTATCTCTGAACAATAATGCAACAACATAAATAGTTTAAAGCAATAACTAAACTGGAATAAATATTTCAAATACGATTAATTAAAATAATTCTTCTCTTCCTTAATCAACAACTAAAAATCTGAGAGAAATCTTGCAAAGCAGCACGACAAAACAAAATAATTTGTATACACACAAGCAATCTGCATCTAATATTTAGAATAAAAATCAAAATGATGAAAATAACTCAAATTATGCAATTTAAAAACAATTATTAAATTAAAATCACAGTTCAAAGAGAGTTTTGACAACTCCAAGCACAATTGGATTGGATGAATCTTATGGTTTAAAAGATATGAATGTCTGTAAAAAAGATATTTTAAGAATGTCCCTTACAAAATAGAATTCAGCTGGAACAGCAGTCTCTACTTCATAAAATAATATGATTTTTTCATAAAATTAAACAATGTCAAATAATAAATCATATAAAGAATATCCTAAATAGAGCAGTACTTCGCAACCTAAGCAAAGACATTCAGATATAATTGATGGAGCTAGTTCAAACAATTTACTGCATTCTTAATCTATTTCAAATGCTTTTGCATAAAATTTAGAAGATAAAAACTTAACAACAGCTAAGAAATCAAAAAAAAATATTAACTTTTATAAAAAAGAAATTGAATACTACAGATAGCGCGAATTAGAGTACCTCTAAAAAATCTAAAAACTGGAAAAAGAGAATAAGAGAGTTGCTTAGATAGTTTAGAAGAGTGATCAAGAAGTAGTTCTTCTAAGAGAAGAAGTAACAGCTTTTAGCAATCGTTACAACTTAAATAACACATCAAACACAAAAATTGAAGAAGGTGAGCAGAAGTAGAGAGTTATTACGCCTGCCTTCACCTCATAGCAAAATGCATAATATTCAGATATTAGAAATATTTAAGTAATGAATATTCATCTTCAAGACTTATAAGAAAAAGATTAGCCTCTTTAGTTAAGTGATTTAAATCATAATAGCAATCAGCAGGTAGATGACATCGATTATGCAAGAAATCAAGAAAAGATAAACATGCTCTAGTCTTATAGTGTTAATTTGGAATAAAAATTAAAGCTTTTAGAATAAAATCTACTTTAAGGCACCTCCTAAAATAGTAAAAGTATTAGCAGTACAAAATTGAATTAAAATAGAGAAACTTTGAATAGTTGCTATAAAGTACTAGAATAAAAATACACGCAATTATATAACAAAGCAAAACAATCTAAGCACGAGACAGATGATATTTAAACTCAAATACTTTACTATCTTGAGGAGATAAAAAAAATCCCAAAGCATCTTAATCAAGATATATGTGAATAAGATGAAGCGAATGTAGCACCAAGCGCCTAAATTGGTTAAAGTAGTATCCTAAAGGTTCTTGGCCTTGGTAAATAGCTAGTCTAAAAAGTTAGTAATCAGTGAAATTGTCTGCAAAAGTGAATATTTAGAGCAAACATACTGATTTTTTATTAAAGCTAGCTCTAAAAATATCTCTATTACCATTTTTAATAAAAAAATAATATCTTATTATATTCTAGCATAATACCATAAGTTAAACTATGTCCTAATTAATTCAATAAAATTTTCTATGAGATAAAAATTAGATATAAAAAATAAACAAACAAACAAATAAAATAAATTAACTTACATTCTATTCCATTCCATCATTTGTAGATAGATATAAAAATCAATAAATAATAAAGAATTAAATCAATTTATAAAATATAATAGATTAATATATAAATAAATAAATAAAAAGTTGAGTCTTACTTATATTTTATTTTTGTATTATATAAATATACTCTTTTCATTAAATCATTCATTTTTTTCAAAATAGATATCTTTAAATTTTGTTGCTGCTTATGTATGTATAACCAATTTTACATATGATTCTATATTAATGTTGATTTACTTTATCATTTAATTCAAAAATTTTATTTAAAATAATGGATATCCTTCTTGCTTTACTTGAGATATTTTAATATTATTTTAATTATATTTTTTGAACTGTTAATAATCAATTCTGAATGAATCCTTCCACTATTCTTCTTCTTCATCAAAAAAAAAAAGATTCATTAATTTATTTCGAAAACAAATTAATTAGTTAATTTTATATTGAAACGGGCATTTAATTTATAAAAATATATTGATTTTTAGTAATAAAAATAGGACAATTTTAATATTTGTTTATTTTATTAAAAACAAAGAAAGTATTTTTTGATTTAGAAAATCAATATTAGTTTATTTATTTTTTTAAATCCTTCAAAAATAAACTGAAGAATATAAATAATTTGAAGATATTTTATTTTTAATAATGATTAAGATGATAGATGGATGTTTTTTATTGTCAGTTTATTTTAAATATCATAATAAAAATAATAAAATTTATTTAATAATTAGCTTTTTAACATTTAAATGAAATACTATTTTTAGATAAATATTTTTTTAATTTTAATTTTCTTAATTTTTTTTAATAAAATTAAATTATTATTTGATAAATTAATTAATATAAAGAGTTGTCAAACAAATGCTTATTTTAGTATAATTTAATTTATAAAAACATTTGATTGAAAAATATAAAAATTATGATTTGAAATGATGTTTGTATGTTTGTTAACTATATTGTCTATATTAGTCATAAATGAATTCACTCAAACGATTAATTAATTCGTTGTAGTTATTGCAAATTATAGTTTTTAAGAAGTGCATTGAAATAATCATTTAAACTAAATTATTACAATTTATTATCAATCAGTCAATTTTTACATTATAAATATAATATAAAAAGTAATTTAATAATTAATTGAAATGAATTTGATGTATGATATGATATGCAGGAGACCTGATAACACTCCTTCAGAATCTCATGGCACAACATTTAAGAATAATAATAAATTAAAACAAAAATAAGGTTCTTCTTCTTCTAGAAAGCCCAATAATATTTCACAAAGCTATAGAGATAAGACTAGTTTATTAACTCCTATCGATCATGGAAATATAGCCAAAAACATATATTTAGGTCAAATCAGAATCAATCCTTAGCAAAATACCATTTAGCAATAGTTTTTATAGAATTAATAGATTTAAACGAAAATATTTTATAGAACATTATAAAAGAACGGATAAGCGTAATTAATTTAAAATTTTTTCAAGTTTTAAAATAAATAAATTTATCATTTTATAAAATTCAATTCTTAATTCTTGCAAATTGTAAAGAAAGCTATTTTATTTAATATTTTTTTATTTTGATAGGGTTTTAGCACAGTAAAACTTTTTTGAAACAGAGATGACTCCAAATTTATCTAAGTCTGACTTGAAAAATTACTCTCAAAAGCAGTAGGAGTATTAAATTTTTGGGACATTTTCAGATAAAATGAATAGTTAAGTTTGTACTAATATTAATAATAACTACGATGCAAACTATTATAGTTCTAATAATTAATATAACAATAACCTTAACGTTAGCGAACTTGCTATATAAAATTAGAACTCTTGTTCACAGTAAATGCAAACATCAAATCAGATAGATTAGCTCAACAATATATAGGAGGAATAAAATAACCAGACTATTGGTTAAAAAGAGGACTAAGAAGCCATCTAAAAAGGTGATCTTTACTCGGATGTCTAGAATTGTATCCTCCTTCATTTATTTAAATTTCTCATTCAAAAGTCCAGTGTATACAAAATATATTAACAAATAAGACTTAATTTTTTATTGATTCAATTAGCTAAAGATCATTTTAATTGCATAAAATAAAATGCACTCTAGTTATTCAAAAAAGATTGTTTGTTAAACAATAAAATAAATTTCTACTTTAATTTTTTTAAATATATTTTTAACAAAATAATACAATTTTTCATTCATTTTAGATACACTAAAAACTGACAATAAACATTTAATTGAAAAGTCTAATTATCTTTTATTTAAATAAATTATAGAAGAACAACTATGTCAGAACTCTTTTAATAGCAATTATAATATAGGTAACAATCAGTTTAGGATTTCAAAATCTAAAAATGGCTTGAGGACTCCAAAATAAGTTACTTAAAAGTAATAACAGCTCTCTCAGTAACAACAAAATTAAATAACTATCAAGGATTAAGCAAAATCAAAATCATAACAAAAGAGTCGAGGAAAAAAGGTTTTGAAGAATTCTACAAATTTATAACAAAATTAAAAGCAAGAAAAAACTTTTGAAATGTTGAAAGAAGCTCAAAACAGATTAAAGATGCTGCAGTAAAATAGGTTTAATAATTATAATGATTTAAAATAGTAAAGTTTATATCAAAAACCTCATCAAAATAGTTTGAAATAGCCTTTGAAAGAAGTTTAAATATCTACAGTAGAAAACTTTTCAAACGATAATTTCCATTTAAATTTAAAATAAGAATAATCGTAGAAAATTTAAAAGTTACCATCTTGTTATGTTTCTGCCTAAAACTAAAATAATTAAAATTAACAAGTTGCTGATTCGAGAAAGAGGGGATCTTGTCTTGCAAAATTAAATACAGTTGACTAGGATAATTCAATTGAACAATCGATTTAAGATCCTTCTTAAAAAAATGATTAAAATAGAGACTTATATTAGGAAAATTATAGAAAAGATCAAATCTAGGAATTCAAAAGAAACTAAGCTTAAAACATATAAAAATCTAGTTCAAATAATAATATTCCTTAAAATGAAGAATTTCCATATGAAAGCTAAGCTTAAATCTCACTAAATTAATTAAGTACAAGCAATATAAAAACAAGCTCAAATATTGAAAACAACTTTTCTCATTCTTCCTAGCACCATTTAAATTAAGCAAACTCCTCTAATATTGATTTGTAAAAAAATAAAAATTAAACTGACTAATCAAGATTGCTTAATTGTCCTAGTAAGTTAAATAAATAGCATATTTTTTCAAACAAATTTTGCTTAATTCTTATCTTATTATTATTTAAAATAATTAGGAAAACCTGTTTATCTAAGTGATGAAGATAAAAAAATATATGGGGACAGATTCTTAGACGGCTATCAGAAGCTTAGTCTTTTGGGAAAGTAATATTAAAAAGGCTTAAATTAAATCAGAATTTTAGCAAAAAATTAAATAAAATGGGATTGACTTAAAAAAATAAAAATATTTTATTATTTAAAAAGAGGAGGCTTTGCTTTGGTTTGGCTGGCAAAATAATACAAGACAGGAATAAGCTTTGCAGTAAAGTAGATATGTAAATAAAATGGAAGTGATTCTCACATGAGAGAAATGAGAATTAATTAATAGTTTTATGACCTTGAAGGTGAAGTTAAAGAATATTTCCACTAATTCGAAGGTAAAAAATTTTGGAAAAATTTATCATTATTTTATTAGAATAATTTTATGTTTTAAAGGAATCAACAACTTTTTGAAGTGCTATGAGATAAGACATACATAAAGAGATATCTTTATAGTTTATGAGCTAGGAGGAGGTTCTCTTAGTAGCATTTTGTATGAAATTAAGGGAGAATTCTATAAAAATGAAAGAGTTTATAAAATAAATTTTACAGAATTGCATGATAAATTATTTTAAACAAAAAGTAATAATTTGTTAAGATCGTTAATGAGGCACTTCTTCAATGCTCTCGATTTGCTACAGAATCAAAAAATTGTTCATTGTGATGTAAAACCAGAAAATATTTTAGTTGAATTAGATCAAAGCGAAGCTTCTTTTTAAAAAGTTCACTTGATAGATTTCGGAAGCTGTTTTTCTTTTAAGGATGTAGGGTCAATTGGAATGGCTACTCCTGAATATCTTGCTCCTGAAATGTTAGAGCTGTTTGCATAAAGATTCAACATAAATAATCAGGTTTCTTAAATTGAGCAGCTTGCTAAAATAGCTAATCCGTGGTCTGTAGATATGTGGAGTATGGGAGCAGTTATGCTAGAAGTCTTAACAGGTTTGCCACATTGGCTAGCATATAAATGCAGAGTGGTAGATAAGTAAGGCAAGAGTAATTTAAAATATGGTTTATTCTGTACAAAAGGCTAAGACTATGAAAAAATAATATAAAAACAGTAATAATTCTGTGATAACTTCAGTAATAATGTTAAAGAAATAACTAAATAGTTTGATTGCTAAGTAACAGCCAAAAAATTTTAAGATTTACTCAAAAAAATGATGAAATTTAATTCTATAGAAAGAATTTCTCCTCAATAAGCCCTTTAGCACCCATTTTTTTCTTAATAAAACACAATCGGAGACTTTTGTAGCACAGATAACTGAAAATTAAGTAAGATCTTTCTTGCTTGAAGCTTGTTTGTTTTAATAAAATTAGCCAATATACTTATTAATAAAATTCATCTCATAGTTTAATGTTTTTTATATTAACAAAACATAACAAAATATCTTCTTGTTATAATATTAGCATTTAATAAACAATATTTTGCCTAAAATTTTATAATCCTTTCATCAATTTTGTATATAACCTCTATCTTCTTGTTTAATCTAAACATTTATTAAACAATATTTAGCTTAAAAGATTAAATCCGTTAATTATGATTGTAAATAATCTCAATTTTAAAAATCATATGTTTTCTAAATTGTTTAAATATTTGCTTTGATAGCTATTGTTAAAACACACACAAAATTTGATAATATTTACTCAAAAAAATTTTTATTTATGATTCTTAAAAGAAGTTTTTGGAACAAAAAAATCTTAGAAAATAAGAAAAATTAGAGAAAAATTAATAAATTAATAATTAAATTTGATAACTATTTCATTTTTTTTAATGTTTTTTTCTATTTCTTTTTTAAATTAAATTAAACTAAATAAAATCAAAGAATATATTAATTTAAATTAAATACATTTTAGCAAATATAAATATTTTTTTTTAAATTGAAATACGCTAAATATTTTTTATGATTTAACAATATAACTCATGATCATACAATATTTTTATATTCCAAGAAAAAATTTTATTTTCTAAATGAGTTTATCTTCTATGTTATTTATGTTATTGAAATATTCTAACTAATGAAATCAATATATTCTAATTAATAAATATCATTTGATAAACTGAAAAATATAATTTACTTTTTGAATAAAATTCGTTAAAAATTTTATATTTAGCCTGTATTTTACTGCTTAATTTTTAAATATGTTAATTAATTTGATTGAAATTGTCTTTTTTTTTTGAGGAAATCATTTATTTAATGACGAGAACTATACCAAATTTATAGTTTTTTAGCAATTAAACTCTATTAGAGAAAACTATTATTTAATGGGAAAATTTTGTTACTTATGAAATAAAGTTTAAATAACTATTATTAATAATTGATTTTACAATGCTTTATACATGCATGTTTATAATTTAAATTAGCTTATTCATACTTTTGTTTTAAATTTATTATTTATTTGTTGTTTCTCAATTATAAATTAAAAAAAATAACAAACTGTTCAAAAATTAATTAAAAGTAAGTAAGCAAGTCAATAGTCTTTGCAGAAACCAATCAAAAAGAGGCTAAAATAAGTAGAATCAAAATTTATTTTCAAAAAAAAAAACTGCACTAAAAATAGCTTATTGATGTCGTGCTGCTTGTTAAATATTTGCTGTGTGCTTCCTTAAAAGAGACCTCATTTTTGCACAAAAAGAAAACCCTAAACTGATTTACTTTAGAGTGATTTTTATTTACATACAAGTAATTGGTTATCTTAAATTAATGATGAGACTTTTGTTTCAGATATCAATATTCCAGGCACTCACGAAAGTATGGCACTATATTCTTATTTTACACTATCTCTTCCTGTATGCCAAAAATGGTTACTAAAAGATCAATTAGAGAGTGGAATCAGATTTTTAGATATCAGAATAAAAGAAGATACACATGGGAGATTGCCCATACATCATGATATTGTGTTTTAGAAGGCTTATTTTGAGGAAGACGTCTTAAACGTTTGCGAAAAATTTTTAGCTTAAAATCCAACAGAATTTGTTATTGTGATGATCCGTATTGAGTAGAGAGATAGAAATGCTCCATCGTTAAGCAGCCGATTTGACTAAATAGTATCCTGCAAGAAAAATAATATTTTTAGCTTTGAAAGCTCGATACCAAAAATTAAAGATATTAGAGGTAAGATTTGGATATGGAATGGAAATAACTGGAATTATAAGGGATTTAGCCTATACAACATGTAAAAAACTGGTGTTTTAATTCGTTAAGATGACTATGATTGTCCAATTAAGTAAAAAAAAAGACTAATAAAAGATACACATAGTCTAGCAATGTAGTTTCAATAAAATAGAAAAAAAGGTGTAGAAATTTATTTAAATTAAACGAACGGTTCTTAATGGCATGATTGGCCATCATCGTATGCAGAAGAAATAAATAAACATGTATACGAAAATTAATTTTATGAAGGTATAATAGCTTTAGATTTCCCTGGAGAAATCTTAATTAAAGAAATTATTGAAACCAACTTTAACAAGGATCCCAAAAATGATTTGATAGTAAATAGAAATTAGTATTGAAATATTAAAGATTTTTAAATATTATAGATAAAATTAATTGAATGAATGACTGAAAAATTTGTTTTGTAAAAAAATTTTGTAAATAAAATTGTATTAAAAAAATATATTTTTATTATGAATAAATTCATTTATTTATTTATTCTGAAAAAAACTAATTTTTGAAAGTTAATTGAGTTTATTTATTTATTTTCATTTTTTAATTAAAAGTAAACATCTCTAATGATTTAGCTTAATATTTTTTATTTATTTTGTTTTAATAAAATATTTAAGAGATTAAAAAGTTACAATATTTTAGAATGGATCAGAAAAAATTAAGTGCATTTTATGAAAAAAGAAATACACTCTAAAAAATTAATATTTTATTTGAATAATTACAACAAATTAGTTTGAAATATTAGTTTTAAAAATTTATAATTAAATAAAAAATAGAAGCTTCTATTGTTGATGTATTGTAATCACTCAACAAATAACTTCCAAATTTTATATTTATTTTTTAAAGAGATTTATTGATTGATTTGGAAAAGATTTTATGATAGATATATTTAAAAAAAATGAAATTTGGTTAAAATAAGGTAAATTTAAGAGATAATAAAGACAATTAAATAAATAGTAAAACCAATTTACTGGAATAGAAGGAGGATCTTTTACTATATATATTTATCATAAGCAAAAAAATGATGATTTTTTATTAAAAATAAATTAATTCAAACAATTAAATAAATAAATAAATTCATTTATTTATTTAATAAAAATAAAATTGTTTTAGTAATCTATTAGAGCATTTTATATTTCATTTAATAAGACTTCACTTACTTATAAAACTCTTAAGTAGTATGATTTAAAAAAAGAAATAGATGAAGATTTTTAAGAATTGGAAATAGATAGCTTTTGATTGATTGACTCACTGACTCAATTCACTCACTTGCTTACTTTAAAATTGACTATTACAAAATTTACAAATATTTATTATTGATTTTGAAGGTTTTTGACAGGAATTTTTGTTAAAATTTTTATTAACAATAAAAAATTAATTAAATTTTCAACTATTTAAATTTAACTAGAATTTTGATAGATATTAAAAATACTAAATTAAGATTTTAATTAAATCTTTCTAATTAATTATTAACAAGCTATCCCAACCATGTCACTTTGTCTTTGTTGTTGCTGTTGCTGCAATATTTGCTGCATGCTCCCTCAAAGAAAGGGGTTTTTTTCTTCTAAGAGAGGACCTAATACTAAAAATTTGTATAGCAAAGTATTTAATTCAACTCAAAATTGGATGCAAAATTTGAGTGATGATATTTGCGTTTCAGAGATTAATTTAGTAGGAACTCATGATTCTCTTTCGCTATATCCTTATTTTGGATTGCAGGTATCTGTATGTTAGAGGTGGATATTACTTGATTAGTTAAATAGTGGTATAAGGCTGTTTGATATTAGAGTTAAAGAAGATTTAGATGGTAAGCTACCTTTATATCATAGTTAATCATTTTAGTATTCACATTTGGAGAAAGATGTGATCGATGTAATAGACTCATTTTTAGCTAAAAATCCAAGCGAATTCGTAATCTTAATGATAAGAATTGAGGCATAAGAAGCTGGTGCCCCATCTTTAGCAGCTGGATTTGATAGAATAGTAAAAAGGAAGAGATAAAATTTGTTTTCTTTTGAAAGTTGGATACCTAATTTAGATAAATTGAGAGGTAAAATTTGGATTTGGCCAGGAAACAACTGGGATTACAAAGGTTACAGTATGAAATAAAAAATTAGAACTGGTTAACTGATACGCCAAGATTTTTACGATTACTCTGTTGAAGATAAAAAAAAAGTGATCAAACAAATCAATAACTTGGCATACTAAAATAAGTCACTCAGACAATCAGGGTAGGAAATCTATTTGAATTAAATGAATGGAGTCAAATGGTATTGCTGGCCATCATCTTATGCAGAAAAAATAAACTAATATGTATATGAAAACTAACTTTACGAAGGTTTTCTTGTATTTGATTTTCCAGGAGAGAAGATAATAATAGAAGTTATTGAAAGCAATTTCTACTAGCCAAAGGAATACTTTACTAAAGACTATGAAAGTCTAAATTGACTAAAGATAAACAGTTATCATAATAAATCATTACAAATAAGAATAAATCAAGATTATAATCACTAAATTTATTATTTATTTATTTAAAAAGGATTATTTCTACTAAAATTTTAATAAAAAAAAATATTTTATTTTGAGTTCTACCTTCATATTAATGTATATAATCAATCAATAAGCTCTTTAATAAATAATTTTAACTCTGAAATCTCAATTTTGATGAATTTTATCATTCAAACTTAAGTTAATTCATTAACTCAGTATTTTTAAAAAAATGTAAATTGAATTATCCCGATAAAGTTATTTTATTACATTTTCACTGCTCAAAAATAAATAAATAAATTTAAAATTATCTGTTTTTGGATGAGAAATATGAGGTTGGTAAAATAAATATATTTTAAGGTTTTCATAAAAAACAAATATAATTCACTCAGTAAAGATTTAATTAATTTTATAAATTGTTCAAATGATTACTAGTCTTAGCAGAATATTAGTTATAATAACTAATGAGCTCATAGTAACAATTTAGAAATATTTATCATTTAATGTAAAAAATTATATTTTTTTCGAATTTAAATATTAGTTTATTACTGTTAACTTAGAATTAAATGCTATGAAGAAAGTTATATTTTTTTATATTAATTAAACAAATCAATTTAAATTAAATAGAAATTAGTTTTTATTTTCTTTAAACTAACAATATAATTATTAAATTTTGAGTTATTTATTTACCAATCCTTTTTTAAATATTTTAAAACTTATTTTGAAAATTGCTTACCTGATTAAATTGAATATTGAATGAATAGTAAATTTCTGTATTGATTTTAGTAAGTGTTACTCAAAACAAATAATTTATTTTTTTTTCTGAATAAAATTGTAAAAATGCATTAAGAATTCAACCAATTATTAAAAATATAAAAATCATACAAAAATAATACCAAATCAATTTTGAGTGTTGATTTTTTTTAATGGCTATTGAAATATTAGATTTAGATAGAGTTTCTCTTAATTTCAAAATAAAAATAATTAAAAATACTCTCTACTTCACCAAAATATAAATTTTCATGCATTATTACATACTAACTTATTCTGAATTTATGTGGTTTCAAGAAAATAATACTTTTAGCTATTTTTAGCTAATTAAATATTATAAAAAATAACAAAATAATTAATTTAAACTAAATAATTTGTTTTTATATAACATCTAAAATGGATTCTTATCATTCAATATTAAATCAAATGGTGTATAAAAAATAGAAACATATTTTTGCTTTAAGAAGTCAAAAAAGATTTTTTTGGAATAAAGTATAGATTTGATAAACTTAATAAAATTAATCAAAAAAAAGTTACTCTGAAACCTCAAAATTAGTGAATTTTCAACCACCAATTAATTTAAATATTTAAGAATAATATATTTGAGAAAAACACTTCATCCTTTAAAATTTTACTTTTTGTTTAAGGAGAAATTATGTTACTATTTTATTTAATTTTTGTGATTAAATTGACAAAGTGATAATATTGGATGGCAAATAAGATATTTAATGCAATATTTTTTTAAAGAATATTATGAAAACTTGAAAATTTAAAAAAAGGTTACAATTTAGTTAATAAGGATTATTCTAAGCAAAAATTTAAGTCAGCAAATATATTAACAGATGCTAATAAGATGCAAAGAGATATTATTAGAAAACGCAAATATATATAATAGAATGATAAAGCGGGTATTTTTGATGATATATATGCCAATTATTGGATGAAATAATCCTATTTAGAGACACGAAAAAAAGGTATAAGTTAGATAGAAAAAATTTAGTAATATCACAATTAGAAATGTATGCGTTTAGAGATGAAATGTAATTATTAATAATTAGTATTAAATTATTAATTAGTTATTTTTTTGTTAGTTGAAGTTAGAAGCAGCAGACAAGCATATGTGTATGTATGTATTTATACATGGATTTATTGATTGATTGTTATCAAAAAATAGATAATTCAAAAATTTAAGCAAAAAGACTTTATTTAGATAAACAGAAAAAAGAAATAATATATGATAGAAAGGGGAAAACAAGTAAATTTAATAAATAAATAAATTAATTTATATATTTATTATGGTTGATTTAATGAGCTAGAGAGTGAGTGAGTGATTGAGTTAACAAAGAGTATAAGGGATTAATTCTTTTAATAATTTGATAAAGGAATATAATAATTATTATTATCATAAAACAATAAAAGCATCAAATTATAAAGATAATAGGAGAGATAGTTAATATCGTGATTAAATAAATAATCAAAAAATCATCACAGGTATTATCAAAGAATCTGCAAATTTAAGGAAAATAAATTAGTAAATAGCTCATAATTTTTGAAAGAAATTATCGATGATGTTTCAAGTTTCTACTTCATCTGGGACTTAAGGCGTGACTGATGGAGGAGGAGGCGGAGCAGTTTAGCAGCAATAGCAATAAGTCAGCAGTTAGATTAGCGGCTATAGTAATAATAGCTTAGCTTTATCAAGTCATTTTGCGAAAAAGGAAGCTGCCCATTTAAGCAGATAAGCGACACATCGTCGCACAAAATCGCAATTCGATTTATAAACTAGCAATTTGAGGGGATAACCTAATTTGATATTAGGCAATAATCTGAATGGAGTGGCAACACACTCACCTTCCGCATCAAGCATAGTTGGCGGAGAACAAAATTAAATAAATTACAATATTTCATAGTCTTTAGCCTCCCTTTAACAGAGTCAATCTTATTAAGGATTATAGTAAAATTTAATACAATCTTTAAAAAAATATTTAAAATGAAAATTCAAGTTTAAAAAATTCATTTATAAAAATAAGTAGTTAGCAATCGCCAACAGAATCATAGTCTTTTTGCTCTTAAATAAGGGAAAATTCTTCTTCGTCATCTTCATCAACTGCAGCCGGAGTGACATCAAGCGGTTAGGGCTTATGCCAAAGCTATAGTAACAACAATAGCATCAATAATACGAATAATCTTACAAATAATTCTATCAATAACAATAACAACAACAATTTAAATAATTTATTAGGCGGTAAGGAGCAATTATCGCCAATGAACACATCACAAATGATCTAGCTAATGCAGATTAAATAAACTTAAGAAAAGTAGTAAATTATCGAGACTATTGATTAAGATTTTTAGAAATTTAGTGCATGCAATTCGATGAATAATGGTTTCAATTTTGGTAAAAACAAAGGGAAAGCACAGTAACGAAGTGCTGGATTTTTTAGCGATATAAAAGGATATACATGCAATTAGAATGGAAATAACTAAAATAATCAATAAAATTAAATGCAAAATTAAAGTATTTACTCCTAACTTGCAATATCTTCCGGATAAAATCCTAACAGCAGTATGCCGTTTAATTCGACTTTAAATCAAAATACTTGTTAGACTTTAGCAGGTAATCAAAATTTAGGTTAACCTTCGTTAAATCTCATGACAATTTATGCAAATCATGCAAGCGGACTCCAAACAATTCCAGAATAGGAAATAAGTTCAATGGATTGCCCTAACATTTCTCATCCAGGCTCAACAAGAAATTAAGATGATAAAAGAATAGTTTTTCACTCGCATTCTAGTAGTTATTCCACAAATCCACAGCAAGTGAGTTAATAAGTTTCCCCTATCCTCCCATCTTAGTAAAATCAGCTACTCCTACACTCAAGTCATAGCAGTGCATCAAATAGCGCTGCTCCAACTCATCATAAATAAAATTCATCATTGGGTGGTCACAACCATTCGAGTTCATAAAATAGTGCTACATTTTAAAGAATGTTAAATCCTTCCTAATTTTCGGGTAAAACTCATATTAGTTTATACATTCATTCATTCATACAATATAGTCTTTTAGATTTTTAAGTCGAAAATTTAAAATCCCCAAAGGAGAAATTTTTATTAAAGTATAAAAAAGAAATAAACAATAATATTAATTTTTAATTTCAATTTCTTTAAAATGGCATCAAGAGTTGATTCATTTTTCATTTTAAAATCTTCATCTTAAACTCCCATGTGCCTAATGAAAAGCTCAGAAAAATGCTCTTTTTTAAATTAATATGGTAAAACAAATATATTTTCTCATATTTTGTTAGGTAAGCATAAAAAAAGTCAATTTGTCTATTTGATTTTAATTGATCATACCTTTTTTAGAATTCAGAATCTGTTAAGTTGTTTACTTACTTATATATAATGTAAGGCAGACTTAAAAAATTATTAAAAAGCAAATAGACAAACAATCCAGAACAAAAAAGATTAAAATTATTACTTAAAGAGAGTTGAATGAAGGGACTAACTAACTAAAATGTTTAATTAGTAAAAATAAATAGTAAAGCTGATTAAAATATGAAGAATAAACAAATAAATAGATAGATATATTAGAATAGAAAATAAGTTAACAAATAAATTGATTGATGTATTTACAGACAAAAGGTGGTAAAACAAAAACTAAATTACACCAAAGCAAAATAAGAAAAATATTCAAATCAAATAAATAAATAAATTAAGAAAATTAAAATTGACTAACCAATCTAAGAAAAAATTCTTTGATATTTATAAAATTTAATTTGATAGGCCCCTACCAAAATTTAAATTTCTTTTTAATCATAAATCATCGAAGGCTGTTTTGGTTTATTGTTATTTAAAAACAAACAAGAATTAATAGGCAATCTATTATTTTTAAGCTAGTAGTAGCTTTTAATTTTAAAGCAAAATAAATTTTTTCATATAATTTGATTAATTCTTCTAATACAATTCTCTTTCTGAGAAATTCATCAATAAATTAGTAAGGAATCAAATTAGTGAACTAAATAATAAATCATCATCAGAATATATAAATAAATAATTACTTTGACCCTTCAAAGTTTTAATTAATTATTTTAAATTTTGAAATTACTTATTATGTAAGTATGTTTTTGATTCCCATACAAAATATATTAGCAAGCAAGCAAACAAACATCCATCCAATCAACTTTAATTTTCATCCATTAATTTTCTAATTTTTAAATACAGCTGATCAATTCACGAACGCAAATCAAAACGGGTTACAGACAAACGAAGATAGAGAGTATAAAATATCATCAGCAAGAGAACACTATAAAGCCTCTGATCAGAACTCTCTCACTAATATTACTCCAAAAATGGTTATAACTCCAGGCAATTCTTCTAATTCAAAAGAAAAAAAATTCTTCTCTTCTGTTAAAAAGTAATCACAACATGGCTCTGCTTCGAATGTTTCTCAATAAAATTAAAACATAAATAATAATAATAATTAATAGTAAAATTAACCACAGTAATAGCACTAATAAATTTAGTAATAAATACAGTAGTAATAACAATAGCAGCAGTAATAAAATCATTAACATTTACATCAATAACAATAACAATAACAAATACAATAACAATAATAATAATAATAATTGCAGTAACTGCCATAACAACAGTAGTAGCAATAGGTATAGATATAATAGCAATAACAGTAAATAGTGCCTTAAATGTTAACTTAATCTTTAAGCTAACCTCTGCAAACTCAGTCAAATGTAAATTCTTTGTCATAAAGCCAAAATAGTTAGACAATATAATAAATGATCTTAAACTCACAGATGAGCAAACGTAAAAAATAGTCTTCTCTTACCGAAGAAATGGACTCATCTCTTAAAATAATTTAAGCTTAAGTGTAAAAGTTTGAAAAAACTATTAATGTTACAACTGATAAAAAGAAGCAACAAGTTTTGCAATAAAAGAAATCCCCAACAAGCTTAAAGTTAAAATTTGAAGCAGAAAAAGAAACAAATAATTCTTCCTTCATTTAGTAATAGTCGTAATAGCAATAGTAATAGTAATAGTAATAATAATAATAACAACAACAGTAATCTCAGTAATAACAGTAGTTGATGCAAATTTAACAGTTTTTAGCGTAAGCAAACAGTAATCGTGCATTTTTGAAAGAATAAAACTGCAACAGCGATCGTCCAATAAACTCAAACTAAAACTAATTCTATCCTTCAAACTAGATATATAGTTAAAATTAATTAAATAACACATTTTCCCAAATAAATTACAGTAATAGCACTGCAACAAATACTAATAACTCTAATTGTACTGTAAACGAACACAAATAAAATAGATCTGATAGAAACGTCAACGAATCTAAGAATCTGAAGGTTTAAATACTTCACTAATAACTATAGCAAGCTTAAAATTCTCTTGCTAATCAATAATCTATTTCTTAAAAGTAATTAAAATAAACCCCTCAGCAATAGTAACCGCAGTAACAAGGCCAAAGCTTGGCTGGAAACATCAGCACTTCAAAAAGCAATCCAACTCTTCATTAAAGAAAAAGCTCTGCAGTTGTGCAATCAAACAACTAAAATTAAAATTAAATCAATAACTCTCTACTAAATCAATCGAATCAGCAATAATCTTAGCTTTAATAATATTTATTTGCGAATACACATACAATTAGTAAAAATACAGGTGAGAATCCATAAACAAACAACAACCATTTAAATTAATTATATTAAAATTAAAGTTAATAATAAATAAATCAAAAACATAAAATAATGAGTTCTGTTTCATAAATGTAGCAATACTTAATAAACTAACAAAACAGTAATAGTCAAAGTATACCTCATGGAATTATTAACAGCAATAGCTTGAACAGTTTAAACTCTATTAATTAAAACCCATAAAATTTTGAGTAAAATAGAATATAATAACTTGAGTAAACCGTCTCAGAGCTGACTAAGAAAATTAACTTGTTGGAACAAACCAACAAACTTTTAATATTAAAATTCAATCAGCTCTTAGATGAAAAGCAGTAACCTTCTGATAAAAAGCTGAACCTTTAAAAATTAATTTAAAATAAATCACACAAAAACAATTAAATATGAACAAAAAAAATTAATAAATTTTTCGCAGTGATTTATTAAATTCTTATATTATTTATTTAATAAAGATTTATTCTTAACTATTCTAAATAAAAAACTGTATAAAATTCATATTAAAGAAAGTAAGTATTTCTTTAATTTTTAATATTCACCAGTAATTCATTGTAAATATACTTTTCCTCTTTTGACGTTTAATTAGTTTTAATCCTTTCATTTCTCTAATTAACAATTTTTAAGATATAAAACAAACAAATTAGATAAGCAATTTAAAATTACTTTACGGAATAAATTTTCAAAAAATATTATAATATTCTTTGATTACAGACAGATATTAAATTTTCAATATATATATATTTTTTAAAAGATTATATTTTCATCATCATAAAAATATTTATAAAATATAATTAGTAATTTCAGATTCTATTATGTAAATCAAATTTTAATTTTATACTATTTATTTAATAAGGCTGTATACCTAATTACTCTAAAATAACTGTTAAAATCATAATTAATAAATAAGTATATAATATATAATAATCATAATAAATAATTAAATTAATTATTATTATTAAAATTATAATAAATAAATAAGTAACTAAGTAATAATTATTAAAATTATAATAAAAAAATAAGTAAGAAAATAAATAAATAAATAATATGTTCTAAAATCATAATAAATATATAAATAATCATAAAATAGTTATTAAAAAATAAATAAATAAGATTTTAATTTATTTTAAAACCATAATAAATAAATAGATAAGTAAATAATAATTATTAAAATGATAATAAATTAGGAAATAATATATATTAAAAACATATTAATAAATAAGTAAAGAAAAGAAGTATTTATTTATTTCTTTAAAAGTTTTCTATAAAATGCAATTTTTCCTCTTTAACTTTTAGTGAAATTTTTACTTAAATTAATTTTTATTAAGTGATAAAATAACAAAATTGAATAAACAATTTAAAATTTATATTTGATAATAATCAAGTAGATAAAAATATTTTAATTGTTTTATTAAAAGATATTAGTAATTAAAATATAAAAAAGATGGATCTTTGATAAAGAGGAAAAAAATATAATTAATTTAAGATTTAATTTAACTTATCAAAAAATATAGGATTAAAGTAAAAGTAAATAAAATGCTTTATTGATTGATTAATTTAAAATAGAATAATTACTTAATTAATTAAATATCTAACTCTTGAGTAAATATTTATAAATTACAAAAACATTACTAAAAATAAATATGTTTAAAATATAATTAAGTTTATATAATTTTTCTTAATCGAAAATTTAAGTTTAAGTTTCTTTTATCTAATTAGTTTTATTTTATATTTTGTTGAATAACATTTTTAAATTATTGAGAAATTAATTAACTGACTAGGATAACCAAATGAGCTTTACATATTACTCAGATCTTTTTCTAAAACATTTAATACGATTAATTTTTATCATTGTTATTATTTTCAAAAAATTAATTTTATCCTTCCATAGCTCCTTAATTGAAACTCCACTAATTACTGTAGAATCCATCAAAATCTAATCTGGCAATTAAATTTATTAAGTAGGTGTCATATTTTGTAATCCTAATATAAATTTATTATTTTTAAAAATAATACTTTTAAACGTTTAAATTTACATATTGTTAATTATTTTCATAAGGTCTTTCAAACTCGAGTCAAATTTTTAAGTGTATTTTTAAAAGAAATCTTTGTAATTTTTTTCTGCAACAAGAATTCTAGCATGCTTTCTTTATTCCTAATTTTATTTTTTAAATATAGCTAAAACTTTTTATCAATTAATTAATTACTTCAACTTATTCCTTTCTTTACTGCAAAGGTGTTTTCTTTTCATCTTAATTTAAAAGATGAGCTGTATTTTGGCTCTTTTTTTATATTTTAGAAATTACATTAATACAATTTATTTTTTAAGTTTAGAATTTTTCAAAAATTAATTTTTTTAAGACTTTTCTTTTAGTTTTAGGTAAAAAATAAATAAAATTTGTTTATAAAAAAAAATTACTTCTGGCTTTTTAATGATTGAAATGTTATTTTATATAAATTGAGCAAAAGTCTGACAGCAAGAATTTATTGATTATATTGTGTTTATAAGGGAAGTATCGAGCAAAACGCATTCCTTTAAGCATTCATCTAAGAATTAATCGTGGTGTTGTATGATGTCTTCGAATTATTAAACTGATTTCAAGTTACTTTTAAGCTTTTGCCACTTAGTTTCAATTACCTCAAAGCAAATATAATATATGAAATTTTTTACATAATGGATCATTCTTTGAGTTAGAGCATAACCTTTCAAAAATATTCTTTATACATTTAATTCTTTCATGGATTATTGAACAAGCCATGCATTACTCAGCTATCTTTCAATATATTTGCAGTTAAATAAATGACGGAAAATCAGTTAGTATTTTGTAAGAGTTTTTCTGTTAAAAATTAAATTAAGAGGCCACTTGATCCTGTAATCAAGTGAAAACAGATCTAATCCTTTCAAAGTAAGAGCTGGAGTATGAATTTTGAACTTCTCTTGATTTTAATCATTTAAAAGATTTGGGTTCATTTAAGAATTTTGATAGGCAAATAGCTGTTCTTTTAGGGTGTATTGACTAAACTCGTAAGTGAGATCTTCAACATAAGGATCTGAAGACAGACTGCTTGTTCTAATTGACATTTCTAATAAACTCTCTAACTTTTCTTTTGAGACTTATCTTGCCTGCTTGATGAGTTCTTCTTCTGAACTGTCTAAGAAGTAAACGAAAAAATCGCCTCTTTCCAAAAAGAAATAATTTTTTATTGACTTTAATCTGCCTTATAAATCTTAATCGACAACAACCAAACTAAATTTTAGAATTTAATTAAATTTAAAATATGAATAGCATATAAAAATTGTTTTTACTGCATTATTTAAGCATTTGCCCATTCGTAAGCCTTTTAAATTGGTTATGAAAAATCTTACATTTACAAGTAAGTTTCGTAATTTTAAACCAAATCTAATTCAAAAGGACTAGAAACAACTTTTCCTTCATGCTCACTCAACACACTGAGATATTTACCTGTCTTAAAAACCATTTCCTTCCACAAATAAAGGAATGCTGGTACTTATTTCTCCCTCAAAATGAATCTCTAATCCCAGTAATTTTCTTTAAAATCTTTTGAAATGTTATCCCTCTTAACAAAAACATTTTCCTATATAAAAAACTCTTAGAATAAGTCATCAATTTAACCATAATAAATCCACTATGAAAGCATTTAAACATATGGAGCAAAAGATTTCTACAAAACATAATAATATATATCAACTATCTATTTGTCACTAGTATTTTTAAGCAAATCATACAATTTACTCAATAATTCTCCTCCCTTATTAGTTTTTTAATTGAATAAAAAATTTTCCATAAAAATTAATAAATAAATGTAAATATTTGAGTAAATGTTTTATATTTTCTGTTTTTTCTTTAGCTTTATAATTAAATTTGATAAAGTTATCTTTAGAGTATACCAATTACTATTAAAAATTCAATTAGGAATTTTTAAAACAAAATTTATTCTTTAAACTTTATTTTTAATTATTTATTTTATTCAACTAAACTGAATTTATTTTAAATAATTATCAGAAAATGTTTTTTTGAAGATTATTTGATATTCTAAATGATAAAAGTAAAAAATGAGTAAGTTACTCATGCTTCTTTTAAATATTGCATGAATCATATTATGCTTGCTTAAGATTGAATTGCAATTTACATTTAAATTTGAAAAGTAACAAATTATTTTATTATTTGAACGATTAAAATTTATTTGGCTTAAATAATCTTGAAAACAATTAGAGCTTTTTACTAATTGATTATTATTCAAAAGAAATATTTATTTATTTATTGATTCTTTTAAATAATTAACTCTAGCTATTTTTATTAATATTTTTCTATATTTTTTTAGTTCAAATAATTTTGAAATTACCTTATAATTTTCTGTTTCAGATACTAGCTTGTATAATGCTTCCATAACTTTAAGAGATGGCTGTATGTAAAACCATAATTTTTGCAAAGTAAGCTCTGCTTTCTGGAACTCTTAATCGAGTTAGTTAATCATTACAACATACTCTCTAAGGAGAAGTCCTAATGCAGCACAAAGAGCCTGCGAAACAGTTCCAAAAGAAAATTATTAATGCTATGCAATGTAATTTTATATTTTATCATACTGTAAGCAAATTTCAAGAATTTTATTAACTAATTATTTCAAAGAACTTTCACATGTTGAAGTTTCTAAGTATGGTTCGATGCAATAAATATAGGGTTTTCTGTACTAATCTGCCTTTTTCTTGATATAATTTCCTATTAAATTAAAATTAAATTCACAATCTACCTTCCATTTTTACATAAAAAATATTTTTAAGCTTAATTATTTTAATTTATATCTAACTAATTTGGCTTAATATAAGAATATCCATTTTTAATATAAGAATGTCCATTTTAATACAATAATGTCTAATTATGATAATATCATATACTTACTAATGATACATATATTTATTTATCTTTAATTACCTTCTATTCCTGTCATGACAAATAGTAAATCTTCGATTAAATAAAGCTCTTGTAATTAGGGACTCATTGCTCCTAGATTTTTTTTCTCTTCTAAAATAATAGTAATAAAACAATTTATATGATAAATTTAGTTATTATATTTGATAATGTTACATGTTTTGTTAAGTAATTATTATTTTTCTTAATATGCTATCTGTGTATTTGTTGCTGTCAAAAATGAGCTAAAATCAGTAGGCTCTGTCCATGTTGGCATGAAAGGTATATGACTCTTACAAATTCTCCACATAGAGTCAGGAGAAATATTTGGACTATTGGCACTTACAGTATTTAAATTTTCACATATTAAGTAATTTCCATATGGCGATTTAAAAGCAATTTCCTCATAAACATGAATTTATCTTTTTGATTGTTGATTATTTGCATCAACTAAAGTCCATTTTGCTGACTTAAAAGTTATCCCGTTTTAAAAATTCTCTTCATACTCTGGCTTTTCCATTTTTAATGAACCATCTGCTTGGCATAGTAAATAATACCCTTAACTAATTTATGTTAAAAAGAACATTTGTCAAATATTTAGGTCTATCACGCATTTAATGTTATTAACTGTATTGTAATAAATGATATATTACCTATTCTTTATATGCACTTAGGAACCAAACAAAATAAACCCTGGATAATCCTATCATATTTAATTGAGATGAGTAAGATTTGAGATAGAATAAATGCTGTTTTAAAAATAAAGAAACGGCAATCAAGATAAATACCTAATTTTAGGAATTATAAATTATGAATTCTTCAATGGAATCAGTTTCTTAAACTTGTGTTTATTATTTTAAAAAAGGATGAATTGCGCTCATTTAAACCGAATTGCCTGTTAATTCATTTTTTTCTGTATCATAAGTATATTGATGGCTCAAATATCTATTGTTTCTAGTGTTTTTAATACCAATCTATTTATTATTTATAAACATTTTATATTTAGTATGTATGAACTGTGCTTAAGACTATTCTATAATATAACTACCTTTGTCAAATAAGACAATCCTGTTCCGTTTTCTTAAATCATTATATAAAATAACTCGCTAATAACTAAAATCAGTAATTATTCAGAATATCAAAATTTTATTAATTATTATTCAAATTTTTAATATTGAAAATTATAAATTTATGTATTTATGTATGTATGTATGTAGGTAGGTAGAAATGAATGATAATATACGCCAAAAACTCTTTTTGAAAATTTAAAAATATTCATTAAATTAAATAAAATCTATTCAATCAATTAGTTAATTGATACATACGGCAATTAATTCTTAGCAAATTACTAAATTATTCAGCGCGTATTTTTAAACCTAACTTTAATTATTTAAAATTAGAATTTACTAAAAGATATGTCTTCTAACAATAAAATATTATCTTGGTATTAGAATTTACTAAAAGATACTTCATTTAATATTAATAATTTTAACATATTTTCTTTTTATTTTAATTATCTGTTTTTAAACTAATTTTTAGGTTTAAACAAATTAATTGAAATTCTAATTTAAACGAAATACTTTTAAAAAAAATAATCTATTTATAAAATAAAATTAAGATAAATTAAAAAAATTTTGTTCAAAAAATGCAAAAAAATTTAATTTAATTCGAATAATTATTGAAGAAAAAGAGATTAAAAATAATATAATCCTTTGTTTTATTTTTAAAAAAAACAATTCACAAAATTATTTTTTTGCATTTAAAGATAATTATTTTAATTTAATAAAATTTCATTAATATTCTTTTAAAAAATTTATAAAAAACCAGATTGATTTTAAATTTCATAAATAAAATAAAAATAGAAATAATAAATTTTTTTAGGAACAATAAATTTAAGTATTTGCTTAAATATTATGACCTATATTTAATATCTATTAATGATGAGTTAGATTATAATAATTTATTTAATATAATAATATCATTTTAAAAAAAAATAATAATACAATAGTAGATAATTCCTTTAGTAACATTTTTTGCCACTTTAAATATGAATTAATTTAATAGATAATTATTGAAGAATAAATGTTAAAAATAAAATAATTCGTTTGCTTTGTTTTTAATTGTATCAAATTATACTCATGATATTATGTTTTGCATTTTAAAATAATTATTTTAATTTAATAAAAATTTATTGATAACTTTAAAAAATTTTATAAACAAACAGATTTTAAATTTCATAAATAAAGTTAAAATAGAAATAGTAATTTTTCATAGAAGCAATAAATTTAATTATTTGCTTATATTTTGTGATTGTTCGAAGTTTAATTGATGGTACTTGTTAAACAGGTTAAATGTATTTAATTTTAAAATATCTTTAAAAAAAAATAAAAATGATGAGAATCGTAGATAATTCTTTGAGTAACATTTTTTACCACTTTAAATATGAATGTTTCGAATTGATATTTATTTTTAATATTATGTTTGTCTTGAATAAAATTTAATCTATGATTTATAAAAACATGAAATACTCAAATTACAATATGATTTGAGTAATAAGCTAATAATAAATAAAATTAGTGATTATGATTCATCTTAATTAATTCATATAATTAATACTCAAATAATTGTAAAACTAGCTAAATATTTCTAATAGTAAACTTAAAGCTATTTTAGCTACAATAATTTCAACTAAACGATCTAAGCTTAAGCAAGATCACAAATTTATTTATATAATTTATTATTTATTGCAGTCCTTGCCATGTCATAAAGACACCGTAACGACGCAACGGAAAGAATAAAATCAGATAATGATTTTATTGAGTATTCTTAATGCTAGGAATATTTTGCTTCAAAGCATCCTGAAGAAATTGTCAAAGTAGATTTCAATAAAATAAGCAATTATAATTTACTTTATTTCTTTTAAATTATTCACATAGGACGTAAGAGGTATCTTGAAAAAGCCGATCTTAAATAGAACATAAGAAGATATTCATTTCTTATATTTTTACTTCCAAAAGTTAGAATTTTTTAATGAAATTCTTGAAACATATGATAAATGGACTGTTTTATCATGCTTGAAACTGCTTAGTTTAGTTTCATTTATGCCTAACTAAATTATTTTTTAAAGAGGTAAATGATTTAATGAATGCCTTAATATATTTTCCTATTCTTTTAATCCACATTTATACCTTTTAAATAAAAAATAGACGAAATACCTAAACATTTTTGGGTTTTATTGAGCGGAGATGCTGTGGTTACAGATAAATCTAGTTTAATAGATAGAGAAAGAGTGTTTAAAGTTGGAGAATCAGCGGGTAACTTTGAAGATCAAATGATGTAGTTTACTCTTAAGGCTGTACTTAAATGTGAATTTGCTGTCTTAAAAAAAGACTAATATGAATTCATAGTTTAAAAAAGGGATGAAAATGAATTTAAGAGAGTTCTTAAACTACTGAAAAATACTGCTATGTTTGAAGATTTTTAAATAGTTATTTTAAAAAAAAATATAAATTGCTTTGAAAAAAAGATTTATAATTATAATAGTATTGTTTATGATGAAAACTAGCCAATTGATGGGATTTATATTATAGATAGTGGCTAGTTCAGTGTGATGAAAAGCAAGATCATTGATAAAAATAAGCAAGGAAAAGATTAAGAATTAGCTAGCAATAAAGTATTTGTTAGGGTTAGTATTTTGTAACAATAGAGCTAAGTCTTTGGTTAGGAAGAAATATTTAGAGCCAAGTAAACTAGGAAAAATAGAGTAATATGCTCTTAAAATAATTCTAAGGCTTTTTTTTTAAGCTTTGAGAATTACATGAATATCTTTAAATCAACATCAGATAAAACTATTGACAATCTCATCAAGAAAGAAAAGTTTAGTTAATAGATGAGAGATGGTATTATTTAGAGGAGATCAAATCTTGACTAATAATATAAAAATTTTCTTTACTAATCGTCTCTAGCTGCTTCATCGTAAAATCAATCAACTGGATTAAAGCACTATGATTCTCAATCTATTGCAGAATTATAATAACTTTAAGTTCCTTCCACAAAAAAGGCATATTATTTACCATCAATTAATCAATTTCCAGAAAAGAGAAGTCCTAGTATTAGCCCAGAAAAAAATGAGCTTTTATAAGAGTACGTCCTTAATCTGAAAGACTCTTAAAAAATGAATAAAAATGATAAATAATAATAATATACTGAATCAACAAATAAAAAGTTGAACTTTAATAGCTAACATATAAAAGTTTAAAATTAAAGCAATATTCCTCAGAATTTATAATAGTCCAACAATAATAATTCTCCAAAAGAAATTATTAACAATTAATCTAAGCTTACAAAAAAGGAAGATTAAGTTCAAGTAAATAGCAATAATAGCAATTTTAAAATATTAGAAAACGAATAAATCGATAAGCAATCTACAAACAAATAAATATTTCTGAAGCAGCAATAAAATATAAGTGGGAAGACTGATAATAAATAGTAAAACTAAGAAGAAAGTAATTGCTTTTTTATAGAGGAAAATGAAATTCTGGAAATTTATCAAAAATAAAAAATGGAAAATATTCAGCAAATATTAGAAAAAAATAAATATCTCTGTTAAAATGCTAACTTTTTAAAAGATGAAGATGTTTTTTAAGAGCTTTAAAGAAATAAATCTAATAATTATACATTAAACACAATTTTCAATAGAAATCGCTCAATTAGCTCTAAAAGACAATCTATTTTTGATAAGAATGAAGGAAAAACTCCTTAGTCTGCCAGTAATAGAAAAAAGAATTTATACGATGTTGATTCTGAGGGCATAGATAAGCAGTATATTTAACGATCATCTAAAATTTAAAAAATTCCGCTGTCTTCTTTCAGGCTTAAAGATTCAAGTAACAGTACTAATAATAGTGCAATTATAGAAACTAAAAGATAAGAATAAGAAGAAGATAGTCCTCTACTTTAACAGAAATCCTTTTTACTAACACTACCAAACATAGAACAACAAAATTCAATTATAAATAAAGATTAAAATATCTAAATTTAAATTGATAATTAAGAAGAACCAAAAATAAATGATTTTATTAACTAAGAATAATCACAGAATAAAAGTAAAACCACAAATCAAGATAGAAGAAGAAGCTTGAGATAGTAACTAGCCTAAGACCAAATAATAAAGAGATAATAAAACCAAAGTTTTCATAATATTTATGACTCCTCTGAAAACAGAAACAATCATCTTAGTTATAAATAGTAACTCTCCAGATTAAACAAAAGTGAAGAAGTTATACTTAACTAGCCAAATATTAATTAAATAAAAGAATAAACAAAACAAAATTTACTTAAAAACTTTGGTTTAGTTGATTAAAGATATGCATTAGCATAATTTAAAGATCCAAATTACGTGGGTAAAGCTAGCAGATAAGTTAGCATAACTTAAATTTATGAAGATGTCTCACCTGAAAAAATTAAAAACTTAAATATAGACTCTTTAGAGTTCTAGTTGTCTAATTAGAGTGAGTTAATGAGATAAGCTGAACATGAAATTTAATATGCCATTAATGGGCCTAAAGTCAAATTAGTTGAAAATTATATTCATAAATACATTAAAAGAAGCAATAAAAGAAAAATAAAAGAAGGCTATGAAATACCTAACTTGCTAGAGACACTCAAAAAAGATAGTTCTATTGTTATGAGCAACTCTGTAGAAATTCTCAACGAATAAATTTCTAATACAATAGCTAATTCTAATGTTAATTTTCCAGATTAGATAATTCTGCCATAACTAAATTATAACAATTCAAATTTTAAGTAACTTATGCTAGTAGTGTAACCTCAAAATTCCATCAATAAGCAATTCTTAAGAAAAAGCAGAAAAAAAATAAAAGAAAAGCTACAAAAAGCAATAGAAGATAAGATATTGGAGGATCCTTATTTAATAAAAAAATCAGCTTCACCTGCATAAAACAATTAAAAAAATAGTAACAATAATAGATCTAAAATTCAAATATTGTAAAATCCTTTAAATTCACCTAAAAGTGTAAAAACAACAGCTAAATTGCATAAAGTAATTCTAGGAATTGACAATTTTGACATTTTGAAAGATTGATAACAAAATTATTTGAAAAGTATTAAATAATCTAATAATTATTTTAAAGTAACAAATTCATGTTTTATAAAAATTAATATTTTAACAAATTCTACTAAAAAACAATTAAATTGTTAATTAAATATTTTAAAGAAGTAAATAAATAAAAAATTTACCTTACTATATTTATAAAAAAATATTCAATTATTCACTTAAGATAAAATTTATTTCAAATTTTGTAAAAACATTTTTGATAAAATTTAAATTGATTAATTTTGAAAGATAATTAATTAATTATAGGGTAGATAAACATTATTTACAAATTAGAATAACATTAATTTATATTAAATAATTAAAATTAATTAATTCATTTGGTAGTTATTTAGTTGGTTAGTTAGTTAATTAGATAGGTTGCTGAATTATTTGGGTTGTTAATTTAATTCATTTAATTACTATTTACATTTTTTTTCTCAATATTTTATCAAAGCTATTTATAGCACGATAATTTCCTATAGTTGTATATGACATCAAGAGTCCTTTCTAGAGTATCTTCTAAATCTTTCTTTCTTTTTTATTAGTCTTTAAGCTCGTTATTTAGCCTTTTTAGATCATCTTCTTAATAATTTACACTCTGTTTATTAAAAATTAAATATAAATTTTTTGACGATAACCGATAAAAATTTTACTGTTTCAAGGATTGATTTTTGACTATTAATAGATTTTTAATGCTTTTCATCAATTAAATTTTATTTTTTAAAGTAAAGCATATCTTTTTCTTCTCTTTTGCTTCTTTCTTTTTAGCATTCATTATAGATGTGATTTATATACTATTAAAAATTACATTCATTTTAACTACTTTTTAAAAATACAAATGAAGAATTAATTACTAATTATTAGTGTTAATGACTTTAGTGCTAGTGATCTTCCCATTCTTGAATTTGCTTTACAGTTTTGAAGCATTTTATTGATTCTTCATTCATTTCTTTAATAAGCTGTTTTTCTCTTCTTTTTTAGTCCTCTAAAAATCCATGAAGTCTGTCTCTCTTTTAATTAAAATGTTGTTTTGATTAAAAATTAATAAGTAAAATTTTTTATATTCTATCTTACTTCTTACAATTTCCATTTGTTATCTATTTTTTCTTCTAAGTGCTATGTTTCTTACAGTCTCTACTTGTGATCTTTTTCTAGATAAAAATCTAGTTTAGATTTCTTAGACTTTAAGGTAAGAATGTCTTATTTTTCTTATTTGATCTACTTTTATATTGTTAATTTCTGCTTTGCAGCCTTTGAAGTATTTCTGTTTTAAGTGTTTTCAATGCTATTTCCTCTTTCACTGAACTCTTCAAAATTATTTATAATATTCTTTACACATGAGTTTGCTTCAGGTTTTTTTACTTTAAGCTTAAGTATTTTATCTAACCTAGATATTTTTGAAGTTGCTGCTGCTTCATTTCTACTTTTTAGATCCCTTTAAGAGCTAGAGTTTCTACTAGATTAGCTTAAACTCCTTTATCTGTTAGAAGACAGAGATTATGAGCTATTTAAGTGTTATTTTTAATGATCAGGTTTGGTAGACATTGGTGAATTCATAAATTAACTTTCATCCTTTCTATTTTTTATTGATAACAGACTTCCCTGTCTTTTATTACTTATACTTCTTGAAGTTGTTTTTGTTTATTTTGTTTTATTCTCCTCTGATATCTATGTTGAGAATCTACTGCGTGTAGAGTGAGTACTTTACTGCGCTAGACTACCTTAGCTCTACTCTCTTTTATGTAAGAACTTTTTTTCTTCAATTTATTTTTAAAATTATGAGCTACTTTGCTTATTATTTTCTGAATTAAGTTTGGTATTAAGCTTTTATGTTTAATTCATAGATTCTTAAAATTCACTCTTTCTAGGCATATTGGAATTCTATGAAGAGCAAGATGTATTCAAGCGATTACTACTTCTTGTAGTGTTTGTGTTCTGTGTATTGAGTCTTTATTATGGCAATTACTTTTTTACTTCTCTTGTGTTAGTTATTTCTATTTATTTAGGGAGATTTAAACCTGATCTGGATGATGACTCAGAGAGTTAATCTGAAGATCTTAGATTTATTTTATGTGAATTTGACTTTGACAAGGATCTTTAAGAGTTATCAACCTTAGTTTGTTTATTATGCTTTGCACTTTGATTATTTAATATATCTTAGTGACTACTTGAACCACTAAGTCTTCTATTCTATTTATTGGGAGTAAGATTCTTTTTAGTTTGATTTTTTATAGGAGTCTTAACAACAATTGAAGTGCTGAGCTACTAGCAAGAGTTTAAAGATAAATTATTTTAAATATTCTAGCTTTAATTGATATTTGATTAAAAATTTGCTATTGAAGCGGAGCTTTATTTTGGAGCTTAAAGAATGTTCTTAGCATATCTTTGAGAATCACTTGTGATACTTTAGCCAAAAGTCATATTAGATTATTTATCATGACTCTATTTTCTTGAATTAGTAGCAAAAGTTTAACTTCCAATTTTTTCTTTATTAGACTTACTGTTAAAATTACTATTATTACTTGAATCTTTTTAAACATTATTTTTAGGATAGCTAAAAATATTTTCTTTTTGAGTAATTTACTACTGTTTCAGCATTTTTTTTTCAAAATTAATTCTTTATTGTATTTGTTATTCTTCTAACACTAACCTATTAAGTTCCATTTTATAATCATAATAGACAGAAACAGCTTTAATGTATGAAACCAAACCAGAAATTTGTTCTTGCAAAAGAGGGTTATCAGGAATTTCTAAATCCTATAAATTTTTGGCAGTTTCCCTACATTATCCAATACTTCTACTGCTCACCTAATTCATTTCTATAATATCAGCAATCCTAGAAAGCTCATTCATTAATCTACCAGGAGAAGTAAAATATTCCTACAAGCTCTTCCAAGGAATTTCCTTTTTCGTTTAATTAATAAAAAAAAATTATTATTTTTATTCCATTTTAATAAAAAATTAATCAAAATTATTTATTTTTAACCATTTAACATTTTAATTCAATTATTTATTTTTAAATTATCAATTTATTAAATAAAATATTAAAAATATTATAAAAAATATATTTCTTTATTTAAAACTGATTTTAAAGATAAACTCATTGAATTATAATTATAAAAAATATAAACGATCTTTCTTTCTTTCTTTCTTTATTTATTTATTAATTTTTTTATTTATTTACCTCATCTTCATCAGGTTCTGTTTTTTAAGTAGATCTGTTTACATCAAAGCTCTCTACAATTCTTCTCCCATCTTTCACTAAAGAAACTATACAGTTGGTAATTTATTAAACACATTCAAGCGGTTTGACCATCATTTTAATTGCCTATTTTTAAAATTGAAATTGCAATTTCAAAATAATAATTGATTTTAAGTTTTTACTGTAAGCTGTTTTATGGTTAGCTTTTTAATGGCTTCTGAAAGCAGACTTTATGATAGCTCTAAATTTTAGATGCAGTTTGTTTGTGCAGCAATTCTATGAGCACTTTAATTTGATTCATAATCTTTTTGTTGCTGTAACAAAGAAGGCAAATTCGACTGTTATTAGTAATTATTTTAGAATAAGTAATTAGGCAAAATTTCAGATAAATTCTGTTAGGAAAATTGTGAAATTATTTGCTATTCTTTATTTAATTAACATTTATTAGAAGTTGTTTTTGTGGCACTTCCACCATTCAAAAAAGAACAAGAAGTATTTTGCGTCATGTTATTATTACGATTACCTTACTTATCAAGTTTATTTATCAGGTTTTTGATATCAGTTTAGCTGTCTTCTTCGTTGAATGTTTTGTAATGTCCTGCCTCGCTATTTATTGATTTAGAGAATACAGGTGAGTTTTAGGTGTGCTATTAAGTGCCAAAATTTATTGTTTTTATTTTAGTTTGAGAGCTGCTATGATTTACTATTGTCTGGTCGCTCTCGTTTTAATCTTCATGTATAGCACTTGCTTCCAAATAATGCTGCTTTCTTGAAGAAAATCCATTTTCTACCAAGTATTAATTTGTATTTTGATAATCAATATCCTTCATATCGCTTCTCTCATAGATAGCAGCTTGAGTAGAAGGCGAATACTTCATTAATGAATTATTATTGGATGAATATTAATTTGCTTTTTTATTAGATAATTCATCTTAATTTTTTTTTGAGCTAAGATATTTTTGATCATTTGGCGATAAGCAAATTAAATGATTTTACAAAGATAATTTTTTGCCTTTTTACTATTTTAACATGCTATTTTGGTCATTAATATCCTCAAGATCAGATGATATTACTTTTTTTGGAGTGATTTATCTCTTTTTGCTACTAGATTTCATTAAAGGAAAAGATCTCTTTCTACCCTCTGAAACCATACTGTTTTATAGTATTATAAGTTTTAATTAAATATCTTGTTTTACTTCTATTTTAAATTACTCTTTTTGTCCATAATGTTAACGAATTATTTCTTGTATGCGCTCGTTAAGATCCTCTTTTTAAGAATAAAAAATGAGCTTTCAAATATTTTTCAAAATATACATACCTGAATTGACTGTATCCGTCATGGAGTAGCGATCTTAGCTCTTTGTATCTGATAATTCCATTTATGCTTTGCTGAAATCTTGATATAAAAAAAATATAATTTTATTTATTTTGCTCTATATATTTCAACTTATTTAGTATATTGATTAATTTGTGTTGAAATTAAATTATCAAAGTTTGATTGCTTATATATCAATAATAAATTAAATATTGAAAAAATGAAGTTAAAAAGGCATAAACTGGTTTTTTGGTTACATGGAATAAAACAGTATTCTAAAAAATTAAATTCGTAACAATAAATCTTATCTTCAGAAAATTGTAAATTTAACAACTATTTTTTAACTAGCAAAAAAAACACAACAAACCCAAAAATGAAAAAATTCAAAAATTCAAAAAAAATAATATTTTATTTAAAATATGAAATTTACCAATAAAAGTAAAATTAATTAAATAAATGATTTAAGTTGATAATTTTATCATTAAAAAAATGTGTAAATTTCTTTCTTAAATAATATTTTTTTAAAATATAAAGTAATAAAGTTTATTAAATTGTTTAAAAATTAAAAATTAAAAAAATATTTAAATTGATGATTTGAACATTATTCTGAAAATTAATTAAAACTTACTCTGGTAAGTTATTTTTTTTAAATTTATTAACTTGAAAAATAAGTAAATGCTCATAATTTAAGATTAAAATTGAAAAATAAATACTTATATCTATCTAGAATAAATCAATGAATCATACTTATTTCATAAAAAAATCTTAATTTATATTTCAGAAAAAATTTTTAATTTATAAATGTGGCTTATTTATTCCTTGAATGATTTCCAAAATTTGTTTTTAAAAAACTAATAACAAAATAAATTTATTTTTTTTTAAAAAAAAAACTGACAACAATATTTTTTATTTTTAGAATTTTTTCATATTATCAAGAAAGTATATAAATTAATTTAAGAATTTATCAACTTTCATTAGTTTTTATTGATTTCTTCTGCTAACTATTTAATTCTAGACTCAGCTAATGTAATATCTTATTTAATTAACTTATTATAAGCTTGTTGGAGCATTGGCATAATAACTCTATCGTTAGTTTTCTCAGTCACATATTCAATAAACTCTTCTTTTAGTTAAAGTATTTTTGTCTATTCAGCTTAAAACTATTATGAAAAGATGTAACTAACTATCTCACTTGAAAATTAGCGGTTACCAAAAATATTATTTAATTCATTTTCTAAAAGTGTTTTTTTATAAAATCCCCTATTTAAAGTAATTTTGTCTGAATTAAATACTTACATACTTATCAAGATATCTTCATACCTTTTTTAAGTCTATTATTCTTAAATTTTTTAAACTAAGTTTTCTATTTCTTTTTTTATAGAAAATTAAAGATTTTAGATTTTTTATTGTTCATTTTTAAGTAGATTTTCTTTCTATTTTGCTTCATTAACTAGCATTTGCTAATAGTTTTAAATCTGTTAAACTTTTAAATTATTTTGTTACTATTCATTGTTAAAATTATCTATTTCCTAAGTCAAATTTCGTACTTACTAATTATAATTATTAACTGCATATTAATCATATTAATTCAAACCATAACTCATGTTTTTTAATTCATTTTATCTTTATTCTATATTTTAATGCCTATTTTAAATTAATTATTATGAATTTTTGAGGCTTTAAACTTCTTATTCAAATGTTTTTTTTTATTTTTACATTTATTAATCAACATTTATTTATAATTGATTAAAATTATTTACTGAGTCTTCAAGATATTACTTTCTTTTTTAAGCATATTAAGTCATTGCTTTCTCTAAAATAAATTTAAAAATAGAAACTTTAGTACTCATTTTTTCATCAACTTTCATAAACAGCTCATCTAGTAATTATTGTAAGCAAGGTTTAAGATTAATCAAAGCCTTTGTTCTATTAAAATTAGATTAAATAAGGGCTTAGCTAGCATTTTCAAATATTTAGTCTTTTTTTTCAATGTCAATTGATAAGTAACTGTAATTTAAAAGATTTTCTATCTTGCTTTTATTTTCTGGGTTAGATTTAATAAGAAATACTAATTATGTTAAGATATCTGAATAATTCATCCTAACTTCTTAATTGGCAATCCTTTCAACTTCATCACGTATTGATTCTAAGAATTATTGGTACTATCTTTCTTTTTCTTGGATGTTAATAAATTAATTTTTTAATTCTTTCGATTTTTTAATTTATTCTAATTTTTTTTAAAAATTTTGCTTTTGTTCTTCATTAATTTATTCTTGTTCATCTTCCTAATTTACTTATTCTTAAGTTTTCTACCTTATATCTGTTTATTACATTCTTGCTGATATAAGGCCGCCAATCATTTAAATATTATTAAGCTCGATAGCTTTTTATCCAGCTTTTTTCAGTCCACCCAATATTACTTCTGAAGAAAGTAACTTTTTAGTCGAGTTCAAAATACCATTTTTAGCTGCATACTCAGCACCCTATTTAAAAAGCTAACCAGTTTCAGCTAGAGCTTATGAGCCAGCTAAGGCGCATGCGAGTGATAGAGACACAACCTTATTTTAAAAGTACTAACCTAAATCTACATCTTCGTTATTAATACCAGCTTTAATTGCTTGAAACACATCCACACATCCCTCAAATATCAAACTTATTCCTACACTAGAGGCAGCCCCAGCAGAAAAGTAAGTTAGAGCTGCTCCAACAACAATTTATACAACCCCAGCTACCAATTTAACTATCCATCCCCAAAATCTCTTTTTCTTTTTTTTAGCTTAAACTTTTCCAATTAAGGGTAATCCGTCATTAGCCAACATTTATTCTAATTCTGTGATATCTTGGAAGAGTCCATCATAATCTGGCATGTAAGTTTTAAGTTCTGAAGCATTTTCGAAATCAACATTAATTTCATAATCTTCTGATCCACTTATTTTATTTAATTATGAAAGATTTTCTTCAAGTTATTTAGAAATAGCTTAATAAACTTATAGATGTTTCTCATCATTAATCATATTAATTTCTAATTACTTTTCATTTGTTTTTAATTCATCTAATTTTATTTATAAATCCTTTATTACTTATTTTTAGTTTTCGATTTACTCTAATTTAAGTTTTTAAATCATATATTTTTACTATTATGGTAGATTCAAATTATTTTGTAAGTTATTTAACGAACTTAAATTCAAATTCCTTGCCTGAAATGCTTAATTTTGAAATTGCTGAAATTGAATTGGTTAGATATTAAGCTCCTAGTTAAATTGAAAAAGATCTTACTCTATGTTACCAAGTAGATTAATTTCTTATTCTAATTAATTTCTTAACTATTATTATCGTATTTATTTACTATTTTACACTGCTACTCTCAACATAGAGTGCTCTTCTTTTTTGATTTCTATCTTTTCTCTAAATTGTTTGTACTCTGGTTCAATTTTATTAAATTCTTTATTCTAAATGTGGCTAATAATTTATTGATAGTGAGGAATAGGATTTTGCTAATCCATATGTTTTGCTTATTATATTAGTTCAGAAGCTGAATCTTCTTTTTTCATTAAAGAAATGCAACTTTTGTATAACAAATCTTCTGGCTTAATAAGTATTTAACCTTATTTGTAATCTTTTTCAATATCTGAGAAAAATTTTTCAATGTCTTTTTTGAAATACAATAAACTTTTGCTTCCTGATTCTTGCATTTATTACATTTCATTGAGATCTTTCTTTTGTTTTTCATTTAGGATGTCTAAAAAAAGCCCAAATCTAAACTCAAGAGCTTTAAAGATAAGATAATCTTCTTTGTAATTAATTTTCCAGCTGTTAATTTGGTTTGAAAATCTTTTAAAGAGCTCATCTTATTCTTCTATTTTTTTGACTTCTTCTTTAGCGATTGAAAGCTAATGTTTTTCCTCTTCTTCTATTTTCTTCAAAATTTAATTTTTCAATTCTACACTGAGTTTTTATTTAAAATATTCTCCATCGGTATCATCTTATATGTTCAAATATTTTTTTAGCTGATTGAGAATGCTGCTTTCAATTATCATTCTTGCAGAACCCTTTTAGCCTTACCTACCTGCCCTTCCAAAAGCTTATTCAAGTACTCTAGAGTTTTCAGGAATAAAAGTAACTATGACATGCAATCCTCCTTTTTACTCAACTATATCTGGTATTTTTAAATCACAGCCTCTTCCTGCGAGATTAGTTGATATAATAACATAGCCTGGTTTAGTATATTTTTAAATTTCTCTTTCTGATTCACTGTCTTCAGAATCAATGTATCTATATATAAACTGAGATTTTATTGCTTTTCTATCTGTAATAAGTTTGTAAATTTCATCAACATCTTTAATACTTTTGCAGATGACCAAGCAGCATCTTTACTGTTCAATACAAGCCCATTCAACATCTTAAGCAACTTTTTTTTACCATTTTTATTTATTTTCTTCCAAGTAAGGAAATAGCTCTGTTAGTTATCTTTTCTTGAAAGGTGGAATGTAAAGAAAATCAACACTGTAAGTCTCGTTAAGAAAATTACGAATATTTTCTGTTCCTAAGGTCCCTGTCAGTCCATAAAGGTTTGAATGATATCTCCTGAAAAAATTAATGTTTGATGAATAATTAGTAACAAGATTTAAATTCGTTAAAGGAACCTTTTCTTTTAATTACAAGAATTAGTGGATACCGTCTTAGTACTAAGTATTAATTTGAGTAACACCTGTATTTATATAATCCAAAGGAAGAATTTTTCCATTTTTGACTATATACTGAACGTCCCTAGTGAATTTATACTTAGCATGAACTGCATTAGCTGCCCAAATAGGAAGTTTATAATTGATATAATCAATTATGAAACTCTGCATAGAAGACGCAAAGCAATTTTAGCGATTTTTATCTCCTAAAAATACCACTATCGTTCTAACTAAATGTGCCGAAGCGTCTTCTTCTGCTGCTTCATATTTACCTACTATTCATTTTTTAAGAGTTTTAGGATTGATTAAATCTTCAATTTTGCCTAATTCTATCCAAATCATTTAAATTATTAGCATGATCTTGTTAAACCCTGATTATTCTGAAGCTAGCAATGTTCTGTGATTTCTTGAATCGACAAGCATACTATCAACTTCATCAACAATAACTTAATCAAATCTCCTTGATCCTCTATTTCCTTTTTTGTAAAATTCATGTTTTAGTATGTCTGCTTAAAAAAAGTGAGCTGTCCCATATACAATGTTAATGTCATTTTAGTAGCAACTAGCTGTCCCATCTTATTCTTCTACTTCCATATTTTATGTGTCATCGTTTTCATTCTATGTAAGCAAGTCTTTTTATAAATCTCTTCTTTTATTTTCTTCATCAAATTTTATCTCTTCTTCTTATTCTTCTTCTTCTTCTTCTTCATCTTCTTCTACAAACTTTTATGAACCTTTTTCAGCTTTTTTTTATTTCTTCTATTTCTTTTCTTCTTTTTAAATATTATGGGAACACTTTAGGTTGAATAATGAGTAAAATGATTTTAATTCTTAAGAATCCCTTTTAGCAAGAACATCATTACTAGTAACAATATCAACTTGACAGCCCTGCAAACTTAGTAACACAGCCAAGCAACTTATAATCAATGTTTTACCTTAGCCAGTAAGGATTTAAAGTATTCTTCCTTAGTTTTCATTTTTGCAAAGTAAAGAAAGTAAAGAAAGCATTTGAACTTCTCTAATCTAGTGTTTCTTATCTAATTCAACAGCTCTATCAAGAACGCAAAGCACTTCAACAAGAGTTTATTTGTTTAGATTTTGTAAATCCTAGGATTAAATTTTCTAAGACCATCTTAAAATATCACTTTTATTCCATTTCGAATATAACTTAGAATTCTTTACTTCACAAATAATTTCTTAAAATGTCTTAATATCATTTTCATTAATTTTATTGGACTTTTCTACGTTTAGCTCTTTCAAACAAGTAAAAATATCACTTGTTTACTCAAACTTATCTTTACTTATCATTTTTATTTTTTTTAGATAATTTTTTTTTTTTTGATAATTATTTATTTATTAAATTATATTGCCAGACCTGTTACCAATTTCAATTCCTTTATTTTCTTAAAATATTTAAAATACTAATTTTTAGAATATTTAAGATGAATACTAATTTATTAGAATATTTAAAAAAATAAATATTATAATTTTCAAATTTCGTAATGACTTAACCTTTTTATAAAAGAATTAAATTTATATAAATATATAATCTCATAAAATCTAAAATATTTGAACTTTAAAAATATGCTTAATACACATATATTATAGTCTAGTTTAATAAATTAAGCGGCTTTCCATAATTTAAGATAAAAATAGTAATTAAGGTTAGTTAGTTAGTTAGTTATTTAGTTTACATAAATCTATTTAGATTTTAAAGAATATTATAATTTAATATTTTAAGATCATAAAATCAGAATGATATTATATATATACAATTTATTACCTTATAAAAACTAACATAAATTTTGTAATTACGCTTTATCTCATTACAAAAAATCAATCTATTTTAACAATCACTTTATGTGTTTATATATTGATTATTTAATTGCTACCATACAATGTTGATAAAATAAAATAATCAATCATCTTTAAATTAACAAATCAAGAATTGATGTATTTCAACAATTATTTAAGCATTAATATTTATTATAAAAAAGATAGACATCATAAACGTCAATTAATATTATTATATTTATTTAATTAATATATACCACAAATTATTATTAGAATATTAAATATAATAAATCCTTTATTTTTCTTTAAATTAAGCTTTTTAATAGTAATTTTCATTAAAATTTGGGTAATTAAATATATTTCTTAATTTAAAAAATAATTTACTCATTAAAACTATTAAAAAATTTTTTATTTTTACCTTATTTGCTTAATAATCATTAATCTTTAAAAACATAAATCAAATTTTTTTAAAAATTTCTATTTATTTGATAATTTTTATCATTTATAAAATGTTTTAATTTCTAGTTTGCTTAAAATAAAGAGTAGAGTTTATTGATAGTTTTTCAATTTTTTTAAAAATGAAAAATTAAAAAAAATATTAAAATTGATGGTTTAAAAAGTATTTTGAAAATTAAAACTTATAATAATAAGTTATTTTTTTAATTTATAGCAAAAAAGTAATAGCCCATAATTTAAGATTAAAAATGAAAAATAAATACTTAACTCTATCTAGAATAGATAAATGAATCATATTTATTTGATAAAAAATTTTAATTTTTATTTCATTTTTTCAATTACTTATTCAATAATATATTCTTTTAGTTAAATTATTATAGTTTATTCAGCTTAAAACTATTATGAAAAGATATAATTAACTATCTCACTTGAAAGTTAGCGATTACTAAAAATATTATTTAATTCATTTTCTAAAAGAATTTTATTTTAAAATTCAGTATTTAAAATAATCATTTCCTTCACACCTTTTTTAAGTCTATTAATCTTAAATTTTTTAAGTTAAGTTAAATATTTATTTATTTGCTCAAAGAAGATCAAAGATTATATATTGATTTTATTTTCTTCATATTAAAGCTGACTATTTTTTTAATTTGCTTCTTAAATTAGTTTTTGCTCATTATTTTTAATCTTTTAAGCTTAAACTGATTTTATTACTTTTCATCTTCAAATTTTTCTATTTTTTGATTCAATATTTATAATTATTAACTGTATTTTTCATATTAATTCAAATTTAACATCGTGTTAGTTAATTCTTTAAATCTTTATTCTATAATTTAATGCTAGTTTTAAAATAATTATTATTAATCATTGAAATTTTAAACTTCTTTTTCATATTTTTACTTATAATCTTAGATTATTTAAGTAAGCGTTGCCTATATTTGTTTAAAGTTATTTACTGAGTCCTCAAGATATTTTTAAACATATAAATTTATTGCTTATTCTAAAATAATGTAAAAATAGGAGTGTTAACAGCATGCAGTTATTCGTCAACTATGATAAATACCTCATTTAATTTTATAATTTTCATCCACAATTTCCAATTTGTTCATGACTTAAATTTTTGATAAAAGAATTAAATAAAATATATTTAATGCATACTATTTATAATCTTTTCAGATAAAAATATTTATTAAGGTTAGTTATTTTGCTTACATAAATCTTTTAAAGATAAATAATTTTGACTAAATATTTTAAGATAATAAAATCAGAATAATATTATATCTAGAATTTATTACATCTAAATATTTTAATAAAGATTAACATAAATTCTACAAATGTGCTACATCTTATAAAAAATAATAAATTTTAAATATTAAGAAACACTTTATGTATTTATTTATATGTTTTTTAATAAATTATTTAATTATTAAAACACAATATTGATAAAATAAAATAATAAACCGTCTTTAAATTAATTAATCAAGAATTTATGCATTTGAACAATTATTTAAGGATTAATATTTATTTATTGAATATTTATCATAAAAATATAATATATTTATAAAGATGTTTCAAATAAATTAACAATTATATATTTTTTTCATTTATTTATATGTAGTTAAAATCATAATTAAAATTAATAGACACTATTTTGGGTATTTTGTTTAAAATACCAGTTTAGGCTTCAGACATATATATAGTGGTTGAGGAATAGCTAACTAAAGATTTACTGAATTTAATAATAAAAAGTATTTATTTATTTTAATTAAATTTTTAAAAGAAGAAAGTATTTAGATTTATAATAATATAGATAATGTGAGATTTTATTGTATAAATTTAAATTGAAAGCCATTTCCTAATTTATTAGATCAGTAATTATTTATTTGAATTTAACTTTTTAAAATTTAATAAATATTTAAATTCTATTAGATATTTTTAAGTAAATATGAAACAAATATTAATCATAAACTAATAATTTGTGTTAAAAATAAATGTTTAGTTTTTTATTAAATTATTGGTGTTATTATTAATTCATATTCAAAGTAAACCTAAATAAATAAATAAATCAATAGATAGATAGATAGATAGATAGATAGATAGATAGATAGATAGATAGATAGATAGATAGATAGATAGATAGATAGATAGATAGATAGATAAACAAATTGATAGATAGATAGATAAGAGGGGTTTCAAGCTATGATACAATTTATTTGTGATTGTTATTATTATCATAATGATGATAGTTTGTAATTTAATATTTTTAAAAAATACATTAATTAAATTATAGATAATTAATTAGGGATTCTTTAATTAATAATTTAAGAAATCTTAAGACTATATTTTTTATATATTAGCTGAACATAGAATCATACATATAATTTAATTATACATACTTATAAAATGCAAAATGAATAAATGAAGCAGCCAAAATAGCAGAATTTATAGTCTCTGCTTAATTAAAGCTAGTCTAGCTCTTAAGCTAACTAAAGCAGTAAAGGAAGATCAAACAGCATAAAGCAGTAGAATTAGAATATTGATTAATTAGAGCACCATCATCATTAAATATCTAGCAATATAAATATGCAATAAAATGGAACTTTTAATTAGCAATAAGTGAATTAGGAATAGATTTTTCAAAGTTAGAATTATAACAAGAAGATAAATGAACATTCTAATAGTAATATGTCCAACTCGCAAATTTAAATGATGATGGCAAACTATTAAAATAATGTGAATAGTCCAAATCAATCACTTTCAAATCTATAGTTATAATAATTACTTAATTAGCATCAAAACGCAGGTTCTTCAAAGAATCAGATGATATAGCAGTTACATTAGAATTCGCATAACCAGTTATAATAGAATTACTTACAAGGAAGTTAAAAGGAACTCTCTCAAATAAATAGTGGTAATAATAGTATGTCATTTGCGTTTCCTTCATCAAACTAGTCTCCAAATAACTCTTCTAACTAGCATCTTAGTTTGATATAATTTAACATCTAATAGAACCTTAAAAACCAAAAAGGGAGAGCCTTTCAAGGATAATAGTAGCAATAATACTTTTAAATTTAAAATCAATAATAGTAATAGTTGCAACAGAATACAAATCAATTACTTAACTAGTAGAAAAAGGGAGAAAAATTCTCTTAATCTATATCAGCAAACACAACCACAAATGCAGGTAATGGAAATAGTAATCTGATTAATTTAATGAATAAGGGTAAAGCTAGCTTGATTTTGTAAGATAATTCTCTGCAAGGTGTTTCCTCACCACCCAAATTATTTTCTCCTCAATCTATTTCACAAAGTTAGCAACAATTCTCAAATCACTCTCAAAATACTTCTACATAATATTAAAATTTTATAAATAATAATTTCCCTCTTCTGCAGCAATAACAGGAATAATCACAATCATAGTCTTAAAATACACCGCATTTATCTGCTTCAGCAGCTACTATTATGAATATGATGAGTGGCGCAACTAATAGCGTAATGCCTCCAACAAACAAGTATATTAATGACTTAAACTTGTAAAAGTAAATGTAAAATCTTTAAAATCCATTGCTTTCTTAGTAACTGTAAGTGCAGCAAAATAAAGTAAACAGCCAAATAGGCTCTAAAGTATCAAAGACTTAAAGCATAACTTTAAATAAAAAGTCTTTTGCAGATAAATCTGGATTGATATAGCCTTCTTATATAAACGGAACTCCAACTTCATCTTCAGGGTTTTAAGGTTCGCAAGATAAAAGCAATGTCCAGAATTCAAGCAATTTTATATCTCATGTTAATTCTTAGTCTTAAACATTAAACAATTTTAATTTGAGCCAATCAAATAACACTCAAAGTAAACAAAATCAAGGACACCAACACTACAAATCTAGCACTGCGTCTTCAACTTTAGAAATCTTAAAGAGCAATTAAAACTAAAATTAGCAAAATTTCAATTAATCTAACGTTATCCAAGCTTAAGTTTAATAACTTGCAAGCAAAATATAAAACACTAGCAAAGCAAAAATATAACAAAATAGTTTTGCAAATAGGAGCATAAATAGCGAGTTCTAACAGACTTCTCAAAATTAATAAAATGATAAACAATTTCAGCTACCTCAATCTACTTCAATATAAAACTTGATAAACCCAATATCTAGCATAGAAAATTATAAAAGTACAATAGAAGCATATAAGCGAATGGTAGAAAATTTAAATAAATAAAACGACTAAAATTCAAATAATTAAGCTCAATTAAAGCATTAAGCTAATCACTAACAAAAGCCGTCTATTCCAATTCACTAAAATCATGGATCTGAAAATTAAGAAATACAAACACATTTAAAGAGCAATAATCACACAAACAATTTTTAAACTGATTCCTAGACAAACCTAAATGATTTACAAGATGAAAATGTGGAAACTAATCCAAAAATAAACTCCCAACAAGGACATAGATACAGCGAATCTCGTCAAAGCCACCCAAAGAATTATGAAGATATCTCAGTAATAGCAGCTAAGTATACAAATCTTGGATCTGCTTTGAATAACAATATAAAGTAATAACCAATAAATGCTAACAATAGTTCTTATTACAACAATCAAGTTATTACCAATAATAATAATAACAATAATACTGCTGCTGCTAGTTCTCAAATAAATAAAAGTAGTGGAGATATTACAGATATAAAAGTTTCTTCACTAAGATAAATTGATCAAGATGATATCAAATCGAGCAATCCTTCTTAAACAAATCTATAAAGTAGCGGAATCCACTCTTACAATAATACAGCTGCAAATATTTATGGGTCATTTAATTAACAGAATCAACAAATTCCAAATAATAGAAACAGTGAAAACCTGCATTTAAAGCAAAGTTTAGTAGAAACTCCTTCAAGTTCTACCACTTAATCTCATTTAAAATAATCAAAGCTAAGCAACTTGTTAAAATTTTAATTTAACAATCAAAACGAATTCACTTAAAACTAAGTAAATTTAAATGGTTTATCAATGGGAACTAATTCAGGATCAATCGTAGGGAAAAAGAAAAAAAGTGATACAATTATTGGAATAAGTCAAATCACAGGCAATACTTCTAACATTAGAAGAACACCTTCTAATTCTATCACATAAAACCCACTGCTATTCGGCACATCATCATAATCTTCCCAACAAAATATATTTAATGTAAATTCTCCTTCTCATCTCTCATAATAAAGCCAATAAAGTTAAAGCAACTAAAACTAAAATGAAAGTTAGAAAATGTCTTAAACCATACCATAGCATCACCACTCATTCTAGCTAAACCTGAATAAAACAAAATAATTATTCTCAAATGCTTCACCTGCAATAGAAAGTGCTAACATTGGAAGCACTTCAAGCTAGAATAACAACCCTTAATAGCTCTAAATAAATTCTGCCAAATTAGATAGCAACAACCAAAAAAATATAAATTAAATCTACTCTAATTCTTTTGCAACAGGAACTCTAGAAACAAATCACTTTCGCCCTTCTTCTACCATGTCTGCAAGTAAGCTAAAACACTAAAACATAATTACTCCTTCTAAATCTTTTTCTTAAATCTCACCTCTCCCTTTGGATCACTCAAGGGTTTCTACTATGCGATCAAATTATTGGATCCAAAACACTCCTTAACTATTTGTAAAAGCTTATTTCATGGACACTAAATATTATTCAGAATACATGTAAGACATTCAAAATAAATTACATCTGACAAATAAATTCTTAAAAAATAAAGTTATTGATAAATTTTCAAAATATTTTTTAAATAATAAATAGATAATCTCTGAACAACTATGTAGATTTTGTTACAAACATAAAACACCCATATATATTTGATGATAATTTGCAAAAAGATCATAAAAAAGTAAAATTAGTTTTTTATTAAAATGAAATAAATAATCTTTTTTTTAATAAAAAGGCGAAGAGTCATAAAGTATCAAGTGTTTTAATAGGTTTCTAAATCCCTTAAGAAAATGATTCAACTAAAAATGTTCGTGGTGTTATTGATAATATAAACAATAAAAATTTTTCTAAGTGGAAAGAGGTAAAAATTAATTAATTTAAAAAAAATAGATTGAACAAACATTTTCATTTTTTAAAATTAATAGAATATGGACTAAAAACTAGCATAATTAACTAAAAATTAAAATTTAAATAATAATCATAACAATAGTACAAATAATTCTGTATAGATGAATAAGCTTCCAAATAAAATTGAATAATAATAATAATAATAATAACAAAATTAATAAACAATACCAAATATTAACTAAATGAAGAATTTACTACAATAAAATAATATCAGCAAAATTTAGAAAGGCATTCAATTATAATAATAAAATTTAAATTAACAATAATAACTATAATATCAATTAGCTGCTATTCAAGATTAATGAAAATTGGTTTCTTTAAATTTAAGTAAGTGAAATTTAGTTTGTTTAAAAATAAAACAATTTTGACAATAAGTAAAACTTATAAAACTATCTTTATTAATAATATATTTTGTAAATAGTTTTAACATTTGTAATTTAAATCATAATAATAATTATCTTCTCCAATAAAATAAATTCTAAATTTTAGATGTAAAGTAAATATAATACATATTTATTCACTTTAAATCGAGTATTTTAAAATTATTTTTTTTAAAAAGATGTAGGTATTGTATATATTCATTGCTTTTAAAATCATTAAATATGAATATATTCAATGCTTTTAATAGCATTAAATTTTGAATATATTCAATCATTTTGTTTATGTGTTAAATATTGCTAAATAGCTAAAAATTTAGTGATGTTCAAGTTAAAAATTTTAGATGATTAAAAATGGAATTGTTTTTATTCTATTTTAGTAATTAAAAATATAATGAAATAATGATTGATATAATTTTCAATCAGAAAAAGGGAGCATTTAGAATGAAAAATATAAGAAAAAGTCAAAACTATTTAAATTTTAAACAAAATAATATAAAATAATAAAGATAAGATCATATTGACATATCTAAATTTTTTAGACATTCATTTTATATAAATCAGTCAGTCAATCAGTATTTATTTGTTTCTATTTAGTATAGGTTTTCCCAAATTTTATTTATTTCAATCATGATAGAGAAAGAAATATAAAATAGATAGATAGATATATATAACTAGTTAAAATATTTTTTGATTCAAAATATTATTTTGCTCTAACTTGATACCTTTTGTTTATTGTTAGTTTTTATGTTCGCAATTTATCGATTCAACTTAGTTTTTGAGTTTTTATTTAAAATCAAAATTTCTAATCTTGTTAATCATTGAAATAATTAAAATGAAAAAATATTTTTATAAAAATGTAGACTAATTTCTATCTGTTCAATCCGTAATTAATTAATTGCTATTTTTTGTATGTATGAAACAAAACATTAGTTATTTTATTATATAGGCTGGCATTGTAGAAAGATTCAATCTGTATGTATGTATGAATGCATGATAAATATTTATTTATAGCATCATATAGAGTAAGAAAATATGCTGAATTAATTATTGAAACATTATAGAAAAGAAATATCTAATTTATTTACTTATTTATTTATTTATTATTTGATTTTACATTTTAAAAACTCGTCAATCAATCAACCAATTTAGTTAAATATTTGTTAATATATTAATTTTTTAGTAAATAAAGGATTTTTAAAGCTAACTATAGCATTGGATGGATGGATGATTAGTAAGTAGTAAGGTAATTGAATGAATAAAAATAAATCTGATCAATTTCTTATTCTTTCATTCCTCATTATTTGTACACCTAAACATTTTACTGTTATTATTACATGTTTTACTAAGCAAATCCTCCATATTAGTTAGTTTATTATTATAATTAAGATTGCTAAACTTATTGGTAATTATTTAACTGCCTTCCTGATAGAGGTTGATTGACTGTCATTTAATTATTTTAATTTACTGCCATTTGGTTGGGATAGTTAATTGCTGGCTAAGAGTAAGTGCCTTGAGGTTTAGGTGGTTACTATGACATTGATTTATTTATAGTTGTAACAGCAGGAGGAGCTGGTCTTGAATTTGTTGATGCTCTATTTCTAATTAATTATAAGTCGTTTTCAATATATTCGAGTCGTTCTAGAACTTCTCTGAAATCAGGTCTTTTATTTGGGTCTTACTCCCAGCAGTCTTTCATCAAATCGATAAGCTTTTTAATAATAATTAAATATAAATTAAACTCTCAAAATTATATTTAATTAAAATCTTACAGAAGGGGGACAGTCTTTTGGTATGAATTCAGGACCGAGACCTGGTCTTTTTCCTTCACATACATTTTTCATAATATCCACAGTACTCATCTTCTAATATGGAGTTTTTCTTGATATGAATTCCCAAAGCACAATCTATTTATTGATGAGTGATATTTAAAAATTACAAATATTTTTTAAAATGAATCAATTAATTTTACTGCATAAGAATAAACATCTGCCTTTATAGTATATTGCTTGTTATCAAAGACTTCTGGTGCCATCCAGTGCTTTATGAAAAATATTAATTTAACCTAAAAATAAATAAAATTTTTGATAAATTTACGAAAGTTCCCAACACTTAAGTCATTTCATCTTTTGATTCGGTTCTTGCTAAACCAAAATCAGCTATTTTTACATGATAATCAAAAGAATCTTCTTGATAAGGAACATCGAGCAAAAGACTAATTTAATACATTTTTTTTAGAAATGAGAATATTTTTAAATAAAATAAAATTTAAACAAGCTAAAATTTATTTTTACTTCAAAGATTTTAGATCTCTGTGGATGATAGGAGGCTCTAATGAATGAAGATAAATCATACCTGTGGCTATGTCTTTACACATTTTTACTCTATGCAACCAAGGAATTGGGACACTGTGTTTTCTGTGAAGTAAATCAAACATAGTTCCACCATGGCAGAGTTCAGTAATAATATAAAAATTATCTTTTTTCTGGGCAACTCCAATCAAAGAAACTAGGTTAATTTAAGGTGATATTTTGACTAGAGTTTCTATTTCTCTCTAAAACTCTTTCTAATTTCTTTCATTAAGGTTGTTCACTTCCATTTCTTTGATAGCCACTTCTACACTATTAAACACACCAGAGAAGACCTTTCCAGAATGACCTTTTATTAAAATCAAAAAAAATTAATTTAGAAATAATTCAATTTATTTAACTTAATTCATAAAAACAAAATTTTTAATTGAAAATAAATTTTACTTAATTATTAAAACAAATTTTTTATGAATTTAAAAGATAAACTTTTTTTTAAAAGAAAGAAATTATTTGATTTTATTACCAGAACCAATTTTTTTGCCAAAGGTTATACTGTGAAAATCTACAATAAGCTATTTAGGATCTATGAAATATTTTAAAAAGTAATTTTTAATATTTTGAATGAAAATAAATATCATTTAATATTAATTACCATGCTTAACACGATTAATGATAAAGTTTTTCAATTCAATCAAGTTTTCATTATTTGATGAGAAAGTTGAACTGACTGATTGTAAGCTAATTAGTAATAATAATAGTTAGTTAAATTATTTTTTAATAAATATTTGTGTTTTGTTCAAAAATATATTTTACACTGGGTCTTTGTTCATTAGATTGCCATTGTTGACTTAGTTATTAGTTGCATTGATCTATGAGCTCATTTAATTTAGTTGGTTCAAATCATTTCTTTTAATTGATGCTGCATTTGTAAATTCGATGGCTTTATTGTTTTCTACCATTTCGCTAACATCGAATTCTTCTGCATTATTAGCAAAGGATTAAGAAGTTCTTTGCTAGAATTAGGACTGATTTAATTTTTAGTTTTAACCTAATTGACCCTACTGATTGAAAAAGTTGTTAACCTGCTATTTATTCTGAATTTATTGCTACTGGTTCATGCCATAAACACCCTATAATTATTGTTGTTGTTAATTATTAAATCCTTAATTGAAAAAATTATAAGTGTTGTTAGCATTTTGATTAGCATTATTGTTTAAATTTTAATTATTTTAATTAACAAAATTGAACTCTTCGAAATAGTTGTTTGGTGATTTTGAAGGATTACTTGAACCAACTCTGTTCATTTAAAAATTTCCAAAACTGCCTTACTATTATTTTTATTATAGTTAGTTATGCATTTGTTAATTAGTACCATTATGAAAAGATTAAGAGTGAGGCTGATGATTAGGTAGGTTATTGAATTACTGCGAGTTTCCCATTGAGCCTCCCTTATTTTCTTTTAATTCAAATTTAATCTAAACTCTATTTCCTGTCTTTTATTGGTTGTTTGCGTTTTAGTTTTAAAATGTAAAGTCATATTGATTTTAACCTGTTTTTTATGCAGAAGATTATTGGCCATTTGGATTTTATTAATAGTTAGGTGGTGTATTGTTGTTATTATTGTTATTGTACTATCCGAAATCAACAAAGTTATTTTAGACTGGACTTATTTTTTGGGCAGAGTTATTATTTCTTTGAATATTATTAGGTTGACTAAAAGCCATATTATTGTTATTTTAGCTTGCAGGAATATTTGAACTAGTCTTACGATTTTAAGTTATATTTCCAAAATTCCCATTAACATTATTAGTATTATTGATAGGATAAGCATTATTGTTATTCACAAAACCAGAAGTAGAGTTATCAAAATTATTGAAATTAAAATCATTGAAGTTTTTATTTTAAAAGCTGTTATTTGTTGTATTATTATTCACATTTAATATATTGCTCTAGGAGTGTTTCAAGCCAAAGTTCTAAAAATTATTAAAATCATGGAATTCATCTTAAAAGTTATTGCTTACACCTCCTAAGTTATTGCTTAGAGGATTGCTATTGATCATATTAGGATTTGAAGCCAGCATATTGTTGTTATTTTGGAAGTTGTTCTAATTTTAATTATTAAGATTATTATTCATATCATTGTAATCTATAAAATTCATATTCTTAAATTTATCAATATTAGAAGGCATCTTTTCATAGTTCATCTCTCCTTAAGAATACTGCTATTTATTTAGAGACTAGTGAGTAAATTCCAACTAAAAATTCTCTTGTTCATCATCTTAATCTAATATGTCATTATAATTTTAATTGTTGTCATTAATTGTTTGAGTATCTTCTAACTCATCACTGTCACTATTATTATTTTAAATATTAGGGTTTTCTTCATCAAACTCGTCTTGGTCTTCCATCAAATAGTCTCCTTTATTATTAGAGTTTCTTTTTGAATTTTAATTGATAATATTATTCTTTTTAGCATTTGGAATAGTAGGAGCTGATGGTCTTACAGGTATGTTCTTCTTATTTGCATCATTGATGTTACCTAGATTTGCTGATTAACTAAGTTAGTTTTGTTTCATTTACATAATCTAAGCTGTATCTACTAAGTGGTTTTATATAATTTTTTGCTCTGGATTTTTGTATGTCGGAGTGTAGTCTGTAATACCTTAACCTTCTTGTTACTCATCCATGTTATAATCATCATTATCTTAATCGCTTAATAAGTTTTTTTCTCCCCTAATTAATTAATTACGCTTTTTGAATTGTTTTTAGAAATCGTAATTCTTTTCCTTTGTTTCTTAGCTGTTTGAATTACTGTTGCTAGTTGTCTTTTGATCATCTTTTCATTAAAATTAATAAATTAAATTTCCAAATTCTTTCAATTTATTATGAAAGCTTAATTTTTTATGAAAAACAAAATAGAGCGTTTAAAGTTAAATTTAATTAATTAATTAATTACCTAACTATACTATCAACTTTTAGTTTGTAGGAGGCTTTTTAATGACGTTTTCCATTTCTCTTTTCATCTCTTCAGATTGGTTGTTATTTGTTTATATAGTTGCTCCATACGATAAAGGCAATTTTATTCCATAAATACTCTTTTTATAATTTAAAAATTCAAACAAATTGAACTCATTTTGCAGGTCTTGCATACAAGGAAGGTTGTTTATGTATTCAACCACTTTTGAATCTATATTTGGGATAAAATCTTTTTAAGTTGACTAAGAAAGAGCATTTTAGCACTTTCTGAAGAATTATTTAGCTGATTCGAAGTTACGTCCAAAATTTACTTTGAAATCTTTTACTTTAGCAAATAGCTTTCCACGATCAATATTTTTGGAAAGGTAATTTGTGGAAGTAATGAAAGCGGTAAGTAAATGAGTTTGAGCGCTCAGAAGGCAATACATTTCATCAACTAGCTAAATCATAAGGGAAACTTAAATTTCCATTAATTAATTCTAACTTAAAATTTCTTGAGAAAATGCCAGCAGCGAGGCCATATATTTTAGCAAGTCCTCAATAAGCTTATGGGTTAATGGTTTGAAGTTTTTATTCATATTATCAAAGAACGGTTTCAATGAAAAGTTGCCTTCAATTAAAGAACAATAAGAAACACATAAGTTCATTTTTTCTTTGAGTCTTTGGGAATACATGTTAATTAATTTTGTTGTAAATACAGAACGCTTTTTGTCTTTAGAGTCATCACTTGGATCTATATTTTACCAAGTTTCTATAATTTTTTTGAGAACATTAACTGCTGACACTTTCTTTCCTACACTGCTTAAAGCTTCAGGTGGTCCTTTTTTGATGTAATTATGGAGTAGTATAAGCGATTTAAGAGCTATAATTGTATTTTAAACATTTTATGGAGTTAAAAACATGTTAAAATGATCGTAGAATTTTTCAATTTTATCAGTCTTCTACCATGCTTTAATAATCAACAGTCTCATATATTTTTGTTTGGGTCCCTTTTCATTTTCTTCTAGAGCTGCCAAAATCCAACCTTTTGTTCGTTTATTTATAAGCTTAAGTGTAATCATTTTCTTAAATTTGTTAATCATGGTAGGCTTGACTTCTTTTTCAGCTGCCTGCTTAAATATGTCTGTATCCAGCAGTCCTGTTTTTGACTGCAAAATTTTTAAATCTGGCCATGCTTGAAGCACAAACGAAAGTAATTCTGAGCTATTTGCTCGCTAATTAGGATCTCTACACAACATCCTCTAGAGAACAGTATTAACATTAGCTGAATACTTAGGAAAATCTGGTATATCGACTTATTCATTGAGTACTGATATTTAATTTTGAAAAGGTTTTTTGTTAAAGCAAAGAATATAGAGTATAACACCCACAGCAAATATGTCTACCTTTTCATTGATAGGATAGCCACTTTACAAATGAATTTGCTCAGGTGCTCTATATCCTTCAGTAGTATTTTTCTTAATTTCATTTTGTAAAGAAGCGAAATCATCGTTTTATATTCTATGAGTAGTGACATACGAAAAGTTAGTGATTTTATAATTATTATCTTCTCCTAAAAGGATATTTTGCATGGTTAAATTACGGTGAATTAAAGGGTTTTGCCTCATGTGTAAATACTAAACTCCTTATAAAATATCTCTAATTATACGCATTATTTAGATCTCTTTTAAAGCATACGAAGGAAGTCTGATGCAAATAGAATCTAAACTTCCTTTTGGACAATGCTCCATAACAAATATTCCAAATTCTGTATCCTTTAATATCATCCTAAAGGCTGCTTTAGTATCTACTATATTCGGAAACTAGTCATACTTCCCTTCTCTTTTATTATAAAAAAATTCTTAACTCTAAATTGATTTTCTATTTGAAATTCTTCATATAATAAAACTAATTTTTTCCTTAAAATATTCACTTTTATCAAACTTTTACTGCCTTAAAATATATTTATTTTTCTCAATAAACAAACATATTGCAATATTGAACTATTGTTAGCAGAGTAATAAATGCAAACTTTATTTTTGTTATATTCAAATTTGTAAACATTTTAAATGTTTCCCAAAAAATCAATAGGATTTCGATGTTTTTTAGTGAATTTTTTTTTGCATTATTCCTTCATAATTTTACTATGATGAAGCTATTGAAGCAAACTAATATTTAATTTGCATTATAATTTTATGATATCATCCAAGAAATTTAAAAATGTTGTCGTCTAATATTCTCTAAGTAACAAAAACATTAAATTTATCTTAAAAATGTTGACAATTGTGATGGCTAGCTTAAAAAGCTTCATGCAACTTTGTTCTACTAAAGTAAGGAAGAAAAACCATAAAATAAAAAAAGTTTTGAAAAAATATTATTTTGTTTAAGGAGCTTACTTGGTCTGCTTAATAGGAATATTGGGCTTTTCTTCTTTCATTCTATTCCAAGCAAATACTTCCTGCTAAAACAGATTATAATTATTTTCATCGCTAAGATTCATCAGCTTGACGACTTAATTTGTATTTTCTTGTACTGTATAATACATAATCTATCCACCTAAATCAGTCTTAATTTCATCTTTTAGAGTCAAATTAATTCCATAATCTCCATTCTTTACTTATACTCTTCTAAATTTATTTGTTTTCATTTTATATCTTCACGTTTATGCTTATTTCAATTAAATGCTCCCTTTGCTATTTTAATGATGTCTAATTTTGGTATTCAATTTGAAAATTTATTTTAAAAGTTGCTAAAATTGGTAACAATTCGCTTTAAATGCCAGTTTAATTCAAAGAATCGGACACAAGTAGTAGGTTAATGTCTAAATCAAACAAATACAGAGAGGACTATTCTCTAATTTTGTTAATTCCTTAGCTAATTACTTACTTACTCTTTATTTGTTTTTTAATAAATACAAAAGAATGCTAGAAGCAATTATATTCTTAAGACTTTCAATTATTTATTTCAATTCAGCAGTAAAAAAATTAAATATTTGCTTCCCTTTGATTTTGATTAATAATATAATTTGTTTGTTGTATTCTAAATAATCTTAATTATTATTATGATCCAATTAATTACTTGTGAGAATCGCATACATTCATAAACAAATAAATAAATACAAACAAACAAACTCTTTGATAATAATTGTTCGTTCATTTTTGTTTGTTTATTTGTTCAAATATATTTTGCTTGACAAAAAACTATAAACGTAATTATATTTATATTTGTATGCAATCAAAATGCAATCAATACTCATTCATTCACTCATCTATCTATATATATATCTATACATTTTTATTTTTATTAACAAATTAATTCGCGTGTTTGTTTTTATTTTATTTGTCATCAATAATCAATTTAATCTTCATAATATTTTTAAAACAAAGAAACAAACAAACAAAAAGTGAATAAAGTAAAGTAATAAATAAGGTAAAAACTACATTAAAAAAAGAATTTTTTTAAAGGTTGACTGATGAATTTCATGTAATTTTTAAATCGTAATTGATTAAATTCATGATCAAATTAAAGATTACAAATTTATTAAAGTAGTAAAACAAAGTTTTTGAATAATCGAGTATCTGCTTTTCTTTGCTTTACTTTTATCTTTCAATTTATTTTTTTTCGATGAAATTTCTTAATCCATATATTTTCCAATTAAAATTCTAAATATTTGATAATTAATAATATTAACTTCAGGCATATATTATTATTAAACCCATCATTAGATAATCATTTACAGATCGTTTCTTATGAGAATATCAATCATTTTTTCTAATTTTATTTTAGAAAATTCTCAATACTTTTATAATTTTTAGATCTATATATCAGTATTATTTTTTATTTAAATTTAATATAATTTAAATAAGATATTTTTTTTTCTAAATAATCATAGGATGTCAATTTCGTTTGTTTTCGCTTTGAATTTTATTTATCATTATATTCTCTAAACTATTATGTTCACATTTTTAACAAATTTGCATGTGCAATTATTTTTTATTTATTTATTTGCTATAATAAGTTTACATAAAAATACTATAAATTGAACCATTAAAGAATCATACCGAAAACGAATAACAATTACTAAATTTAGTTTGAAAAAATATTAATAGTTATATTGAAAAGTTAAGTCCACATTTTAAGACTAGTAAAACTCTAGGTTTGCATAAATAATAATCAAGCAATCAATTATTATTTAATTTACATTTTTTAAAAATCAATAGTGATATAAAAAAATTTTATAAAATGGAATTTTTGTTAAAATTTACTAGTAAATATAAACATTTAAAAGTTGATTTTTAAAAATAATAAATAATTTTTTAAACCTCCATCAAATAAAAAAGAATTGTAACAATTATATTTATAAATTTGGTTAATCAGAAATAAGGATAAGTAAATTAGAATTAATAAATCTGAAAAATTTAAAAATCATTAAAAATTCAAAATCAATTCATCAAAATAAAAAGATCAATCGATGATCACCCTTTAATCAATTTATCATTCTCTTTACAACTCATATTTTTAAATTCAAAGCAATAAATTAATATTTAATGTTTTAAATAGTTTTTATGATATATTAACAAATAATTTGATGTAAAATTACAAACTATTCACTTTTCTTACAAAAGAAATTCATCAAAAATTTAAAAAGTTCAAAGTTTACGTAATAAAAATCTGATTCATAAAATAAAAACATTTAATTTTAGAATTAAACCTTTTAATAAATTTTAAATATTTTTTTATGAAAATGAATTAAATAAATATGACTACATTCATTAACAAAAATAAATAAATAAATTAAATTTACAAACATTTATTTCATTTATTTAAAATTAATGAATCTTTCTTTAAATGCAAAAATAAAAGCTATAGATTTTTCTTACACAAACTATTAATTAAGAATTTAAAATTTTCAAAATTTTTAGAAATAGAAATTATATCAATAAATATTGATTGAAGCATTTAATTTCAAAATTTATTTTTATTTTGAAAATTAAATACTTTTTTTTACGAAATTTAAAAAACAAACAAATATTTTTTTTCTTAAAATAACAGTTTAAAAAAAATATTTTAAATTGATTTTTTTCATTGATTAATTAAGAAATAAGTTAATTATTTTCGTTTTTTTTGACTAATTTATATAATTTTTCACTTTAAAATTATAATATTTATTTTATCAAATATAAAACAATTTATTTATTGATAATTGTTTTGATAATGAGATTTAGCATAAAAGTATATGTCGTATTTTAATATTGGAAAACATTTATGTCATTATATTTTATATTGTATTTTTTAATAATAGTTAAATTTGGCGCTTTGGTTTCATCAGATAGAATGAATAAAAGTAGTCAATCAAAATGCGAATTAGTGTTTTATATCAAAAAATATATTGAATAATAAATAATGTTGATATTCCGCCGAAAGCTATTTGTTTTAAGTAAATTTCATTGATATTCACTCAGATATTAATTTTTAAAATATTAAATTAAGATATTTTTACTTCTCATACAAATGCATCTATTTGAAGAGTTTATAAAAAATCCTATTTTGGCATATAAAAATAATAATAAATTAATAAGCAATTTGTTTCTTTTATTTCATTAATTAAAATTCTACTTCAATGCAAATCAACTTGAAAGCAAAAGAGTTTAGTACACTCGATGAAGATTCATCGTCAGATGATGATTAAGAATTCGTCAAAAGAATATTAGGATAAACTTCTAAAAATGTAAGTTCATACTTAAAATTTAATGATAACGACATAATATTTTTGAGATTCGCAGCACATATTAGAATTAAATCTAAACTTTTATTGACTATTAGGAAAATAAATCAGACATTAATACTAATCCGATTTAAAGCAATGCTCAAATAGGACAAAAATAGTAAAGCAATCTAAAATAAAATGTAGCTAATAGTTACGAAAATTAATTCAAGGGATTGAATGGGTTATATTAAAATAATTCACCTCAATAAAAGCTTCAGCCATAAGCTAAGACTTCATCAAATAATCTCTCAGGAATCAACAAATCTTTATTAAATAAAAGTAAAAAGTCTACTTTAAATTAAAGTGATGATGAAGCTGAATAAATGAACATCGAAGAAGACTAAAATAGCGTTTAGACAAACCAAAATGATTTTTTAAACTAATTCTAGATGCAATCAAAACAAACTACTTTTAAGAACTCAACTTCAAGATAAAGCAAATAGTATAGTGGAGATAATTAAAAAGGCAGCTTATCAATACCTAATAAAGAGGAGGAATAGTTAAATTAAATCCCAAAATTTGCTTAACAAAGGTATCGTAAAGATTCCAGATAAATTCCATTTGGGAATCCATAATATGACCCAACAACTTTGTATATTCCACCCTAAGAATTTAGTAAACTCACAAGTGCGATGAAATAGTATTGGTAAATAAAAGCAAAGCATTTTGACAAAATCATCTTATTCAAGATGGGAAAATTTTATGAACTCTTTTATGAAGATGCTATAATTGCAACTAGACTTTTAGATATCACTTTTACAAACAAAGAATTGCATTGTGGTTTCCCTGAGAAGGCATTGGAAAAATTTGCTTCAAAGCTTGTTCAATTCGGATACAAAGTAGTTGTAGTAGAGTAAACTTCTAAAAAGACGACTACAGGTATAGTAGACAGAGACATTACATAAATCATTACAAAAGGTACAATTAACTTCACTTTTGAAGAGTAAAATCACGATCCTAAGTATCTCCTTGTTATCAGGTAAGAAAAATATTCATTTGATCAATTTTTTTTACTTACTACTGATCAAATCTTATCAAATTCTAAGCTTAATTAAATGGCGCTTCAATTTATTTTTTCTCAAACAATTTGATAGATTAAATTTGAAATTATCAAAAAAACAAATTAAGATTTTTAATTCTTATTCTAAATTATTAATTTAACAATCAACAAAAATAAAATTCTAAAGATGGCAATCGAAAATACTTTTATCGAATATATAACACATTAGATTTTTTGTTTAGATTATAAAAATCTAAATTTTAGATTTCTGTCTCTATTTTTTATTATTTAAAAACATTTTCCATAACTCTATTTTAAAAAATTGATGAGTTGACTTATTTTATAATCAGGCAATTAAACTTTATTTGATTTTTATGTTTATAAAAAGATGATAAATGATAAATTTTCAGAATAAGCTTATTTTAACAATACATTATTATTAGAAGTGACTTTTACTTACATTTTAATTTTTCTAACAAAGCAAATCGTTTATTCGAGTATTTAAGTTTCGTTAATTTATACAGTAACTCGATTGATGATTGTGATATAGATTATTTATGTTTTTTATTTAAAAGCAAATAATTTCTATCTATTTTACAAATTTACTTAAAATAGATTAATCAATTTATTTATTGATTATCTGTTTCAACCTTGTTTTAATTTTAATAGATAAAAAACAAACTAAGAGTTCGGTATAATTGTTTATGAATCTTTTACTAGCAAAATTCAAGTCGGCCTACTGTAAGACGACAAAACATAGACAAGACTAAAATCATTTTTATGTGTTACTAAACCTTAAGAAATAGTTTATGATCCAGGAAATATAACATCAGACATTCTTAAAATATTGAAAAGTTAATATTTTTAGTCTGTTATGAGTCCCATGAGAGATAACAAAGACTAATGGAGTACTCAGCTTGCAACCTTTTATATTGAGAAGCAATTTGGAAGCGAAGTGCAAAAATACCCTCAAGAACTTAGAGATATTAGAACTAATGACGAAATTAGGGGCTAAGTTATTAATTTAAAATATGCTGCGCTTGCAGGATTTTTTTCATATATGGATTCTACTCTCCAGTTAGAAAGTATTCTTAATTCCTCAGAATACGTTGAATGCGATTTCGATAATAAATAATTTTCACAAAGAATGATCTTAGACAGCCAAGCACTTCAGCACTTAGAAATATTTGAAAACTCTTAAACTGCTTTAACAACAACTTTTTAATAAGTTGACTAAAAGAAAGGAACACTTTTGAATTACCTTGACTACACTAAAACGCCATATGGTAAAAGAATGTTAAAAAAATGGGTTTGCTCTCCATTGATTGACATTTCAGCTATAAATGATCGTTACGATGCTATTGAAGATATTTAAAACAATCTTGCGATGAAAGATAAGTTTTAATATGGAATAGCTAGATACGCAGATATTGAGCGTCTTTGCTCTTCTATTTACAGGTATTTATCTATCTATATTTCTTTCTCTTCTTTAGCAAATTTCCTTTTTTTATTTAATTTATTTTATAATTAATAACATGAAAGGGTTTTTATTTGAGTTTGATTTATAATTGTTTATTTTTAATTAAAATTGAACAGATATAGCGTTAAATAAAAACATGCTGAGAAAGCTGTAATGTATGAAAATATTTCCAGTGCAAGATTGAAAGAATTTAAAAATTTAATTAATTCAATGAAAGAGATCGAAAAACTTATTGAAGAAACATTTATGGTTAACCAAGAAAATTTTAAGAGTTAAAGACTCAAACGTTTATGTACTTATAGACTGAAAGGTGATCCAAAACTTTCTGGAGATTTACCTAAAGTCAGTAGCTTTATAAAAGTTCTTGAGGACATTATTGTCTTAGACTCTAAAGAAAAAATAGCAGGAAAGTATATAGAATAACCAGTACCAAAGGATGGGTTTTGCTAAGAATATGATAGCATCAGACTTCAGATTAAAGCTTATTAAGATGAACTTGATTAATATTTAGAACAATTAAAAGTAAAATTCAAAACAAATGATATTTCATATGCATTTCTGAATAATAGATAATATGATATTTAAGTCAACAAAACTCTTTTTGATAAAATATAAAAACCTGCTGATTTCTCTCTATAAAGCCATTCTGGGTCGTTTCAGAGATTTACTAGCAGATTTACATCTGAAAAAGTTGCATTCATTGAGGAGTTGGAGGAATAACTTAAAGAAATTTTATCAAACTTCTGTGTAACTGTGTTTAGAGAGTTCTATAAAAAGAAGCATGTTGGTTTTTCATTTTTATTTAATTTTTTGCAATTATTTTTTTATTTTAAAATCAGTTAATTTTTTTTGGAATAAATTAAAAAATTTCACTTTAGATTTTATTAAATTTTTCAGGTTTTTAGTTGAATTATTTATTTACTTAACAAAAATATTTTTTAATAATTTATTATTTTGAATTTTATTTTACTTAAAAATAAAATAGGTTTGGGATAAATTTGTAAGTATAGTAGCTGAACTGGATTGCTTAATAAGCATAAGCCATGCTTGCTTTACAATGGCTGATGGTGTTATGTGCAGACCTGTCATAAAGTTTGCAAAAAATTAAAAAGAAACCTTTTTCTATTTAAAATAAGGAAGAAACCCTAATCTAATTTAATTGGATTTAAAATAAGTTCCAAATGATATCATTCTAGGAAACATTGCAGGAATGAATGCTTAGCCTAATATTATGATTTTAACAGGTCCAAATATGGGTGGTAAATCAACAACTTTAAGGTTGTTCTGTTTATCTGCTATTTTAGCTTAAATAGGTATTTATTTTAGAAATTATTAAAATTTTAAACTGATTCTTTAATTGAAACAAGGTTGTTATGTTCCTGCAGAGTAATGCGAATTTAGTTTAGTGGACAGAATTTTCACAAGAATTGGTGCTGGTGATAAATTGATAGAAGGAAAAAGTACATTTTATATAGAAATGGAAGAAGTTAAAAATTCAATTATGTATGGTACTTACAACAGTATTGCAATATTTGATGAATTAGGAAGAGGAACTTCCACATTTGATGGTGTAGCTATTGCTTTTGGAATTCTTAAATATTTTATTGAAAAAATTTAAAGTAGATGCATATTTGCTACCCATTTTTTCCTTTTGATAAATGAATTAAGATTTTATAAAGAAATATCCTTTTATCATATGGAATACTATTACGATAACAAATCTAAAAAGCTCATATTTAAATACAAACTTAAATAAGGCAACGCAGAAAGCAGCTTTGGTATAGATTTAGCAAAGGTAAATTAAATTTATATCTTTATTTAAAATATGTGAAAATTAAAAAAAAATATTTTAGATAGTCGGTATAGAATAATCTGTACTTAATTTAGCCTAAAAGAAGTAACTAGAATTCGAAAACAGCTTAGAGTATGCAGAAGTAGAAAAGTAATAAACTATAAAATAGTTTAATGGGCTCATTTCTAAGCTATTTACCTATGAAAAAGATAGAATATAATGAAGCTTCCATAATAATTAGTTCAATTAAATTAAAAATAATATAAAATATCTAATTAAATCTTATTAACAAGTTTTTCCTCACACTTTATCACCCAATCACTCTTTAACTCATTCATTCATAAACTATTTATTATTTGTTTTGTTGTTTTAGAATTTTCATTCAAAAAATATTCAAAAATATCATTCAAATCAGTTTAATTAATAGAACTTAATTAATTAAATAAAAAAAGACAAAGGAAAGAATTAAAATATAGAAATGCATATTTATAGGGCATGACATATAAAAAAAACCAAGTATTTATTAAGCTTTTTATGAACTATCTATTGTTTATTTTATAGAAAAAATTAATTCTTAAAATTGAACAAATAAAATATTTGATTTAATTATTTAGACTAATTAATTGCCTATAAATATTTCTAAAGTATTTACTTATGAATTATGAATTAAAATAGAATTTATAATTCAAAAAATATTACAAAATAATCACTCAAATCAGTTTAATTCATAAAATTTAATCAATTAAATAAAAAAAGATAAAGAAAAGACTTAAAATGTAGAAATGCATTTAAAATTTATTGGATATGACTTAAAAAAAAACCTAGAATTTATCAAGTTTTTTATGAACTATTTATTGTTTATTTTGTAGGGTAAATTAGTTATTAAAATTGAAGGAATAAAATATTTGGTTTAATTATTTAAACTAATTAATTACTTTTAAATATTTCTAAAGTATTTACTTATGAATTATAATAGAATTTATATAATAAATTGATCAGAAATTAAAAAGAAAATGTGGCTTAAGATATTTATTTTTTATATTGAAAATAAAGTATAGAGGGAGGGAGGGATGATTTATTTTTCTTTATTATTTATATTTAAAGATTCAGTTTTTATTCGATACTATAAATAAATAAATAGAAGGTTTTAGAATGAATTAATTATTTAAGTAATTAAGCAAGCAAATAGATAATTTAAGGAATACTTGATAAAGATACGATAATAAATAAATCACATTAGATTTATAATATAAAATTTTTGTAAGAAAATTTGAAAAAAATAAAAGAAGCAAGTAAAAAACAAACAACAATTTCTAAACAATAGATTTTGAATTATTAAATAAATGGAAGGTTTTCTTGAAACAGTTAGATCATACTATAAGGAATTTGTTTAAACAGTCCAAATTGATGTAATTTGAAGAATAGTTTTAATTAGAATCAAAGATTTGTTTGAATGTTATTGCTATCCTGTTTGGATGTTGATAAAATTTAAACATTTTAATGAGATAAAGACATACATCATCAAATGCAATGATTAATTCATTTTATTAAAAATTAAAAGACTACCGAAGTTAAGAATGTTTATAATCAATTCGATACCGAAGTGAAGCAACCTGCTTGCAAGTACTATTCTACTCTCCATACAGATTTAACTAGTAACCCTAACCCTTATATCTTGCTACTTCTTTCAATTATGCGGAGTTTATTTAATGAATGAATAAATAAATAAATAAATATAAATGCAGAAACAGCAATACAAAATTCGCTTATTGAAATATTTTTAAACTCTAAAGATAAAAATTCATCACATTAATCGAATTATTTTTTATAACTTTAGAAATTAAGAAGGACTATATTTATGATAACTTAAACGATAGCTTAAGATTAAACGCTTTGATCTTCTTAACCCTTTCAACTGCTTACGTTAACAAGAAATGTAAATATTTTAAAAATAATTATTTTATTAAATAAAAAGGCTATCGGATTCCTCTTAAGTTGCTTAATTTTTAGTTAATTCATTAAATCAAAATGCATTTTATGATTAAATTTATTGAAAAAGCAACTATCCAGCAAGTTTATTCATTATATTTGCAAAATAAAAATTTCTATTTCTGTCAGAAATCAAAATAAATCCTTACAATCAAAATAGAAATTTTATTTTAAGATATAAAAAAAATTTAATTTATGGAAATTAAATATTAAAATAATTTATAAAATTTAATCTTAAATAGTGTTCAGAAGATCCTTGATGAGCACTTTAAGAGTTTCAGTTGTCACCTACTTCGGTCTTGGTCTTTTCTTATACCCTGAAGTCTATAACCCCATCTTATGTCTCTAAGGTGAAAGATTTAACTGTACTGAATGCGAAACTTAGGAAAAAAAATCTGAATGAAATTAGAAATATTAATAGAAAAAAGGTTTTGATTGATAAATGCTATGCAATCAACTTATAGCATAAGTTTAAAATACATTTATTTATTACTTATATTTATAGTTATTTCTATAACTGTTTATGTTGATTCCTGCATTCTCTCAAATCTATTTCATTTATTTTATCATTATTAAATGTCTTGAAATAGTTATTTTTCCTCTGTCTCATTAATTCATTTGCTCTACAAACAATTCAACTTTAATAAATCTATTCTGCTTTTTATGTTTATTAAAATTATTAAATTACTTTTGTAACGAATTCCTTTTTGTACATTCTTTCATTACCTTAATAAATATAATATATCTTAACAAAAAATTATAAAGGAGTACTTTAAACCATAAAAAATATACATACACCTTTCAATTTTATTTTATCTCAAACATTTTACTTTTGATTTTTTACATCTATCTAAAACTCTTAAAACATTCTATATTTGTATTGGTCTCTATTAACCTCATATTACTCTTAATTAAATAACCAAATTATTGATTTTACCTTTATTATATACTGTAAATGCTCATTAATTAAGGCGTATTTTAATTAAGGCATTTTTTTCTTAAATTTTTTATTTTGGCACTTTTTTTTGGGCAAAAAAGATACTTAGGGAATGCCTTAATTAATGAGCATTTACAGTATATTGTTTATTCCTAATATTAATGAATGAATGCTAAAATATTGAGTTTTTAGATAAAAAAAAATTGAAAGGATTGTATATTTATTTGTTTTTTTTAAAATTTATGTATGTCTTTCTTAAGATTATTTGATGACATTCAACAAGATTCGCCTTTATAATTGAATACAAAACTTTGAATATAAATTTTCGTATTTATTTTAAAAATTAAAATAAGATAAATTAAACAAACCTATGTATGACCTTAATCTATAAAAAATTAGAAAATTTTCAATAAAAAAAAACATCTAAATATTACTTAACTTTATGAGGGCCAAATTTTCAAATGTAAAACTAGGTATTTAGTTTTTCTTTGGCTATAGTAAAACTTAAGCATTTTTAAATTAATTTTTCAATGGTCAAAAATAAAATTTAAAGATACAGACTGAAACTGTTAAGTAAACTAATTTTGGATATGTTTTGAGTTTAATTTACCATCTTTTAATTTGATTTGAATATGTTTTTTAAACACTTAATTTGTTTTATATATTTTATTTAATCATCAAATTTATTCTAAATATGAATAAAAATAGAATAATATGTATTAAACTAAGTAATATTTATTTAAATAGTCGTGGAATTTAAATAGAATTATAAAAAATACCAGATAAAATGTGGTAATGTTAAATATAATTTATTTGTTTGTTAGTTTTTAAATTTTATAAATTGTAATAAATTATAATTTTTTAAAATAATTAAAATTAATTTATTTATTTATAGAAATATGCAGAAAGTTAGTTAATAATATTCATAATCTATAATAATCAATTAAAAAAGAATCAAAAATCAATTAATTATTTTTATTAGTTTTTCTAAGTCATTGAATTCTAATATTAAAAAACTATTTTATTATCATTCAATAACCTTATGGAAAAAAAAAAATAGATTAAAAATTTATTTTTTTGAGAATACAAAAAACTAACAAAAAAAGAATGACACAGTTGATGTTCAGACCTGGATTACTAGATTTAACATAAAAATTCAATGAAGGAGTAACCATTAAAATACTAAATATCTGTATAAAAATAATATACTCTAAATCCTCATTAATTAAGAGCTGCATAAAAGCCAATAATTTTTTTTATGGAAATGGATATAGTTATTTTGGTAATAAAATTAATATTAGAGAACATCAGAGATTTTTTAGTTTCATTGGGCTAATAGTTATTAAAATTTTTAAATAAATATAAAAGGTCTAAATATTATAATCCTAAATTCTTTAATGATTTATTTTGGCAATTTTTCTTATTTATTATTTAAAAACACATAGTAATTTGTATGTAATTTAATTTTAAATTGTGATAAAATTATAATAATAAAAATAATTTTATAAATTGATTGATTCACTAAATATTAAACTATTGAATTAAAATTACTTTTAATTAGAATTAATTTGCTATTTACACTTTTTTATTTGTATAGATTGTCTGCCTTGGAATTGTAGGAATGGAATACACATTTACTTAGCAAATTTCCTAAATTTAAAAATGTAAATAAATACTTTAATATATGCATTTTAATGATCAGCAGATAAAATTAAATTACATTACTAAATTATATCTTTTTAGTGTAATATTTTGTTTAATTATTTCAATAGAATAAAAACTGAATTACATTACATAAATCTCTGAAAGTTTAATATTAAAAAATATATTACGAATAATCTAGATTTAAAAGAAGATCATTTATTCATTCAAAATTAACATAAACAGCAAATAAAAAGTTAGCCGGTATTTACTAAGCAATCAAACAAACAAACAAAACAAATATGAGAGGATTTTTCAGAATGGGTTTTAACATGGCTAGAAAGTAGCCTTTAAGATCTTGGGCTGTTCCACTTGCCTTAAGTGCAGCAACAGGGTTAAGCTATTCAGTTTATGCAGAAACTTAATAATAAAATCAATAGCATAGCAGTAGTTCAGTTGTTAATTTAAACCCTATTAAGCATTCATCAGCTGAGCCTTTGATCAAGCTTAAGACTAGACAAGATCATTTGGCAGATATTTAAAAAACAGAAGAGTATGATATTATAGTAATCGGTGGAGGTTGCAATGGCGCTGGAGTATTCCTTGAAGCAGCAAATAGAGGATTAAAATGTTTACTTGTTGAGGGAGGTGATTTTGCTGCAGCTACTAGCTCTAAGTCTACCAAACTCATTCATGGTGGTATCCGTTACCTTTAGGAGGTCTTTGAGTTTTCTCTTAAGGGTGGTAGAATAGAAAAGTACAATTTAGTGAAGGAAGCTTTAAGAGAGAGAACTCACTTCATAGAGAATGCTTATTACATGAACAGACAAATTCCTTTTGTTGTTCCTACAACAAACTTGATTATGGGAATATACTACTACATAGGAGTTCTGGTATATCATGGTATTTACAGATATTATTTAGATTCAGACAAGAGCTCTTTCAGAATGAAAATGCCTTAATGGTATGGAGGTAGATAGCTTAGAGAATACTTCCCTCATTTAGATCATAAATATAAATACGGTATAGTCTACTATGATGGTTAATTTAATGACACTAGAATGAATTTAGATATTCTTTTAACAGGAACTTAGCATAATTACAACGAGAATTTCTAAGAAGGAAATATTCTCAACTATGCAGAGGTAATAAACAATAAATAAATAGATAAATTTGACTAATTGATTTGTACTAATAAAAAAGTTATTTCTATTTAATCATAAATATTTAGTTTCAAATAGAAAAATATCTCCTTTTTAAGTTGATAGAACCAAACTTAATAATGCTAGAAAGTTGAAAAAAAATTATTCTTTTTATCCAATAAAAGGTAACACAATTGATTAAAGACCAAAAAACAGGAGAAAACAAAGGAATCGTTTTTAAGGATAAAATTAATGGAAAAGATATTTCAGTTAAAGGTAAATGCATTGTAAACTGCACAGGAGCTTTTGCAGATAATATTAGAAAAATGGATGATCCTTCATGCCAAAAGAGAATTTTAGCTGTTGCAGGATCTCACATGACTATGCCTGCTTCATTCTGTTCTAGAAAGCACGCTTTAGTGATTCCTGAAACTCAAGATGGAAGAATATTATTCTTAGTCCCTTGGTAAAACCATGCAGTTGTTGGAACAACAGAAAGAGCTCTCGATGAGCCTGAATTAGATCCAACAGTTTCAGCATAGGAGCTTATTTTTATGTCTGAAGAAGTTGGAAAAATCTACTCTAATTTACCATCCTCAGAAATAACTAACAATATCAATAGCAAATGGGCAGGTCTTAGACCACTTATTCTGTAAAATTAAAAAGAAGGCGAGCCCATTGATACAAAGAAAATAGCTCGTACTCATGTCATTGAAGTTTCAAAGAATGGTAATAATTTATTCAAATTATATTTTGGTATTTTCTTTGTTACACTTGAAAGAATCTTCTTCAAACAAATCAAATTTGCTTTTTAAATAAAATATCTAAGTGATGTTAGGTGAGGTAGTGTTTGGCGTAATTAATAAGTGACGATATTTAAATTAATCTTTTAATCTATTTGCTTTAAAAATGAATACTTCCCAAATATTCTTTATTTAAACAAATAAAAAACTTTAGAGATTTTAATTAAATAAAATAATAAAATTATTATTATAAATTAGAAACAGTCAAAAATAAATTATTTTTAGAAAAATAAATCAGTGAGTTTTTGTTTAATTTTAAGCTACTAAATGCAATAAAGAACTTTAAAAATTATTTAAAATGCATTTTAAAACACCAAACTGAATAAAATAAAGCCTTTTTATATAAGTTAAATTGAAAATTTATGAAATAATTTAAATAGGATTAGTATCATTGATGGGAGGTAAGTGGACTGTTTATAGATGCATGGGAGAAGAAACAGTAGATAAAATTTTGGAAATCTTTAAATGTAAAAAAAAATTTAAAAATTCAAATAATTGATTTGTTAAATTAACAGAAAAAGGAATTAAATATAATGAGAATGCAGCAAAGAAATCTAGTTTGAATTTGAGACTTTTGGGTGAAGCTAATTAAAATGCAAATTACAAATTCCCCCCTAAAAATTAATATGTTAAGATTTATGCTAGTGCTTTAGCTGATAAGCATCAAATTGAATACAAAGAAGCTAAATATTTAATTAAAAATTATGGCCAAAGAGCTTTTGACATTCTCAATTTAGCTGAAAATCATACTAAAAAAGATTATTTAAAATAAAGAGTTCATCCTAATCATCCTATTTTAAAGGCAGAAATTCTCTATCACTTAAAATATGAAATGGCTTAACAACCTATTGACGTTCTCTTTAGAAGAACCAGATTTGGGTTCATTGATAGAAAGGGCATGTTTGAATCTTTAAAAACAGTATGTGATATTTTTGCCGACGAGCTAAAGTGGGACGAAGCAAAAAAGCAAAAAGTGATTGAGTAACAAAAAGAAATAATGAGAAAAATGGATTTCTGATTGAATAGTTAAAATAAATAGTTAATATTAATTTATAAAGGAAAATAGTTAATTAATTATAAAAGAAACCAAAGAAAAATTTGAATTATTAAAATAACTTAAAATTGATTAATTAATTAATGATTTATGTACATATGCCATTTTTTTTCATTAATAATTCTCTCAAAATTTTAAATTCAATCTTTTAACAAATAAATAAATTAAATTAAAGCAAAAATAAATTGCTTTTTGATATTTGCATTTATATTTTATATAGGTAGATTAAACTAAAAATTTAATTTTATCTATTAGATTAAAATTAAAATCAATACATTCTCTTTCTATTACTCATTTATTTACTTTTGCTGAATCCAATTTTATTAATTTTAAATATATTGCTTTTATAAATAAATAGCATGGTGATTTTTATGGTATTTATTTGCAAAATTTATAATCAATTGTCAAAGTATTTAAATTTTCTGTTTACTTTTATTCTAAGAAGGAAAACTTTATTAATATATATATACTGATTGCCCTTGTTTATTATATCAAAGTTAAATCTTAAGTCATTTTAGAGGAAAATAACAAGTGCGTTGATTAACTATAGTCTGAGATAATGCCGCTGCAATTTTAGAATATTGAAAGAAATTTATTATAATTTCTTGGCAAAGTAGATGATATTATTTGAATAGCTAACAACTTTATGCGTCTATTTGCTAATTCTAACATTCCCCAATTTAAATTTGAGGACATTCTTCAAAATTCTAAAATTTATTTATTGGCCTTTTTTTGATTAATTGGTTAATTTCTCTTTTTAATTTTTAAATTCAAAAAGAAAGTAAAGGAGATAGAAGCATATATGTGTGTATAAAAAATTTCTTTCAAGTTAGATACCTCTTTTATTTTTGCTAAACTACTGAAGATACCTTGATGCAATCTTTTTTCTAACAATTTTACAATGTTATTTTTGAATTACTATAACAAAATTCTCCAGAAAAGTAAATTTTATTAGCTGGACAAGTGATTTATCTAAAAACAATTTTATTTTTCATCATCTTTCTATTTTATAAAAAAGTATTCTGATTTAGATAGTAAAACTGATCTCCTCTCGATTCACTAATTTAAACTAATTTCTTATATGGATATGTTTAATTTTTAATTAGAGGAAGTTTTTACCTATAATTCTCTCAAAAGAAACTCAATTAAGGCAGTAAAAAAATACTCAATTAGAATTTTTAACTTAAATATTTTCTATTGGGTTTAAAGATTTGCACTTAATAAATCTTTTCATTGCTAGAGTTTATTTAATGAGACAAAAGCTAAATAAAGATGTTTGTTTTTAAAATTCATTTTAGAATGATAAAATCTCTACCCTTGTTTATTAAAACCTTTTCCAAAAATTAGCAAAAATAAATTCTTTGATTGATGATTACAAATAAAAGTGTTATTGTTTCTAAAAAATACTTAAAAGATATGATGAATGCTCATTTGTAAAGTAGTATTTAAAAAAAATTAATTCTAGACGCAAAATTTTGATTTTGGCAGTTGTTTATGCAAATAGATATAGAAAATTAAGCTCTTCTAGAAGAGAAAGAAATTAAATGATTATTAAGCTATATTAAAAAGTGTGATAAGATTTTTAAAAGAAGAAAGATAGAACTTTATTAGTGGAATTGATAGAATTTCTATTTGAATCATCAAATATACATAAAAATAACAAAATAAAAAAATTTAAAAGCAAAAGCTATTTAGTGTACAAACAACGATTTTTTGTTTTGATAGGATTGATACCTATTTGTAAGGAGAGTTAAAAGGAAGCGTGAGAGCTTGCTAGGATTAGAAAAAAGAAATTTAAAATATGGAGGGAAAGTAAAAATCAGTTTAGTAAGTATCTAAAAAGAAAGAAAGATATTTATTTATTTATTTGCAGAAGATAAGAATTTAATAGGTCAAAAAAGAAACAAATTTTTATATCCTATTTGTATTTTTAGTATTTCTAAAAAATACAAATCAATTTGATATTTCTTTATATTTTATTATATGTGTAGCTAGCTCAGTACTTTAGCTAGCTGAAAAATTCGATTGCTATATTTGGAAATCAATTGGCTAACAAACAGCATGTGAAAAAAGCTATTATTTCATTTATGCTGGTTGCTACATGATATTTTACTACTATTCATGATTTAAATCAATCAATTAAATAAATAATTTAGATTTAATTTATTTGAAATTGTTTTCTTCCTTTTCTTTTAACTCTCTTCTTTTTTCTTTGTTCTTCCTTTTTTTTCCTTTGTATCTTGATTTTTGTTTATTTATTTGTTTGCTAGCTAGCTTGATTGTTTCTTTTTGTGTGTGAAAGAAGAACTTAGTCGAATAAGATTTAAAAAAATTTAAAAAATTAAAAAGATTGCTGAGAAAATTTTATAATTTTTAACTAAATATATTAATTAAAAAACAAAAAAAAAAACAATCACCCTAAATCTCAATTTTCTTCAAAGAAAACTAAAGAAAAACTCATAGAAATGGCTAACAAGAAACAAGAAAAGCTCATTTTCGACACCTTAGCTGAAGACCAAAAGGATTTCTTCATCCAAAATTTGGAAAAGAAGGTTAGAAACATTAACAAAAAGCTTAAGGAAATCTAACAACTCGAGAAGGATAGAAAGGAAGGAAAGGAACTCAAGGAATCTCAACTTTAAAAGATTGCCTCCAAGGATGAACACAACAATAAGAAAAAGGAATTAGAAGGTATTGCAAAACTTTACTTAGAAGCTAAGGCTGAAGCCGCCACTGAAAAGAAGGAAGAAACCCAAGCTGAAACTACCACCACTACTGGTAGCGCTGAAGTCGTTTCCCAACTCGTCAATTTATTCTTTGCCGGTTAATACGCTTTCCAATTCAACAGCAACCCCGATCTCGCTGTCTTCTTCTCTGGTGTTTTCAATCACGTTGGTCCCAACAGAGTTTCTCACGCCATCACTGAATTGAACAGCTATCTTGCTGGATCTAACCCCGCTCTCCAAGCTTAGGTTATTCAAGTCGTTGCTTCCGAAAGCTTCAACACTTAAACTCCTTAAGTTGCTGACGAAGAAAAGACTGAAACTCACGCCCAAGTTAATCACGAAACTGTTGAAGAACCCGCCCAAACCTAACATCAAGATGAAGCCCACTAATCTAACGAACACGTTCATCACCACCACCATATTCACCACCATCACCACGTCCACCACGAAGAAGGATAAGAATAACACGAAAAGCACGAACACCATGCTCATCATGAAGAAAAGCACCACGAACACCATGCTCACCACGAACACACTGAATAAAAGCACGAAACCGCTGAACACACTGCTACCGAATAATAACACGTTGAAGGTGAAACCGCCGTTGTTGAAGGTGAAGAAAATAAGGAACACACTGGTGAAAAGAAGCACTACAAGAAGAACTACCCAAGAAGAAACAACTCTGGTGGTCAAAGAAAGCCCAGAGAACACAAGGAAGGTGAAACTCACTAACACCAAGGTGGCGAAAGTGGAGAACGTAAGAGAGGTGGCAGACCTTATCACAACGGTCCCAGACACGGTGGTAACAGATCCAACAACAAGAGACCTCAAAATGAAGGTGAATAAGTTTAACATGAAAATGAAAACGAAAACACTGCTAACACTAACACCAACACCGTTAACAACGAAGGCTGGAACGTTGTTACCAAGGGTCCCCAAAAACCTGAACACAAGCCCAGAACCAGAGAAGGTGGTAACAATCACTACAACAACCATCACCATCACAACAAAGAAGGCAACAACAATGGCAATAACAATAATAACAATTTCTAAAAGAGAGGTGACGGACAAAAGAGACCTAACCACTCTGGAAATAAGAGACCCTACAACAAGGATAGACCCCAAGGTGAACAAACTCAAGGTCAACATCAATACGTTCGCAAGGAAAAGACTACCGTAAATAATATAAAAACAAGCAAAGTTTTCTCTTAATATTTTTCTCTTGATATAATTTTATTATGATTTTTCTAAATATAAAAATCCCAATCAAGCATATGTTAAATTCAAATACTCAATATATAGTTCTCAAATACAAAAAAACGGTTTAAAAATTGTTTTATCTTGTTTACAGATAAATGATTAATTAGGTCTTATCACCTAAGTCCTCTCCCAAAGAAGCAATTTTTTTACTCAATCAAACAGATTTTTATTATGAAATGATTAAGTAAGAAAGAGAATGAGATATATTTGTACTTATGTCTCGAACAAAGATAATGATTTAGTATAAAAAAGATTGTCTAATAGTAATAGGGAATTAGTGAAATTATTAAAATAGGTTTAAAAGTTTAATCAAACAGCAATATTTAAATATAGATTCAAATTTTATTATGACTTTGAGTCAGACAGATAATAGGGAATAAAAAGAGAGTTTGATATAATTAATGACTTAACAAACAAACAAATAAATATAGCTTTAGCAAATACAATTTTCTTAAATAAAATGAGAAAAGTAAAAAACAAAGAGAAAGAAAAATGAATAAAGTGTATTGAGAAAGAAAGAAAGAATGATAGACAAAAGATATTATAATTTCAAGAAAAATTAAATTATGAGCTAGCTAACTAGCTAGCAATTTATTGATTTAATTACAAAAAAAAGGAGCAAACTAATGAATAATCAAACAAACAAACAAACAAACTAATATACTTCTTTATATAATTTTCAAACCCCTCTTTTGTTTTTAAATATTCCCCTCCTAACTATTTAAATCAAAGCTAATTTCATAGCTTCAGATTAATAATCAAAATTCATTTACAAGACATACACATACACATCGATTTTTAACTTTTTCTCTTTCTTATTTTTTATTCATTTAATCACATTCATTCTCTTTCTTTTTCCCTTATTTAATTTGATGAACAAAATTTTTTTGAATTTTTAACTTGGGTAAAAATTTCTGAAATTAATAATTTTGTCTCTAACATTTTTAATTTTTTGAAGATTTTAAATTAATACCAAAACATATATCTTATCTATCTATCTAACTATTAATTAACTAACAAGCAAACCTAAACAAAATTAGTGAATAACTTAAATATCACAAGAGAAAAATATTCTATCTTTCATTTTTTAACTTTATTAAATATTAATTAATCATTATTAATTATTAATAATAGAATGAAGCCACTGAACAACCTGCCTAAAATTGAATGATTTATTGATTATCTCAACCTATATTTTTTATATTTAATGACTTGCCAAAAGCATTTCAATAAATACCCTATATTCTTTAAAGAAAGCTATATAAAACCAAACATAATATGAATTTAATATCAATTAATAATTATTTGCTTCAATCAATCAATGGGATATGCTTGTTTATAGAAGGAAGTCTTTCACTATTTTAGTAAATCAATACATAAGACACAAACAGCCTTGCTGAACTCTTCTTAGCTCTGAAATATTTAAATAATAACCACAGCTACTTATTTTTTAGCTTACTAAGCCAGCATTCTTTTTGATCACTAAAAACTAGGCAAAATATTTCCTTCTTATAATATTTATCTTACGTGCAGATGTTCCCAACTGTGCAATTTAATTTCATATAAGAAACTACTTACATAAGCTGCTAAGCTGCAAAATGCGATATTTAAACTTCTTGTATTTTTTATAATTCTAATTCAACCTCTACTTAATCTTTATTGAGCCTATGCTAATTCAATACTGCATTCTGAGGATACAGTTTTATAGCTCATCATTAGCAAATAAATGCGTTTATACACTTAAAATCTAGAAAATAACAACTATTTAATTTGAAAATATTTCCTAGAAAATAACCAGCCAGCCAGTCTGTCTGTCTTAATTATTCTCAATAAAATAAAAATTATTATTTAAATTTAAATGAAACTGTATTTCTGAATTCCTTTTCGTTAATATATATTTACATCTCAGCAACTTTTTAGTTATTTCTTACATGAATGCACACAATAAGTGCATCTGTACAAATCTTCATTAAATCTTATATTCAATTTACATTTTAAATAAAGCTATAATAATTTATTTAATCAATATCTATTAAAGTTAATTCTTTCATCAGTCATATTTTGAATTTCAAATTTATTTCTCTATATCCTCATTTGTTTTTCTTCTATTTGAAAATTTTATAAGTCTTTTCATTTAAATATAATATATATCATCATAAAAAAAAATATTAAACATTTTAATGAAAAAATGTATTTAATTATTTAAATAATTATTTTTTGGTATAAAATAATCATAAAATTAATTAAATAATATTAACTTCTTAAATAAATATTTTCTTTCAATTTAAATTATTATTTTTTAACTTTAATAAAATAATTTAGAGATAAATCCACTAATACAAACCAACATTTCTATTTTTTACTAATCATTATTTTTATTTGTTAGTAGAAATATAGTTAGTTAGTTAATTAGTTAGTTTTCGTCTAATAAATTTGATAGTTTAGGGAAAGTAAATCAAAAATATACTTTAGGAACAAACAAAGAATTTCACTTTATTTCTTAAAATAATATTAAAATTTTCTTTAATAATGTTAGCAAATTAAAATAAAATGATTTTTGATTTTTAATTAACTGAATATGTTTAGACAAAGTTATAATTGTTATTTAATAGTATATAATTGCTTTTAGAAATGTGTTTGATCTTGTAAAATTAAAAATTAATTAATTTCCATATAAAATCAAAGGTTTTCTGTCAAATAAAACAGAAAATTTCATTTTTAAAAATAATATTAAAAATTAAATTTTTATTAACAAATATGCTAAATCAAACTTATATTTTATTTTTTAATTAACTGTTATAATAATTAACTATCTTGAGAAAATATTAGAATTTTTACTTATTGGTAGAATACTATTTTATAATGTATTCGTATTCTAATAAATAAGCGGATTATATAATTTAATATTCTAAAATCTAAAATATTTGAACATTTTTATTGCTCTAAGATATTTTATAGAATATAGATTTAAACATAACATATTCTAAAATTCAAAAAAATTTAATTTTAAATTTTACAATAAAATGAAGATGGGAGGAGTCACAGTTAGACAGTTTGGAGTTATTTTTTAAAAATTTTAGATTGGAATTTTAAATAATTTAAAATATATTTAGAATATATTCTAATTTTCAATACTCTCTCAATCACTGGTTTTGGTTTATAAATGTTGTTGATCTTGTAAAAATTTATTAACTCCCATATAAAAATTAGTGTTAATCTATGAAATCAAATAAAATTATTTTCATCATTTAAACTAATAATTTACTTTTTGTTTAGTATATTTATTTCTAATGATTTATTTTTTGATTTTAGATATAAAAGATTTTAAAAATTAATTAATTAACTGCTATAATATTAATTAATATTTTTATAAACAATATTTGAAATTATACCTTTTTGCTTATATTTGTTTATAGTAATTAATATTGAATAATTTTCATCTTAAAAATAGAAAGATATCCATCAAATCAAAAAAGCAAGCAATAGTTTCTTTGCTGCTTATTTTAAAAAATCAAATTTTCATATCTTGTTTTATTTAGGATTTGCTGAGAGTTATTTTTTATTTATTAATTTATTTGTATTTGTTTTTCAAAAAAGTTAAACAAAAATCAGTCATTTAATAGATTATGAATGACTTCGTTATTTAGTTTATTATTCATCAATCAATTTATTTTTTAAATTTAGATAAGCAAATAAATTAATAAATAAATAATACATACATTCATAAATATAGTAAGTTATTCGTAGATAAATTCAGTACAATAGCTTTTCCATTTACAGTAGCAATTAGCAAGCGTTGAACTATTTACTATTTATATTAGAAAAAAATAAAGAGGGAAAATAATAAGTTAAGATACAATATAACTTTCATATATACAAAAATGAACAACATCCATACTTCAACACATGTCAGCACTTATTTTAGTAATAATCTAATTACTATAAAATAAATAGATCTTTATTTATGCTATTTCTAAATTAAATTAATAGATGAAGCACTTGTAGATAGAATAGACACATAAAAATATTTAAAATCAAATGGAAAAATCAAAAAAGTGGTTTCAGATCCAGATAGTACTTCATTTTTTATAATCTTGAAAATTTACTTCTGTTAATCAATAGAAAGATTGATATATATTTTAAAATTAAATAATAAGATCATTATACAGCAGCTATTGATGATTCAGGAAATATTACAGTAATTGTTCATAAACTGAATAGATTTGTCAGTATAAAGCCATCTTCTCCAGCAACACACCTAGTTTTCATCAGTAACAATTATACTTTTTTGAACTTCTCTAAATTAAAATTGCATCAAATAAATCAAAAGGGAATGGAAATCTTTTAGTAGCATAGTAAAATGGTCATATTTCATAGTATCTTGCAAGCAGTAAATATACATTTTTTAAAAGTTGATTGTAATGAAATATTATTAAAAAAAGATGGCAAGCTAACCAGTGTTATTAAGCACCATAATTCTAAACTTTTAGGTATAAAATTTGCTATAATTTAAATGTTTAAAAATATAATCATCTACCGCCTTTGATATATTTAATTTATTAAGCAATTAGCAAAATCTAAAATTTAAAATAAAGCATTAGAATATAATCCAGTAACGAAGTAGATATTGACAATTGCAAACGATCAATGCACACTTTGGGATGCACAATCATTTAATAAAATTAAGTAAAGGGTATTCTGATTTAACTAAAAGTAATCTATGCATTTTTATAAATTTAGAACTTTGTTTGCTAAAGCAAGTTATTTTGCCACAGGATCTCTGACACCAAATGGTCAAAGCTTAATAACCTCTTTCTAGGTAAATTATTTTAAATTTTAATTATTTTTAATATTAAGATATTAATAAAAGGATGGGAATGTATATGTATGGAACTTAAACAACTTTGAAGTAACTGCAAAGAGTGAAGTTGAAGAAAATATGAAAAATCAAAAGATAAGTGTTTCAGCTGACTCATCAAGATTTGTGATTGGAGGAAGCACTGCCTATTTATATTATTGTGATATATCTCACTCTCCTTTATGTATAAGCTCATTTGCTCTACCCAGTGGAAGCACATCTGTCAAAAAAATTAAGTTTACTCATGGAAATTATTTGGGCATCATCACTGATAATTAAGTATTTTATGCAATTGATTCGTCAACAAATCAAATAGCGTTGGAATTTAGGTTGCCAAAAAATAAAGTAATCAATTTATTCATTAATAAAATAAAAAAGAATAATTTCTTCATTGAAAAATTACAAAAAATCTTAGAAAATATTTGAAATCTTGAATTAAATTTCAATTTAAAAACAAATTTTATAAAAAGGGAATAACTGACTTTGATATAAATCCAAACAATTTGGAGATCCTAATCGTATCAGGCAACGGAGAAATCTTTAAATATGATTTATAAAAGCTATTTATAATGGAAATGAAGTAATTACAATTTTAAAATAAATAAAATATTTGTTTGAGTTTGTTTAATTCTTTTGCAATTTTTAATAAACCATATTGTCTAAATGCAAAATACTTTTGATTTTATATAAAAGTCATTTATAATTTTACAAAATGAATGAATGAATTAATTAATTTTGATTTATTAATACAATGATTTTTTTGGCAACATTTCAGGTTGTTACTCTTGGAGAAAATATGATAGTGTTTAATTAAATGATTTATTTGATCATATTTTTTTAATTATTTTATTGATTTTGAAGTAATTAATTAAACGAATTTGTGTTTTATTTATTTTCTTTATAAAATCCAAGCTAATAGCAAAGACTCTTGGAGAGAGGAATTGAGTCATCTCTTGTTTACAATGTTTTGAAGCCAGGCAACTAAAACCATTCATTAAAATTCGAAAGCCACGTCGATTTCGTTTCTCATGGCAAGGAGAATGTTATTATTAACGGAGAATCTAAACTTGTCAATGATCCTGATGATTTGATGAAGGCAAATACTCAAAGAGAAACAAATATTATATAATTATGCACATTTCCAAAACACACTTTGGAAAAAATGTTTAAATCTGCTTTGATTAACGTAAACAGTCTTCCTAATATGTCTGTACATAAACTGAGATAGTTCCTTTAAAAACATAAAGTATATCCTGATAAACATAGGGCTTTCATTTATAAGTAACTACTTGAATTACCTCTCAATGTAGATAATTTTGCTACTTTAGTATAGAAAGGGTTATATCCTAGCTTTAAAGATTTATACAGAAAATATCCAATAAGTGATTCTAAGCTGTACCAAAAAATGTAGACAATCCTCTCTTGTTTAGCAAACTTCTGTGATCTATTTGGAGAGAGTGATCAGTTTATTCAAATTGCTTTTCCGTTTGTCAAACTCTTTGGATAAGAAGAATTATTGGCATTTGAAATAGTTTTGTGCTTTGCTCATCAGATACTCTAAAATTATTTTGTTGACTTCCCTCATCCTCCTTTAGATTTACTTTAAAATATTGATGAAATAATTAAATACAATGATCCAATTTTACATTAACATCTAAAATAACATAATTTCAAATTTGTTGACTATATTTGGCCTTTCTTGAGTGGATTCTTTACCTCTGCTTTAGACAAGGAATCATGGTTATAGCTAATAGATTATCTAATAACTTACAATGATACTCCTGAGTTATTTATGTTTATAACTGCAGCATTTATCATGTAATTTTATCATTAAAAAACTATTTATCAATTTTTCAAACCCTAATATATTTAGATATTTTAAGCATCCTTTAATGAAGTTGAAATCTAAGGATGAGTTAGAAATATTTATTTCAAGACAAAATCCTGTCAGTGTAAATCACATCATTGAATCTGGATTTAGTTTACTGAAAAGAACTCCTATCGATAAAATATTCGTCAAATTTTCAAAGATTCTTCCTCTTTCAAAAACATCATACAATTAGTTCACTAACTACAATGTCTTCAATGTAGCCCACTCAAGATTAACAAGGTTAAAATTAATTTAATATCAAAAGAACGAATTATAAATAATAAAATATTGATATTATTTAAATAAATTATTTAATTAAATAGATTTTCAATTTACAAAAATTGTTAAAAAATATAATTTATTTAAAAAATAAATATTTTAATTTTAATTTATTTGTTTAAATTTAATATAAAATAAAACTAACAGATAGCAGGAAACTGAGGCTGAAGCCAAATTGGAAGAGAGCAAGCATAAAATAAGGCAAATGCAAAGCTTAACAGATTAAATTTTGTCAGTCGAATAAAGATACAAAGAAAAGCAAGAAAACCTTATTAGAAGTGAATAAATTAGAAGAGAAGAAGTTATTTACAATGCAGAATAAAAGCTTTCAAGGTAGATGAAGCTTGAGGAATCAATTAAATAAACTAGATTGCAATAATTAAATAAAATATAAACTCTTACTAGAGCAAATTTACAAGCTTAAGAAGAGCTTAGATAAAAAGAACTTGATTTATTGGAGGCAGAACTGTAATATCAGCAATAAGCCGATGGTTAGCAAATGCAGAATCGCAAAGAAGAAATTTAAATTCTTGAAATGGAAGCTCAGGCTGCAGCAAGGTATTTATATAAATTTTTGTGTTCCATAAAATTCTTTTTATTTATAATGCTAAATAATTTAACTTACTTAATTAAAGATATTATATTATTAATAAATAAATATATTGAAATAATTATTAATATTTAATAGGCTTAGACAAGTTATGGAGCTCAGAGAAAAAGAAGATAGATAAAGAATGGTGAGAATGGATATGGATATCCACAGATAGCAAGAAGAAGATAGAGATAATGCTCTTATATAATAATGGAGAGTCGAAGATACAGAAATGCGTTTAAGAAGAGAAACTCTTAAACAAAAGAAATTGCAAGATTTGTATAAATATGAAGAAGAAAATGAAAAGAAATTAATTGAAGCGAAAATGCTGGAGACAGAGATATTAAAAGAGCAATAAATGAGAGATATAGAAAGAGAACGTAAGCTAAGATAGATTGCAGAATAAGAGCTTGACCAAAATGAAAGATATGCTGAATATGTTAAATAACTTGAACAAGAGCAACTGAAAACTTAGATTCACAAACTTTAAGAAACTTTAAATCATCATAGATAAAAGGCATTAAACTTTTCATAGGCAAGACTTAATTAGGCTGAAGAGGAAAAGAATCGTCTTCTAAATGAAATTCAAATCCATAAAAATATGTAATTTTTTTGCTATATTCATAGCTTATACTAAAAAATAAAATCTTAATTTTTATATTTAATAAAGGCTCAGTGCTAAACAAAAAACACTTTAAACTGGTGAGATAGAGTCTCAAATTGCTTAAAAGAGGAGAGAGGCCGAATAAAGTATAATTGAGCATGAGAAAAAACTTTAATCTATTCTGCTAGATATAGAAAACGAGAAGAGGTAACAAAGAAAATAAATTTAATTTAATTTTAATTAAAAAAAATAATTTAATTATTATCAAGGCTGATGTATGAATTACAATCATAGATTCTTCAAAGAGAAAAAGATATTAAAGAATAAGAAGGGTTTTATGATGTGCTAAAAGAAAACGAACAAAGAGCTATAAATGAAAATCGTTATTAAACTGCTTTGTAATAATAAAGATTCGAGGAAGACTTGAATAGATAAACCATGCAAAAGAGCTATTAATAATAATAAAGACTTCAAGAATAAATGTAATTAAGGGAATAATAATTAATTCAGGAAACTGATCAAATGAGGGAAACAATACAGTAAGAGAACATGAAAAGGCTTGAAGAAGCTGTTAATAATAATACACTATTAAGAAATACAAACAGTAATAACTAATCATAAGATTACAGTCCTGCAAATAATTTCCAAAGAAACCATTATAAAATGCCTTCTGAGATTAATGAAGAGGAAGGAGAGCAAGATGAAGAATAGTGAATCTATATATATATATTTATAAATTTTAAATTCTAACTCACTAATTAAAAATATATTTTATGTACATATTTTGTTAATTTTTAGTTAATTAAGCATAAATACATATTTACTTTATCTCGTCTATAAATTACAAGTTTCTTAATTTATAATTAAATCAAATTTCATATAATAAATATCACACATTACTTAATTTTTAAAAATCATGAGGAAATAGGTTTAGAAGAATTACAGTACTTAATTTATAAGATAAAAAAGTGATTTACTTACATTTTAAAATACCAATTAACTTTGTTAGACTTATCATATTATTTAAGTATAAATCAATATGAAGAATAAAATATTTATAATAAATTAAAATCTAAAACACACACAAAGTTATTTAAAATATATTTATTTATTTATTGGCTTAAGCTTTAGATAAATATTTAATACTTGAATAAGGATTTCGTTATAAATTAATTTTATTATATTTAGATAAATTATTTTTTATTTGAGATTATTAGTTTTTATTAAGTTAGTTATTTATTTATTTAATTAGTTATTTAGTTAGTTAATTAGACAGATAGATAGATCGATCGATCGATAGTTTATATTTTCAGATATTTTCAAATACTTGTTATGGATTATAGCTTATCATGAAATATTTAAGGAGATTCATATTTTTTGTTTTTGATAATTCAAAAACCATTGTTTCTGTAAGGGTAATTTAAATTGTTTAAAGAGTGAAATTTTCTTCTAAAAGGGAAAGTAAACTCTTAAAAGATTCTGAATTAATTTCAATTCTTGAAATATTAAGTGTTGTGAGAGAATAGTTGCTTTTTAAGCAGTTAAAGAAGTATTCCTATGAAACACTTTCAATTTTTATATTTTCACTTATATTAAGTACATTTATTCCTTAGAAGGCTTCTAAAAGATTACCTAAGCTTCTAAGACTTGTTTAGCTAAGTTCATTGTGTGCTATGTGAAGTTCTAAATATTAATCATAGTCATATATTCCTCTTTTAGAGTTATCGTTATGGACTTTTTCTAAATTTATTACTAAATTCGATAATCCAGTATCATTCATATTAATATAGTTCAAGCTCAAATATTAGAAAGGAAGTTAATAATCTGTCTATCCTTAATGATAATCTCTAATTGCTTAATGTCTTTCGCTTATTATTCTACCGATATACATAAAGCTTGTCTATTGTAAATCTATAAATAAATTAGGAATTCATATTTTAAATATTTCCATTAAAGAAAGATAAATAATTACCTTCAATTCTATTCATAGAAAGATGTGTCACAAAAAATGATTATGGCTTTTTAAAATAATCTAGCATCGCAAGGAGAACTTCATCAGTAATATCGTTGTTGTCAAGTTTTAAAACTCTCAAAAAACAATTAACAGCATCGTCTTTCATCACTGAAAAGAAGAATGTAATGAACTGAGACCAGAGACACAAATCAGAGAAATCTATCTCAATCAAATTCCTTGAAGTTGATGCTATCATCAAAGTATAGTAAAAAAATGCTTCTGAAACCCTAAAATTAAATTTAGATAATAAAAAAAATCATTTTTAATTAAATTTAATTTAATTTACGGCTTCAGCACAGGATAAACTTTGCATGTGTTATCAAGTTTTTCCGTATCTAAGTTAATTTTTAAAATTGTTGATTCGTCGTTATCAAAAAATGAAATAAGGCTCTAGTCTGGTGTTGAATTTAAATATCCACATAAAAAATAATAAGCCTTAATAGCAATTTATTTTTTTAAAAACTCATAAAGAGGAGTTTTGAGATGTCTCAAATCCTCCTACTTCTTTCCTAGATAGAAGTGTATTTATTGTGTTGCCCTTTCAGTTAAAGAAAAATATTAAAATTCCTAAGCCTATTTATATCCATTTTCTTTAATATCAAATCCGTTTGCTACTTCCAAACATATCTTATTCAATGGGATTCTCAGCATGCAAATAGGTCTTTTTGATTCTTAATTCGGATATACAAATAAGTAGAATCCTCTAACAACTATCCAGACTTCTTCATTCATACATTTATCTAATCAAATTAATTAAAAAACAATCAATTAAATATTTTTTTAATTGCTTTATTTAAACTTTGTTAAAAATATTTCTTTTAATTTTAAATAAAAATTAGATTTTAAAATTAAAATAAATTAGATCAAATCCAAAATCTTTAAATTAAATTGCAAAACTTTTTTAGCTATCTTTGGATAATTATTTCATTTTAATTATATTGAATAGTAAATTGCAAATTTTTAAGTGCCATTTTATCGATTGAGTAGCTTTGAACATTAAAATAGATTTAAAAATGTATTTAAAAATTTTATTTCTGATTTATAAATTGCTAATTAAATTTGAAATTATATTGATAAATAAAATTTTTGAACTAATTAGCATAGTAACTTCAATTAATTGTTGTTCTATTGATAAAATTAAGTATTAATTATTTTATCTTGCTATTTATTACAACATCAGTTTTGTAATATAATTAATTTATTTCAATATTTAATTTAATTTTCTTTATTCAGTCATTTTTAATATATTAAATAGCAAAAACCTAATTAAATAAATAAATAAATAAGATAGATATATACCATTTATTTTTCTTAGAGCTGAGCCACAAAATTTTGGAGGTCCTAATAAAAAATGATCATCTTTATATGAAGCAGGGATTTCTTTGAAACTTTCGTCACTTTAAATGAAATTATCTTACAAAATCGTAATGTAAACTTTCATTTATTAAATGAGTTGCTGGACATAATTAGCATCTTGTCCTCCATTCATATCAAAAGAATCCTTACTCAAATTTTAGAATAGCCTCTATCTATCTTAAATAATATTTAATCTATTCTCACGCATTCTTCTACGCTCTTCATCTTTATCAATATCAGAATAATCTACAGGCTCTAATCTTCTAAGTTCTTAATCAACTATCCTGTAATCAAAATCTAAAGCAATATATTTTTCATATTCTTTTCTTCTTGCAGCTAAAAACTCCTATATTCTAAGCTCCTTTTACTCTTCTAATTTAAATCTTCTTTTGTTTTTGATGGTATTTTCAGATATCATATTATTATTGTTATTCATATCTAAATTTTAAATTGAACTCACTTATGAACCATCTACCTTCGAACTTCTTAAATTTTTATCGTCTTAATAATTCTTAGTCAGATTAAGATTGCTATTTGCATTTCTATACTCTGACAACGTGCTATAGTTCTTCATATTTTATGTATTGCTCATTTTTATCAACTTAATTTATTTTATTCTTGCAGAAATTTTGAAAGTTTAATATTTTTTGTTATTAATTTACTTAAAGCACTTTCAATCAAAAAAATATCATAAATTTTATAATGACTAGTGTCGTTTGTGATTATTTTTAACGAATACACAAAAAAAACAAACACAAAAAATTCTTTACTTTCTTATCAATGTAAAATAATTTTTATTTTTCGAACTTAAAAATGTTGAATTAAATATTTTAAAAAAATCCTCTTCTGAGATTCAAGGTAAAATTAATAAAATTTTGCTATTAGACTTAAAGCAAGCTTAAAAATTAAACATAGAAGACACATAATGAAATAATTTAAGAATAATTATGCTTTAAGATTATTCTATTATTAATGTCTATCAATAACACTTTTAAATTTAAAAAAAAAAATAAATAAATAAAAAATAAGAAAAAATTATTTTTTAAATATTAAATTTGTATATTTTTAATACACTCACAAAACTATTTTGCTAACATTTAAAATTAATTTATTAATAAATTTTTCAAAATATTTGTCATAATAGTTAAGAATAAATAAATAATTTTAAAATATCTAGTTTCTAAAATATGGAGAAAAAAAACTATTCATTTTAATAAATACAACATTGTGAATATAAAAACAAAAAAGCTTACATAAAGAAATAAAACAAAACCTCATTCATTTTAACATAATGTAAATACAAGATAAGCTATTCTCTTTTTTTATATAAAAAATATTTAAATAAAATAATTTATTTTAATCAAGCAATTCATATTATGAAAATGTATTTTTATAAATTTAATAGAGCTAAATTTGCTCGAAAAGGGCAAGAACGCCTTTTATATTGGATCAAGTTTTTCTTTTGTTAAATCATCTTCAAATTTTTTTAATAGCATTTTTAATAAATGGATGGATGGATTAATGAATATTAAAACAAGTACATTTAAATAAATAAATAAAAATAGGAATCAATTTTTTTCATTTTAATATCTGTAAACATAAACTATATTAATTTCAAATAATATTGTTTTTAAATTTAATTATTTTTTTATTCCAGAAATTAATTTTTAGAAATTAATTTTAAAAATATATTAGAGTACAAATTGTTCTAAATAGGCATGCATGCACATCTAAAATATTGGATCAAATTTAGTTTGCTAATCAAATTTATTTTCTATAATTTTATATTTTAATGTAAAAAAATGTTCTGTCTCACGTAGTTTATATTCTATAAGTTGCACTGTAATTACATAATTTGTGCGGTATTTTTAAATAGATGTAAAAAGTGTTAGAAGATAAAAATATTATAAAATATTGAAAATATGAGGTAATATGATGAAGGTATTATATTGTATCATGCAACAAAGTTACTAAACTCATTATTTTGTATTCAGAAATATTATTTTTACTGCATCTCTTGATTATTTTTTAAGTAAGTAGCTATGTTTAATTAGAAATACCATCCATACACCAATTGAGTGCAAGAAAAGGCTTTTTATTATAGGGAATATGTGAAATCAAATCAAAAGTTAGAACAATAATTTAATATTAATTTGAAGAAATAAGTGAAATAAGATTTCATATAAATGATTAAGAAACTTATTACTCTTTGCTTATTGGGCTCAGCGCTTATTTTATTCAATTAAGTTTAATTGTAAAATGTTGACAAAGTTCATAACTAATACAATGATTGTCATTACATAAATAGTACCAATTAGGAGAAAACTATGGGACCTGAAGACTCTGCATTTTATGATGAAGACACTTTGATAAGTAGCTATGGGAATATCTATGAAATATTCTTTGAGAAAAAAGATTTAAAGACAGTCAGTAAAGGAGGATTTGTTCTAATTTAAGGTATCAAAACTGGAAATATAAAGTCTTATACAATGGAAATAAGAAATTATCCTCAGAATGTTTTCTTAATACCTTTAGGAATATATATTAGGGATGACATACTATACGCAATTAATCATTCTTTCTATTCCGGAGGTGGTGATAGAGTAGAAGTATTTAAAATAGTCAAAGCGCTAAATTAAAAGCATAATAAAAATTAACATGGAAATTTAAACAATGAAGATGGTGAATCTGAATAGGAGCACATGTTTGTTTTATAATTTATTTCCTATACTCTACTTCCTAAAAGATTTAATGGTATAACTAATAACTTAGTTGTAATAGAAAACACTAGATTCTTTATCACTGATTCTTTTCCTTAAAGTTTTCCAATGAAAGGTGTGAACTATTAATCATTCTTATAAAATGCTATAAATTATTTTTACTATATATTTTAAATAAAAAACAATCATGTTTGGGATTGCTAAATCATTTAGGAAGGTGAAGCTCAGTGCCGCCCCTTTGAAAATACTAAGAGTGTGTTGAATAATGGTATATCAACAGATAACAACGGCGTTTTTGTAGTTGCAGATACAATGCTCAAAACTGTAAGAGTGTATCAATTTAACGAATCAGAGTAGAGTTTGGATCTAAAACAAACTATTAAATTAGGCATAAGTGTAGACAATGTGAACTATATTTAAAGTTCTAATTCATTTTTAGCAACAGGCACTACAAATATGGTAGATACCCTACTCCTCCCTTTCAAAATCAAGAAGGTTGAGAACAATAAAGAATCTACTCCAGCTGTTAAGTTTGGAAGCGAAATATTTGAAATTAAACTAAATCCTCTAACTAATTTATATGAAGCTAAATCAATTTTGAAATCAGATGAAGTAATCGTTGGTGCTTCAGGCGCTTAAATGAGCAGCAATCGCGAATTATTATTTGTCAACTCTTTTGCAGATAAATCCCTGGCTATTTGCAAGAAAGCAAGGCTTTGAACAAATAAAATTAAAAAATACTAATAAATAATTAAATAAAATAAATAAATAAATAAATAAATAAGTAAATAAATTATATTATATTTATATAATTAATTATTTTTCATTTTTATTATAAAACAAACTAAAATATTAATTAATTAATTAAAAATTTTTATTAAACTAGAAACAAAAATTAATTATCTTTTTTGCATTGATTCCTAGAAATTTGTCGGTTTACTTTTCAATTTAAAAATTTAAGACAAATTGATGAAAAATAACGAATAAAAAATTTTTATCAAGCTGCTTTTTAACATAGTAATTGGTTTGAGCATCACCCAAATTAAAAAAGCAAATTAATAAGTCAATAAGGAAAATTAATATATTAACCTAATTTAAATCTAAAATTTATCCTTTTTTTAAGCTAAAAAAAAGTAAAAATTATTGAAGTAGATAATTGATCTTAAAATTTGTATGCTGTTGAGCAATTACATATAATTTTTTTAGCTTGGCTCTTTATGAGAATATGTCATAATTAGAAGCTAAATATAGTATTAATTTATATAAATTGTAACCATTTTGTCTATTTCATAGAAATTTTGATATTTAAATTAACTTTTTTTGCTTTTTGTCTAAAATATTCAACTATCATTTAATTTTATCTTTCTTTTTCTGTTTGCCATATTCTAACTTCCAGAAGAAAACTTCTGATATCCAAAAAGAAAGTTTAAATTGATATTTTGCATTATGAAATAAATAAAAGCTAATAATCTACTTTTATGCAAAATACGTGGATTGGCAAATTTATGCAATAAGAAAAGGGATTAGTTAGTGCGAAATATTAAAATACTTATTTTTTGTTTGTTTGTTACTAGGGTGGTAGAAATGCAGTAAGTCTATTTGTTAGAATAATTGATTAAATTTTACAATAAGAAATTTATTTATTTATTTAGTATGGATTATGAATTAGAAGTAGAGCAGAAAGGGATTAGTGAAAGTTGAGCATATAGATAGAAGGAGAGAATAATTCCATAAATATAATAAAATATTAATAGAATTTTTCTAATTAACAAATTCAAATAATTTATACATTAGAAGAGACATCAATCAATAATTTTCTTTGGGAGAATAAAGAGTTTTCTTTGAAAGAATATCATTCTTTTTTTACATTCTGATAAATTATCATTAATTAACAAACACATCTATCTATCTATAAAAATCTTAACAACGAAAATTTTATAAATAATATAAAAAAAAAAAATTTGCAAAAACTTTGAAAATTAAAATTGTTTTAAAAGTAAAAGCTATTATTGACAAAATTAAATAAAAATGAGCAAGAAATAATCATCAACTCAATAAAAACCTTAAAAGAAGGAAGATTATTACGTCACTTTAGGCGTTTCTAAGACCGCCACTGATGATGAAATCAAGAAAGCATATAGAAAACTAGCTCTCAAGTGGCATCCTGATAAAAATCAAAACAATAAAGAAGAAGCTACAGAAAAATTCAAATGTATTACTGAAGCTTACGAAGTACTTTCAGATAAGGTAATTTAATAATAACATAACAAATTCAATAAAAGCTACATTCAAAACTTGAAGATTTTCTTGAAAGGAAAACTTTGCATTTCTTATAAACATGTTTAATTTGTTCATATTTTTTAATATTTATTTGTATCTTTAATTTAGGATAAAAGAGCTCACTATGATAGATTCGGTTTTGACGGACCATAAATGAGCTCTGGTGCAAATGGAGCTAACTTTGGAGGAGACTTTGGAGGATTTGGTGGTGGATTTAGTTTTGATCATGCAAACGATGTTTTCAAGCACTTCTTCGAAGATTTTGGTTTTGGAGATGATGGTGATGATCCTTTCCTCATGAATTTCTTTGGTAGAAGAGGAAGTAAGAAGTCTTCTAATGGCAGTTCATCTAACTCAGGAAGTAACAGAAGCAACGGTTAAGGCTTCGGCGGATTTGGTGGATTCGGTGGCTTTGGCAATTTTGGTGGCTTTGGAGGCTTTGATAATAACGACTTCTTTAATCAAGGTGGATTTGGTGGTGGCTTTGGTGGCAATTTTTAGATGTCCTCCTTTAGTAGCTCTTCAGGAGGTATGGGTGGCGGTGTAGGCAAATCTGTAAGCTAATAAACAGTCATCTAGTAATAATTAAAAAGCTTTTTAAATTTCATTAATTGAACTAACAAATAGTTTTTAAATCAATTTTAGGATTTCTTTTTTAAGCGCAATATTTAGTTGTTGTTAATATGATTTTAACTTATATTTTTTAAACATAGAAACGGTGTTAGAAAATCTATTAAAAAGACCACTATCACTAAGCCTGATGGTACAAAAGAAGTAATTGAAGAAACTTCTGATCAAAATGGAAACACTTCAACTAATAAATATATGATTGGCACTGATAGTAATTCATTTTATTAGCATTTTCTTAAAAAAATCTAATATTTATTTATTTATTTTTAACTATCCTAGATAAAATGTACCAACTTCAAAACTGAGGAATGAATAATCATTATATATATACAAACAAAAATGCTAAAAGACAAAGCAAGTAAATAAATAAATAAATAAATAAATGAGGCTTGTCATAATAAGAATAAAACATAATATTTGTAAAAACTTTATATAATCGTTTACTTAATAGTTTAAAGTATCAAATTACCTTAAAACTCTGATACAGACTTCAAAAAGAACACTATCAAACAATCAATAAGTCATTAATTGAGCTTGCTTTATAAACCAAATAAATAAATAAATAAACCAATAAATAATAGCAACTTAAATTCAAATATAAATTTTTATTGAATACCAATTTATTATTAACTTAATTTTATTATCAATATTTATGTAATTGCTTATACGTGCATCCATATATCCATCTATTCATACTTATACAATTATATTTATTGCATTCATTTAATTATAAATTCACTAAATTGTGAACAAATAAATATCAAAAAAAAAAAATCTATATTTGACTATTTCCTGTTTAAAAATAATAAATATATAAATAATTATTAATTAATTAATAGATCTTATTTTCTCATACAAAATTTCTAAAAAAGAGAAATAAATGAAATAAAATGTAACTAATTTTCAATTTAAAATAAACAAATATTTTATTTTTTTATTATAACTAACTTGATAGATAGCTTAATGATTTTTTTATTAATTAATTAATCTAAGGTAATTTTAAATAAATTTTATTAATCAATAATAAATTATTTTGCTTTAACATTTAATTTTTTTTACTAATCATTTGTGTCTTCTTGGCTGTTTTATACCTAATTATCAATTTGAAAAAACAAATATTTTATTTTTTTTATTATAACTATCTTGATAGATAACTTAATAATTTTTTTATTAATTAATTAATCTAAGATAATTTTAAATAAATTTTATTAATCAATAACAAATTCTTTTAAATAAATAACTCTTTTTAAATTAATTTTTTTTCAATTAATATATTAATTTTATTTAATGTTAAATTATTTTAACTAAAATAATATTCATAAAAATATTTAAGCAAATATATTTATTTTTTAAATCATAATTTTGATAAATAGGCCGACACAGTTAACTACAGTAATGCTATTTACAGCTTAAATAAAGAATGGACTTACTACTTGGTTATATTTTAGTTTAATGAAAAATTAAAAAACAATCTAGTTGTTATTGTTAAAAAGTTTTTATGCCTCTTATAAATTTACATAAATATCACACATAAATTTAACATTTTATCAAATTTTATTTGTTGAGATAAATTTTTTTTGAAGTTTTATTTGTTTGTTTATTTATTTATTTATATATTTTTTTCTGTTTTAAAAATGGGTTTATAGAAAGATACTTATTTTTCCAAATTTTAAAGTAAAAAACAGACAAAAAGATTATTAAGTATAAAGTTACAATAAAAAATATTTATTCTAATTAGAGAACAGCTTAAAATCAAGAAGTGGCTTCTTCAGCCCATTTATTTTCTTCTCTAATTTGAGCTTCTTCTTCAGGGGTAAAGTCGTTAGGAATGTTGAAAGTTTTTCTGATTTCATCAGGAGTTTTGTCTATTATAAGTTAAAATAAGTAAATATATTAATGAAAAAGTCAACTAATATGCATTTAGTAGCTCTTTTTATAATGCATTTTGGTTAGATTTTTGCAAAAAAACATTAATGAAATAGTCGTTTTTCTTGCGAAGTTAAATTAATATAGAATAAAATGCATGCATAGAAAACAAACAAAAAAGCTATTTAATTTTCTGATCTTACTCTTGATAAGAGTAGCAACTTTGGCGCAAGCTAAGTCAAGAAGAGATTTTATATCGAGATAGTTAGCAGCTAATATAATTTCAAAGAGTTATTCGAGATTTTCAATATCAATAAATTTAGCATCATATGGATCTACTAATTCACTTAAATTGCTGGTGGTTAATGGCTTTTCGATTTCAGGTGGGTTATCGTTTTTGTGCTTTTCGCAGTACTCTAAAATTTTTAAAAGAATCTCCTTCTTAACATTTGGAATTGGAATATCATCTTCAGTTCCAGTATCTTTAAATTACCAAAATATTTTATTATTATGCTGCTTTTGTTTATTTATTGCTATAAAATAAATTTACCTTCAATCATATTTTTAATTAACTATGACTTCTTAGCGACTTCTTCGTCAACCTATAATTAATTAAAAATATTAAATGAATGAATAATTAATCATTCATCAGAATGATGATAACAATAATTCTCAAAAAGCTCTTGCTTCATTATGAGCAAAGAATGAACAATCAATAAACTAATTAATTACTTCAATAATTTCGTTTTCAAGAGACAATAATTTGACCTTTGTAGAACCTTTATCCATTTATGAGTTTTTTACTTATAAATTTATTTTTAATATCTTATTGATAATGTATTATCTGATAAGTTAATTTTTTTAAATTCTTACTTAATTAAATCTTTATATCTTTTTTCTTGTTTTAGGCAGCAATTTAAAATTTCCTTTTCAAAAATGAATAAGCTAGCTAAGTAGTAGCTATTATTTTTAAGGCAATACCTTCTATTGCATTCACAAAGCAAGCACATCCATAAAGAATAAAGAATGCATCAGTGTCAATGTATTAAATATTATGAATGAACAGTTTTATGTGTGAGTTTTAAACAAAATATTATAAATCGATTCTTTCCATTTTGTCTATTACCCTAAATTTTTGCTTTAATATTAAATTCTTTCAAAATAAACATTTTTAATGCATTCTGACAATATTAAAATTAATTCTTTTAGGCTTTAAAATTCTTTGTTTGCTGAACATTTGAGCAAAGTTTACATAGATTAACAGCATAATTAAAATATTTGATGTACTGTTTACTATGAAGTTCCTCATAAATATAAAATTAAAATCTTATAAAATTTAAAAAAAGACCAATGATTTTTGTATATTCTGAGCAGAAATAATTTGTGCTTTATATAGAAAAATTGTAAATTAAATTATTGAAATATAAATTTGAAGAATTTTATTTATAAATATGGATAAATTCAAAATTTTTAAATATTCTTTACTACTCCTTAATATTAAAAAATTAAAAAGCTAAATCAAAAGATTTATTTTATTACTTTTTATTTAAGAAAAGTCTTAAAAAACATTTTTTATCAAAGATAATTTTGTTTGTAAATTATTAGTGAGTTTTAAATGAGCCATTAGTTAGACAAATTTCAAAAATGGAAACTAAAATTTTTAAGATGTATTTTTTATTAGAATTATAATATTTAAAAAATCAATTAATTTAATTAATATATTTTAGAGATTTAATTGACAACTTATTTCCTTTTAAAATTAATGAAAAATAGAAATAAATTTCATTTTTAATAGGGAATATAATTAACATTCATTTATTTTCCTCTTTTCATTTAAGAATGAATACTAAAATTTGTATTAAAAAATGTGTTTTATATAAACTAAAGGTTTTAATTATTTTATTCTAAAAATGTCTAATTATAATTTAAAATAAACATATTTTTTAAGAGGATTAAAGAATAATTAATATAAAAAAAGAATATTATTCAAATTTGTCAATAATTTTAAGTAAAGCAGAAAAATTTATTTTAAATGAAAACTCAATTTTTTATTATTTACAATATTTATTTATTATATAAATCAAAAACATAAATTTCTTAAATATTCGTTTATTTATTTATATATTTAATATAGGAGAATTTTTGATGTAACTCTTCTTACTCATTAATTTTATATTTATTTATTTATTTAGTTATAATTAATTAATTAATATTATATTTTTTATTCACAATTTTATTTTTCTAATAAAAACTTAGTTAATTGTAATTAAAGCAAACTAATTCATTGATTCATTCGTAGTATTCACTTTATCTTTCATTAGTTATTTGTTAAGAATTAATAAAAAAATAATTTTTAACTTAGTTTTTAGTCTGATTTATTTTGTTTGTTTGCATAAATAAATTAATATTAGTTTCTAAAAGATTTTTTTTATTGGACACATTATTTTTTATAATTAAAAAAAGGTATAAATGCCTATTTTTATTGATAGCTCAATTGATTTATTCGTTCATTCCTATGATCAGGAATCGAAAATTGGAAAGGGAAAATGCAATTTGTTTATTTGCCGGTTAATTTTTAATATTGATAGTGAAGGTAATCGACAAATATCCTAAATATTTATTTATTTATCATTTATTCATTCATATATTTATATCATTTAAACTTTTTTTTGTAGGATTGTAAAAGCTACTACTATAGTTAGCGCTAAGCATGCTATTTTAAACTTAATTTTAATTTGTTTAACTCGAATAACTAAAGCTGCTATTTACATTTGCACTTTTAACATTGTTTGAAAATCCTTGCAAGCTACTATTTAATTAAAACTATTTTTTCTTTTTTTATTATTCAGCATATGAATATTCTTTAACTTATACTGCATTTGAATGAGATTTCTTGTGCTGAATACTTCTTTTACATTTATTTTAAAAGAAATTGTTATTATTATTGCTATTGTTGCTGTTTAAATTTTAAGTTGATTGAGGATGCACTAAAAAGGCAGATATTTCATCATCATTAATTGGCATATTCAAACTTTCATCATTTTTAAAATGTCTATTATTTATAGAAGTAGGAGGTATGTTAGTGCTTTATGTTGATATATTGTGTCGAATTTAGCTACTCTGTGATATTGTTTTAAGTACTTAATCACCTTTAACTCTTTCATTAAATTACTATTGTTCAGGAAATAACTTTGGGTATTCTTTCTAGTTGATTTTCATTTATGACCTAATCAGGTGAATGTCTATCATATTTTATGAAATATTTTGCTTTTAATTAGACGTCTTATGCGATTTACTGCCTAATTAAAAAGAAGAAGGCTCGTTTACTTAATTATCAACATTTGAAATCTATGAGTTAAACTCTTATGAAATTTTCTCTTGCAATATTTGACTGAGCGAGCTTTAAAATGAGAGCATAATTTTCTGCTCTATCCATTTCTATTGCTTTTTAATATCTTAATCTGAAATATTGAATTCTTTTAAATATGAAGGTATCTGCTATATAAATTATTTATTCATTCCTGCTTCAAAATTTCTTTATTTCTAACTTGTCCTAGCAGTTAATTTCAATATAAACAAAAAACAAATAAATATATTTGCTTGGTTATTTGTTTTATTTGATTTAATTATTTATTTATTTTTTGTTTGTTTGATTGTTTAATATCAAGCAAATACTAACTTTCTTACTTTCTTTCTTCTTTTTGTATTTAAAATTTTTATTCAATTAAATACTAAATAATAATCTAAGTAATTTAATCAAAGATTCTATTCAATTCAATTCTTTTGATTAATGAGTATTTGTTTTTATAGATAGATTTTGTTATTACATTTAATTAATATGATTCATTGACTTCACTTTTGCAGTAAAAATTTTTAAATTCAAATCTTGTCCCTTATTTGAGATTTAACAATCAGTAATTCTTAAAAATTTTTTATGTAATTAGAGAAATCTTTTTTTTTTCAGTCAATCAATCAGTTAAAGTTATCTTTCTAAAATTTTAAAACATTGAATGTAGATTTTGCTGTTTTACAATAATATATTTTCTGTCAAGTTAAATAGCATTTAATAATTTACTTATCAAATTCAAATCACATTTATTTTTGAGTTAATTTAATATTCAAAATATTTTCTCTTTTGAATCAAATTTTATTTTTGGATTTTCTAAAAAAATAATCTAAATTAACCATAAGTTAAAGAACAGATTAAGAATTATTTTCATGCAATAATAGAATGCTAAATAGATATTTATTTAATTTTTATCTTTCATATTTTTTATTAAAAATTAATATTTCTATTAAAGAATCGAAGAAATTTTATATGTGTATGAAATAATCTGAGTTTTAATTAAGTTAAAACAAGAAACTTAGAATTATTTTAATAAAATTAATGAATGAATCATAACTAATTAATATTTTTTGTTATGATTTAACATTTATATCTTAATTTATTATAATTTTTCATTTTATAAATATATTTATTAATATTTAAGCTGGGACATCATTAAACCTATCCAAGTATTGTTTAAATATTATTTTACTTTGCCAAAGCTCTTTTTTTGAAGTGTTGCAGTATAAATAAGTTGTATTAGAATTAATTTTAAAAATAAATTGTGTTTTTTTGATTATTTTTATAAAATCATATACATTAAAATTATCTTAAAAGAACATAAAAGTTATATTCAAAAACAAAAAATTAATTATTTACATATTAATTTAATATTTATTAGATAGTTCTTCTCAATTTTATGTTTTATTTTTTACAATAAATAACTTAGTAGAATATACTAACATATAAAATACATATATATAATGAGCTTGATGGCTCACCAAACCGATTTTTATTTAATTAATATGCCTAGATTTATTAAAAAATTACTTTTGATTTTCTGAAAAAAATTATGCAAATTGCTCATTCAAGGAATGCTTTAGACATTAATCTATTTTTTTTAGGAATATTATAAGTAAATTGAAAGAAATTCAAATGAACTTACTAGATATCAACAGGGAAACAATAATTAATAATTTTTTCTCTTTCAAATTCTGCTTCTTTGTCAGGAAGAGGTGGTATGTTGTTAAAAATACTTTCACTATCTAATTAATAATTAGAATTTTAAATAAAAATATTCAGTGGTTAATTTTAAAGCTAAAGTAGATCAATCATAAAATTAGTTACTTCTAAAGTCTGCATATAAGTTGCCTGAAAAAAAACCTATTTTTATGTTTTAAAAGCTAAGTAAAAATCATAAATTCCTTAATATTTTACCTAAAAACACTAAAATGACTTTTGATTGATGAGAACCCTTAGCTATATTCAATAAAAACATAGTTGCAACTGATAATCCAAAGAATGTTGCAAGAGATGGACCTTTATACTCCCATTTTACCTTGAAAAATAAATAAAAGAGCAGAATAAATTTCTTTAAAAATTCAAATAATCTCTAATTTATTACTTTCCTAATTATTTTTTTTGTTTATTCTTTTTCATCAGTTGTTGGAGGATAATTGCTATATTTTTTCCAAAATTCCATTTTTCTTCTTTAGCATTTTTTAACAATTTCTGAATATTTGCTGTACCCATCAATACCTTTAGTCTCGCTTAAATGCTATCTTGCCCAATAAAAGTAATTTGGAAAAGCCTATTCTAATTAAAAGAGAAATTTATCAAGCGTTATTTAATGAAATTACTTTCAATCCTCATAAAAGATAGTTTTTAAAAATAAATTTACCTTCTTTCAAAGTGTTGGTAAATAAAACATCTCTATATTCATCATCTTATTCTAAAGGTGGTATTTTTTAATTAATCCTGTTCAACATATCAACTTACAACTTTAAGACAGAAAAAGTCTACATTTGCTTGTAATAATATTCTTTTTTCCATCTATCATCTAAGATTTTTTCGATTTCAAAAGGGTTAAACTTCTCTTCGTCCATTTATCTTTAATTAAATTTCTTTTTTTCTACTTTTGTAATTTGTAATTTTCAGAAAAATCAAGAACTAGCTAGTTACTTACTTCAAAGATATCTTCTTTTCCAAATAAAATAGAAGTTTTCTAATAATCTAAATATATTATTAAATTAATTAATTAAATAATTAATTCTTTTTACATTTCCGCTCTTTCAATAATCAATCTAAATATTTTTAAGCAAAATTATTTTATTAAGAAAACATTTAATTATTTTTATCTTAATTAGATTGATAGCAGTGCAATTTCTCTCCTAAGCATGCTAGTTTTTAAAATATTAAATTTTGATTTGATTAATTTATTAAAAATATAAAATAATTTATTTATCCTTAAAATATTTGCAGAATTCTTTGAGGAAGATATTTATTTTTGGCATAAGTATTTTCCATATTCTATCTTTAATTAAAATGTTAGGGAATTCCTATATTTAAGTTAATTATTCAAAAATATTATTCATATATGTACTAGCCTTTATATTTCAAATAAATAAAATGTTATTATAATATTGAACATATTCCTTTAAAGTAAATTAAATAAATATAATAAAATATGATAAATGTAAAATTTATACATTATTTCCATTTTTATATTAATATATTTTGATAATTTTTTATGTTTGAATTAACAATTAGCTTATGTTAAAAATAAAATGGATAATATGTTAATGAAATTAGTAAGTATTGATAGCAGATTTTAAACATTTTTTAATATAAAAGAATCTGATGATGATAAAATATAAAAAATAAATTAGAATCTATTAAAGACTTTGAATTTTTTTATATAAAAAATAATCAGAATTCCTAAAATTTTTGATTAGATAGATAGATACTAGGCAGACTGACATGTAAAAAATAATTAGATAATGAATGAGTTCTAAAGATTTGCTATAAAAAGTTTTTTTCTGTCAAAACGATCCCTTTATTAATAAATAAGAAGATGAGTATCTATCTATTTATTTATGAAATTAAAGAATCAATCTGAGAGGCTAGTTAGTTAGTTAGATGGAATATTTACAAAGTAAAAAAAGTTGGCAATTTATTATACATATATATATATAAAAGCTTCAAACACGCATGCATGCACGCATCCAAACAAAAATTATAAAAAAATCAATCAAAAATAAAATCAACTTTAATTTAGAAGAGAAAATAAAAGATTTATTAATAGGAATATTAAAGGATAATTTTTAGCTTAATGAACAATACTTTGACAGCAATAACAGTAAAAATATAATAAATTACTTGAAAAAAAAATATTCTATTCTTTTAATGCAATTTAAACCAAACAATTTCACTTATTATGATATAGGCCTCAATCATTGAGTGGAAATTCAGTGAAATTGATAATACAAAAATTATTTACATTATTGAAGTTGAAAAAAGAGGTTAAAATAAATGGACTTTGAAAAAGCGTTATAAAGAATTTGATGAGCTCAATAAAAACCTCAAAAAGCTTTATGCAAATCTTCCACCTATTCCTGGTAAGACTCTTTTTGCAGTCAAAGATCCTGCTGAACTTGAAAAGAGAAAATAAGGACTTGATAATTACTTGAAGGTGATTTTATTTTATTAAATAAACTTTAATAAAGTAGGGTTAAGCAAGCATTTCTTTTTAAAATAAATAGTAACTAATTGCTAGACCTGATGTTTATCACTCAGATTCTATGAAGCAATTTTTAGAAGTAACTTATTTTTCTCATATTTATTGATTTCTATTGGCAATCATGCAGCAGCATATAAATATACTTAGATAGAATTTATGTTGATCTGAACATAATTCTTTCTATTAAAAGATAAAAGCTTGATAGTGCTTGATATCCAAAGCTAAAATATGAATTTCAAAGGCAAAAATTACTAAAAAGACATGAAAAACAATAGAAAGTTAAAAAATTTATAATTTATTTGAAAATTTTAATAAATTAGCTTGATCAACATGCTTCTGATCAAATTATCAATCCCCCTAGATAGTTAGGTGAATTGACTGGTTTTGTTCATGGTGTCAGAGATTTTTTCTATGACCCAGATTAAGGAGTACTTTTCGTTTTGTGTGGTGACATGAATGTTGCATCAAGAGTTGATGCTTATTTGACTAATATGAAAATGCCTTGGGAAAAAGAATAGCCTCAAACTTTGCTTTCTGTTGGTACTTTGGAATGTTGGCTATAAAATAATTAAGGTGGTTTGGACTTCGAAAAGGCATGGAGTATTCCATATCCTCTTTAAGCCATTTGCATGCATTGGGAACCTTCTTCTTGCATTCTCTCTGTTGGGTAAAATTATTATATATATTATTGTGTGTTGCTTACTTAATTGCTAGCTTTCTTTATTTGTTAATTTATTAAAAAGATTTAAAGATAAAAATAAGAATTGTAATCAATATAAAAAAAGATACTTCTGATTAAAAAATAAATATTAATTCCTATATAATTTATTAGTTTAGATGAAGGTAGAGTAAACTAAATTAGAGTAAATAAAGAAATAGCATACACTAGATATGAAAATTTAATGGAATATAACCCTCACGAATAAAGAATTATGGGTATTTATTATGACAATATCACAGATATTCTCTATACTTGCTCTGAAGATAAATTTGTCAAAACTATTGAAAACAAGGAGTGCACAAATGGTAAAATATTTTAAATACCATTAAAATTTAGTTTTTAGAAAAGTGCAATTCACTATTTAGATAAATTTATTTTTGCATGAATATTTATCAAAATAAGGCTGACTCTAAATATTTATGGAAATAATTAAATATCGATTAAAATTACATTTAAATTTATAGTTATTAGACATAGTGACACTGGTCTTACTGGAATGATTGGCGATAAAGAATACAAAAGATTATTTGTTACAAACAGATCTGGTGTTGTGTACATATATAGCATCTCATCAGTAATAAATAAACAATTCGTTCATAAGATCAATAACCAAATAAAAAATTATAAAATTAAAATAGTCTGCTCCTGAATTACTCTCTTAGGTTTATACTTAACAATAAGGTGTTATCAGAGGTTTAGCATTAGATACAGTTAAGAACTATATTATAACTGGTGGTTTTGATGATGGTGAAATAGCTGTTATCGATATTGAAAAGCCAGGAAGAGTAAAATAATAATAATAATATATATATTAGCTAAATAATTTGTATTTTTTACTTAATTAGGAAAAATATGCCAAGCTATCTGCAAGTTTTGTTGGTAAAAAGAAGGTTAGATCAGTTTCTTGGTCTGGCTCCAGAGGTGAAATATATGTCGGAACTTAAGATGGTACTATCACTATCTGGAATGCCAAAAAGGGTGTTGCTATATGTAAACTATTTTTATTTTCAATATAATTGTTAATACTATTAAATAATTAATTATAGATGTTATGAAAGGACATTAAAATGAAATTACTAAAGTTTAATGGATTGAAAATAAAGGAGGTATTCTTCTTACAAGTGCTAAAGAAAAGTTTATTAAAGTAATAAATTTATAAAAAAAAGCCATAGATCCTTGATATAAAAAATTAATTGATTCATTCATTTTTTAATATAAAATAGTTCTGGGCTATGCCTAAAGAATGGAGAGATAAGCATATAGAATAAGAAGAAGAAGATAATGTTTATAAATTAACTAAAGATCAAAAAGTTTAATAAATTAAGGAAAAGCTAGGAAAAGCAGAAATAGATTCAGATGAAGATGATTTACAAGGATGGCACAAGTATTGAAAAAAGCTTGTTACTTAACTAAATAAATAAATATCATTAAAAATGTTAATAAAATTAATAAATTAATAAAAAAATAAATAAATACCTGTTTAATGAAAAAAAAAAATGTTAGCTTGAATTCTTGATTTCATAATTTTTAAAGATAAAATATTTATTTTACAGTTTAAGTTTAATGTATTTAAGTTTAGTTGTTTAGTTTAGTTTACCCTCCTTTTATAATTTTCTTTAGTAATTGAAATTAATTAGTTAAAAAGCTAATCAGTTTTTTAATGTTTTTTCTAATTTTTTTAGTAATTAAAACAAAAAATAAATTAAATACGATTGAAATATTTTAAACAGTCAATTAAAAAGTAAAATAATCTCACAGATAGATAGACTGACATTGATATATTTATTTTGTTTAATTAAAATAACAATTTAAAAATTAGATATTTTTAATTTATATTGATCAAAATTTTTCTAATTGTGCTTATTCGTACATTAAAAATTTATTATTTTATATAGTTAATTTATTAATTTATTATGAAAATTCAGATATATGACGAATTGACTACATTTATTTTAAAAATGATTATTATCATAATTTATTAGATTGTTATTAAATTAGTTTTTCATTAAGTTTTCATGTTTTATGAGATAGAATGAGATAAAAATGGCTTTAAAATCTAGTGAGTAAGCTAATGAATCTAAGCGTTTTTAATTCCAGAACCTGGATAGAATTTACTTCTCATGGTTATTCTTTTGAATACACTAGAGTGACTGACTATGCATATATTCTCATCTTCTGAAAGCAAAGCAAATAAAAAGAAAATAAGCAATCTTCTTTCTAATTGTTAAATTGTCTCATCTTCTATTTGAAATTTTGTCTGACCAGATTTTTAATAATCTTTAAAGCTCCACCAATCATCTTTTTATACTAGTTCTCCATCAATATGCCAATTTTAAAATAAATTTTATCTAACATAATTTAAATCCCTTCCAATATTTGCAGCAGATCCAAATCTTTCTTTCACATAATGACAGCCTATCACTCTAGAGTGACTAAAATTATTTATCAGCTATTAATTTTCTTATGTTGCTGTATATCCAAAAGTCTCACAAGTTCTAGTCATAGGAGACACATAGACAACATCAAATTTTATATCCTTAAGATCTGATTACATTTTTTATTACAAGCTTTTACATTAATCTTTACCTTTCTAAGTTATCTCAGGATCTATATTTGCCTCTATTTTTTGATATCTAAATGACATATTAAAAAGAGATTTTTTTTTCCAATGATTATATTTTGATTCAGCATGTCTTATAAAGTAGATTTTTTTGGTCTCAGCTAACTTCATAATGTATTCGATAAAGTTCTTAATATCTGTTCCTAGCTCTTTTGATAATAATTTTAGAAATTGCGAATTATTTATGTCATAATGATCTTCTTCTTTAATTTTTTTAAGCAAAATATCATAAATTTGTTTATAGTGAATTTGTTTTTCCATTTTTTTAGTTTTTTTATAATTTAAAAAAATTGAATTTTTATTTATTCAAAAAAATTATAATAAAAACTCATTTGGCTTTCTTTTTTAATATAAGAAAAAATAACTTCTTATAAATTATTTCTTCTATTACAACTATAATTTTATTTTTTTTAAAGTTGCTTATATAAGAATTTGACTAATAAATCCTCTTTTATTGTAGCTATTAGTTTATTTTTCTATATTATACTTCTGTTTATCAAATAAGATTAAAGCGTTATTATAGAGTTGCATTTTTATTTTTCTACATCATTTTATGCTTGTTTGCAAATTCGATTTTAAGAGTTAATTTATAAAAATTTTATGTAAGTAAGTTAGTTATTAAATAAATAATATTATTTTTTATAAAATATAATTAATTTGTTTTCAAAAAATATATGATTTCATTTAAATCATAAAATCAACAAGAACAATCAAGAATAAATAAGATTATTTTGTTCGTAAAATGAATCCCTACCAGTTCGTTTTATTGTCTTTTAGTAGAATTTTAAACAAACCAATAAATTATTTATCAGGACACTTAATCAATTACCTTAACAACCACCACAATTTGAGAAAAAAAGTAACCTACCTTGGAAAAGTAGTTATCCATAATGAAGAGTAAAATATAATCGACAAAGCTCAAAGAAAAGCATTCAAAAAATATTATAGTTGTAACAGCAAGCATCTGCATAAAGGAGCATAGAGCTGTATAGAACTAGGAATAGTTATAGCAATAGGAATAATTCCAGCGTACATTTATTTAAAAAAATTATTTTCTAAAAATCATACTCGAATGGATGAAGAAATAGAAATCGCTGAAAATATCTTAAAAGATATTGATCAAAAGCTCAATAAATAAATAGAAAGTTCAAAAAACCTAATATCAATTTAATAGTAGATGTAAAAAAGTATAATTTAATATGACTTACTTCAATCTTGTATCCAAAAAAATCAAAAGTGATAAATTAATTTTGTAAATAGAATCTATCCATTCGTTCATTTATTGTTTGTAACAAACTTTTATTCATTTCTTTAAAACTCTTAAATTAATTATAGTTTTTGAGCAAGAAAAATCCTTTATAAAACAAACATACATTTATGTTTAAATAGAAGCATTACAAAGTTTTTAATTGATTTTTATTAACTTAGACTATATTACTTACTTGCTTTCTAAATAGCTACTTAAAAAGAATTTATTTTTTTTTAAATAAGATAATAAAGATAAAAAATTGAAAAAGGTATTTTACGATTTAATTACTGTAAAATAATTATTAAATTTGAAATATATTTATTTTATCTGATTGTCTTTAGCAAATTAAATAATTTTAAATTTAATAAAATTTGAAAAATATTTATAAAAACTAACTAAAATAAAATAACTGATGAGAAATATCAAAATGTAAAATTATTTTTGAATTAAATTTAAATAAAAATGATCTATCCTTCTTAACTTTTACAAATAATCAGAAAAATGATTATAAATAGTTTTTTTCTATTTAAATATGAAATATTTTTATTATAATTAATTAGTGTTGTTCCCTTATTTTTAAGTTAATTCATTTCTTCTTAATAAATAAATAATAGATATGAAATTAATTATCAACTTAAATTTAAATTGAGAAATTGTGCTTTTAAAACTCAAATCTAATATAAATTTATTTTATTTATATATTAAATTATTTAATTTAGGCATTAAATTAATAATCCTAAGTATTTTATATTTTTAATTTATAAATATTTATTTATTTATCAAGTCGGTCACGATTATTAGTGCCTTTTGATGGATTCGTGTTTCATGCAAGCCAAATCCACTTTTTAATAAAAAGCATCTTTTAACTACTTAATATTGAGCTGGTTGATAGGAGCGTTTTTTTCTTCAATTCTTTTAATTATTTCAAGTATTTCTTTGAGATTTTTTTTAAAAGTTAATATGAAATTCTTTCTAGATTTAGCATCACTTTATTTGGAACCATCCATAACTTAATTGAAAACAATCAGGATTTAATTTAATTTAGTATTAATTGGATAAAAGAAGTTATTTATTGCTTCTTACGATTCTTCGATAAATTGTTTACACTATAAAATGTCATATTTGTAAACATAAATTTGGTTCTTCAGATAGTCAATTTGCATTTCTTTAACAAGAAGCATATTATTTTTCATTTCAAAGCACTGTTTTAGTTTTTGAATTATTGTTCCCATTTTTAATGCTATATTTATGGAATCTTTTGTATCCCCTTATTTAATGCTCTTATACAAATCATCGAAAATGTTCTCACAGATCTAATGTCTATCAAAAAATTCTGTGTTACAGTCAATATCTTTTTCTAACTTGAGTGTTCTTAACTATTCATAATCTTTAAGCTCATCTAATAATTACTATTGCATTTTCAGCTTTTCTTTATTATCAAACATTAATTTCAGCTTTCTTTTGCTTTATCCAGCTACTTCAGCCTTTTCCCCCATTATCAAATGTTATGATCCCAATTAGCTTTCATCTGGAGAAGCTACAACATTAGGAGTTTGAGTTTAAATCAAATTTACTGGCAGCTATGATGAATTTAAGTGCTTAGAAGAATTTTATTCATCCTTGATTTCATTTTAAGTACCTATTTATTTATCACTATTCTTAATTGCCATTAAGCTTAAATCTTAATTAATGTTCTGAGCAACCTTTATAAAGTAAATTTTTTAATAATTTAAATCTAATTTATTTAAGTTTTAGCAAAATATTATGCAAATTAAGAAATATAATATAGTAAAAAAGTTTTGCCCCCCATTATATTTTTAATGGTACTAATATTAAAATGGTTTTATTTGAATAAAAATTATAGAGGTAATTCAATTTTAAAAGTTCAATGTAGATTTTGAATTTATTTAAGAAAAATTTACAACTAAATATCTTGAATTATTAGAACCAGAATCTTTGTGCAGCATAACGCCTAAACAAATCATTTACTCTATAGATTTTCTCAAGTTATCAATAAGCACAGATATTTCTTAATTTGGATTACTCTTATTATCTAAAATCGCTTACTAATATGCTGTTAAAAGATTACTGAGCAATTAAGAAAGCTGTGATTCTGTCTTTGTCAACTAATCATAGGATAAGTTAATTGAAGTCATTTTATCTCTATATTTCATGAATGTTTCAAAATCAGATTTATAATTTTAAAGAGTATCTGGCAAATCAACCCTATTTCTTTTATCAATGTACAAAAATGGGTTGCTTTTGTATAATTAGAAGGTTCTCACTTACTTAAATCCTTTTTCACACTTTCTCAGAACGTTTGATAATACATTCATCATATTATTTAAATTATCTTTTTACTAGGAAGGAAAACTTGTAAAAATTGTATTTATTGGAATATAGTCTCTATATTTATCTAAAAATTCCTTAACTGGATACTTGTATTTAACTTTATTAACTATAGTTTCTTTATTATTTGTTTCTTTTCTTGAAATGGTATCATTTTACATGATGGCTTACTGAAATGCTTCTTAATATAATTAAGAATTTTGACCTGATTTATCTAAATTTGTTAAGCTATTGTGGAATGAATCAGGTAAAGCCAGTTTCTTAAAATGTTTGATTGCAAACATAGAAGAAAATTCTTTGTTGGATCTTTCATATTCAACTATTTTGCTGTAGGCTGAGTAAAAGTTATTTATAAAATTATCTCTTTCTTCCGTTGAACCTATGTTGCTCAGCAAGTTTTTTAGAGATAAGTTCATTAATTTTTGATCAAGTTACATAATAATTCCATCTTCGTTGTTTGGTAAGTAAGGGTTATCTTATGAGGCTAACATAGTTCCAATTTTTTCATTGTTTTAAGCTTCATTTTAAATGTTAATAGCCTTGTTTGCATTTGCTTGATTATTCTATGATTTCTTCGATTTTTTTGTTACTTGCTATTGTATTTCGCTGCTTTGTCTCATTACTGATTCAGCAAAAAACTAACAAATTGCCAAAACCTCTTTTACAACTTTTCTAGATCCTTAGAGTAATCCAGTAAGTCTACGGATATGTTTTTACTATCTGCTAATCTGTGCTTTCAGCAAAAAAAACCTAAGCTCATTAATATCTTGGGCTTTTTACTAATGTTCTAAAGCAATTTTAAATTCATCCAATTCTTCTAATTCGTTTTTGATATCAAAAATTTAATTTTTCAACTTGCTATTTTCGCTATTTAACTTTTTTATTTCTTCAAAGCGAGTATCTAAGCCTGTATATGAGTTTTTCTTAAGACTGGAATACTAAGCTTATAATGTTTTGCTTAGTTCATCTTTTAGTTCATCGAAATTAAAATTCAAGCTCTTTTATGCATTTAGAGTATTTTAAATATTTATCTCTCTGTCACTTCCAATTAGAAATTTAAGATCATTAGAGTGATGATTGATTTCATCCTATTCATCTTAAGAAAGTTAATCCTTTAAATATCCATCTTAAGAGGTTTTTGTAGCATATTAATTAAATTGATTATTAACATATTTAGAATATTAATCATTTTAACTGATGGCTCTGCTGTTTTTTAAATTATTATTATTATTTTTAAATTGTACTTTTGCTTCTATGTTTTTCATTAAGTTATCAATTGATCCTTTAGGACTTGCAAACATGTATCGATTTTATGGCTTTTGTTTGAGATTTCTGCTAGGAGATTAATCTATTTAGAAGTTATCTCTTATGTAAAATTTTTGATCTGACTAATTTTATTTCAGAGGTGCATCTTTATCTATTAAAATCTATCTGTTAGGCGATGTTGTTTGTTAGGTCTCACTATTAGAATTTTATTATTAATCTTAGTTAGTTATTTTAGGTGGAAATTTTAAATTTCTCTTAAATTAATTTGCTGAAAGCCCCAACTCTCGAGCTTTCATCGTGAGAGGACCTTGCATAAAGAGGTTTTAGCTTTTTATCTTATACAGAGCGTCTTATTTTGTTCTTGTCTCAGAGAACTCTGGATCATCAATTTTTTCTAAGATTTCTTTGATCTGATTTGTGTAATTATTTATTTGTTTGCTATTTTGATTTCTTTCTTCATTTTATGATTTTCCTCTAAAAGATGATTTGTTATTTTAGAATAAAGAACCCTAAGGAGTATTTATTTATCTCTAAAAGTAGGCTGAATCGGCGGAGCTTTTTAATTTATTTTCAGTATCTTAACCGAATCCTTTTACTTTTGGTAGTTACTAGCTTTGCATTGCAAATTCTATTAAATTAAAAATGAATATTTTTCCTTAAAATTATGCTTTAATATTAAAAGTAAAAGTATTTATAACTTTTATTGAAGCTATCTGTGGAAGGCGATGAGCCTAGCAATGTTCTAGCTAGTAGCTCCTTTTCTTTTTTCATTTAAAAGTATAAATTATCAAAAGTAATTTGATATCTTATTATTTAGATAAAAAGGTTTATTTAAATTTATTACAAAAAACTAACTTATTAAATTGATCAGAATCATAAATAGAATTATTTGTTTAAAATTAAATATCTTTTCTTATTTATTTCACATACAACATCCATCACTTTTTATTATATTTTACAAATAAACGCCATTTTTTTACAATGAAAAACTCTTATTGTATCCTAAAATATATCTTTTACAAGTATTCCTTAAAAAGAAAAGTTTTTAAAAAATAAATTTTTAAGTTTTTTTTCGCTTACACAGAAAAAGA